CATTGGTACTGGGTGATATTGAAGATGACCAGGGGGTTGGGTTTTGGGGAAGGAGTTGGTTTTTTTTTTTTTTTTTCTTGTGGTGGTGGCGGCGTCTCCCCGTTTCTTTCCCTCTGACTGTCCCAGTCCCAGTTTTTTTTCTCTCTACATCTCATCTTCTCTTATTCCGCTTGTGGATTTACGGGTCAGACTAGGACAGGTCACAAGGTACGGATAATAGAAGGGAGATTCTAAACGGTGGCTGCGGACTATGTGGTTTACAGGCGAGGGTGTGCCATACGGGCTCATTTCGCCGGGGACGGCTCAACTGAAGGTGAAATGGTGCGATTCATGACTGGCAAGTGCTGCTGGCTGGGGGTGGATATCCTACTTCCTGAGCAAGTGGCCTAGTGGACTACTACTGATTGGGGGCGACGACTGGACCTTGCCAGGCACGGCTCCATGCCTTTTGAATTATCCCGCATGTCGAATGAGAAGCGAGGGGGCCCATTGCAGGTCTCGTCGTAGACGGAATGAGATGGAAGAGGTAGGTGACAAGAAAGAAACGTCGAGAAAGTTGCAGGCAACTTCGAGGGCAAACCACACCTAAATTTCAGGATGTCCTGGGTCCGGATACCGATGTACTTTGTACACGAGAACGCCTTCTCCCATGGCAGTGTAATTGAACAAGAAGCACAACAACAACAACTACAACTAAGACAACAACAGCAGCAGCAGCAGCAGCAGAAATAACAACCCGATAAATGAAAAGTTGGGTTGTCTGGTTTCTATGGCCTTCTCATTCATCCCCCCCTCTCAACAGTTTCCCAGGATTCGACATGTTACCACTATCCACCCTTAGCTCAGTGGTGGTTGCAATTCACGAATTACACGGCGCGGCTGGACTCTAACAATGTGGTGCGGGTTGGTCACTTCCTTCTCGGGCGAGGTGCCTTAGTCAACGCCCCAAAACCCCAGTCCCGGTGCCAGGTAAGGGTGGGAGCATGGTGTGCCTGATATTGGAGAAGGAAGGAGGGGAGAGAAGAAAAAGAAGGAAAAAAAAAAAAAAAAAAAAAAAGGCAGTTACCCGTGCAGTCGTGAAGGTGTCCTGGGTTCTTGTTGCCCAGATAGGACTGGGACAGGAAGGGAAAAAAAACAAGCCTAGCCAACCAGCAAACCAGGTCAAGGTGGCCCTCGGGGGAAGTGAGGCAAGGAACCTGCCGGATAAGATGGGTAAATGAATACGTACCGTATCATCCCCACTCTTCCATTTTTCTTTCTTTTTCTTTTCCTTCTTGCAGGCAGCTTCGGCACGGGGTGTCCTTGACATGCTTGCCTGCCTGCACTTGCACTGCATTTTGGGGAGGAAACTGGCACTACTCATTAGAGTAGGTGCAATAGCAGTGGTATTCCTTGGGTAAGGGAAGGTTGATGGCACACCGGTTGATTAACCGCACTCTCTAATTTTATTCTCTCTCCTCTCTCTCTCTCTCTCTCTCTCTCCTCCGTGTCATCCGCCCAGCTGATACTGCCCGGTGCCAGTTTCGACGCAGACATTGCTTCTCAAGGTACACACACACACATATGCACACATACTACATACCAGACATATCAGGCATACCAAACATGCCCTCGCATCACACACACGCACACACACACACACACACAATATACACACGTCTCCCGTCTTCTCCACATATTTCCGTGATTCGACACCGAGGTCACGAGGTCCCGCCATATAGCAACACAAAGACCAGCCGAGGTTTGACGATCTTTTACATAAGCCTGTGTCGGCTATATGCGCTGCTCTTTATTTATCGGAATTTTCTCCGGGACTCGGCCCTCAAGACAGGCGGATAGACAGATGGACATGCGGATCTCTGTACAAAGGGTACCACTACGGAACCCGAGGCCCCAGGTACTTTACCCTACAATGGAATGGCCGCCGTACCTCTATGTAGCCTTCCAATTCCCACCGTACCTTAGCTCCCTCCTTCCCAGGTACCGATGCGAAGGGGACAAGGGGTGTGGTTGTCTCTACCGACTTGGTGCACCTCACTACGCAGAAACTAAGCGTTAACCTAGGCGCTGATGTCCAACGGCCATCCAAGGCCCAAGACTTGTCTCGACCCGACTCAGAATCGGGCTGTCTCCATTCAAAATCTCGGCCTCGCTGCGTGCACGTCCTCCACCCGTGGCCTTCGGCCCTTGATCAAGGCCGCTATTATGGTCAAAGTTGAAACCCACAGTCCACAATGTCGCGCAAGCACGCACCCTCGCTCGCTCGCTCGCACTTTGAGCAGCCCGCAATTCATCAAGTCAAGCCCCAACCAGCCCGTGTCCGGGATGAAAGGTGGAGGGCGGCAACGGTGACGGAGCCCAGCTGGCTATTCCAGGTTCTTCGCCAACGGCCGTTGACCCTGGTCCATGTCGACCTCTTGTCTCCTCTTTCTTTCCGTCTCCCTCTCCATCTCCAAGGCCAGCTCCAGGGCCATTAGCTCCATTTCCGTCTCTGTCCCCATTTCTCATCCCATCTCAGCCCCCCAGTCCCCCGCTCGTTTGTTCGCCTTGCCCGGCCGGCTTGCCCGTCAGCCACAATTTGGCCACCGTTCATTTAGCTGACCTTCATCTTGAACAACGGCTAGGCACAAGAAGGGCTACCCATGAACAGCGGCTGACAGGCGTCAGGGAAGCCAGGCACATGCTGGTTTTTTTTTTTCTTCCTCTAGTACCATCCACCCCTTCGCCGACCCGTCCACTCAAGCCCGTGGCTCAAGCCCGAGCACATGGCTCTTGATGTTGTCACACGGATGGGACCTTTGAAGCTCGGGACACGTTCATACCGAAAACGAAGAATCGAGTAGGCTGCGTCAAGCTTGGGTTACAGCCTGTCGAACCCCATTCAGTTGACATGTCTCCTTCACCCTACCACTGTGCAGCCAGCATTGCAGCGACAGCGCCAGCATACGCGCCCGCCCGGCCTGAATGTGCCGTGCCTCACACTTCTAGACACCTTAACTGGAAGGCAAATCAGCAACGTACTTGTGAGAAGACAGCTTTCGGACCAAGTATTTGGTGTTGAGCCGTCTTTCGTCATGCAGCATGGCTGTCAAAATCCGACATCAAGATAAATGACCGACCCGTTCGTATCGACACCCGGCGCCGGCCTGGCATCCTACTTGACATGTCATCCAGGTTGACGCCCACAGTTACATGCGCCTCCATCTCCCGACTATGCGCTAGGGCGCAACGTGCCGCTTACCTTTGGCAAGGTACCGTGCCACCATCACCCCTCTAAGACACCCCTCCTTGCCCAGGCTACCTTAATCGTGCATCTGTGTCTCTCGTTGCATCGAAATCCCATACAGTAGTCATCCGAGACAAGACACACGCATATCCGCAAATCGAGACACGCCCCGAACCCTCCAGGATCGCCGGAGGCCAAGCCAGGGACATGGGAAGATTGCAGAATCTCAAGGCCGGGCAGTAATTGACCTAGGGGTATCTATCAATAGATGAGGATGGCCTTTGTTGTTGGTCTTATGTGCTCAGGTCAGGGCCGTCATCGATTCAAATAAAGATGAACAATAAAAGCCAAAGCATTGACACCTCCCAAAGTACGTCCAGCATCTCCTCCCCCGTCTCTCTTGTTGCTGACCTGGTACCTACTACATATCAAGCTAAGCAACCTGCGTAGCCGTCCGTATCTGGCCTTACGACATTGGCTAGGGGTATATACGTACGGGGCCAGCAAAGTACTGACTACCTACCCAATGCCTGCCCTGCTCACCATAGCTATCCGTCCATACCCTGGCTCAAGTATCCGTAACTACTGCGTACGCATACGGATCCCTTGCCTCTTGTCCCATTTTCTTCCCATCCCATTTCGTTCTTCCATATTCCATCTTATCCCAAACATCAGTCTACGGGAGTCTTGATTTTGATTTTGATTTTTTTTTATCCTTCAGACAGCCCGTGTGTTGATTTGCAAATGTCCCCTTTTCATCCAATGCCACCATCTCAAACCCGTCATCTCATCTCTCTGTTGCGCTCGCAGGTCGATCCCTCCGCTCGCCTCTCCACACATCCCACAACCTTCTTTCGACCCCACTGGGCCTGATTCGCTCACGCCCTCTCCCCCTTCCTTTGCCATCTTTTTTATTTTCTTCCACATCTGCCCCCATGCGTGGCCCCCGTGGTCCTCGTTCTATGCACCCACGTTCACTCATTCTGCCTCCTTCCCTTCCCTGGACGGGACCCTGAACCACAACTAGAATCAGCGTCAGCAGCGGCAGCAGCAGCAGCAGCAGCAGCAATTGTTACCACTAGCAGCACAAAGATTGGCAGCAGCACTCTACGTGCCCTCGCTGTTGGCTCGAGCATCAAACACTCCTGTTATGCTCCACGCAGCTACGTAGTTCGCTCTGACAGTCGTACTACGACTGCTAAGTACACCCTAAGCTCTGGGTGTACCTCGCTGACAGGTGCCAATCGTCTGGTTCTTGTTCAAGGTTGTCTTGCCGCCACCACCACCTGTTGTCCTAATTTTTACGTTCAGAGCAGCGCGAAATAGCGTTCCTTAGTCGTTGGCTTCCCCCTCTCACAGACTCCATATTTTCCAAGCCTCTTTTCGACGCCCACGGTGTCTGCCGTTAGCTCTTCTTCGACAAACGCCATTATGTTAATCTTGTATAACCTGCCCCCCCTCTGCAGCTACCTGTCTTGATCCCAGCTTGGTTCTCTGCATCCTCTTCTAGTGCATCCGTACCTGTCTGTATCTACCTGCCTACCTAGCTAGCAGCTACCTGTCCTGCTTTAGCTAAACTTGCCGTCCTGCGCCGTTCTGGCGTGCCGTGAAATGCACACCCCGGGGGTTGGTCTGTTATTCATACATCCGTCCCATTGCATCCCATTCATCCCATCCATCCCATCCATCCCAGGCGTCCTGTCCTGCTGTCGCCCATCCATCCATCCCTCCGGCCAGCCAGTGGCCTTTTCCCTCCTTCCTGGCTCCCGGCTACATGTACATACCCATCCTGCCATCTGCCATCTGCTACCGGATCCGACTTTCGAGACAACGTGCACCCCTCCCTGCCCACTCCCACCTGAACCATCCCTCCTTCGCCTCCCCAATCAAATTTGGCACTCTGCACTCTGCACGCCCGCTAATGGGCTGCTGAGCTCTCGCAACCTCAGAGGACTAACTGATGGTATTTATCTTGTTTTTATTTTATTTAACATTTTTCTTTCTTTTTATTCCATTTAGTGTTTGATGCTGTCTCTTTCCATTGGATCAGTCACACACGAGCGCGGTCCCGCCCGTCATCTACCTTGATCTTACCGACGCAGCTTGCCTTTACTTTTTCCATCAACCATGCACCTTCAGATGATGTACTTCTCTCCCGTTCACTGACTCTTGTCTCCCCCACTGTCTTATTACGTTGTGGCTTCATACGGGTCTGCTTAATCTCATCCAGGAACACTCAGACCCAGCGCTACCATCGCTACCGTGTACCAAACTCACATTGCACACGCCTCCCACACACCAGACAGACAGACCACTGCATATTGCTTGTCGTTCGTCGTGTTCCCGCTCCCCTATACGGTTTCTTTACCGACAACTGCGGGTTGCCAGCTCCCACTTCCACTACCACCCGCTGTCTGTCCCGCCCACAGACCGCAAACCAATTCACACAGACTAGACACACACACACACACACACACACACACACACACACACACGTACACCCTGACACCATTGTCGCTCCTCTCATTCACTCGCACACACACACAGACGCGCGGAGAATTGTCGTTAGGCAGGGGATCGCGATGGCATAGCCCTCTACCCTTGATTAGCAGCCACTCTAAAGACGTGGACCGGGGCCTTCCCTGGGCTACCTGTCCCTCGACCAGATCAACCCTGAACCACCCTAGCTTCATCTCAATTGCCCCCCCTCCTCGCAGGCCCAGTACACCAGTCTCCAGTCGCACAAAAACCGACCGGGAGCCACCGATCGACTGCTCCCAAAAAAAAAGTCTACGGGCCCTTCTCCAACATCCAGCCCTCGACAAATAACGCTCACTCTTCACTCCGGCCACCGGCAAAGAGAGACAAAAAGAGAATCTCGGAGCGGGACAGACTTAACTTGTCTCTTCCTCCCTCTCTTTTTCTATAGCTTCTTCAGCACACACCCCTCTCACTCTCTCTTCCCCTCTCTCTTCCTCTTCCTCTCACCCTCGCTCTCTCTCATCCACCCAACTCCAACGACGACTGAACCTACTTGGCCGCCGGTCCCAAGTATCCCCATCCATCCAGGCAACCTACCTCCGCATCCCGTGCCTGAGGGTCCCCGCCGTGGTACCTCCTGCAGCCGCCCGCATCACCATCTCTTTCGACGAACCACCAACATCGCCGCAAGGTAGCTTGATTGGAGCTCGAAAGACTGTTGTTGTGCGAGTATCGCTCTGCAGCATCGCCATCGTCTCACCGCAACAAGCAGCTGCAGCTCCTTTCGCCTGTCTTTTTCTAGACCGTCGATTTGACATACTCTGTGTCTGTCAACGACTCGCACACAGTTTCTACCAGGACTTTTAAACCCTGAGTGAACTTCTCTCCCATTTGTGAGGTTCGTCTCTGGTTCAGAATCACAGGGTCTTTTTTTTCTTGTCTCCTCCTTTCATTCTCAAATATTCGTTTTGTGCCCAGTTGAGTCTGGTTCTTGGTATCTGTCGCAAATACAGATCACTAGCATCAGCCATCTCGACGCCGGTGTTCTTCTCGCATTACACCAAGCAACAACGTTTCCCCCGCCAACAACCAGCAGAGGAAGCGTTCTCTTCAACGGAACACATCAGGGACCGAGGGCATATACTTGAGAATCTTCAACGTTATAGCTGCAACAGATCTACAGTGGTGGTAGCAGGTCCGGTCTTGCCTTGAGAAGGAAAGAAAGAACGGAAAGAGTCTGGGAAACGAGCCGTCGTCTGGAAGAAGACGTGGAGAGCTCTCGGACCAGACGCCCAGTCCAGCTACACCACAACATCCATGCAAGCCGTAAGCAGATATTGCGATACATCGTCTAACTCACTCGGCCAGCGCCGAGGCATATCCGACCTGGCGCGATTCGCCCTCGACCTGACCTGGGCAAACCCACAAAGAGCAGAGTCCGAGACTCCTGCTCGACCCCGAGCTTACCCTTCTCCGCCCATGTCAGGGTCTCCTCCCCTCCCACCCAAAACAAACCAAGAGGTTGGTGACAGAGGGCAGCCGCATGGAAGCTATCCGTCAACAAGCTCACAAGATGCCTATCGGGGAGGACCGCCACCGACGACTACACAGCAGGTCGACATCCGAGGACCACCGCCGCCGCAGCAGTCCTTGCCACCGCCCCCAACCCGACCGTATCATACCGAACAGCAGGACAGGATGGCCTACTCATATCCCCGCCCCGAGGACCACATGCGAAACCCGCCATCGGGATACGCCCATATGGCGAGCCAGGCCTTGCAACAGCGCCCGCCACCTTACATGCAAATGCCCGGTCCTCCGCCATCGCAACCATCTCAGCATAGCTATCCGGCATCGATGCCCCAGCCTCCCCAGGAGAGCGCTCCCTACACGTCCCCGAAGACCCAGCGAAAAACCAAGGGTCATGTGGCATCCGCCTGTGTGCCATGCAAAAGAGCCCATCTTCGGTAAGACGCCTATTTCTGTTTCTCTCCTTCCATCCCTAAGCCCCGCACGCCGCGAAGTAAAACGTTGCGCTGTAAAGTTGGTACGGTGACGCTAACATAATTTTCTCTAGATGTGACGGTATGTACGGCCCACGGCCATTGAATTTTCCTTTTCGTTTTCGTTTTGCTATTTTTCACCTTTTGTTTGGAATGGGGAAAGACGGAAGAAGAAGAAAAAAGAGGAGGGAACTTTCCCCCCTCGCCCAGGGATGCAACGTCGCGGCACTGTACCCCATGTGCATGTGCATGCGGCTGCGAATCGTTTGGGTTATTGGGGGTTGAGGAGACAATGGAATTGACATCACTACCTGTCGTGGTACTACGGGTGTCTTTTTTGAGGCCATTAACCTAGCAGTTGCCCTGAGCGTGCGACACCCGACACGGCGCAGGGATCAACCCCTCGACCTGAGACTGATCCTGAGGGGAAGATAATCCCGTTCGGGCGGATCATTCGCAGAAACTCGGATGGAAGTTGAGATGGTGGTTGCAGTACCATGGGATGGCGCAGACGTCAAGTTGAAGGCTGTTCCCCGTCTCGATCTAGTGGTGGCTGTCTGTCACCACGAACGGGGACGAAGAAGCACCTACATCATCACCATCAGTGTCATTGTCATCGACAACCCCATCGAGCAGCGCTGTGACCATCCTTCCGTCGGCCGGTCCCTATCATCCTGTTCCGTTCCAGCAGCGATCGGCCACCACCACCACCCCCGCGACTGGCCACTGTGGCTTTGTTCCTGGATGACCGTGGCCGGCACTTCGGCCCGGTAATTAGGAGAGGTTGGAGATTGGCGGGCGACAGCCGGGCCCCCCGGGAGCGACCCTCGAACTCCCGAATCTTGATTTATGGTTGGGGTCCGGGTGAACTCGCCAATCGCAGACCGGCAGGTTGTGTGTGGTTGCCATTAGAGTGTGGCATGTCTGAAACAGAAGCGGAGGAAACCTCCCCTTGGGAAAAGGAGTTCTCAGGCAGCCTTCAGCTGGGCCGATCTCTCTCATCAGTCTGGTTTGGATGTGGGATGATCCAAGTGGGTTGGACTAGCGTGTCATTGACGTGTCGGATGCGACGCAGAGCATGATGGAGGGGGACAACGTCGTTCTGCACCAGAAGTCTAAGCCACACGGCTCGACGAGCAAGCGCTCGCCGGGGAGCAAAACGTCATTTTGCTTCTGACTTGCAGCACCTCTTGTTGCACTCGCAACGACTGCTTTTTTCTTTTCTTTTTTTTTTTTCTTTCTCTGTTTTCTTACTTGGTTTCTCGTTTACCTCAGGGTCCACCCGTGACGGCTTTGCTGACATGCGACAAATATAGCTCAGCGACCCTGCTCTCGCTGTACTAGCAACGGCAAGGAAGACGCCTGCATCGATGTGCAACACAAGAAGCGCGGCCGTCCAAGGCTGAGAGACGACCGAGAAGGCCGCTATGGCCCTTCCACATATCCGCATCCCCAGGATGCTGCAGCAGCAAGGAGGCCGTTGAGTCTGTACTCTTCTGGCGGTCCTATTTCAGGGTATGATGACCCCGTCCGCCATAGTCATTCATATCGCGTTCTAAAGTCTCAACCAAGCGAACCTCTGGCGCCCCGTTACCTTGAACGGGCCTCACCGGCCGATGCGAACCTCTACGCGCCTCCCTTGTCCTCTGCGACGGGCGCGCCTGAGCCCGTTGTGTTTCTGACGATGGATCTCGACATTGCACGCGCGTCTCAGACTTTCACAGACGCCGTCGGGATCCCAAATATCAGGGGTCGAAAACTGTTTGATATCGTGATGCCCTCAGATCGTGATAAGGTCCAGAACCATCAGCGACAGATGCAGGACGAGCGGGCGAGAAAGGATCCCGTTTATCTGCCCCCCATTTTCGGACAACACGAGCAGGAGCGTGTGTTCGAGTCGTTGCGCTTCGAGGCGGATGAGGTTTCGCGGTTCCAGCTGGATCGCCAAGACTTCTTCGTTTTCGCATCCAGTGACGGGCAACCGCGATCGTATTCCGTTCGGTTCGGCCTCGCGAAGCGGGAGTCGATTTACTTCATCGTCCTTCTTCTCAACGCCGCCCCCAGGTATCCTTACCCTTCTCCGTCGCCTCATGCCCGAGATATTCCCTACTCGTCATATCAACAGCAGCCGCAGCAGCAGCAGCAACAACAACAGCAGGCGTATGCGCAACATACACCCATTTCTGCGACGTTCGAGCCTACTCGAGCTCGCTATGGGGATAGCGCACTTGCGCCCCGTCCGTCGCCTGGTCATCCTCCACATATGAGTTCCGGCCTCAGTCCGGGCATCAGTCCCGGCATGCCATCATATGCGGCCTCGCCTAGTCGACCAGATTACGCTGTCGGCCCGTCGTCGTATCAGATCCCTCGCAGTGAACTACCGCCGACCAATCGGCCTCCGCAGCCCTCGTTCCAGCTCCCGCCTATCCGCGCCGGCCCCCACCAGCTTCCCCAGCCCGAGCCATCGTGGCAGAGGGATGAACGTTCCGGCCGCGTCGACATTGGCGGGCTGCTCGAAAAACCGGACCCGCAGCAGCGTCGTCCTCAATGAATGATGACTTGTCCTCCGCCTGAGCGGTTCGTTGTCGATAATGATTCGTTTCTTCGGCTCCGGTGACTTCTCCGTCGCATCATCGATCGGGGTTCTCTCGTCCGAGCTAATTCCCACCACCTTATTTGGTTCCGTTGGCGCCAATTTTGACCGTACGGGATGGGCGTTGTGCGTCCCCGTCTCTTGTATTTGTATCGAACCTTCTCTTCAACCTTTCAAGACCATCGTTCTGCTTTTTTCCCGGCGGCCGCGAGCCGTCATGAGATACCACTTGTACAAACACTTTTTTCTGCTCGGCCGCCGTTATACATATTGTTTGTTGTTTTTCCTTCCCGCTGTCCGCTGGGGCAGTGTGTGTGGCATCCGTCTGGGCGTTTATGCTTTTGAGTATCTGCTTCCGACTCTCTGGGCTGCCATTTATGCCTGCATCCGTTGTTGAAAAAACCTGGGAGAATGTAGGAATATTGGCCGTTGTCATTTATTTTTTTGTTCCAGGATGGTTGAAAATAGGAAGTGGGTGGGGGGTTAGTGGTGATATTGGGCGGTCATCATGCGTTGTGTTGTTGTTGTCTTATAGGTCCCAGAGCTGACCTCATCCTTTTTTTTTTTTTTTTAAACCCCTTGCTGAACAGAAGGATTCACCCGGTACGCGTTTTCTTGCCGGCTTGTCTAACATGGTTGATCTTCTCGTGCTGTCCCCGTTACTTGTCTTGTTTTTATGCCGCCGGAGTAACTCTTGAAAAAATTTGGCTTGTCTTTGTGATGGATGCTGTGTAATTGTCGTCGAATTATTGGCGCTGGGGCAATCTGATTTGATGTTGATGTACCGGGAGTCAGGCGTTTCTGGGGGTGGTGTCTGACTTTGTCTGCGATGCGTTGTTTTGGAAGAGAGACGGGGGAGAGTTGGAGGTCGAGCAAGCGGGCCGGAAGGTTGCGAGATGGGCGGGCTTTTTGACAGACACCGAACCTTTCCTTTCCCTTTACTTGATCATCCCAAGGACCGGCAATTGCGGAGCCCCCCCTCGGGAAGGGGGGGTCGGTGCGGCGGCGAGATACCCACAAACAAATTCGGCATGTCAACCCGGTGGCTGTCGGTGCATTTGCTCTCGCCCCCCTTCCCATCCCTGCTTCGCTGTGGAAGGATAACCCATGCCTTGGATCGATCAATGTCGAGTTCGGGAGTGGAAGTGTGGCGATAATGCAGTGCCTCACTGACGATCCATGGAGAAGGGTTGTTGGTTTGCGCAGAGAGCGGTGCGGGGGAGGGCCAAGATGAGAAGTAGTGCAAAGACCAGAGCAGGACAACATAACAGAGGATGGAAAAATAAACAGGAATAACTAATAGACCTGAGAGGACCGACGAGGGGGAAGACGAGAAGGGGGGGAGAGGGGGGAGGGAGATGAGGAGGAAGGGAACGAGGAAGGGGAATGAAGAGAACATAAGAGAAGGAAAAGAGGAGAGGCTCCCAGCAGCTGCAATAGCAGGCCCGTAGATAATTTAAAGCACCCAGTTCATAAGACCGCAACGATTTCGGCCACTCACAAGTCGTCTCACGCCTTCTCTCCGCAGTTTGTCTGCAGTTAGGTCTGCACAACCGGCCATGCTATCCAGTCAGGCGCCCAGCCGGGCGGCCGGCGGATGCGGATGGATGCGTCTAATGTACTCCATAGCCATGCGTGCCCAATGCAAAGCTGCGCAAGGCTCCTCCTCTGGCATACTACTAGGTAGGCAGGCCTACTGGGTGCGTGTGGTGTGTGTCATTTCGCGTGGCCCCCTTCCTTGGTCGAGCCCTTAGTAGCATCCGCATTGGAAGGGTATAATCCGGGTCTGGTATTGGGTGTTTTATCAAAGCGGGTTCACGCCCTGACTTCCCGTTCTTGTTGCCGACGAACCATTATACACACAACGATCCATGGTCTTAATAAAGAGAAATGAGAAAAAGAAGAAAATGGGAAATGGGCTGATTAGATGTGTAGGGATGGTCGAATGGGAGATACAATGTATCGGGGGTTTTCCTCGTAAATTCATATTTGGTTCTTGGTGATGTTCGAGATTGGTTGGCCAAACCATTGGCTCTCTGATGTCAGCCCTTTCGTTTTTTTTATCCGTTATGTTTCCCGCTTCCTGCAAACATGTTTCTGTGTTTCCTCAGTCGCTCAGGTTCTCGCATCCTCCGCTTGCGTATGTGTGCTGCACTCATGGTGTATAGTAGGCCGCAAACTAGTGATCAGTTCTCCTTGGAAGGGGCGAGATCGGTACGTCCTACCGCTGATCGTTCCTTTCTGCTCGGGAATGCCGTGAAGTGGGAGCAACACCCCCAACAAAGCCAGAACTGATGGGAATGAGCGGGACTCTGTGAGATGAGAGGAGATTGAGTGAGGAAGATGCGATGTTCAGGGGGTGAGAGGAGACGTGTGGGAAGGGGCAGCAGCGTCTCTTTTTCTTCTGGCTGGCCGCCGTCAATACGTCGGTGGTTCAGACCCTCCTCACCTGTCTCTCATTATTTTACCCCAGAACCAGCCGAGAGCAAGGAGCAGAAAACGGACGAGGAAACGAAACGAAACAAAACGGACTTAGCGCCGTGCGTGGGGTCTGCACCAGCCAGGGGATGGGGATGAAGATTGCAGGGGATGAGTTCATTGCGGTTTGCAAAAATCTCCGAGACGGAGCTGGGCAGTCAGTTTGTGGCTCGAAGAGTTTTCATTCTGTCATTCTGCATGCAGGACGGGCGCTTGTCATTTCTGAATTAGGCACCACCCCCTTGACATGCCTTAATGAGGAAGACAGGGAGTTGGAAATAAGTAATTGCAATCTGGTCATCTGTTCAGTTTTGCTCCTTTTCTCGCCGTCTTTCCTACGTGCGTGAGTGTGTCGGTGACTGTTTTTGAAAAGGGAGCCGCACTAGTAGGAATTGGAGTCGGGTGGACTGGACACCGTAAAGCTTACATTCATCCGAGGAACGGAGACTGAATGCCACAGTTGAAACGCTGATGAACGCAATGGGAAGCCTGGTGGATGCGAGCAGCTAGAAACGGAAAAACGCGACAGGGGTTTAGAATTGTCTATTTGCTATTAGGGCATGGGCCGACGGCAAACACGAAGTTGTGTCTCGATTAGGCAGGCTTTTGTGCCCGTATGCATGAGGGAAGAAGAAAAGTAAATGACGAGAAAAATAAAAATGGCAAAAAAGACTGTTGAGAAGGGCGACCTGAAACAAAAGAGGCGTGGCCGAGCGATCTTCATCATGCTCGCTGCTTTTGTCTGCCGTTTTTGCGGTCTCCAGCACGCTATACTACGAAGAGACTGTGAAGGACAGGCGAAGCTTCCTGAATCGGGGGCTTTGGCACGTTATGTGCTTGGGGGTTGCGCCTTCAACAGGAAAGGTGTCTAGTGTTAAGGTTGTTTCGAAACGGGCCTTGCATGGCGAACACGTCCTGTGGCCGCATGTTTGCTGGGGAAGGGAAATGAGGGAGGGGCGCCGGGTGGTGGCGGTGCCGACCGCTAGACCGCACACGTGGGTTGTCTTGCTGCAGCGACATGCATCATTAGACGCAAGACGAGCGGCTTCATATCGTCTTCTCCAGCGCTTGTTGGAACGAGATGAAGGAGGGTCTCTTCCAATGCTGCATCGCTGGTGAGTCTCGTTGGGGAATAGTGCGGCGTGCTGTGGACGGCGGCGACAGCACCCAGAACACCAACCACGTGAGGTTTATGGGGTCAAACGTGTCCCAGGACCTGCTAGTCGAGTTTGACATGAGAGGGCCGATGTTGCGTTGGCGGTGGGAGTTGGACGGTACGTCGTCCTGTTGCTGCAAGCGTGGCATCATGGAATGGGGCTTGGTGCTTGATGGACAAGACTGAAATAAAACTTGGCTTCTCAACTCTTATGATGAACTGGACTTGCGCTGGAGTGCCGACTGCTCGACTCTCCGTTGTCAGCGCTACTGCTCTGGTGAGCCGCGGATGTCGAGGCCATTTCGCAATTAGGGTTACTGCCTCGGATGGCCAGCATCTTCTGTCTCTTGGTGGCCTGAACCTGTACTGGGTGTTGGGTATCTTGAGGGAGGACGGGGGTACGGCGGGCCTCCTTCGCTTCTTGGTGCTGCTGATCCAGTTCCCTCAGAAGCTTGTCGGGCGATGGCGGCGTGCTGTCATCAACCACCTCGTCGATGCTGCGTTTCCTACCAAGAAGGGGAGATGGCGTTGTTCGGGGTGGAATGTGCATGTCCATCAGACTTTCTGCGAGAAAGTTGCGAGTAACACGGCGGCCAGGCGCAAAATCTGGGTCGAATAGGACGGAATCCGGCGAAGGCAATCTCGAGCTGTTCCGTCCGCTATGCCTGCTCTATCAGACATGATACCCACAAGTGGAACCGGTTCCATCAAGGGACTCACCCAGTACTGGGAGGCTGGACGCGAGACGAGGCCACGCCGGCATCTGCCGTGCCTTCTGACTTGCCGTCCTCACACATGGAGTAAGAGCGAGATAATTAGTGGGGTTGTGGTTATTGGATGCTGCAAGTATGCCCTGAAGTTGCAGCAGTTCCAGCAATATAGGTTATGTCGGTGGAGCTGAACGATTGGAGAATCTACCCAACCTATCCGGCGTATAACAATGTTAACATGTGCACGGGCGAGGGCCGAGACATATAAATGAGTTGCCAAAGGCAGGGAGCTGCTACCTAGAAGCCGTGCAGGCCTGTTTGTTGGCTTCATGCAAACCGTTGCAGCCTTGCCAAAGGTTGGAAAATGGGGTCATAAGCGGTGTTGCTGTACAGGACGACCGATGATGCAGATTGCACCATGTGAGCCTGTTGGAATGAAAATGCAAAGGCTAGGGCAATGAGCGACGGCCGAGAAAAGTCAGGCGCTGCATGTTGGAAAGATGGTGCCAAATGGCACGGCCCTCTTCCGTCGTTGACACTGACAGCTTGTACTGCTAGGTGCTTGGCGGTCCTCGACGTAACCACGACAGGATATACCAAGTCGTTCAACATTCAGCCATCGATGTCAAACTGAGCCTTGCTTGGTTTGCTTGTCTTCACAGCCCACCCCCGCCCCATTGATGGCTCATGGTGGTGGCATTGCTAGGACTGGCTGGTTATTTTGACTCGCTGAGGGACTCACATTGGCGAGGCTGACACCCAGGCGTAGAGAATTCCACATAGACACAGATTATCCCAGTCCCCTGGTGAGTCAAGTGGTCAGTGTTATACCTAGATTTCCCTTATTCTTTGTTATTTGGTGACCCTGCAATCGAACAAAAGCTTGGGGTATCGCTGAATGTCGCTTTCAAGATCACATTACACACAAGCGCATAAATAGTGGTGTATGGCCCATGATTTTTGGCATGGTTGACATGCCACTCGAGACTGGCAAAGATGGAGGAGCTAGGTACCAGTAGAAGCATGGCAGCATGCATGGCTGCCCCTTGCAGTAGCTTGGCAGGGGAGAAGGTGCCAGTAAGGAGAAAATGAAACTAAAGTGGTTTATTATGACTAAGCAGGTATCACGTGAACACGCGCCTCAAAAGACGTAAAGCAAGATGGCTCTTCAGCAGCAGGTGGGACCCCAAAACACGACTGCACGCACCTTCTGGGCATGATATGTGGTTTGCAGCACTTGCCGCAACATCAACGTTAATTTGTACAGCCATTACCGAGAAGCTGCACCTTCAACCAAGGAAGAAAGATTGGGTGGCATCTTACCATTGTCCAATTGCGAGACAACTGTGCACAAATATCCATCCAATAGCATCCAAGGGGGTTCTTGAACAGAACACCCCCGCCTCATTTTCGGTATCATCACCCGCCTTGTTCCCCCAGGATTTGGACTACCCCCGTGACAGGTCAAGATATTATGGCCGACAAAATGGAGACTGATACCATCTCTGGTACGAAGAGAAAGGCGGAAGAAGATCCCGAAGAGTCCAGTGCGCCTCGTCGAATCCGGGTGAGCTGCACTTTTTTGCTTTTCACCTGAAATGTCCATCTTCTGACCTTCTAGGACAGGCACTTGATCCTGGTGTAGTCAACAAAATTGCGGCAGGAGAGATCATTGTTGCCCCAGTAAATGCTCTTAAAGAACTGATTGAAAACTCCGTTGATGCAGGCGCTACCTCACTCGAAGTTTTGGTTAAGGAGGGCGGCCTCAAACTCTTACAGATCACCGATAATGGCAGCGGCATCCAGGTATGACAATTCGTTCTGTACACTTTATCGACTAACGCCTTAATTTTTTCCCAGAAAGATGACCTGGATATCCTCTGCGAGCGTCATACAACCTCAAAGATAACGTCTTTCGAGGATCTGGCTTCTATCGCCACCTACGGGTTTCGCGGCGAGGCGCTAGCAAGTATCAGCCACATTGCCCACCTTTCAGTCACCACCAAAACCAAAGACTCCAGCTGCGCATGGCGTGCTCATTACCTCGATGGCAAGCTAGCTCCTGCTAAGCCCGGCCAAACGGCGGAGCCGAAGCCAACTGCCGGCCGCCAGGGCACCCAGATCACCGTTGAGGACCTGTTTTTCAACATACCAACTCGTCGTCGAGCTTTTAGGTCGCCCGCCGAGGAGTACAACAAAATCATTGATGTGGTGGGCCGCTACGCCGTCCACTGCAATGGAGTAGGCTTCTCATGCAAGAAGCACGGCGAGTCGGGCACAAGCGTCTCCATCCCGGCCACTGCGAGCGAAGTCGACCGCATTCGCCAGCTCTACGGATCCAGCGTCGCCAATGAACTAATGGAGTTCTCCACGTCTGAAGACCGTTGGGGTTTCAAGGCAAGTGGTTTGGCGACCAACGCCAACTACCATATCAAAAAGACCACACTGCTCCTATTCATCAACCACAGATCGGTCGATTCAGGAAACATAAAGAAGGCGCTCGAGCAGCTGTATGCCACATTTCTTCCCAAAGGCGGTCGCCCATTCATCTACCTTAGCCTAGAGATTGATCCTTCTCGTGTCGATGTCAACGTTCACCCTACCAAACGAGAAGTCCATTTCCTCAATGAGGACGATATTATCCAGTCAATATGCGAGCACATCCGCACAAAGCTCGCCGAGGTAGATACCAGTCGCACATTTATGGCACAGAGTCTCCTCCCAGGTAGTCGTTTGATGGATAATTCTCCTCTGCCCGATAGCGACAATTCACCCAGTACACCGGCGAAGGAAGCAGCAGGCTCCAAGCGGCCGCGGAGGAACTCTAATAGCCTCGTTCGTACCGACACGAGCTTGCGAAAGATTACTAGCATGCTACCTCTGGCAACCAATGCAACGCCGTCTAAAGCCTCATCGTCGGCGGACGACAACGCTCTGTCCATGGCCGAGAATATTCAATATGAAATCGTAGACAAGCCCTTTGCCCCAATGAGACTGAGTAGCGTCAAGGAGCTTCGAGCTGAGGTTCGGGATGACATGCACAATGATCTTACTGATATATTTGCCAACCACACATTCGTTGGCGTCGTCGATGAACGCCGGCGGCTAGCTGCCATCCAGGGCGGTGTAAAGCTATACCTGATTGATTATGGCCGTACCTGCTACGAGTACTGCTACCAAGTCGGCCTCACTGACTTTGGAAATTTTGGTACTATACGGTTCAATCCTCCGCTAGACTTGCGCGAGGTCCTCCGTATAGGAGCAGAAATAGAAAAGAACGAGATCGAGGCCCCCGAAGAAGATTTTGAAATAGAAGAGGTAGTCGAGAAAGTCGCATATCAAATCATTGAGCGACGGGAGATGATCAATGAGTACTTCTCCCTCGAAGTCTCTCCTGCGGGCGAGTTACTTTCCATTCCTCTTCTGATCAAAGGCTACACTCCTCCCATGGTCAAGTTGCCCCGCTTCCTACTTCGCCTCGGGCCTTGCGTCAACTGGACCGAGGAGAAGCCTTGCTTCGAAACCTTTTTGAAGGAATTAGCATCTTTCTATACACCTGAGCAGCTGCCACCGACAGTTGGTGGAGATGCGGGCGAGAATGAAGCAGAGGATACCATTGATGAACGAATAGCAGCGCGACGAAGAAACGTGCGTTGGGCTATAGAGCATGTGTTCTTTCCCGCCTTCAAGGCGAGACTAGTTGCAACAACTTCCATGATGAAGGCTGCTGTGTTGGAGGTTGCTGACCTGAAGGGTTTGTATCGGGTGTTTGAGAGATGTTAGAGACTACGGATGATATGGGCTCAATTGCTACAATGTATATCCTTTGAGATGAACACCCTATATGCATGCAGTATAGATACTGAATGAATGTCAACTACTTGATCAAAGTTCGTCAGCCTGGATGTTAATTTTTTTTTCCCTAAATGCTGCCCACAATTAAGCGACCAAGTCGTGATTGTGGTGCTCTTGTCATTACTAAGATTTGCTCTCTGTGATAAGTTAATGTGCTTTCTGCAAAATTATACCTAGGTTTGTTCATATTAAAACGACTACTTGTCGATATTTTGTCAAGGTGACTGACATTTCAAAAACCCCGTTTCTGATATCTGTTTAAACTTCTCGCCTCTCAGAAACCATCTGCATCTGATCAACTCGACGCCATATATTTTGCAGCTCAGATATCTTTTTACCGTGTAAAAGACGAGAGGTTCAAGTTGATAAGATAGAGCACTTCATAGAGACACGGGAGAGCCGTGGCAGTTTTGATCACATTTCAATGATCTCGAGCATTGGTACTAGAATAATTAAACTTGCAGGGTCGGACTTGCGTTATAAAAATAGGCAGACCAGACGAAGAGATGGCATTCTATATAATCTTAATTTTAAGGGCTATTCGGTGTTCTCTACAATCCCGCGAGAGGATTTATTTGCTCGTTGTATCTTTTCATCTCAATCTCTTTTTCACATACTTCGTCAAAGTCTGGGGGCACTTTCACATCCACGTAGCCATCTGGATTTTCTCGCTATGTCCTCATCAGAAAAGAAGCTGATGTCTCTAGAGCCAGTTGTGGTGCTCTTCACTTTCTTGGACCAAGCCTTAGCCATAAAAGCGTTTATGGAAAGAGGCTGAATGTCCGGATACTTGTCGTTAAGTCTCCCCTCCTTCGGCAAAGCCAATTTTCCTTCAACGACCTGCAATCCCACTACCACAGCCATCATAGTAGGATCCATGCCTGCGTATGATTCACTATCAGAAAAGATCGCCGTTGCTTTGCCGGCTTTGAGATCGTCAACAGTGTCGTATGTGACGTCAAACTTCTCACCTGCAGTTCATTAGCTTGCGTAGAATATAATTGGGTCAAGACATTGCAGATCACGCACCAGTAGCCTCCTCGGCAGCTGCTACTATTTCGTTCAAAGTAGTGTCGGCTCCGCAGATAATGCTGTACTCCGGCCACACATCGTCGTCAACAAGGCGGTCGACAAACCGAGCAAGGTCTTTGGAATAAGTCAGGCTCAGCGTCTCGTTGCCCGTTCCGGGGATGGCAGCGCGTCGCGAGGGCACGTCAATCGCCCACTTGAAAGGCCTGAGGTGGCTCGGGATGTTGGGTTGGCCGAAGTAGTCCATGAAGATACCCTGGGCGATGCGCGTGAAGGTGAGCCCCGATTTGGCAAGAGTCTCGGCAGCTCGGAGTCCTGGGCCGGTGAAATCATCCGCGACGATATCTTCTCTGCGTTCATGTGAGAGACCATAGATTATTTAGACGGGTGAGGGCGTCGTTCAACTTACCCTAGGGGCGTGTAACCGGCAAACTCGCTTGGGATGAATCTCCGGGTTGTCTGCGACTTGTCTGCTGCGGCGATCAGGTTCAGCTGCGCTTGCTCTACAGCCCCCTCAATGCTCATAGCTGAGATGATAGTATCAATCTTCTGGGCTTCTAGGGTCTTCACGAGTCCCTCGATATCGTTATAGTCAACGGCTACGAATTTGGCACCATCTACTGCAGATGCAATAGGAACCTATACGGCTTGGTTAGAGTAATATTCTTGCTGGGATTTAATAGAGTTATGCATCATACCTTCCTGCAAAGAACAATCGGGTGTTTGCCGGAAGCCACTAATTGTTCCACAATAGTTCTGCCGACGTCGCCAGTACCACCTGCTACTGCGATAACACCCATGATTGCGAGGCTAGAAGGTCAAAGACAGCTAAATGTTGGAGAGAGGGAACAATGTTTGGTAGGAGATGACAGCTTGAAATTTGTTATGTGATGCGTGGCAGAGTAAGAGAGAGCGACTGAGGGAAGATATTTATAAAGATGTAAATTGACCAGATTCCGGGAGCAGCCAAGGTGTGAGTGTCCGTTGCGAAGTATCATGAAGCTGACCTCGGCGGAGCTATGCACACTGCTGACATCTTGCTTTCGACGTCTTGTAAATCCAACAGAGAGTTCCAGAAGACCTGTGACGGCGGTATGAGGTGAATTCGGCGCCCGAGAGTCGCGCGGGCGTGGATGCTGTCTCGTAGGTGAACCAAAAACCCGTGGCGGACAATAGCAGAACTCCGCAACTTGGCCTTAATAGTGGGGTGGCGGAGGTGAACGGGCTCGGTGGCCGAGGGTCGCGCGGACGTCAACGGACGAACTGGCCAATCCCCGTTGAGCACGGAGATCTTGTAGACTTGAGGGCAACTGGACGACAAGGACAAAGGAAAAAGGAAGGGGTGTAGGCTGTTTCAGATCCGGTCAACCCGGAGCAATATTCTAGACCACATCATACCTTGAGTGTAGACGCTTGAGCTCTAAATTGTAGTCTTGTAGATTGGGAAGTAACTCAGAACGTCTTCAATTTGATCAGGTGCAACACTCAATGGATTGTTAAGACGATTGTTTTGTGAGGGCCCATCCCAACTACAAAAAACATGGGCGGGGTAATGCCTAGCAACTTCTTACTATCTGTTATAACTTCCCAGACCTATATGACATTCAAATACTTACTTACAAGTTCTTCTAGCCGTTTTAAGGATTGATTTTTTTAATCATCTGATCACAATAATTTAATGGCAAAAGGTAGTATAGTTTGTGGATGGCGTCCAGCTGTAGACTAAGCCAGAAAGGAGCTATTAGCAATATCTCTAATATAAGTATACTAAGGTTTTCAAGTATACTAACGAAACAAAACGGAGGCTTTACGATTCCGTTCTACTAGGGGTGTAAGAAGACTTTAATAAACAAAATCATGTATTGATCCCATGTAGTACAAGACTAAGCATAAGTAGTTGTTATCTATGGGGCAACCGGCGCTTATATTAGAATAATTTGGCCGCTCTGCCTGTTGATCAAGATAACAAGGGTCGAAGAATCAAATTTAACATGCGCCATCTAAAGTCCCTAAGTCTCGCAGGAACAACCGGAGGCTTAGAAATCCTGAACCTTACCAATGGCAACGCTAACAACGAAACACCAAGAAACTATCCCATCGACTGCGAGTTGACTACAGGTACATAATGCGCCACAAATCGGTCCATAATTCCCCAAACTCCGTGGAAAACAGGTATAGGATTGGAAGGAAGTTTACACTGTCTGTCCTTGAATGGCTACAACCCCGCAGGCTACGTACCTGTAGCCAACTCGCAGTTGATGGGATAGAACCTTGAAAGTCATCAGGTAACTGGACTTTCTTTCATCTTAAATGTACCAAGACTCCCAACTTGAAAATAGTCAATATTGTGCCCAGCTGAGACCAGGACCAGTCATGTCTCTTCCTCGCCAGTCGACAAGAACGTTATAAGAGTACTTACCTAATATGATCGCTGAGATGTGACGTAAGTGGAAGCATTGGAAAATGTTTGTTCTCTGGGCGGAGAGAGCTAGAGTATTCTGAAATATGAGACGCCTTGTTGTAATTGACTCCGAATGTCCATAGTGAACAGAAATGAAAGCAACTTCAGGCTAATAGGGAGAAATCACCACAGTCAAGGATGCTCTTTTGTATTTGGCAGCCAAATTTCTCCGGGTGCCGTTAGAATCAAGATATCGGGTTGGAAAAGGGTTCATATTGTCTGTTATATGTTGGCTCTTGTTTTGAAAGCTAAATACTCTTATCCCAAACGCAACCGATGAGACGAGAACGGTTATGCCCTTATATCTTTCCAAATCCGGCAGTGTTGGCAACATTCTTGGCACTTTCGGCAGTAGACGCACTAGCAATGTTCTTGCCCTGGAAGTTGGTAAAGAAGTTGGTATCAGTGCCGCCCAAGGCAGGGGAACTACCATAAGCGTTAACCTGGCAGTTGTGTCCGAGGTAGCTAGCACACTTGGTGTTGGTGCTGCTGTCGGGGCTACCAAAGAGTTGGCCAGCTCGGCCAGAGTTCACAGACGCCTTGACATTCTGGAAAACATTGCCTTCGGCCATGACCATGCCGCCACTGTCAATATCGAAAGCATGGCCAGTGTTGTCGTACCAATAATTGTTAACGGCGTGGAAAAGAGTGTTGCCGCCGAGCTTGGGGGCACGGCCTGAAGTCCGATAGATATAGTTGTTCTTGAACGTGATCAAGTCTCCAGAGCCGATGAAAAGAGCCGTCCAGTAGTGGTGGCCGTCGCAAGAAGCGGACCAAGAAGTGGTGCCGTCGATTTTGCTGTTGGAGATGGTGATGCGGCCGCTGGACTCGTAACCAGCAACGTAGTGCTGTCGACCAATGAGCGAAGTTGTCACATGATCGATCCAGACCAAGTCACAGCCGTTGAAGGTGATGGCATCACCTCCCCAGACATACTGGGGGTTTAGCTCAGTAATGTGAATCTGTATGATTTAGTAAATCGCGGCCTTGGGCTTCGGGGGAGAGTGATTTTTGACTTACGTTCTGGATGATGATATTCTTGGCACCGCTGACCATACGCAGGCCCTTTCCGCGAATGACCCCCTTGTTGCCGACACCAATAAGTGATTTATTGGACCCCAAAGTTATCGCTGATATCGCGGCGTTGTCGTAGTTGACAGAGACTGAGCCGCCTTGTCCGTTACACCAGTTGTTGGCGTTGATGGCGAGCTGGCACGCTGAGCCGGTGCCCCAGGGAGCACAACCAGTCGCGGTGGTCCTACCAGCGGTTCCAATGAAGTTAAACTCTTTGTTCAACATGATGACGCGGGGCTGGCTGTCTTGGAGGTACGAGACGAGCTCGGCAGTAGTCGAGGGGTACACGGGAGTGGCGCTGCCGCCGCCGGTAACGCCCTTTGCGAAACCCTCGGCGGCACCAGTAACGGCAGCCGCAGTGTTGATGAGGGCCGTCAGGGCGGCGGAGATGTAGGTAAGAGACTTCATGGTGAAGGCAACCTGCGGCAAGATAACGGAACAAGGTGCCTCAAGAAAGTTAAGAGAAGCCAAGAGCCTTGGCTGTGGAATACTTCAGCATCATTGGGAACATACTCGTGATGGGAATTTATACTCGTAGATGTATTAACATGGCCCAATCAATCTAGTCTTGGCTAGTCCCGGCAATTCTTGCGTCGGGGGTTTGGCTGACATGTCGGCATTTTGACCAAGACGGGACGCACGGCTATGCGGTCTTGGCCGGCAATATCTTACAACTTGAAGCCACCGATGAGAGGCTGTGATATGTTGGAGAGCAGTACATCATTTGCGGATTTATCTATGCCTCATGTCCGCGCGGATAATGAGAACGGAACATGGCTTCATTCAGCAAAAAGCCCATAATTTCCATTTTTCTCCAGTGTCACTGATCAAGTGATTAAATATCGACAACTTTGCGTAATTGGCGGATTTGATCCAACACCCCATGCTTGTGCAGACATTCGCGGCAGAGAGGCCCTTATCCAGTAAGTACCCCGCATCCAGGGGTTCTCAATGCCGCTCAAGCGATTCAACATCGTTGGAAAGTATTTTGCCATTGGCGGGTTTGAATTGAATACCATATCCGTGGGAATGGTAAGTATGGGTCATTTGGCCAAACCTCGGCAAACGAGACGTAACCAGCTTCTGCACCTGGCCTGTTTGGTTCTTGGCTATCCAAAGTCTCTCAATCAAGCTATATACGCGTATAAAGGATGGCAGAAGGGAAAAATGTAGAGACAAATAGGGGAACATCGAAGAGTAGAGCAGGTCAGCAGCAGGCTGAGTGAGAGTAAGGCTTAAGGGTGCTTCATATCCCATCAAATACAACCAGTAAATGGAAACGGGGATGAGTTCAGGCTTTACAAGAATAGAGACGAATATCATCGGTGCCCCCGTAAAGTAAAGAAGATTTCACCAAGGACGCATAAGAATGTTGAAAGTACACAACGCTTTTGATTATATCTTTGGGGATCTTTTCCCCGTGATAAATGATACAGACACATTTTACCTCTTCTTGGAAGGTCTGGCGTTCTTTTCTCTCTTCCGTTCCTTCTCCTGTCTCGCCTTCCGGATATCCTCGGCACCCTTGATCTCCTTCCTGCTGCCCTCTCCATCCTTGAATCTTCCAATTCTCTTCTCCTTCGCCTCGGCAATTCTCTTCTTGCGCACCTGGAAGTCGTCGCGGTATTTGTCCGCCTGCTTCGGTGCCTTCTCCTGCTTGTGCTTGTACCGCGGGCCGCTTGGCAGCTCTGCCACGTTCGATTTCTCCATGCCACCGACCTGGATCCTTCCCAGCCTGTTCGCCTTGCGCCACTTGTCGAAACGGCCGCTTTGGAATGTCGCGGCAATCTTGACGCCAGACTCGCCGCGGATGTACTTGGAACCCTTGGAACCGTCCTCGTCGTTGGCACGTGCGACGTACTTGTTCTGCTTCTTGTCCCACCGCATTCCGCGCGTTTTGGTAGGTTCACCGAAGCCCTTAGCCGTCTCGTCATTTGTGAGGTCCATCACCGCGTCGCGGGCCGCCTCGACGAAGCTAGACGTCTGCGCGCCAGTGCTGACGCCGTAGCCACGCTCCTCAGCCGCGTTGATGGTACGAGGGGTGTAGGACATGAAGACCTCAGAGTCGCGCCATGAGTCCGGCTTCTTCTTCTTCTCTCCAGTGTTCGAAATCGTGACCTCGAAACCATCATTATCGTCGTCGTCTGAGTCGTAGACTTGCATGGCCTTTCCACTATCCTCGTCTGAGTTGTCGTCTGAGTCGTTCTCTGCCTCGTCCAAGTCCTGCATCTCATCGTCGGACTCGGCCTCTTCAACCTTGTTGCCGCGGTGCGGGGTAATGCGCTTGCGCAGTTGCTTCATCACTTCTACTGCCTCGTTGTTCGAGCCCTTGCCTCCACGTCCAATTTCGAAAATAGTTTCGGCCGGCCTGAAACCGCTGATTTTGGCCATCATCTCGTTGCGCGCCTGCTCAACATCGTTGGCAGCAGTGCCGAATAGAGGGTGAAGCTGGCTCCAGCCCTTGGTACCGACAATTTCACGAGCACGCTTCGCGCTCTGACTAGATGCTGAGTGACGGGTCTTGAGATACAGCTTCTCTGCCTTAGTAGATACTTTGCGAAGTGCCTCGATGTCGTGATCCTCCTTCAACACCTTGTTCAACCATTCCATGTTGATTTCAATTCTGTCTCGTCCGAGTCCGCCAACAACCACATCCTGGGCGTAAGATGGCTTCTCGCTTTCATGGCCCACGACAAGTCTACGGCCGAGGAAGAGTTGGAGATCCAACAGGTACGGCGTATCGAGTTCACGCACAATGCTGTAAGCCCAACCTCTCTGGCCGGCACGAGCAGTACGTCCAACACGGTGAACAAAGACCTTTGGTTGCGGGGGAAAGTCGTAGTTAATGACGTTGGCCAACACGGGAATATCAATACCTCTGGCGGCGACGTCCGTGACTACCAGAATGTTTGCGCGTCCCTGGCGGAAGTTCTCGGTGTTGATTCTACGGGCCTCTTGGTCCAAAGAACCGTATACGTATGACACGGCGAATCCAGCCTTGATAAGAAGCTGCGCCAAGTATTCGACGTGGTGCTTCGTGGCTGTGAAAATGATGGTAGAGTGCTCCGTAGGCTTTCCTTCTCCGCCCGATTCGCCGCGCTTCCTCTTCTTTGATGGCGCGACATCCAACGGAACTCCGTCAGGAGTACCCATAGGCATCTTGATAACGTCATGTAGGATATGTAAAAGAGCAGCCTCCTTCTCGGCTCCCTTGACGGAGAAGAATGCACTCTCGAGGTCGGGGGACACTTTGGACTCGGCGTCCAATCTGACCAGACTCGGGTCTTGCAAACCGGCCCTAGCGAATTCAACCAAAGAGGCTGGCAGCGTGGCAGAGAACAGCAAACTCTGCCTCGACGGGGGAAGTGCATGAAGAATCTCAGTAAGCTGGGCAGCGAAACCCATCTCGAAAAGACGATCGGCTTCGTCAAAAACCACATACTTGATCGTCGACAAGTCCAGACCCATTTCGACCTTAAGATGGAGGAAACGACCGGGCGTGGCAATGACAATATCAGGGTTTGAGGACATGAGACTGAACTGCTCCTCCATGCTGTCACCACCGACGAGCACGACACACTTCAAATCTGTTCCCTTGCTGAACTCTTTGACAACTTTCAGCGTCTGAATAGCCAGTTCACGAGATGGCGACAGAATCAGCGCGCGAGTACCGATCTTGGCGCTGTGAGTGCGGAGACGCTCGATCATGGGGATGACAAAAGCAGCCGTCTTTCCGGAACCGGTTCTTGCCATACCCACGACATCTTTACGATCCATGATCAAAGGAATCGTCTTTCGCTGAATCGGCGTGGGAACGGAGAATCCCTTCTTCGTGATCGCCCGGAGGAGGTTTGCATTAAGACCTGCAGGCACGTTAGGATTCTTGTCTAGCACACATTAACCTGCAGTTGTAACATACCCATGGCCTGGAATCCACCGCCCTTCTTGACAGACTTGCCCTTCAAGTTGGAGGACTTGCGGAAAGAAGCCGCCTGCTTGAGTGCAATGAAGGCTTCATCGCCATCATCCTCGGCCTCCTCGGTATCGCCATTCAGGATTCCGTCAACGTCAAAGTCGAAGCCCGCATCTTGTCCGCCTTCGCTTCCACTGTCATCGGCATTCGTGTTGAACAGAGAGTCAGCAATGTCGACTTCGCCGTCGGAGGGCGTCGGAGAGACTGCGCGACGAGGCATATTGACCGTTTTGCGACAAGTCGTGGGTGGTCTCGTCGTCAATTGGCCTGTCGAGTTGAAAATAGCCTGGTGAAGCGGCAACGCAGTTACAGATTCAAGAAGCTGGCGGCCGAGACCCCGTCGAAAATTTGGGCGGGCTAGAAATTTCTTATCGCCATCTTATCTTAGCTTCGTGGGGCGCTAATGCTTGTGACAAGGGTCTTTAGCGGGTCTGTGTGGCTGTCACACGCGGGCAGCCTCGTGCCTCTCTCTCTAACTCTACCTCTACCTAATAACCTCTTCCCCCCCTTCTGGAACCGCAGCCACTTCTCCAGTTCATCGCAAACACCCGGCGTTGAAGTTTTTTTTTCTTCTTTTCTTTCTATTCGATACCCTCACATACTTCATCATGGCCAACGAAGACGTCAAAGAGGAAAAAGATGCGCTCGACGCGCTCGAGCTGGAGGCAAAGGAGTTTGACAAGGTACACCTTAGCCTCTATGCAATCGGCAGCAGGAATGCTCAAGGAATCAGTAGCTAACTACATCAACCGATAGGACGCAGAAATCGACAGAATCCTCAAGGCGTTCAGGTTAGATGCCTACGCCGTTCTCGATCTGCAACCCGGTGTGCCCGAGTCTGACATCAAAATCACCTATCGCAAAAAGTCACTCCTCATCCATCCGGACAAGACCAAGAACCCGCTGGCGCCTGACGCCTTCGACCGGCTCAAGAAAGCGCAAACAGAACTCATGGATGAGAAGCACCGCGAGCGTCTTGACGAGGCCATTGCCGATGCGCGCATGCTTCTAATACGCGAGAACAAATGGACGGTCGACAACCCCGAGCTCAAGACGGACGAGTTCGCGAAGAAGTGGCGAGACAAAGCACGTGAAGTGCTTATCGACAACGAGCACCGTCGGCGGCGGCAGATGAAGGCGCAGATGCAGGAAGAGGGACGGGAGCAGAGGAAGCAGGACGAGGAAGTCGAGCAGCGCAAGCGCAAGAGGCAGCACGAGCAGGACTGGGAGGCCTCGAGGGATCAACGGATCGACAGTTGGCGGCAATTCCAGAAGGGCAAGTCGGGTGATGGGAAGAAGAAGAAGAAGATGAAGCCGATTGGTTGAACGGCTTCGGTTCTTGGCACATTTTCTATTTTTTGGGTTTGTTTTGTTTTACCCATACAGGCGAAAGGGAGGTATCTGGGAGAGGGAGAGGGGATGGATTACACTTACAACAGGTATCGGCTGCGGACATGCGAAAGCACACACAAGCATGGCACGGTTTATGTCAAGAGTCAGTGAGTTTGTTTATTGACCATCGCGGTTATGTCCCTAACTATGTCAGAAGTGCAAATGCCCATGTTTCCCAAACTTTTACACGCTTTTTACTTTTGCGATCCACATCTATCCAGGTAAGCACCTATCCTCCCTTCTCATCACGGTCGTGGTATGCTCGTGTTATGAACCCAAAACGTGTCTCTGACGCCCTGTGTTATCCTCTCTCTCGTGATACTGGCTTTCTCCCCCATTTTCCTCGAAAGCATGTGTTTTTCCTAAACGCTCATCCTATACCCCAATTGGGCAACGTAACATTTTTTCTGTTTCTTTTTAAACCTGGTTCTTCTTCTTGTACGAGATGAAACGTCCAAGGTTCAGGACAACTTCATCAGCGCGAGATCGCAGCTCTGGCAACGTCCTCTTGTCGACTGTTTTGATCATGGCCTTGACCTTGGGCTGGGCCGCCTCGAGATGCTGAAGGAAGTTGTCCTTCCAGAAGACCTCCTTGTCACATGCTAGGTCCTCATCGCCGTAGATGTCAAACAGCTGGTTGAGAGCCTCGACCGCATCCGCGACAGGGGTCTCGGGAAGAGCCGTGATGACCGTGATGAGGAAAATGCCAATCTCCCTGTTGAGCTCGACGGGGGCGGGGTCGCGCGCCAACTGGCCCAGAACACCGATGCACTTGACTCCGAGGCCCTGGAACGGGTCTTCCGGCTCCTCGTCCTTGGGCTTCTCATCATCGGCACCGTTCGCTCCGTTCTTGGGGAGGTTCTTGGTCGCCTGGTAAAGCGCCATGAACTTCTTGTGCTCGTCGCCGGTCAGGGGCACCTGACCCGCAAGGCTGCGGGCAAGAGCCCAAGCCAGGCTGGTAACCTGGGTTGCGAGGCCGACGTCGGCGGTGTTGGCTGCGAGAATGGGGACAATGACCTTGCCCCAGAGAGCCTTACCTGACGGCGTCCACGCCTTCAGGATGCCGGCGTTGTGATCGTCGGCAAAGTCAAAGACGGAAATCGACCAGGCGATGTTGTTGAGAGCGGACAAGGCGTGGTCTTGGATCCTGAGGGCTTCTTCGGACTGTGCAGAGATGGTGGCGAGCTCGATCAGTTGCGGGATGGCATGCTGTATCAGTTCGCGCAGTGTCGGGAGGTCGTCGAGATTCGCCTGGTCCTCGACATCGTCGTCGGCGCCAGTTACCATCTCCATGTCAGCCATGTCGTCCTCATCCATCGAGTCATCCTCCTCCTCGGCGTTGTCTTCCTCAGCAGACCCCTTGTCCTCGTCCTCGTCCTTGCCCTCGTCCTTGTCCTCATCCTCGTCCATGGCAGTGTCATCTCCAATTCCGTTCCATTCCTCTCCTTCCTTCTTGTTGCCTCCCTGCATAGACACTTGAAGGGTGGTACCAATGTCGGCAAGGATCTCCAGTGCGAGCTGGAGGACCTCGGCCGGGTTGGACCACTGGCTCTTGGGGGGCAGGTCAGCCTCAGGCTTGGAGTCCTTGAGTGCCGAGGACAGAGTCGGGATAAGAGCGGCGTCGGAGAGGCTCTTCTGTCCCGGTGTGCCATCGAACCATTCCAAAGTAGTGAAGATGTTGTGCAAAACGCCGCAGGCCAGAACACCCTTGGCATCAGGGGTTGCCTGCAGCTTAGTCAAAGCCGTCAGCGGCTTGGGGCTCTCGTCGGCCACCACATCCTCGGCCAGGCGGCGGTTGTCCTCAGACAGGGTGAGGAGGGCAGAAAGGGCATCAAGGCAAATGCTCGAAGGTGAGTCTTTGTGAGCGATGATGGTGAAGAGAAGGTTCTTGATGCCCTCGATAGCGACGATGGCCTCGAGGATCTCATCCTGGGCTTCGGCAAGGGCAGACAAAAGTGCGACAACTGACTCGGTGATGGTCCAAGTGACTTTGAGCTCGCCCTTGCTCAAGGTAGAGCCCTTGGCGAGGTTTTCCAAGATCTGGTGATGGTCAGTTTCACATGCGTTGTACTCGCAAGTCAAAGTACGGCACTCACAGTCTGAGAGGCAAAACCAATAGCGCTCAAAGCATCCTGGCGGTAGAGATGGACGCAGAAATCAGCCTCCTCCTCCTCGGCAATGACCCTCAGAATGTCCCAGCCAGCGGCGCGGCTCTCGAAATTTGAGTCGGTCAGGGTCTCATTGAGGATGATGTGGACAATCTGCTCGCGCAGCAACAGTTTCCGGCACTTTTCGTCGGTGACGATGTTAGAGACGGCGGCGGCGGCGGCAGTACGGGACTTGGGCTCGGAGCTCTTCAGGTCCCTGATGACAGGCAGAATGGACTTCTCTCTGAGAGCGGCCAACTCAGGGTCAGACGGTGGCTTGACGGTTTTGGCGATGGGGTCCTTGCGATGGCTCTGGCCGCCTCTGTTTCGTCTGGACTTTCCCATGGTGGCGGGGTATTCTGAGTCGGTTTGTTGCTGGGTTTAAGAATGTAAGTCAAGACAGTTATGAGACTATCACTTGAGCCTGTGAAATAGAGCCTTGCTTTGGAAGTAAAATATTTGTTGTATTGAAGGAATTCTGCTTCGTGACCGACCCTGTAAATGACCCCGCGGCCTAATAGAGAGAAGAAAAAAAAAATTATCCAGAATGGTTGCTCGGGGCAGCCACAATGTGGCTCGAGTGCCCAATTGTGCCCCGCACTTTTCAAATACCATACCATAGTACACTATGCGGACAGGTACAGCGGTACGTACCCATATTTGCACTGCACTACGTAGTACGTACATCAGCACAGTACCGGTAGCTAAGTAGGTGCTGCAGGTGTCCAGTCAGCACTGGAGGTGATCCGCACACAACTTGTTGATTCGAACTGCCTTACGTTGTGTGCATCCATGTCTGTAAACCTCTCCCCACTCGCCGCAGTTTGCACCACGCTAAACTCAGGAACGGTACACTGGCCCTAGCGCCCTCCCATCCCTCCAAGCTCCAGGAAACCCCAATACGATACGCTGACACGAGCAACAACCTTACCTGCGTAGCACTACGTAGTAGAGATGATCGTCAGCAAACCAGCAAACAAGCAATACCGCTGAGAGGTCACTACCCGTCGATGCCGTTTTTAGACCATCTGACCGGCCACGCGCCAAGCCGAACGGACACCTGTTGACTCCAGTTCGATCCCGTCTGTGCTTTCTCTTCCTCTCCAGCGGCCCCAAGAACCCGTATCCGCACCCTGGGCCCCTTCGCACCTTAGCACGAAGAACAGGGCCCTTATTATACCACCACCACCGCCTTTTGCCTACCCCAACTTCAGCGGAACTGGCTCCTCCTGCTCAGTGTTTGTCACGCATGATCCACGTTGCTCATCAAGCTTCCTATCTCATCAAAGCTCCGACTAAGCTCCACATATCCACCGGCTCAATCCACACAGCTACTCCAAACACACATAGTCCACACCCTCACTAAGTACACTCTCATAACAATTCTTGCACAGCCCAGTGGTAAGGAGTCAGGAGCAAGGAGCAGGGGGAAAAAGCAACCCTGTCAAGGGCACATCTCAGGGACCCAAGAACCCTATATTCCAAGTCCTCAATTGCCGGTGACGACGAAAGGGGACCACTGGTTCCACTTGTCCAGTTCCAACTTCTGTGTGTTCAACTGCCCAGCTGTCCAAATCTCTCTCTTTCTCTCTCCTTTCTCCTCCAGGCCTCTTCTTGTTCTTGTCTTGGAGCTCGCACAGCCCAATCAGTTATATTTACGTCGACGAGAAGATGTGAGACGCCTGACCCGTGGATCACTTTGTCCCCCTCCCTTGCAGCACCAGTCTTGACAGTTAATCTGTTATCGACGCCCGACCTTCACTTCTTTTTTTTTTCCCCTTGACTTCTTCCCCTCCCTTACCTCCCCCTTCCTTTTCCCTTCTGCTTGCAACTCGTCCTCTCAGATAGAGAAGCATGCCGGATCCATGGCGCCAATTACGTTCCCTCGTTTTCCTCAACGATGAAGAGATGGGAAAGAAGGACGACGACCACCCCCGCGGCACCGGCAGCGTAAACCCCATGTTACTGCGAAATCGAAACCCTCAGTGGCAACCTGCCGCCAAGATGCCTTCTCGCCGCCTCTTCCGACGACTCGCCTACCTCTTCCTCATCGCCGCAGGCCTCTGGTACCTCCTAGGCGACGTCTCCTTTGGCTTCGGCGAACGACCTCCGAACTACATTTACCCGTACACCGAAGGCCCCCGAGACTACCTCTCCTCCCCGACCCGCGATGGCCCATCTCGACAAAGCGGCCGCCGCAAGGCCAAACCCGGCACCCATATGCCAGCGATTGCCGAGCATGATTACAACGGCCCTGTCAAGTTCCACCGGTTGGCGAACTCGCTTCACGCCATTGCCGCGACGAAAGGAGCGCAGGCGGTCAACCAGAACATCCTTTTCGCCGCGTCAAGCCTACACAGCGCGTCCGCCCTGCTACCATTCGCTTGTCAGATGGGTACAGAGTTGCGGAGCTATGTGCACTTCGCCGTGATGGGCAGGAGCGAAATCGAGCTTGACGAGATTAAGAAACTCAACGGCATAGACGACACTTGCTATATTATTTGGCACGATGCCCGCGCCGACTTCTCCTCCCTCTCGACCGATGCCCGCCTCGAGCTCTCCACCGTTCGAGCGCTACGACACATGAACACCTTTATGCATCCTCAAGCCATCCTAATTGACGGCTCAGAGGACGAGCTCATCCCATTCTTGAAAGGCATACGGCAGGAGGCAAAACAGCTCAAAATCCCTCTCATCGAGCTTCCTTCGGACGCCTCGAAGCACCTCTCGTGGTTGTCGAAGCTGGACAGTGCCTCTCTTGCAGCTTGGAACCAGATCAGCGTCGATATTTTAATTCAGGCCCCGGCCAGTGGCTCCGGTAGCCTGCTGCGGCTGCTCAAGTCGCTAAGCGAGGCCGACTTTACCGCCTTTACGATCCCCCATCTCACCGTTGAGCTTCCACAGGACATTGAGCCCGCGACCGCCAAGTTCCTTGAAACTTTCCACTGGCCCCCGCCTCATGTAGCGAACCCGGGGCGCGTACAGATGCTCTCGCTGAGACATAGGATTCCTCGGCAGCGAATGACGGAGGAGGAGAGTTCTATTCGTTTTCTGGAGTCGTTCTGGCCAACGACGCCCAGGTTTTCTCACATTCTTGTTCTTTCACCGCAGGCGGAGTTAGGACCTGGGTTCTTTCATTGTGAGTTGCTACCACTTACGTTGGAAACCACATTTGTACTGACAATACCAGATCTCAAATATTCGCTGCTAGAGTACCGCTACTCCCGGTATTCCACATTGCAGAAATGGGACCAACGGCTTCTGGGGATCAGCATGACTTCCCCATCAGTCTACCTCAACGGCAAGAAGAAATTTGAAGAGCCGATCACGGACGGCCCAGAAGACATGGGCACGTCATACATGTGGCAGGCGCCCAATAGCAACGCAATGCTCATTTTTGGAGACAGGTGGATCGAGCTGCATGGTCTCGTGTCCGGGGTCGATGCGATCAAACATGCGCGCGGCGCCGAGACGTTGCCGGAAGTAATCACGACGAAGGAAGTGAGCAAGATGTTCCCATCTTGGCTGGAGCATGTTTTGCGTCTGTCCAGGCTGCGGGGCTACTTTACCCTGTACCCCAGCGCGGAGACGGCAGCGACCGTCGCAAGGGTGCATGACGAACTTTACCAAGCTCCCGAGGAGTACTCGAAAGAGGACACGGAGAGGAAAAATATGAGGGCAAGCCTTTCCGAGTCAATACACATATCGGAGTCACTGGTCCGCACGCTGGACACCCTCCCGAACAACGGTACCCTCACACCTTGCAAAGACCTCCCGCTGCTAGGATGGGAAGGCGAAAGCACAGGCCTGCGGGACGTGTACCAAAAGGCCGTCGAGTACATGTTCGTTTGGCGGGAACTCGTGGGTGGATGTAGCCGGGAAGAGTCTCGGCGGGACCATATTGACGGGTCCGCAAAGGATCTATTTTGCACGCCTGATGGCAAGCTAAAGGGCTAATGTGAGGCGCATTATGTTGGCCCTGTGTACGGGCTACGTGTTCTATATAGACTTTTTTGATATACCCACAGGATATGAACATTAGCATGGACTGATTACGAACGCGACACAAGATAGGATGGTATTGGGATATAATAGGCGCAGAAAGTTGTGTGAATAGACTATCATAAGACATGTGCTGCCGCGACGCCGGACTTGGAAGTATCTGAGTCGTCGTTGCTTGCGATCTTGGTGATGACCAGGAGGACCACGCAGGTTCCGATGATGCTCAGGGCTACAATTGAGAGAACCTGTGCGCCTCGTCAATATCAATCTTCAATGGCGGCGGGGAGAAAATCCGGGTGGCTTACGAGCTGCGTCCTCCAACCAGTTTGTACAATGGCCGCTTTCCGGCTGTACTTGTTTACCGATTCTGCCGAGTGTCAGTCTCTCCACCCCACTGGACGAGATGACGGGGAACGAAAAGGGGTCTCACTGATGTAGTTCCCCAAGCCGAGGCACAGACACGAGACAGCTAGACACCAGAATACGATGCCCAAAGGTTTGGCCATCCGCAGCTCCAATTGGCTCGGTTCGCTCTTGAGATGGAAAGAGAGGACTATAGCGACGGAGACGATGGACATGTACACCGAGAGGCGTAGGTACGAGAGGAATGCTATATTGGGGGTGGTTTATGCTCGTTAACTTCATCGCTCATCAAGTCCGCACATGAAGCTGCGAGTCTTTCACCCTGGCGAGTGACGACGGGTGGGGTGGGGGGAATGAGGATTGCGGACGTACTCCTCTCATTCGCGCAGTGGTCTCGCGCATCGCTCGTCTCATTCTGGAAGAGCAACGGGCCGAAGATGGGCCATGCGAGGAACGTGGATTTCCCGGCGTGGCCTGAGCCGCTGTTTTTTCATCCAAGAAATTCCCGTCAGTTTCCGTTTTTTAAAAGTGTCTTGCGTTAAAAGTGCGGCGGAGAATGAATAATTCTTAACATATCAATCTCGACGATTGGGGGGAGTTGTGAGAAGTGATGGGATGAACGTTACCCGATCTCGCCGACTTCAATCGGCTTCAGGAACTCTGACGTCCGAAGGGGCGCGCAGCAGGTGAATGTTAGATCTTCATCGTCAATATGCGCTGATGCCATTTTCTGGGCCCTGAATGGGGGACTGTTTGTCGTGGTGTGTGGGGAGTTGGCTGGGCTCTGGGCGGTTTGGAGGGGCACCTGGGGAAGGATATAAACTACCGTCGAGTTGAGGGTGAAGTCTTGGTGGGTGGCAGGGGAAGAAGGTGCACCACCGGATTGGGTCACAAGCGCCATGTCTGATGTGATTTGAGCACTGTGCGTAATTGGTGGTAATTTTGCGGGAGGTTGTGGGGTATGGGCACTGTGCTGCCAACTGTGATTTGAGGCTGGCTTGGTTGGCCCCACTTCAGTCTGCTTCAACAACAACAAATCTGATTCTCATTTCTCATGATGAGATGGCTGGTTATAAGAGTTGGTATATAAACATTTTGTAACCAAAATAGTTCAAGGTTTTCTTAGGTTGCAAATTGATCTTGTAATGTGCTGCTTCAGCATTGACCGACTAGGATGAGACTGTATTCAATGGTAGTGAAAAGAAATGCTTCCATCAGCAGTCAACAGCGGGATCAGGCACGTCATAAGCTTCATTGGAATCTGCATTATACGGAGTTTAAATCAATATTTTCCGGTGATACTTTGCTTGTGGGTTAAATTTTGCAAGATAACATCTTTATGTGGGCAGAGGCCGATATTCTGCGTGGCATCGACCAACAACCAAGGTAGCATCTAGAAAGGTTTGGTTGGGAAATTAACAGTATTGATCGTGGAAATACGACCCAAAAGATTTATAATATGGCTATGGTTGCTATATGAGAAGACAGTGGCTGCATAGAATGGAAAGGCGGGCATGGAACCCAGTTATGGCAAACCTTGGGCTGGGACATCTCACTTGAAAGGTGCATGCTACTTTTGCCAAGGTACAATTGGCAACACTAAAACAAACACTCTGTATTATGATGGTAGCAGGATCTCGGACTACAGAATAGAAGGAAAATATTCATCACTCAACCAACGCCCCCGGGCTAGCGCCCGAAGATCGAATCACAACTTTGTGTGATCTACATACAACAGCTGTAGTTCAAATATGGGCACACAGATGCGAAACGTTCAAAATTTAACTTACCCATACTGGGTGAGTACCCTGCAACCCACCATAGGTACTAAATTGGAATAGTAGGCGCAAGTATGTGTGTCCGAGCAACTCCCGATTACGGAGCCCTCATCCGATCCGACACTCGGCCCCACAGGCCACAGTCAGTCATCGAGAACCAATTAGGAGATGGTGACTTGGGATATGTAAGTCCGCCCCCTCTCTGGAATACAAATCATTGACATAACATCTGTCAAAAGCATCTGATTAATTGTTTCGAGAGCGTGAGATGTTTTAAATCATCTCCGAGGAACGTAATTGCCAGTCATCATCCTAAGTGATAATAACACCAGGGCAAGGCCTTGTGGTTCCGAAGCCGTTTCTGTCGTAAGACGGGACGGCCAACGCCACCGACAAGCGGTTTATGCATATATGCCATCTGTCAATGCTGAACGTGTGAGTTCCTTGCTGGCTGATGATCCGAATCCTGCAGGTATCTTTTCTCGTGATCCAAAGAATTAGTGCTATGAAGAGACTGATGCTAACGCTAACTTGCTCCTTTTATGCACGGGTAATCAGTGAAATATCTAATGCACTAACTCACGAGGGCCCAAAGGCGGCATATACTCAGATAAATGGGGGTTTCACTTCGTCCTGCGACTGAATAGTACGACACTACGACTCAGCATGGATAAGTCACAACTGTCACATGTGGCTGCGGAAACTTCTCATGAGCATAGAAGAACCTAAGCGAAGGTCATTGGGTCTGTTTTGGTAGCTATCAGCAAGAATTAAGTCTCTTTTCCGAGCCTTGTGATTCTCCTGGAAGTAAGCGAGAAAAGACGTCAAATCTCCTTTCGTACATTGCTTAGAACGGAAACACATTCAGCGTAATACTGCACCATAAACCGAGTACGAAAGGTACAAGCTGCCGCGCACTATTTCCGCCGGAGAATGAAAGAAGGATACGGCAGCTTTGACCGAGTGATTGAATGCACTGGACTCACTGCAAGTGAGACCATGTGCACTTCCGACGAACAGCGCGCTCCGCGGATGAGCCTTTTGACTCTAGGGCACGGTTGGTTGACAGGATGGGGAGTTTTGCCGCTCCTTGGGGAGCTTGCTGAAGTTATCAGATGACAAGCGTCATCAATGAGGCACGATGACAACGTCCCGCTATGGTTGGCCGTTCTCAGAGTACTGAGACTTCAGGTTGTTAGCACTCGGATACTTCTTCGAAACCTTTGTTGCGAAGTTCGGGGTTGAGTATGAGTTATCTATGTGGTCATCCCGCTCCGCTTCGAAAAAAACCTCATCTTTGCGTCCCGACTGCTGCTTTCTGTTTGGTGTTCCCCTTCTTCTACCCACCTCAACGATCTTTAACTTCACACGCTGTGAGCTTGATTCTAGAGCCGCGGACCGGAGAGCACAAAGTCCGGGGATCCCCAACTTTATTTATCACGTATTGGGACGCTTCAACTTTCTGCCCGATTAGGAAGGCCAAGCATAAATTTTTGCCCTCACAGTTCTCTTGTGATCCCTTCAATTGTGGTTCTCGCAAAATGATGGCAAGTATGTGTGGCGAACGACCGGTAATCAATTCGCCCTATTACTTCACCGGCTTATTGAATTATAAATTCGGCTACTCATAGTCCTTCATCTCAAGTCAAAAAATCGAGGTCCAATAAAAACAAGTTCAATGACGTACACGCCACGCACAACCTTGTATCTAGGCACTTTTCTTTGGGCATACTTGACGAACCAAACTCTCCAGACTTGAGGAACATCAGATACTGAAAGGAAACGAACTGGCGGTGGTTGCGCCGCCATGAGTCTTGATTACCTTGTTTGGTATGGGTTTGCGCCTTCGATGTCCTAGTGTTTAGAGGTGTAAATGCTGGCCGGGTTTGAGGCTTGAAACTTTTGTCCCACCCCCGAGGGCCAGTACAAATACTGCGAGCCGTTCTTGGTTCGACATGGTGTTCATTAAGTCTACTTCTATTGTTTTCAAGTTCGCAGATGGAACTTGTCACGCGCAAATAAAATTGTCACCATCAATTAGAGACGGGTTCTTGCTTCCTTTTCTCTATCACCATGGCGGCTGTCAAGGAAAAGGGATCTGGCTCCTTCCGTAACCAGTCTGATGAGTTCTTTGACGAGCACATCTCGGGGCAGTCCAACAAGCCGCTTTCCCGACCCCCCCATGTCTTGGAGTTTGGCCAAGTTATTGAGGAACTTGGAGTTGATACGACCCAGGGACTTACATCTGAAGACGCGGCCCGTCGTCTTGTAGAGCTGGGCCGCAATGAATTCCAACAGAAGAAAGGTGTTCAACCTTTAAAAATATTCCTGGGTCAAATTTTCAATGCCGTGACATTGGTGAGTCTACTTCTGAAAGCCCAGTCAAACTTGGAGTGTATTACGACTTGGAGACGGGAATTTGTGCAGATATGCAATGTTGGCCCACGTTATCTGACTCATGACATAGGTTCTCCTACTTGCTTTGGGTGCTAGTTTCGGTATTCAAGCTTGGATTGAAGGTGGTATCCTAGCTGGCATCATTACTCTCAACATTATCATTGGCTTTGTTCAGACCTTAAAAGCCGAGAAAACGATCAACTCACTTAAAAATCTTGGATCCCCGACTTGCAAAGTTTTCCGAAACAGCAAGACCATTGAAGTCCAAACAGCAGAAGTCGTTCCCGGAGACGTTATAAATCTGAGCACCGGCGACTCTGTGCCCGCTGACATTCGTCTTATCGAGGCCGTCAACCTGGAAGCCGATGAAGCCCTCCTTACCGGAGAGTCTGCGCCTGTCTCCAAGGTGCCGAACTTGACTTTTGATGATGATACCGGCCCTGCTGACCGCCTAAATGTCGTTTACAGCTCAACGGTTATCACCAAGGGCCGCGGCCGCGGTGTTGTCTTCGCCACCGGTATGCACACTGAAATTGGCCTCATTGCTGGTGCCCTCAACGGAGGGTCCAGAAAAAACGCAATGACATGTGTCAAACGCAGAGAAGATGGCAGCACTCCAATGTCTGCGTACATGAATGCTGGCTGGATTATGACTCGAAATTGGGTCGGCGAGTTCCTGGGCTTGAACGTCGGCACCCCTTTGCAGAGGAAGCTTTCGCAGTTGTTTTTGTGGCTTTTCCTGTCAGCCATCATCTGTGCTATCGTCGTCATGGGCGCCAACAAGTTCAACCCACGGAAAGATGTGATCATTTACGCTGTTACGACTTCTATCGGAACAATTCCAGTGTCGCTTCTGTTGGTGTTGACGCTCACCATGGCTGCTGGTACTAAGAAGATGGTGGAGCGCCACGTAATTGTTCGCAATCTTTCCAGCCTGGAAGCTCTCGGTGGAGTGACTAGTAAGTTCTAGAAACATACGAGGTTGCCCTGGAGTATCTAATGTTTTGCAACAGACATCTGCTCTGACAAGACCGGCACGATTACCCAAGGAAGCATGGTCGTCCGAAAGGCCTGGCTGCCAGGAACCGGCACATACTCTATCCAAACAACCGAGGATGTCAACAACCCATCTGCCGGGACAGTTCAGTTTACCGAAGGCCAACCGAAGGATACCAGTACGGAAAAAGAGAAGAAGCGCGACGAATTCACTGATGCTATCGAGCCACACCACGAGCCACCCGGCAAGCCTGCACTGGAGTGGTTCCTCAACATTGCGTCGCTGGCGAACTTGGCTACCTTAAAGCAGAGTGATGACAGTTCGGCAAACCCCAGCGAATGGAAGGCCACTGGTGCGCCGACGGAGATCGCCATCGAAGTCTTTGCTTCCCGCTTTGGATGGAACAGATTTCAGCTGACCCAAGGCCCTCAAGCTCTCTGGAAGGGAATCGCAGAGTTCCCCTTTGATTCAGAAGTCAAGAAAATGTCTGTAATCTTCCAAAACCTCAGCTATAACAAGAAGTATCTTTTCACGAAGGTAAGATTTGTGAATAACCACTGTCGAATGTCCAATACCTTTGCTTACGTCTCAAATTGAACAGGGTGCCGTCGAACGTGTGGTAGCTACCTGTGACAATATTACTGTTGGCACCAACACTCGGCCCCTGACCGAAAAAGATAAAATTGATATCCACTTGAACATGGAGGCACTAGCTGGACAAGGCCTTCGCGTGCTCGCACTCGCCCACCGAAGTCTTGATGACAGCATATCGAAGTCCCAGTTTGAAGAGGAAAACACCTCTACGGACCGTGACACTTTCGAACGCAACCTTACTTTCTGCGGCCTCATTGGGATTTACGACCCACCTCGCCCCGAGTCCCAGCCGAGTGTCAAAATGTGCCAGCGTGCCGGTATTGTTGTACACATGCTCACTGGCGACCACCTTCAGACAGCCCGCGCTATAGCTACGGAGGTAGGCATCTTGCCATCTCTAGAGAAATACAAGATGCTTCCCGCCGACATGGCCCGAGCAATGGTTACTTCTGCTCACGAGTTTGACGCCCTTACCGATGCTCAGATCGATAAATTACCGCAGTTACCCCTGGTAGTGGCAAGATGTGCCCCCAGCACGAAGGTTCGCATGATCGAAGCACTTCATCGCCGTGGCCAATATGTGGGCATGACCGGTGATGGTGTGAACGACAGCCCAAGTCTGAAGCGCGCTGATATTGGTATCGCCATGGGATCTGGCTCAGATGTTGCCAAAGAGTCTGCTGACATTGTCCTGACTGATGACAACTTTGCCTCAATTCTGAATGCCATCGAGGAGGGTCGACGTATCTTTGACAACATCCAGAAGTTCATTCTTCACGTTCTAGCGGCCAATGTTGGATTCGTGTGCGCTCTTCTTGCGGGTTTAGCTTTCAAGAACGCGTCTGGCGTCTCCGTTTTTCAGCTGTCGCCCGTGGAAATTCTCATCATGTTACTGGCAACCGGTGCGTTTGTCGAAACTGGTCTTGGCTTCGAGAGAGCGGATTCCGATATTCTTAAACGCCCGCCCCAAAACGTAAGTTGCCCCCTTACCTGAACTCTGCAGACGTGGCTAACACAGAAGACAGCTCAAATACGGCGTTTTTACTCCCGAATTTCTGATTGACATGATCGTCTACGGCATTATTATGGCAGGCTGCATTCTCGGCTGTTTTACCATCATCATTTTTGGCTTTTATGATGGTAACTTGGGCGTCGGTTGCAACAATGCTTTTTCCAGCAGTTGCCTACCAGTCTTTCGCGCGCGAGCCGCCACTTACACGGCCATGACTTGGGTTTTCGTATTCTTCGCCTGGGAACTCATCCACTTACGTCGCTCCCTGTTCTACATGCCCAAGGGTTTCAAAGTCTGGGCGTCGCACCTGTGGAGCAATAAGTTCTTGTTCTTCTCCGCTATAGGAACCTTCTTCTTGGTCTTCCCTGCGCTGTACATCCCTGGTTTGGATCACGGCGTGTTCATGCATGACGGAATTACCTGGGAGTGGGGTGTGGTGTTCATTGATGTGCTGGTGTTCATGGTACTTTGTGAGACATACAAGTGGGGGAAGAGGGTGTACTTCAGGCGGGAGGGCATGACTGCAGATGTCGGGTTTGCAGATGAAGAGGAATTATCTGCATAGACAAGGACCATTTTCCGGTAAATGTATTCAAAAAGTCCTTTCAGCATAGCGACTGGGGTGCCACTGCGACTAATTCAGTAACTCGGTATTGAGGGCCTGTTGAAATTTGGTCCGACGTTTTGGGAATCACGATTTCTGGGGCTTTTATATCTGGGTAGTATGAGTCTCCTGGAACACTATGACTACCGCATTCTGGAACACCTTCTGTTGCTGAGCTTCTTGTGAACGGTTTGCCTGTCTTCCTGTTAGTTCTACTTGCCAAGCATTCTCGCTAGTTCACATGATTCTACTCACCACCAGTGTGTTTTATCCTCTATCACACACTTGTCAAATTAGCCCCCGCTTCTTTGCTACCGAATGCAGTAACTAAGCGGCGATCTTTTGGCACTCTTTTGACCAGAATGTTACCACTGATATCTGGCGGTACATTCTTCATCGACCCCTTCCTTAATTGCTTAACTTTGGACAGCCTTTGTAGGAATCTTCTGCGGACTCTTTCGATAGGCTGCCAGTGGAACTAACGTTTGTGGATTCGGTCGTGCCTTTGCTTCACGTGGCCCATGATATACTCAGAACTGCTGGAGGCTCATTCATCTTAACAATGTCCATTTTGAGATACGACTGTCGGCAAAAACGATATCAGAAGTAGGAAACTCAAAACTTCCAGGGACCGAAGGTCATCTCTCGCTTTGCTGGCTTTAAAGAGCCGGCTGTGAACAGTTGCTAATGGTTCGATCATGTTTGTTCAATTCGGTAATTTTAGCCCCTCAAAGTCAACATCTCATGACCGGCCTCTACGTTGGAAATTTAATCACGTAGTTTTTTGTAGCGGTAACCTAGATTTAAATTGAGATTAAATGACGAGGGAGCTAGGGGTTCGGTCTACTACCGTCCGAGCCTTGTACAGTAGCACCTAGCGTATAAAAGCAGTAAGAGGCAACCCGCTTTGGAGGATCCATAAGCTGAAACAGCAATTTTCATTGTTAGAACTGTGGTCCGGAATCAAAAACAGGAAAAATGGAGCTGGGTTCTGGTGAGAAGGTAACGTAGCCATTTTGCCAAGTATCGACGGATCCAGTAGGCTGAGGGCGTCAGCTTCTATTGAGTATAAATTCTCGGCATGCGAGAACGAGATTTTGAGAAGAGACACGAGTGGCTCAAAACTAGCGGATACTTGCAACCATCGGTTTCAACCTAGCCAAGAGCTCATGTGGATGAATAAACTTTTTTTAAGGCTGATAATACTAGCATTTCCGGTCAGTGAAAAAAGCCGGGATCCCTTTTCTCCTCGGACACATCGTCTAGTATTGCGACAAAAGATCTAGGCTTCGTACTATGCCGCCTGTCCACAATGCTATATATTTCTTACTCAACCAATCGCTTTTCAGGAATAGCCAAGTAAGAATGCGTGAGCTAGGGCTGTTTAAAAATCCGCGGAAATTTGACGCCGTCTCACCTTCATTACTTAGTAAAGATCATGGATCGAGCACCAATATATACGCCCTCGGCGGATGACCGTTGAGTGTCCGAGCAACTTTTTACAGTGGTTTTTAACGTCAAATCAAATCATGGCTTAACTCTTGGCGCAGGGACTTTGGTCAACACGATGGACACGGGAGGTGGGAGGTGTGGGTCTTTCAGCTTGCCTAAAACCGTAATACGACCGCAGCGGGTGATTAGAGGAGATTGAAATCCCTTTCTGAACCGATTTGGGCTTGAAATGGTGCAGTTGGTGGTTATTGAGTCAGTTCCTATGGAGCTGCGAATGACTCGCAGTTTGCTACCCCTGAGAGCATCACGCCCCAGAGAGGTACGGGCACTTCGGATGTGCCCCGTAGCTTTTGGCAAACCAGGAAGTCCATGTCGTCACATTATTGGAAAAGGGTCCGCTCAAATAAGCGTAAATTCCGACAAATTAAGACGAACTACGAAGAACAGGATGGGTCCATAGGCGCCTCTGTCGGCAGCTCCCGAAAATGCTACTCATAATAGGTAGATCTACCTACTTTAGAAGGCTTTCATCTCTATGAATAACGTTAAATAAGCCTTGGACTGCAGTATTCTATGATATCTGTAACCATTGGGTGCGCCATTTGGATTTTAGATCCTTCTGAAATCACGTACATCACGACAGGCTCTAAGTGAATTGTAAGAGAAATATGACTGTATCAAATATGAGATATCCTCGCGGCCATTATTTTACCTGGTTTCATGACTCGAAAGCAGTAGCTAGCGGCTGTCAAGCCGTAAGAGCTGAAACATGCAGAAGATGGATACAGTCTCTTGGCTGCCCTGGCCTTGATAATCTCGCAGAAGGAGACATCACCACTAGTGCATGAAGAGTGGTTCAATGGGCCCTCTAGATTCCCGATCTGTATCCTAATGCAACCGCGGTTCTCCTTTTACGGAACTGCCAAAGAGAAATCCTGGCTAAAGCGTGGGGTAGCGCCTCACAAGGTGGAATTTCTATCTGACATGTCAGATTTTTTGCGGCACCGGATTCTCGGCATGACGCTTTGCGCTGGGCATGAATCTTTCAAGTCAGTCGAAATGAACATCTTGGCGATAAATGTTGGACATTCACACCAGGAATGTTCGGCTCTCGTAGATGTATATATATAGCATTCGTCCATGACAAATGTGACAGTTAGAGGTGCTCTATATCCTTCAACCTCAGACCATTATCCATTAACCATTTCTGTTTCAAAATACCTCGCAGGCCCTGGTATACGCTTTAAAAACAAGAGGAAGAAACTTTCAGACTTCATTTCTCAGATTCATCACCGTGGGTAAAATGTTAAGCCAAGTTCAAACTTCCACTAATAATAGGCGAACAGATCATGAAGACCGCCAGAAACATCATTCTTGCCACTCTGGCAGCCCAGGCCGCGGCCCTGGTTCAAATGGAAGTTCGCTACAGCGATCGTATGGTCGACGTTGGTAACCTGGACCTCTTTGCCGTGACGTGGCAAGCCATCTACGGCGAGACTGGTAACACCCGCGCCATTATGACGGATCGATCCTTCGGAGCCCAGACAAACGAATGTACACATGCGGAAGATTATGACCCCGACGTGACTGTCCAGGTTAAGATGAACGGTGCCTGGGGCAGAACTCCGGGACTCTCCGATAACCAGATGCGCGACGGTCTTGTCCAGTCCATGTGGGAGGTGCTCCGCACCGTCTCGGACCCCTACGGTTACGAGGTCTTCAACGGCTGCCGTGGTCTTACCTGGATGGAAAGCGTCGGCTACCGTGACACCGCTGCCTGCGGACCCAAGAGCGCTCGCGACTGCCAGTATGCGTGCCGAAACGAGAACTCTCCCGGTTTGGCCCAGTGCGACAACCACACTTGGGGTCACAAGGTTCCTTCGACCCTGCGCGTCACCGCTTACATCGATGGTCGCCTCCAGCCTGATGATTTGATCATTGAGTTCGGTGCTACCAGGAACCAGGAGTCCGGCGGCTGTGGACTTGTTGGCGAGGTTGCTGGTTTCCTTGCTGGGTTCATTCCTGTTGGAGGTGAGCTCTTTGCTAAGGGTATCGAGATTGGATGTGCCGAGTAAGCTATAGTTCACAATGAATTATGCATAAGGTGTTTGTTGCGGGTGCTCAATTCATCTCGCAACTATCGTGATCAGGTATGGTCAACATAGTCAGTTTGTATATTAAATGATTCTTTTGTATATATTGCTCCATGCGGGAAGTACAAATCACTATTCTTAGCTTTGGTCTGGAGGTAGATGCAGACTGGAGTTAAGGCCATTGTCGAAAGATCAAAAGAACCCTTCCATGGCAACTACTGTTCATTTTGCCCTCAGATGCATTGGCAAAATCGTGCATATACTTGACAATGTTTCATTTCTGAAAAGGGTTCGCAAACGGTAATGCCATAATCGTGCCTTCGCTAACTTGTTTGATGGCTAGATCAGCATCGCGGTACCAAGTCAGACGCCATACGATGTGTCTGGCCTGTGACCACAAGTTGTGTACCCATAGCGAAAAGTTTCAGCCTTTTTTGTTTTAAAGACATTAATCTTCTCAAAACAGCATTGTGTGTGTCTTTTAATGGAGGAGTAAACATCGAGAATCCAAGAGTTGCAATTGACCTTCGGCAGCTCCTCGCAGGTATCAACTGTAACTTTCCAAGCTCTTAAACTGGCAAAGCAGCCATGACAATTTTCCAATTTTTTCTATCCTTGCTCCTCTTTTTTCGTGTATCATCAGCTTCGAAAGTTCCGGCGAAGAAAACTAAAGACTTGTTGTTGGCTTTAGGGCCTCGAACTTGAGTGGTTTGGGGTATGTGGGCGAGGCTGAGATGAATCGTATCGTTGAGGAGTGCCTCAAGCTCACGCATACAGGACTTCGAGCCCGCAATGATCACAGTTCCAAAGCCAATGGACAAAATCTCCTGAGCATCTTCTTCACCAACAACCAGAAGCCACTTCAGCCAGCACAACTAATGACCATCAAAGGCCATACTTCCTACTTATTTGCAATACTCTTGTTAACTGTAGTTTTGATCGATAAGCTCGACCTTCCAACAAGTTGCTAGCAAAGGGTTTACTTGGCAGAGAACTACGAGAGGTATGCAAATGGCTCCAGCACGGCAAGCCGACCGACGACGGTTCCCAGCCGAAAATAGCCTCACCTCTGCTGTCATGATACCTGGCTCAATTAAACACGTTGACTGAAAATTTCTTGGACCATGATTGAAATTTCATCTGGAGCATCAAGGCTCAGCTTTTGACAATCGATGACAGAGAAACTGCCGAAGAAAATTCCCGTTCCAGCAAGCAGGCACTTTTGGTTAACATGGTGCGCAACCTGTTTACTGATGCCGAAGTCACCACTGAAGTCCCCAGATGAAGATCTTGAGAATATAGTTACGGTAGCAGCCCACTTCACGGGCTCTGTAGCAACCTCGACAATCTAGACGTGACAACCCACCAGAAGGATGCTGGGGTTATTACTCTATCTCATTTTCTTTGCCGTGAAGGATATAAACAACCTCGAAACTCAAATGGCGAGGATATTGAAATATAGAGGATCGACGTCGTCTTCAAACTCGGGGGAGTCTTCCTCCCTGGGAAGTATGAAATCACAGCTAGACCTATCCGAGAGCTTAACCCAGTGCGAGAGGCGGAAGAAGAAACAATCCCAGATAGTAATAACAATATCTAACCGTCCGGCTCTGGCTGTAATGTAGAATATAGTATTACTGGCCTTGTTGCGTAAGAAGAAAACAGCTCTGAGGTATGTAATATACAACTCGTTGGGGCGCCAGTTTCTTCCGAAGCTTCTTATGATAGCCCTGAACCCCTCAAGATTTCCAGCAGCGGTAGCGACGTGAACAGCGGTGTCGCCTTAAAGGGGGTCTCTCACCCGACGCACTGGGTCATAGAAAGTCGATGTTGTGAGGCAGGCCTACATAATCAGTGGCTGAATAGATAGATTTTGCGTCACGCTAGCTACGAAAGAGGTCAAGGAACTCACGCGAAGCCTCGGGTACAAATCCCTCTGGGGGAGGCGACCGAAGGTACACCGTCTCGTCTGGGTCGTACTCATCCGCTTCGGGCAATGCCGCTAAGTGGCCTATGCTGTGTGAATAGAGGAGAAGGGGATGAAGGAAGAACATGGTGTAGAAATTGCAGAATATACCCAAACACAGAGTAGAGATTTGATTTGGTTGGCATGCCCACGAGACTTAAGCATTGCAGCTGGAGAGACTGAGGTAATTAATTGCTTGGTTGAGATGTTTCTTAGTAGTAGTAGACAGGAGCCGGCAACATTCTATTCGTCAGGAGGTGCACGCGGTGTTCGGGCCAACGGCTCCAGCTACGAAAACCTATCCCATCGAGGTACATAGCATGTGTTTCACTAGCCGATCATATACTGACAGTATGATCTTTGCCGAATGATAAATATCATGTGGTTGGTATTGGAGAAATATGGACTTAAGAATGGCCCAGCTTGTATTTGTTGCTAGCTAACGCTCGATGGGATACAAACCGTCCGGGGATATTTGAACTCATCGTTGCTAAAGAAACCCTTTGAGCACTTACGCCCTCTACAGAAGTAAGTATAGGTACTTCAAGTCAGTCACGACGGACCAGCTAATACTTTTTTAACCATAATCTGCCTGTTATGAGCATAAGACGTCACTCTCAGTTAAGAACTGTCATCCAATCAAAGGTCTTTTCGGAGGTATAGCGATAAATAATATATACTCTCAAACCTTGATCAAATCCTTTCCTGGGCAACGTTGCTGGCCGATGAGGCTTTCACTACTACAGTAGAACAGTTTCAATCCCCCAACGCCAAGTATCAACATAACCTTGTATCTTGCATTTCAGGAGACTCCAATCATGTGTATCGTCGAAAGGTAAACACTACCAGGCAAGAAGCCACGCTAATCATGGATAGGCGTACGAGCATTGATACCGCAATAGAGCACATCCTGGTTGGTCGATCACACCGACTCAGTGACAATGAGTATGTACAGATGAATTAAGTAGCCGATCACAATTATATGCGAGGCAGATTATCTAACCTTCATATAAAAGGGTTTCTTACGCCCTGCAACGTCCCGTGTGTAAACCACGTTTGAATGGGTTCCATTCTCCACAATTCAACCTACTAAGTGGGCGTATATGTAGGGCGATTCAACTCTAAACGTATCACGCACACGATTTAGCTGTAGGAGCGAACTCTATTTATGGGGAACGCACAAAAAGAAACAAGCGAGGAAACCAAGCGATTTTGGCAAAAGGGAAGGACCGACCGCGGTTCGAACGCGGGGCCTAGAGATAGTTGCGGCTAACTCGCTGCAATCTCTCGCTCTACCACTGAGCTATCGATCCAAGTGATTTTGGATGCTGGAGCGTTTGGCAATTGGAATTTTGTAGGTGACGCATGCAAATGGAGACTGCCCTTGTATTACACCTGCTCCTTTATTTCTCCCAACTAGCTTATTCATAATGGTGTCTTTGCTAAGAGAGATAAATCGGAGCTTTCAAAGTTCGAATGACGACAATAGAGTGGGTTAGTTTGCTACCTAGGCAGAGAACAACAATTGCGAAACAAGTTATGTCGAGACTTGCCGTGGCTCCACTTGCGTCGCATCAAGCCACAAGTCTAACATCAACCATACGATGGCTACCCTCGTAGCAAAAGTTGGCCTACAGGGGCCAAAGACACTGCTGAATAATAATTCTCAGTTTTGAAAATTGGTACGCTTGGGGTAAGAATTTCACACCGGGCTGTCCGATTGACCTACCTTAAACACCTAGATAGGCCAAATATCGGAGTAACTATCAGTTATGAGCGCATTATGGGAATTCAAGTAGGATGTTACACTTCAATTGCACGCCGCGGTAGGGGGACAAAAGCCATAATCGCAACCAATACATGAGTTTTCTGATTGACTAAACAATAGGGTATTCTAGAAATAAATTATCTCGTTTGAATCATTACTCATCTTACACTGTTGGCGTTTATGCACTATTTCGACGTAGCCAACCGAAGAGATCCCCCTTTATCCTATGTCGTACGTGTTGGTTGAAACCGTAAGTGATTGCGTTTGCAAGGCCGATATACTGGCTCGAGCTCTGCAGAGCGGCTAGCACTCTGCTCTGTGATGTGTTGCCAGAGGCCTCCATGAGACGGTTAATGAGTCCGGGAATCCATAGCAGGACGTATAAAACCGGGTAAGCGTTAAGAAGCATCATTCGTTTGATTTCGCGCTCAACCTTTCTCGTCTGCTTGCGGATGGGAAAGTCGCTCATCATCGTGGCTGTTACATTTTGAGGGGCTTGCTTGCTGTTGACGTTGTTCAGACTCGGATTCAAGGGGAAGTCTCTGGAAAGATCTCTCGATGCTGGCAGGTGCCACGATATAGTGGAGCTTCTGCTTCTGCCGCTTTTGGATTTGGCTGCGGAGTTCTCATCATCCAATCCATATCGGGAGAATCTTGATGCTGAAGGTGGCTGCATGTCCCGACTGAGATACGACGAGCCTCCCACCGCACTTCGTTGCAGCTTCTCCTCCTGTTCCAGATACGAGAACCTCGCCTCGGAAGCCTGGCTCATGTCCATATCTTGGTCGTCAAATCGTGAAATCCTTGCGGACATTTTCCGCTTTGTATCGAAGTCTTCAACAAACTGAGACGTCCTTGACGGTTTTGTGACCACCTCCTCTTCGTCATCGGAGCTAGACCGTCTCGCTCGGTTGAAACCACTATTGCTTCTCCCGTGTGACCACTCCTTCTGCTCGTCGTCCATACCAGGGGATTGTCTAAACGGTTCTTTAAAGGTTGGCTTCGGTCGTTCGAATTGGTCCATTTCTAGTTCGGTCGTCCCAAGAGCTGCAAATCCCTGCTTTTTACGGATTGAAGATGTGACAACGTTACTGCCACTAGTATCCGAATTTCCCGTCTCATAGAGGGGATCCGAAGTGCTGACCATGGAACGAAAGTGGCGTCCGAGGTACCACCAAACGTAAAGATAAATAATGATTGTGATGAAGATAATGGCGAAGCGCCAGCCGTGTGTAAGGGCATATCGAAGATCGGGTCGTTTTTGAGAAATCCAGCACCAGTTACCGCTTACTGGTTCCATTTGACCCATGAGGGTCGCAGTGGCGCTCGTGATAATCGGCACAATCCATACGGAAAGGCAAATCATAACCTTCCTGAAGGTTGAGGTACTCGGCATGTATGTTTTCCGTGTAATCGTAAGGAAGGTAACAACGGCAATGGCAAGAATAGAGAAGTCGGAGGCCTGGACTGACAGCTGCCCAAGCATACCGTTTACGACGCATGCTGGACCAGGCTTCAGGTCTTTGTCTTTGATGTAAATAATCCCTGAAATGGTATTGTCAAGAGAATTGATAAATTCTATACATCCCCCGAGTCAGCTAAATGCCCCCCAACAGAAGTAGGGGTGATTCAGGAGAGAGAGACTAACCAGCCAACGTCAGATTTAAGACGAGGGCATGTCGAAAAGAACGTTGTTGATCGTGGTAGAATACAAAGGAAATCAAGACACCGGAAGTCGCAAGAAAAGAAAGAATACTACCCGTGAGGGTAGCTGATGCGACTGCCGCATCGAAGGCCATCGTGAACCCGCACGCCAAAGATGTTGGTTGGCATCCACGCGCAGCGCTCTCGCGATGAATGTGGAAATGGGTACTGTCTTGTACAAAAGCTATAGTGCAGCTCTCCCACGTCCGTAGACTGGGCGATATTGGTTCTGCGTTACATTGATGGAGTCACGGGGCAGCGGTGCGAGTCATGAAGAAGTTGGAAAACGTGGGGCCTTGTCCTTGTCTTTCTATTTATTGAACGGTTGCGTCCATGATGCCATCCGAAGTTGGTTACCACTTCAGGCAAGCTTAAAATGCTTGACCTTCCTTAAAACCGCATCCTTATGATGTCGTGCGGTTTCGCAGGATGAATTTGACTGGAATGGCGATTCCAGCTATCACTGTGAAGCAGGAATTGAGGCTGATGATACGCCTCAACAAGTTGAAAAATGCCATTCTGAAGTTGCAGGGATTAAAGAAGAGAGGGTCGCATGTCAATTAAGACAAGGTCCCCTTAATCAAAACTTGGCGTTTTAGATTGTTGCACTCTATGAATTAGTCCACTGCATAACCCAAGAGCCGTTAGCCCATACTTAAAACCATTAGGCGAAGGCGCAGTTCCACGTGGATGCATGTGTCAGAAACCAAAAGAGGTATCCGATCTAGCCGTACGAAGCCACTCTTCATCCCATCTGCATGGCGCGCGTCTGTCGCCAATTTTGACAGCGACCTGAACGTTGCCCTGAGTAGAACTCTCTATGGGATTGTGCTCTTTGCTGCATCTGACTGTCTACGTCTGATCACCTTTGCGATCATTACAATGTTGAAGATGACTTCTTTTAACTTTCAATGCAGAGGCGCAGGCTAAGCAAGCTATAATACTACGTATTATCAACTTCAGTATGGTATCTCCTGGACGTAAATAATTATACATTTTTAACTGATTCTCGGTTGGACATAATGGATTGCTCGACGCCATCTCGCCACTCCGTTCATTCATTATTTCTTCGCACATAATCTGTCTAGAATGTCTCGGCACCAATTCGACCCGCGAACAGCCTTGTTACAAGTGGGTAGTAATTTCAAGGATCAGAGGAAGTGGGAATCCAAAACCGTGGCAGCGTCGTACCCTGAGCAACCTCCCGTTCGCTTACAAAATCTTGATTGATGAAGGCAAGGAACCTTCTTTGAATCGTGACCAGCCTTCCTGGAGGGCAACCAGAATATGAATAGGATGTTCCATCCGCAGAGTTGAGATTGGCGGTCTCTCTTCCAGCTCAGCCTTGCATGTACTTGAAGGACAGGATCCCACGTCCTTCGGGGCCCAATTCCCGTGGCCCCACCAGCTTTCCCATGGAATCTGGAACGTCCATGGTTATTGAAGTTCTTACGTCTAGCCAATGTCCTTAACTCCGCAAGCTCCAGCCCCCCACAAACCGGTTCTTGTTCCTTGATCTAAGACTCTAGCCCCCGGTCGTGCGTATGGTGGTTCATTTGTTCTCCTTCGCTCACTCTCCGCATTGACAACTGAGACCCCGGAGGACAGTTTCCTGTTCTGGAAGAAATTCGCCACACTCACGCGCATGCCTTGGCCTCCGCGGATATTTCATCTACCACAATAAAGGAGGGTTCTATTTTCGGCTGGGCCTACATGAGCCGCGCGGGAATAGCAAGGCGAGCAATGCCCGTCCAGGCGAGCCGAACCAGACAAGTTCGCCCGACGCGGCTAAGTGAGTTCGAAGTAGAGTAAGTTTGCACTAGTAACTCACACTGTTGTACGTAAGGAGAGATATGTTTCTTTGGGCCGCTCATCAATAATTAGCGTGCCCTGAGAAGAGACGGTCGAGGTTCATCCCCAATCGGACCTTGCATTTGTCCGAAAGACCAGCCGTCGGTCCCCGGGTTACTCCAGAATCGTTATGCCACTTTCTTGACCAGATAAGAACACCACTTGGTCCCGTTTCCTTTAAGACTCATGGTTCCAGGCCACCGATTAAAGTTGGACGAGATTAATCCCCGAATTGCTCGTGGAAGGCTCCGCTTTGCAGAGGGGCGAAGAAGGGAGGATGAGAAAGCACAGAGCACATCGCGACTCACGCGAAGACTGTGCTGGATGTGCTTGGTGGGGACATGAGTCGTGCGAGTGTGTGATATTCAGCCCCGAGTCCCGAAACAGAGGTACACACCCCAATAGGATAACCTATATGTTAACAGATCAGCACGGGTAAGTTTGGGCTTGGGAAAGTTACCGCCTTGTGGGCCTGGGCAACTCCATGAACATCTGTATTATTTCCCCATTTGATTGACATGGAAATCATGTTCACAATTCTACTATGCATCTCGTCATTGCCAGAAATGGCTGTGTTGCAGGTTGGTGTCCGTTGCTTGGGCCTGAGGCACTAGAAATTGAACAACTTGGTAAGAATGAGATACGGCGGGCCTAAGTGTTTGAATTGAATGCTGAAACCTGCGCCTTCTGAGACAATCTCAAACCACTGAGTTCTTAGAACTGTTATTATCAAGCGTCGAGTTGGGATGTTGAAGATTGGAGACTCAGGATCTAGATATTTGGCATGCAACGTTCATTACCCCCTCAAAGTGCCTTTCATGTGAATGATGATTCGATGTATCACGACTTCTGCTGTTCTGAGAATGTCTCCTTCTTGCAACCTGCATTTTAGGGGCCAAACAGACAAAATCTAGCAATATAGCCAAGTAATTAATACCATCCTCATTGTTAGCTGTGTGATGAGGAGGGTTGCTATGTGTCTTAAAACTTTTGACGTTAACAGTTTACATAGGATGAGCCAACCAATCGGCCAAACAAGGTTACATGTACAGCTGTGAATAGAGGTGAAGGAATTGTCTTCTGAGAGTGGTAAAGTAATGTGCACATCTTGTACTAGCTTCCAAATTTGTTCATAAATACTAACAATGTTCCAACTTTTCAAGTCTCATCAACTGTACTTGTTTCAACCTATTAAGTATCAAGCCTGAGGACCCATTTCCCTTGTAACTTTTCTTAGTTAGCTCATGTTATTTGGGGAAATGAGTAGATACTCACTTGGCCTGCAGACATCTTTTGTAAAAGGCTTTCAATGTCGTCTAGACTGGCCCACTGAACCTTTGGTACAACTTTCCGACGTTTGACAAATTCCAGTGCCTCTAAAATGTCGGCTCGGGTTCCGACTGCAGAGCTTAGAATTTTCCACCCTCTTCCAATTAGCCACAGGGGATGAAAATTGACGCGAGCATCGTGTGGCAAGATACCGATGCACATTAATGTCCCAAACGGCGCCAGCATTTCGAAGGCTTGCTGATATGCGGCGGCAGCATTTGCAGTGACGATGACTGCTTTTGCTCCTTTTTCGTTGGTAACTTTCATTACCTTCTCTTTGAGACTCCCCGCTTCGGTGACGTCGACATAATGTTCAGCACCATTCGTCTTGCACATGTCAGCTTTATCCTGCCCAGCATCAACCGCAACCACTCTGTAACCCATAGCATAGGCATAGGCAACGGCCAAAGAACCCACGCCACCACCTGCTCCGGATATAGCTATAAATTGTCCAGGCGTGATGTGGCAACCCTTGATTGCTTTGTAGGCTGTTACACCTCCGCAGAGAATCGGTGCCACTTCTTCATCCGGCAGATCGTCGAAATGAGGTGGGAGTCTGGCCAAGTAGTGAAGCGGAACGATGGTGTACTGTGCAAATGTGCCGTCATATGCTCTCCCAGAGTGAAGTCCTTTCGCGCACCTGGTCTCGCCTTCATTCACTAGGTCTGTGCAAGAGTCGCAGACGCCACAAATGTCTCGGGTCCATGCAACACCAACTCGTTGGCCCACTTGAACGGACGAATCTAGAGCAGCAACGTTTGCTCCTAGGGCAGCAATACGGCCGACACCTTCATGACCAAGAATGTTACCTACAGGCCCAAAGTGTCCTAGGGCCAGGGCAAGATCGGAGCCGCAGACGCCAGTCGGAGATAGCTTAACGAGGACTTCATTAGGCCCTGGGACAGGACGCGGTTCATCGCGTACTGAAAAGGTAGGCCGCGCATCGGGCGTTTGCTTTGACTGTTGAGCCAGAAGCTTCAGTTTATGTGGCTTGTAAATTGAGGGAGTATCAATACTTTAGGTGTGGACGAACCGTTAAAACAGCAGCTCTGTGCGTATCCATTTTCGCAATTTGACTCACGAGTTTGGTTTTTCACATCAAAACAAAAATAAGTTTTTCCCTCTTAAATATAACCAACTGCCTCACGCATGATCTATGACATAGTTCCTCGGTTCCCCGCCATTTGAAGCGGGGGAACTTCAGGCTCTTCGGGTACGCACTTCCGCGGGTTTCTGCATAGGTACCTGGAAGGAGAGCCGTGAACTTTCACGGCGTCCGCGCGGTGGCCTGATAAATACAAACCGTCCGTGTTGACTTTTAATTAATTCGAAGAGAAGACTTTCAAAGGGACTCGGAAATAGAAATACGTATTTAGTGTTGGAGGTGAAATGGTGATTTGGGCTGGTGTGCATCTGCTCGTTTCGCAGAGTCATGTGGGTTTCTGTTCATAGTTGACTTTGCTCAATAGTGCATTCCTAGGTTAGATATAAGAAATCATTCTGATCATAAGTTATATAAAATAATATTGGAGAACTCTGTCAAGACATCAGCGTAACCCCAACAGAGCCGATGCTTAGTGACCCCAGTGAATCCGCTGCCCAGTCTCATGGGTTCACCTGCAGGTATTGTAAGCCCAAATGTCAAGGAATCACATGTAAGCATGTTTTCTGTAAAGGTCATTGGTTTTGTGTTGAGCAACAACCCGTTCTGCTCTGAGAATGGTTCGGAACGTTGCTCGAGGTTTAGTTACGGCATCCGACTTTCTGGACCTAACGAACAAACCTCATACCAGCATTCAATTTGGCAATCCTTTTGTAAGAACATAGGTGCTTGCTGGATGAACTTTTAAATGATAATCGTATGTAGGGACGACTCAAGTCATGTTAGTTGAGCTGATTAGCACCAAAATTTCCAGGGCTTCCAACATGAGTGTTGAGAAACTTGACGAACCCAGCTTTTCGTTCATATTCTTTTCTTACATTTAGTGAAAACAGCTAATGAGATCGACCTGGGGCAACGTTCATGATTGCGTCACATTGACGAGAACACTAGTACTCCTACATTTGTGTCGTTAGTGCGTTACCCAAGCAACGCCTCTACGTCATTCAAATGCTCATGTATCAATCCACCACTACCTAATGTTACGCAGATGATGGAATACATCTTTTTTATTTGCTAGTATTCATGTTCAGCCATTCAAAAAACTCTAGACCTCAATGTTTTCCTTCCGTATTTTCGCACTTGCCAGTGTAATCGCAGTCCTGGCCCCTTGCTCTTTGGCAAGGCCTAAGACGCCATGTCCTATTGAGAGTCGTTCAGCATCAGATATCATAAAAGAGCTTGGGCTTACTCCGAACATCGAGAAAGGATTTTACACTCAGACATTCGAGAGCACGGAAAAGTTTAGCAGCAACCGTTCTCTTAGTACCGCCATATACTACCTCTTGGAAGGGTCCGCTGGTCCTTCCATCTGGCATCGGCTTGATGCTGCGGAGGTCTGGCACTACTATGCTGGCGCTCCTCTTACTTTGTCACTATCCTACGATGACGGGACGCCTATAGAAGAGGTTGTGTTGGGCCCGGACATCTTTGATACTCAACAACCCCAAATTGTGATCGCAAAGAACCAGTGGCAAAGAGCAACCAGCCATGGCAGGTGGTCCTTAGTTGGAACGACTAGTGAGTTGATTTCCCTTGGCTGAAGCCTACCTATCTAATGATTCTTCACAGCTGCGCCAGGTTTTGTTGAGGCGGGCCTTGAACTTGGAGAGCCAGATTGGATGCCCAGAACCGCTTAATAGTTGTGGTTGGCAACAAATATTGGCAAATATCTTCTTATTTATATCACGTGTAAGATATTATCATTGGTGGTGGTAACTATTTGTGCACAGTACAAGTAATTAAAGTCTTTCTGTACTTGATGCAGATTTTAAAGAGTGGTAGGCTGGTGTGCCTGAAGCAACTCTCGAGTATGACAAAGCTTGCCTGATAGAGTGGAACGCAATAACCGCTGTAACTGAAGGTTGTACTAGCATAGAAATCGCAAGTTCGGATACCAATGTGCTGTCAACCAATAAGCCATACCATGAGTCGAAGGGAATGTCAGCATTTGGGACATTTGTAGAGAGTTGATTTATTTCCTCACATGTATACTTGATATAATGATTTAGACTAGTGCCAAGTTTCTTTCCAAAGATGTCTCAAAGTACTTGTAGTCGGCCGGCACAGCAAATGTCCCAACACGTTCAAATGCCTCTTCCGCGTAGGACCTCGATGACTGACGCAGGACCAACCCGACATCTAACCATTTTGATGAGAAGTCAGCGTCCGGCGGTGGGTACTCTTCACGTCCCTCAGCCTGAACTTCCATTCCTCCCAGCAAGAGTAGATGGACGTGTGCTTCCTCCTCAAGTGCATGGGTCCAACGGTTGCAGTCCGGGAAAAGATTTGCCGCGAGGTGAGATGCCTCTGGCCCCTGATAGTTCAAGGGCTTGAATAGGAAGTAAGAATTACACTTGTAGGATCCCAAACTCATGTTTTCTTGCGGTGACGATTGTGCCCTCCCAATCGCTACTTTTCCGGATACATGGAGAAGCCACTCGCTAGCCAGGAAGCCATCCCCCCGACTCCCCGGCGCCGGCTTACAATTATAGTCCTTGAATCGAAAAGACTTCTCCAACACAAGTGGACCGCTCTTAAATGGCCATATGAAGCCCTCGGAGTTGCAGATCGTCTCGTCTTGTCTAAGAACCATAGACACCCAAGACCAGGTAGGGATGGAATGAGTGTGACATCGGTATGCTCTCTCCGCTTCTCCATTCAAGGCAGATTCCGCGGGTTCTGGTCCGCCGCGAATTAAACTCGGCAGTTCTATTGGAACAAGGAGGCTCCACAGAAGTTCGTTCGCCAAGTCTTCGGGAGATCCTGCTGCAAGTCCTGCATAATTCTGGAATTTAGTATAGCCTGGCTCAGATGTGGCCTGAGAGAATTGCCGTAAAAGACTGCCAATGCTCGCTAGCCTTTGCTCGGGGTTTGGCATGGGCAGGTGCATATATGGTTGTAAGATCTGCGCAAGCCGTAAGTGGGAGCTAGAGGCAATTGTTGGAAGAATTTTCCAGTAACTCGGTAAAATATCCTTTTGTTCGTCTTTTTCGTGTTTGTCAATGCACTCGCACTTTTTGTCTTCGAGGCACTCCCAAACCATCTCAGAGCTGCGCAGGTGAAGGACTCGGGGAGACAGCACCATGCCCTGGAACGCAGAGCCTTGACGGAAAACTGCAGTGAGCTCAGATCGCTCAAGAATTCTGTACATAGGGCGAGCGAACCTGAGCAGCCGGTGGGCACGGTACATGGAGTGGCGCGCATAGACTGGGTATCGGCGGCCATGATGGCTAAGCTGAATAGCAACGCTCTTGGGGGAAAGGTCCTGCTTATACGAATAAACATTTCTTGGGCCAAAATTGCTTCGTCGAAGATCATTGGTTCCCGTGAGAGCAATGGTGAAGTGAGAACGGCGGAAAATTGTGTCATGTCTGTCCAGGTGCCAGTTCAAATCCTCCTCCTGGTCTTGAACCACACAATAATCGGGTATCCAGACATAACTCAAGCCTTGCTCTCCCGCAATTATAAGCGTTTCTTGAAAACTAACAGGTATTTGCCACCACTGGATGTTGTTATGACGTTCTTTCAGATTATGGGATAACGTTACGGACAATGGGTATTCAAGGACAGCAGAGCTGGCAGAGACCACTGCCACATATGGTCCCGTGCTCGGGGATGCATCAACCAGCTTTATTCCATTTCGTGGGTTTTTCGAGATTTTGAGAAGCCTCCATGGGCCTGCGCTTCCATCTTCTGGAACGTCAAAGCTGCCACCACGAAACCTCTGATTGCAGCTTTCATGGTTGGCAGCGCAAGTAGTGATCCAATTTCCAATGATTTTTTGCCGTCGTTTTGAATGGAGCTTGGCCGTTACTTTATTCGCTGGTTTAAAAGCAGGCCACGGCGATGGATTATCTGCAGAAAGGACAATATTCTCAGCCGGAGGTTTGAGGTTGGGTGTTTTCAAGCCCGCTCACCTGGCGTAGCGAAAAGCTCAATGTCAACGGTAATGCAATCGGGACCGATGCCTTGAGATACATCCGCATATGGAAGGCATGTGAATAAACGAATGACCTCCTCGAAACTGATGGAAACGGTAGCGTACTCCCACTTGATGCGATTCATAGGGATATCGACCTTCATGAGTTGCTTCACTGCCGTTATGACGGCGTAGCAAAGCTGGCATCCCTTCTTGCTGCCTTTAACAAGCTTTTTGAGTTCTATTTCATAAAATGAAGACAGAAACTCAAAGTCATCGTCTTGGTGCAAACTTTTCAGTCTCCCTTCGTCTAGATCACAGCAGAAAGAACAAGGCCGTTTTGGCGATTCGCCGACTGTGCGGAGCTCGTGGTCGCTTGGCATGGTTCAGCACTGGGGTATCCGTGTAACCCGCCAATACGTGTCGTTGCCAGGATTGTAACGCTGATTCGTCCTTTAAAGGAGATCGATCGGGCGATAGAATCAGCAATCGTCAGTTTCATTTCATTGTTTTGGCATGATGCAGCGAAAAGGTCTCGTTTGTTAGTAATCCATGACTAATGTCATCTTGAAGAGCCCCGCAATTGTGACTATGCTAAAAACGAGATCGAAATATTCAATCAACGCACATAGTTTATTGGTAAGTTTATACTTTAACGTTCAGGACTAGCTCAGAAAATTTTGGTGCCGCGAACGGGCTGGTAACAGTTACATAGGTCAACAATACAATACGTCCAATCATTCGCTTAGGGGTGAACAAAACAGGTTACTAGTCAGAAACACAGGGCTTGAGACATGGGCACGCTTGTGAGTAAAAACTCAACTACAATATTAGCAAATTAGGAAGTCATCATCTCAACTCACTGAATCTAGGCTGATAAAACTTAAAGACCATTGCTGGATAAACTTCCTTAGAGTGTTTAACTAAAACTCAGGGATAGACGTTGGTAAGTATTGTTTTTATGGTTAGTAGATATGTTGTGCAGGAGTTTGGCTAATCGGCAAGCCTGCAGAAAGTAAATTGCTTTGGGGTCTTCCACGATGCCGCTGCCGAAAGGCCTCGCAGCAAGTCATTGATAAGGCATGTGATGGCTGGGCGAAACTGGAACGAACTATGGCAACGTCCGCTATTCTCAACTCCTGTCTAGTGGGAGCGCGAAGTCAGAGCAAAACCATCATAGTGCTACCAAAGTTTATGCAATATCTACCCCGACACATTAAATTAGGAACATACAGTACATCTTTTGTAATACGAGCTGCTTGACAGGCTCTTCGGTGGCAGAACTTAAAAGTCGGTTATGTCGTATGTGCCGCTCGAACGGACGAGTGGCTGGCGAATAGTCGTGCCGTTTCTAAAGCTAAATAAGAGGTATCCCTTAGCCTGAGATCGCCAACATGTTGTTTCCCATGTACCCAACTTTGAAAAGAAAACTCACTCAACATCATCAGAATAATGCGTCAAGTCTTCAGTCTATCCTGCATTTCTCGCGAAGAACACGAAGATGGTGGTTCAAAGCCCTTGTTAGGGAATATGTGGCGTCAGCACCATCTTCATACGCCAAAAAACACAATGTCTAGTGCGGATCGATCATGTTTAGAACGAAAGAGGTCGTGGTTCATCCTCACCTGGGGGCTGGGAGCCGTTCTGAGTTTCGTTCTTCTTGCTATCTCTATCGCTAGCCTCTTCCAAATTAGCAACCACCATACTCAGTACGACGTACTTCCTGGAAGGCAGTCGCTTTACACTTGTGGCCCCACGGCCGCTACAGCTCGTGAGCAGGGTTGCCATTTCGACCTCATGTCAGCCAGCTGGGTGCAAACGGATTGCTTCGACAAGGAGCTAATGCACGAATATGTCCATGCTGGCTTCCATGAGAGGAACTGGACCTTTTGGAGGGATAATGAGGGCGAGGTTGGGGCTCAAATGCCAAAGGACGAGGTTCTTCTAGGTGAATGGGAGGTTATATGGGCATCTGGGGACTTTCACTATGCCCACTGCGCTTACTTTTGGGAGAAGCAATGGACGCAGTTCCGGGCTGGTGGGTCAGTCGTGACTTTAGACTCACGAATCCGGTTTGCGCATCACACCAAGCATTGCATCGATTTTGTGAGGGCCCCAAACATAACCTACATCCAAGGTAAAGCAAGCTCCAAGATACATCAACGCTTCGGGCTTCTCGAATGTGTCATTGGGCCAATGTAGGGTTAGAAGAGTTGGCACAGTTTTCGGTCACCAGTGTGGAGATATCTTGTTACATGTAACGCAAAGGGAGCAAATTGATCAAATGTTTCAATAGACACTCTTTGGAACATTTATTAAACCCAACACATAAGTTTAGTATCCGTCAATAGGGTCGAGATATTACCATCTCGTCAGGCCAGCAGTCTTACCGTTTATGTTTATTGTGATTGTCTTATACTAGAAAAACTTTTCAGTGCAAAATGTTTTAGTGACATACGCAGATACTCAAGACATATTCTGGGCCGTTCTCTCCAACAGTCTCCCTGATCTCTCCCACAAGTGTACTAGTATAAAACAAATAGAGAATGTAGCAATCGATTCTGGTCCATATTCTTTGGTTTGCTTAATTTCCTTCAACGAAACCATGATTCTTGGTACTCTTACCATGATCACCGTCAACCCGCATTCCTGTATCATTTCTCGCAGCAGACCACTCCATGATCGCTTCCCACGAGCGACATTGCATAATGTTTTCTTGAACCCCCATGAAGGTACCGTGTTCCTCGGACCACATCATATAAATGGGAGTCAGATCCCCGTGGCACATGATGGACTGCCTCAGGTAGTCAATGCAGTGGGACCCGTGTCCGTATTGCCAATGCTCCGCGAGTCCCTTTTCGCTGTCCCATATGAGCTCTCGGAGACGCTTCTACACGGTTACGAGACGTCAGTACACTCAAGTCGCGTCTTTGGAACCGGAAAAAGGGAGGAAGAAAGCCTACTAAACAGTGCAACTGATGAGAGACTGATGTCTGGACGAGATACTTGTCAGGAACCAAGCCATTTGCATCGCGTACTGGAGCGGAGCCACCCATAGGGAGCCTCGAATTTTCCTCCTCGGAGATGGATATCATGCCAACTGGTAAGGGAGCGAACGTTTAGCACAACGTCAGGTTTTGGCTTCCGCAGCTTGGTAACCATACCACTCATTAGGTCTGCCCAGGCTGCTTCGTTCTCTGCTGTCGGCCGCCCTTCGTAGGCGTTCGGGGGACCTTTGTGAAAACCGGCCTTCCTCAGTATCTGCCTGTGAGAACCCAAAGGGGCATCGCCATATATCACTGAAAAGGTCAGTTGTTATGATAGACGAGCTGTACGTCTACGGCATTCGCATATTACAAGACTGTAGTGTAAAACATACCTTCGAGGCCCCTCAGGGACGGATCCATGGTAACTCTGCTGTTCACGGACTTCAGGTAGGCAGAAAGAAGAAGCACATAGGACAGAAGAAGGGCACCGTAAGTCACTCCGGCGAAGATGTTCTTCAGCTTTTCTCGACTCGAAGTGGGAATAGTGGAGTCAGTGATACCCAGCAAGGAGGCGTCATCCCCAGATTCATCACTGAAGCGGGCTTGTTTATCGTGATATTCCATTTCGGACAATAATTTTGGCATTTCGTAGAGAACGATAAAAGAAGAAGCGTGTTGTAAAATCGCTTATGGAACGGGGGCGCGGTGGTTTCGACGAAATACGTCGCCTTGACATCCAACGGGCGAGGGTGAATGGAAACCATTAACGGTACGTACTACATAGTGCCTCATAGAAGGCGGTAAAGTTAGATAGAAACTCGTAAAGAGATTGACGAAAGAAGGATTCCGGCGCAGGGATTAGATAGCATTGCGTTATAGGCGCCAGGACGAGGGCGGAGAAGATTCTGAAAGTATTCTAACCTGAACTCAAATGTCATACCAACCTACCACCCACAATTTTGCTACACCACTTCATCTAGCCAGAATATGGTAGCTTTTGAAATTGGAAAGTATGAGTAAAGTATATAAGCGGAGTAGTCCAAGATCCTTTTCAGAGCGGTTATCCATGTATCTAAAAAAGCAACCTCTAAGCGCAGCCGCAACGATTCATTCACATCGTCGTCAGCATAAGTTACTCATGTAACGCAGAAGTCTTTTGCTGTATTTATGTGATATATCACATCACATGCTGAACTCTAGCAGAATATGATTTTTTATTCCATGTGATATCGGAACGAACTAGAGTAGAAAGTCGTTTGCTTTTAACATCTTAAAGCAGGGATCTGTCTAGCTCATTGATTATGTGAAAGCGCTTCACCTTCCATAACAACGGCGATTTAATAACTGCCGTACATAAAGTTCCCTGAAATGGGTTTGCCTTACAACTTAGTTGAATGGAGGCCGGTCCTAGCTTTAATGGCCCCTTTTCCCTAGGATAGCGTCGCGCTGGATGAAACACAATGCTACCTTACTCAAACTCAGTTAACAACAGAACTATCAATACTTGATTATTCGCCAACCTCAAACAAGGCAAGTTCAAAAGTGCTTACAACTCAATGGCATCTCTAATCGGCGAATCTTTCAGTGCTAGCATTTCTTTGTATAAATAAACGGCTTCAAACCCCGTTCCCTAACGTTGGTTGTTTTGACCAAACAAATTCTTGTCTTCAATCAGCACTACAGTTTCACAAACTTCACGTCACTATCATGCACGCTTTTCGACTTCTCATTCTGGCTTCTCTCACTACGGCTTCGGTCATAGTCCGAGATAATACTCAATCCAACAATCCTGCCCCAAAGCAGGGTAAAGCCAACGTTGGCGTCAACCCGGACTACACTTATGTCGTCTTCAAGCGTGACGCGGAGGCGGACAATGCCAACGATGAGCCTGACGTGGAATATTAGGACTCGCTAGGCAAATTTTGACGGCCTCAACGAGGAGTGATGCATGTCGCCAACAAGGAGGCACAGGCTTGAAAATCCACGCAGGAGGATATCTAGCTCAACCTAAGATCATTCAATCCACTATCTCCAATAGCTGCGGGGCATCATCATCTTCTTAGATGAGTGTGAGCACCGAAAACAATGATAATAAAGCCAATTCTCACCGGACTAACAAGATGTTGTTTAAATGAGTCCGCTTTGAGACGCACACCGTAAATGTGTTCAGCCATGCGGTTCTACGCATAAAACATTCTAAATCAAGCCACCTCTCTTACAACTCTTTACGCCTGGTTTCTATCAGCTAATTTTACTGCTTTATTCCATAAACTAGAACTGAATACCTTACTCGAACCTTGAATCTAAGCTTGTTGGAATAGCACTATTGGCATGGCCGTACTACCAAGATGGCTCAGCCTTGATATTGCGATATTCTAGGCAAGATATAAACTTCAGGTGTCGCAAATGTGTCCCCGTACAACAGGGACAGCTGTAGCTTTACCCGCCTAGTTAGGACTTGGAAGAATCATCACGGAATCACAGAGTACTTTGATCGCCCCGTAGGTAAGTTGCAACGTATAACGCCTTAGGGTTAGTAAGTTATGGCTTATCTAGTCCTTTGGCTTTGAGTTTCATTAGTAGAACTTAATATTATAACCTGGCTGTAATAGTGATGAAGATGCTGTCTATGATGTCTCCTTTCGTGGCCTCTGAGGCTGCCTCGCGCGCGCAGCCTCGTTCCTCCTTGTTAGTGGGCCAATACAAAAGATTCGGATGTTACAACAACGATTCTTCCAAGCTCGACGTGGACAAATGGCAGAAGCGTGCAGGAATGTTCGGTTTTCGGAGTTGATAGGCCAAGGCATGATGGAGCCAAGTCGAATCGTAGACATCCGCAACCCGCTCATACCTGAGGTAGTTAGTTATATGTTTCCTTGGAACCGTATAACGTAAGCCGGGCCTTTGCTTGTGGCTATGCGTCAGGTCTCTCAGCTTCAAAATGAATCGAATCACACGTTCCAGCCACTATAATTTCTTATTTCTTTTAGTTGAATGATCTGTTGTATTAGAGCACACGGCTTTCAAAGGCTAAAATGAGTTTCTATCTATCAGCAACAATGCTATTCTATCATCTGACAAATGGAACCGAGATTATAGACCTTCCCTGGACCGGACGCTTTCCACGCAGTCCTGCCATCTGATGATCTTCATGTAGATACACTCAATAATAGCGATCAAAACCATTCCACTTCCGAGACCGATCCAAGCACCATCCAACTCGAGACCGGGAGATCCAAGTTCGAGCCATACTGCCAAAGGCACTGCCCCCAGGTAATTGACCGCAAAGACCACGCACGCGGCAACAGACTGGCGACCGAGGCCTCGGAGAACACCGTTGCATCCGCAGATGATGGAGTCGATGAGCTGGAAGGCGCCGACGGCAAGCATAGACTTGGTCGCCAGCTCCTGGACGGTAGAATCCTCGGAAAAGATGAGGCCGAGCTGGTTGCGGAACAGGAAGAGAATGGCGCCGTCAAGGATACCGACGACGGTGAAGACAACAGCGTAAAGGCTGGTCGCCCGACGAGCGACAGGCACGAGACCAGCGCCAATGAGGTGGCCAATTCTCGTGGAAATGGCGACAGAGATGGAAAAGGGAATGTGCCACATGACGATGGAGATGGTCGTCATGATTGTCTGCGCAGCAATGTGCTCGGTGCTCAGGTAGGAGGTGCTAAAGGTCAGGACCTCAAAAGCAGCCCACTCGCCGAGGTTGACGAGCGAGCCGGCAATGGAAAGCTGAACTGGCAGGCCCCATTCCTGGAAGGCCTTCCGGGAGAAGCCGCCCCAGCACTGATGAGACCACTTCCCGAAGAAGACGATGTAGACGAGGAGGAGGATGGGGCGGAGGTCGTTGGCCAGGGCCTGACCGAGCGCGGCACCCTCGAGGCCCATGTTCAGCTTGAAGCCAAACAGCCAGGTAAGATAGGCGTTGATAGGGGCGCAGATGATGAGCACAACCATGGCACTCTTGAATTCACCTTGGGCCTGCAGGAAGCGCTTCAGAGCCTCAAAGGAGAAATAGCCGGGGACACCTATCATGCTAACCCTCAAGAACGAACCGGCCTTGATAGCCAGGTGTGGCTGCTTCACAAAGGCAGACAAGATGGTCGGGGAAAACGCCCAGACAGCACCGATGGGGACAGTGATGATGGCCATGAGGATGAGCATACGCTGGACGTGGAGTCCGACAGCGGTCAGCTGCCCGGAGCCGTGGGCCTGGGCGCAAAGAGTGTCAAGGGCGGTGGCCATGCCCTCGTAGATGGCGTAGCCGATGATGTTCATGGTCATAAGACCGATGCTGGCGGCAGCGAGGTCATCGGCGCTGAGATGGCCTGCGGCGAATGTCGTGATGACGGTGAAGGAGTACTGGAGGAGATAGGTGAGGATCAGAGGAAACGAGTACTGGCACAGCAAGCGAAACTCGAACAACAAGCTGCTGGTGACGGGTTCAGACTTGGGGATCGGCTGATCCGCCAGCAGCGGTGTTGTCTCTCCGGTCCGGTAGTCGTCGTCGTCGTAGTCGCGGTCGCGCGGATCCATGGCGGAGACGGGAGGGGGGGGGGGGGGGCAGGGAGGGAAGCGGGCGCGGGTCAAAGGGCGGAATGCAACGCAGAGGAGGAGAGGGAGGGTGTGGAAGATAGATCACACATACGACCGGCTGAAACTAGAGCCACTACAAGCAAAGCATGTGTTACAAATCAAAGCAGCTGGAGTGGTGCATATGGGCTTTGGTGAGTTGCCGACCTCCGTGCGCAATGAAGGGGGTTAAGAGAAGAGAAATGGTGAAATGGAGACAAATCAGAGTTCCGGTCTCAGCGGTTGATGGAGCCGGAAAGCCTGCGACGAGAAGGAAAAGTTTTGCGGTGGACGGGCCGTGTCTGTGGGTGTTCTCCACTAAAAATACGCCTCGAGGTGGCGCGCAAGACATTCCGAGGCCCCCGAGCCTGAGACATGATGGCTGAAAAGGATGAAGGATGCGCCAAACTTAGCCGACGAATTACCTAACTGAGAGGTGTCATGAGAGGATTGGACAATGGAAGCATGAATACTTCGAAAAAAAAATAAAAAAATCCAAGGGACTCGTGAATATGGCCATAGCACTTGGCTGCAGTTGGTCGCCAGCATTTGGCTCTCATTAGCTATTCGATGACAGTTGTCAACCCCGATTGAAATGCCAACATTATTGGCTTGGAGAGCATAGAATCTGATTCCTCTTTATTTATTGGCATTGGTGCCTACCTTTTAACGACCCTGAGATTTCCTTCAGATACATCAGACTACATACTAGGTCCCCCATGCCTGCCAATCTGTTTGAAGTTTATAGTTGAATGGACCACTGTTTCTATCGTGTTCAACGTCATAAGCAAGAGTATCATGCTTCACATTTGCCCACCCTGCCTTTCCTTTTTCTTTTTTGCGTACTTCGTGATTCATGTGTCTCGTACCTGCAATTATCTTCACAATCACAGCTGGCTGACACAGGATGAATGCTGTGACTACCTGCAGCCGGTTGCCTCAACCCGAAGGTCTTTTGAAGACTTTTCTTACCGTTTCTGTACTCGATAGCCATTACCAATGCAATCATCAATTATGAAAGTAACGGCCTTTTCAGCAAGCCAATTACAAGGACAAACTTTACACAGGACTGATTGTTGGCTTTGTGAGAGGATCACCCCCCCGGCTGCGGTATGTGTACCGTATACTGGCTTTTGACCTTGTACTCTTTCTTTTAATTACAACAAAACAGAAAATATCTGACATGTGCGTGTTGTATGCTAGCCGCTTCTGCGCCGAAGAAGTACCGTAAACATATTGTCGCCAATGAGACGACCATGGGAAGTGAAATGAAGAGAACAATGCAACGAGTTTCAGTATCCCTCGCGAAGACCTCAAATACCTCTATTAACCTGAATTAATCAACAAGGCTATTGGGACGTAGGTTATAACGAATTCTTGTATGATGCCTATCACTTAAGCATACCCAAAGATGCAACTATGCCCATCAGCATCTGCATAATGGCACAGCAGCTACAAATTTTGAGGAGAAATGGCATCAAAACGAGCCAAGACATTATGTAACCAATCAAATGCTCTAGTTTACAGATTCTTTACTCATAGATTCATTCTGACTGTGAGTGAGAGAAGTACTCCGTACCAGCAACTATTTCAACCATAGACAATAAACTGGTCGCGTGTTCCCCCTATGAAATTGTGAGGAGTAAACAGCGGGTAAGAATTGGGGTACTTTTATCTGTTTGCCCTCTGGCTCCTAATGGAATAAACCTTCCTGCCGAGCCACGACCCAATCTCCGCACTTTGATCAGTGTCCACGTCAGATTACGCAATGGCAGTAAACGCGGATAAAGGTCATGGACAAGGTTGGCGAAACAAAACTCACCAGAGCGGCACTGCTACATTCGGTGGTCGAAAACCGCTGACGTTTAGTACTTTAGTACCAGCGAACTCAGCTTCCATTTCCGATCTCGTTTCATAGGAGATTAGTTTTAAGACCTGCCGAGGTTGAACTTGCTGGCCATTTTGGCGCCTTTTTGACGGAATCCCTGCCACACCCGTGACACATCACTCTTCGCCTGTTCGAATCGCTAAAACGTGGCGGACATTTGACATGCGAAGAACGGCGAGTTCGCTACCAAAAAAGTCGCTAATTTCGCGAAATATTTTGTTCCTAGCCACTCATAATCCGGCATCAACCTGCCGGTAGTGAAGTGTGCATAATACTGTGGCTTGTGTCTCGTCTGGAGTAAGCTGCAGTACTCCATCGACTCCGATTGCGACGCTGCAGACATAATCTAGGTGTTTCGCATGAACAGTTCAACCACGAGGTCGGCCACGGGACTCTCTTATACGCTAGAGCTTTGTAGAGCAATTCGGGCGATCAATGGGGTCGGAGTGCTGTTGAAATCAGTGACAGTCGGCGGAATAGTCCGCCTCCCCCATGGAAATCACCCACCCAGATCTCCTCCCAGTTGTCGCACGGATGAAAATTCTGCCCGCTGTAGCATAGTACTACAGGCGGGAGCGGGCCTATCCGATGGGGACCATCCAACCATTAGGCCCCGCTAATCTGCGAAAACCGGGCGTTTTAGGCAAAGTCACCGAACGCAATATACAATCCCATTTGTCCTCAGCCCTGTTGGGAGGGAAATGGGATGATGAATGAGCGGTTTAACAACTGTGGCCACTTTTATCCGTCGAGGGACCCCGTCCGGGGGGGCTGGAGAAGACGCTTGAATACGGGTACTTTGGTAATTATTGCAATGTGCTCCGTACTGAACTGGCCTTGTGCAATGATATCAGTCAGTGTTTTATACAAAGCATTATGCCTTATGCTGCTGCTGCTGTGGCTCTTCATATCCGCACGCTAATTGTAAAAACGACGTCCTCTCCACATAATATTGTGGAAAATGATTCTCAAAATCTGCTAATGGCTGAAAACACCCCAGCCTTTTGCTGTTTATTTTACGGAATGCCAAACTGAGTCTTTATACCACTTTCATCTAGTGTTTCGCAGCAACAGACAGCCTTAGCACGAACGATATGAATGAAGGTGGGAAGTCGGTGACGTAAAAAGTGGCTAGATGCAATCTACATGCGATATCTAGCTTCTGAAGATTTCAGCGATCCCGCATGAGAGCTCGACCTCCGCTCGTGACCTTGATGTGCGAGATCTTCGTCGCTCTCCGTCAACTTGCGAACGCTATCGCTGCAGGTCCCATCCTCCTTTTCCTTGCCTTCATGAGCCTGTGTCTGCCCTCCCTTGGACCAATCGGAAGGCCGAAGAGACCTTGTTCGTGTAGCTCGTGAATTAGAGGCTCCGCTCGTTAAATGCGGACCGTATCTCGGGCTGGTCCCTCCACCGATCGCCGTCGCGTGGAGTCTGCTGGCCTCGTCCGCACCAGACGAAGTCAGCTGGTACGGTGCCTGAATCGCCGCTACGGCAATGGTGCCCATCAAGCTGTCGATGACCCCCTTCAGACTCGGGACGCATGCAGTCAGGACCGATAGACCAAGGGAGCACTGCAGCCAGATGAGGTACGGTACAGCATACCACGTGGAGTCGGAATAGTTGGATGCGAATCGCTGGGTGCTGACCAGACCTGAAATTGACAATATCGGAACGCTGAAGAAAGAATAGTGTTAGTCACATTGAAAGATTGTCGTGATGGAAAAAAAAAAGAGAGGGAAAAACACACATGATGCGGGAGCCAAAGAGCGAAATGACGAGCAGCTTCCGCCGGGTGCTGGTCTGAACCTTCCATACCATGGCCACAGGAAGAAGACAGAGAGTAACATCGGTGATGATATCCATTATTCCGTTATACAGAAAAATGGCCTCTCGTCCAGGACATTTCGCCTGGCTGATGGCGAACCATGGGTCGGGGAGCGAGCACTGGAATGCTTCGGCAATGATGACAGAAACCATCCAGGCAGCAATGACACCGAATAATATTCGGTTGGCGAGATGCAGCCTGCCATAACTGTTGATGGACTGGATCAAGAGACACAAGGAAAGCTTGGTGGTTCCAGCGACTGCTGTGGCAAGAAGGGACGAAGCATAGAACAGCTGCAACCGTGGAAAGATTAGCACCTTGCTTGGAGTATATAGCTTCAAAGAAATTTCATACCTTATGAAACGCCGTGAGGTCCTCCGGGCCAACTGTGTCTTGGTGTCTGCCCAAGCCTCGATTACAAGCCGCAATGACGAGGATGGTTTCCATAAAGAGCAAGAGCAGTGATGCTAATAGCAACACATCGTGGCTCTTTAGAGAAGTGATGTTGAGACGGATGACCAGTTTCAGAATGATACCAACAACCGCATAGATCAGAAAGATCAGAGAAGTGACAACAACAAGTGCGGCCTTGTCATCTTCTCTTAATGCGTAGAAGGGCGGTGCCGGCTGATCGAGTGGCATGCTGGCTACGCGATAGACTCAGGAAGAAGCGACCGGCCCGGGACGAGGCGAGGGGCACGGGCGACTTAAAGATGTTGAAGATATTCACTTGCCCCTCAATGTACGGGGTCGGAGAGACTTAATCATCAGAATAGTTCCCTGCGTTTGGGAACCCAGCATACAATTAGGTTTTCAGCTTGTCAGAGAATTGGCGTCCTCCCCCGTTCACCCGTCTAGAATCTTTGGAATAACATAACAGCTTGTGGCCCACGAGACATGGATGACTGTAAACGAATCACACCGGTCAGCATGGGATGAAATGAAAAAAGCAAATTCTACGTACTAGAAAAGGTATTATGTCTGTTCAGGGCTGTCGAAGAGGATTACCAACAAAAAGAACCAACATGTCCTTGGGGCCAAAAAGGGCCTGGCCACCCCCCGGTACCGAGTAAACTCTGTTCAAGGCCCCCCCCCCCCCCCCCCCCCCCCCCCCCCATCTAGGACGAATTGTTGACGAAAGTTCCTCCTGAGCTGAATGGATAATACCAGGGTCGCGTGCCCCCTTGGTGTCGGTAGGCTGCCAGGCACATACCTTAGTCCTTGGCCCTTTTCTCTACTTTCCGATCCTTTACGAAACCTGGTTGCATAAAAGCTGACTTTGTTACAAAGACTTTTTCTTGGTTGGAACACTAGAATTGTGGACACTGAAACCAGACGTGACGAAATCTCGCCTCTGCACCTGTTACTCTGTAGTGTATGTTGGCAGGGATTGAAACGAGGCTTCCTTGGTGGGGTGAAGATTGATGAAGATATGTACGCGGGTGGGGTTTAAAAAAAGTCACAGAACAACACTACTGTTGGAACAGGGGGTAAAGTTCTGCGCTTTACGAGGCGTGGTCTAGGGCCATCGGTAGGCAAAATTTTTATTAATCCTTTTCAGCTAATTTGACCAGAGCCTCGCTGCTCTGACACCCGGCACGCTATAGAAAGCTCAGAAACTGGTCAAGTAAGCTTAAACGGTGGAACGACCATGAAGTGAAAATCCCACAGCATCACCGTCAACATCAAATCTCGTCAGAAGTCAGTCTCATATGACGAGCATGGCGCGCGAACTTTGTCAAGATTTTCATCGGCCAAGAAAAAACAGACCCCCAAAGTTCCCTAATCCCTCCTGCGCTCATCGCAGTGGCGACCTGCAATTCGTGAATCGCGTGGAGTCCACTTACTAGTACTGGGACCTGAGCTTAAGTGACACACCAGCGGGAATTAGATCCTAGTACCTGGCTTTTCCAGGGTCCTTCCGACCACTCGCCAGCCTGTTGGCGGAGTTTGAAGTTGGGTCCCGGGGAAAGGCCGCGGCCCGTGAGAAGACGAGGAGGTAGCACCCCCCGGCAACTCGACCCCCCCGGCCGGAGCCCACAACCAAGACAACAATTGGCGGGAGGTAAGCCCATTGAGGAATATTTTCTCCTTGAAGATGTGGTTTGCAAAATGGTCCCAGGTGGCTTGCGTAAACAATTTGAATGAACAGGCCACCTAGGAAAGGGACATTTGTTCGAACCTAGCCACTGTTATGTATTCGACAGGTACTTTTTGTGCAATGTGTCATTGTGCAAATACTTCTTCACTTCGGTCCAGTTCCGGCCCTATCCTAATGGTGTCAGCAACGCTTGCTGCGGCTGTATCTTATTGGAGTCGCCCTTCCCCATGACCCCTTGCATCTGCCGATCATTCATATTTATTTGCGTCCGGTTCAGCAGTTGGTTCGAGTTTTCTCACCCTGCCGTGCCCAACCCACCCCCCGATTCCCTCCCCTTCAAGATAAGGTTCGTGAGCCCGGGCCCAAAAGATATTGTCCTTCACCTTGGCATCGCTTTCTTCTAGCCGAGCAGTTTTCTGTTGCTCAAAGTTTGTAAGCCGCTCAAGATGTCTTCAACAGAGGGGATTGAGATGCAGCCGGCCGGCAAGGATGCGTCAAAGGTCGATACGGTCGAATCCAAGAATGGATCAGAGGTATACAACCAAACGAGGACGAGAAGGCTGTTCTCCTTCTCGCAGCTTTTTGCCTTCTCTTTGACGTATATGGCCCTCTGGGAAGGCATGTGCACGTAAGTATTGATCGTAGCGATCGCTACCTACTTTGGCGCTCTAGATCCCGTGAAAGATCTGACAAAACGGCAGGAACATGTACTTTGCCCTGTACAATGGTGGCCCCCAAACCTTCATCTTCAGCTTTGTCATCGTCTTCTTTGGCGCCATCTCCCAAGCCGCCTCGCTTGGTGAGATGGCCTCCATCCAGCCCATCGCCGGTGCCCAGTACCATTGGACATACCACCTGGCCCCGGAGCGGGTCAAGAGGTTTGCGACCTGGATCCAAGGATGGTCGACGTGGTTCGGATATGTCTCACTCCTTGCCGGTATCGCAAACGTCACCGTCATCCAGCTCGAGTCCATGATTGAGCTTAACCACCCGAACTATGTCCCGGGTGGCTGGCACACGTCCCTGCTTGTGATCGCCATGTGCCTTGTGCAAGGCCTGATGAACACCTACTGGTTTAAAGTCATTCCTTGGGTCGAGTTGGTTGCCGGCGTTCTTCACGTGTGTCTCTTTGTTGTTTTTGTCGTTGTCCTATCCGTCATGGGTACCCGACACAGCGGAAGCTTCTTCCTTGAGACCAACTTCGCGTCAGGATGGTCGGACAACTACATTGCGTGGAACTTGGGCATGCTGACCTGCGTCTGGAGTTTTACCGGTTAGTATTGAATCTACGACGACAAAACTGATAGACACTCCCTTCTAACCATGAACTAGGTTTTGACGGCGCCATTCACATGAGTGAGGAGACCCGTAAGGCCAAATCGGCTGTTCCCCGCGCCATGTTCTGGTCCATCTTCATGAACGGCTGCTTGGGTTTCGTCATGGTTTGCGTTATTCTCGTCTCCATGGGTACCGTCGAGGACGCCCTCAACGCGTCGAACCCCATCTTGACCATTCTTCTCACCATCACCGGCTCAAAGGGCGCCACGACGGCCATGATCACCGGCCTGTTTGTCATCTCCTTCAGCGTCAACCTCGCCAACATTGCTTCCGTCTCGCGTCTCACCTGGGCCTGGTCGAGAGACGGCGGACTGCCCGCCTACCTCGCCTACGTCCACCCGAAGCACCGCGTCCCGATCCGCGCCATCGTCGTGACGGTCGTCATCGTTTGCGCCCTCTGCCTGCTTAACATTGGCAGCTCCAGCTACGTTGCTTTCGGCGCCATCACCTCGCTCTCTTCCATGGCCCTCTACATCAGTTACGCCATCGCCATTGCCAGCATGATCTTCGCGCGTCTGTCAAAGGTCGGCGGTGTGGAACTTGGAGAGTGGAACCTCGGCGCGTTCGGTCTCTACGTCAACATTTTTGCGCTGATTTACACGCTTTACGTCATTGTCTTCCTGCCGTTCCCTTCGACTATTCCCGTCACCGCCGAGAATATGAATTACTGTGGCCCAGTCATGGTGTTTGTGCTCCTAGTCGCTTCTGGTCTCTGGCTTATTAGGGGCAGGAAGAAGTGGTCTGGACCGAACCTTACCATTCTCGATCTGGTCCTTGGCAGCTCGTAGGGTCTTTGATATGAAGTTTTGTGGAGGCCCGGGAAATCCAGGGGTCAGGGAGAATGTATGGAGAAGATATAAGTGGCTCATATATGAACAGAAATAAGTAATATAGTATTCTGAATCCATAATGTTTGACAAAAGGTCACGTCTGTAACATTGAATTTTGAGCTGCAACCGTAAATGAGTATTTAACCCGAAAGCACTAGGAAGGTTAAAGATGTGAGGCTCTTTCGGTATCTTATGCGGGCATGTGTTGATTTGTTACTCTTTGAGAACTTTTAGGACTATCCTAGTCTCACTGTTCTTCACCCCCGAAACTTTTATGATAATCCTACATATACCACCATCCTGGCTTTTCAATTACCAGTTTCTGGTGCTGGTGCACTTCTGGGTGCTTTGGGTAACGCAGTGAGTCATAGAAACAGACTGTATTCTCCAAGTCAAACATAGGTCGGCCAGTAATTTAGAGTGCCGATAGACCGCTTTTAATAATTAAGCCTTAATTCTAATACTCCTTTGAAAATCATAAAGCTTCTTTACTATCTACTTATCTAAATAGACTAGGCATATAGGTAGAAACAACTTAGATTTCCCTATACTAATTAGTAATAATAAACGTTTTGAGTTATGTATAAGAGTTGTCTCTTAAAAAGCTTCAATTCAAAGCTAATTTAGCTAATTTATTAATATTACTATAGGTCTTGGTAGTTTATAAGAGAGACAGGAAATACAGTCTCCCACCCCGTCACGTGTGGAAGGGAGGCATCGGTCCCTTCTGGGCCACATGTGCCCGGGGTCTGGCCGGGTGGTCCGGTTGGGTGGCCACACGGACCCGTAGTCCAACCATCGCTACAATTACCCATGAAGTAATATGTGATCATTAGTCCATTGGCTTAGGGTAAAGCTCATCAATATTATGGTCTAAGAGTCGGTGCTGTTGCAGCAAGGGAAGTTCTAGTGAGCCGGAAAGCTATTTTTACTGACAGGCGACTACATTATATGCCTGATCTCTATCACTTCCACGCTCTTGAGCATATTGAAAGTACAAAGAACTACTGCAGGGGAATTTTCAGTCGTCAGGATCATGTAAATTTTATAAATCCTTTGTCCATTATTGATTTGATATGTCCCTTGGTTTTGGTTAAATCAACACCAATTCAGACAAGAATTTCCCTCTTGTGACAGTAGGATTGAAGAATTAAGTTATTTTATGGGAAAAAAAGAAAAAGAAAAAGAAACACCCCCAACCCTATCTCATGCAGCTTCAATTGCGACAAGAGACCCAAGAAAATTCGCAGGAATCGGCTCCTGGCAAAAGCCATCTGAGGACGTCTTCACCCTAATTTTGATTACCGGAATGTGGGTGTCGACCGGGCCGAATTCTAGGGAATCAACTATTCAGTGCGGACAGTCCCGCGGTTGCCAGTTGAACTGAAACAAGCATTTCCTAGCGACGGGAGCCCCCTTACTGCTATTATAGTGGGCGGGGATTCTGATTACGCGGTCACCTGTCAGAACGCAACATAGCCCCCTCATAGGCCATTCCCCTCGAATATCGGCAGCATGGGGATGCTACTAAGTAATAAAGCCTGTGCTTTTACTGGCCCGCTGGTTGACCACAAACAACACCTCAGCGCTGGAATAGATGACTGTGACTCGTCACCACTACTCCATGTTTCCCCTGTTAAGAGGAGAAATCTCCACTGGGATCTTCAATAACCTGGGCCATGGCGGAAAGCTTGGTAAACTTTATTGAGCCGCGCAATGTCTCCAAGCACACCATATGGCTGTTTGCTTCGGAATGTGGGATGCCCGACCAAATTCGATGGGACGCTGCGGGCGTCGTCATGTTCGTAAAGACAGAAGCTCTACGCTTATATATCCTTCTCACTGCCAAGACGTTGAACTTTAGCGGTCTTATTGTTCATCCCATTCATTTAAACTCTTCATCATGCGCTTGTTTGTCTTGCTTCCATTGGCAGCTGCTGCCGTGCCGGCATTTGCTGACACTCATTACTTCTTCTCTGGTTTCTTTTCCGGCAACACCATCGTAGGTGTCGAGTTTGATGATGAGAAGTCTTCCCTCACTCTCGTAAACAACATCACGACTGATGCGGCATCGGGATCGAAATGGATTGCGCTCGATGTATGCTAGCTCATTATCTGCTGGACACGTGGGAAATTACTGACTGACACTCACTAGTCTCGTCTGAAAAACTTGTATGTGGGCACTACGGGCTACTTTCAGAGCTATACCATCACCGAGGATCTCGGCCTGAAGTACAGTAGTAACGTTAGCTTGCCGTCTGGCTGCATGTAACCCCACCAAGCATCCATTATACGTACGTGCTAATTTGAAATAGGCTCAAACGCCAACTTCATCACTTCTTCCACCTCTTCTCCCTACACCGTTTTTGGCACCCCGTACGGAGGTGGTTGTTCCACACTGGCCATCACCGTCGATGACAATGGCGTGCTCAAAGAGGCGACCGCAAATGTTACTTACAACAGTGCCGGTGGCGTTCATGGTACTGGTTTGAGTGCCAACAACGACTTTATCTACTCAGCCGATGATATGGGCAACGCCGTTTGGTCGCACTCATACGACAAGACTACTGGTAACGTTGCTGAGTTACAGTACCTCCCCGCAGCCAGCGGCTCCAATCCCCGTCATCTGACGGTCCATCCCAATGGAAACTGGGTTTATGTTGTTTATGAAGAGGCCAACTCTATTGCTTCCTACAAGCGTGATACTACTACTGGCGAGCTGAGTTTTACTAACACAACCTACTCGCTTCTGCCTCACGGTATGGTTTCACCGATTTTCTGGACCGAAAAGATTGCTAATGTTATGTTAGGATTTACTAACTCCTCTTCCTACTGGGCTGATGAAGTCCTCTTCTCCATCCCCAGCAGCAATGCTAGCGCTACCTCGCCGAAATACCTCATCGCTGCCACACGATCTCGTACCAAGGGCATCCCAGGCTATGTCTCTGCGTTCTCTCTCGATAGTACCACCGGTGCCATCGGGGAGCAGCTCTTCCTTACCCCCACGACCAACAGCGGCGGATCCGCCAACGCGGTGTCGCCGGCCAAGTTCAGCGAGGACTACTTTGCCATTACGGATAGCGGCTCAAACTTTTTGGAGGTGTGGAAGATTGACGCCGGCGAATCTGCCACTACGGCGTCGGCTGTCGCTCACCTTGATCTGGCCTCGGGCCCGGCCAATGTTGTTTGGTACAGCTAGTGTGGGATGGCCACTCATGTTGGGTTTCATAACTCGAAGAGTAAATATAGAGTAGTATTGTTCAAAAGTATACACTGGGCAATTATAGATTCCCATATTTTTCATCGTGACAGTATTAATCCACAGAGCTACTTGGCTGAAACCAAAAGTCAGGCCTCATGCTCACTAGATTTCCTTCTATCCGCGACCGCTTGAAGAAGATCTTTGAATGCCCGGGAATCCCCTTCAACCGTCTCTCTTCCGCGGTTCAGTTCCGGGTAGTCTTCGGGGATTTCTGTGTCGTTGATGTCGCCTGGTAAAGGGTCGTTGCTACCGAACTCCATGTCGCCGTCACTCTCAGCTTCGAGCCAAGGACTGGGAAGCATTCCAGAATTGAAGAGAATGTATCGGCCGGGAAATAGCACGTTTTCTTCATTCGCAAAGGTGAAAATCGGTTCGCTCATATCTGCGTTGTTGAAGCGGAAATCCGTGAGGTTGGGGAGCTTGGTTCGGATCTTGTCGAATATCGTCTCCCAAGTTCCATCAAACCGGTAAGTCCGCCATTCGGGCCCCCAAAGATCATATGCGCCATCCGGAAGTTCCTCCCAGTCGTGCGTAGACACTCCCCACTGCTGCAAAGAGGTCGTTTCGGCATGCAGAAGGTAGGCGACTTGGCAGCTGACCAGCCGCAGGCTCGTCAGTGAAGTTTGCGCTAGAATCCAATCGATTTGGTCGTGATGCGAGAAGACGTAGTTATAGAGGGTCAGCGTCTTGAGGTTAGGGTACACGAGGCCTTTTCCGTCAAATCTTCCAGGCATGGTGCCCCAGTATTCACGGAAACCCAGGCTCAAGCTTGTAAGCGACTCTGAGAAAAGAGGCAACACGTCTTTCTGGAGATGCGGCTCAAACTGCCAACGTTCATCGAAGAAGACGTCCTGATCGGGCCCATACTCGTTCCACTCCTCAGTAACCATGATGGCCAGGCTGTTGATGTCCTTGACGACGCTCGACATCTCCGGCGTGGTCAAGCTTTCCAAGGAGAGATTCTGCACGTTCTCGAGAATCAGGGACCGGATCCTCGAGGCATCGTCGTTCTTGGCTCGCGCGGCCATGGCTTTGAAACAGGCGCTGAGCATTGAGAGACGAGTAGGGGCAGGCTCAACACCGTGGGGCCAAAAAGTACGTGAGAGACCATCATCCCGCACACCACGGCACACTTCCGAAAACCGCAAGTGAACCTCGTTTAGGTTAGGGAGCTCCACGATTCGGTCGATGGCCTTTGTAAATGACGGATATTCCCCCTTTTCCTCCCACTTGTACCAGGCCCTGTAGTCGGCGTTCTTACGCATGTTTGCAGGGGAGCTGTTTATAACGGCGCATTGGGCGGCATTGCGTACCGCCTCGCTGTCGAGTAATGTGTTCCAAGATTTGAACTCGTTCCCACGGTCATCACCTTCGCGCTCGAGACGGCCATCCTTAACCACGAGACGGTCATACTTAACCGGCCTGGGATCATGCTTCAAAGTGACGGTGTGGAAAAGATGCTTGGTGGCAAGGGCGTCCCATTTCCGACATACGAATCGTGCATTGAAAAGGCCATGTTGGCTTGCATGCGCGAGTGCGTTGGCTGGATTGACGCTGTGGGCGAGCTGCCCGAGAACCTGGCTCAACAATTCAGGCGGAAAATCGTTCAGCCTCATGATTGAGAGTTGAATGGGAGAAAAAAAAAACCTGTCAACTGAGCCACCAACAACGTTGAAGGAATGCGTCTTGTTATATGGACTGATTGTTTTGATGGGATGCCCCACTTCAGAGAGCTGCGAAATTCAGGGGTGCGTAGGCAACGCTGCGGTAGCCTAAAAATTCAGTTGTCGGCTAAGTCCCAACCAACACGATGTGATTCAAAATGGTTTGGTTTCTCTTGGCATTCTTCTTTTGGCGGTCGTGTTTGGCGAGGGTGTGACTGTCGAAGTTTTGTGCCTGGATCGTTATACCTAGCAGTTGCCCAGTTTAGTCCTGCCTAAACTCTACGCCGAGGACTGGCTGTCTGGTATGTAAGGTACCTTGATGAAGTGAGTGTTTAATCACCAACAACGTTGGGAAACTGACCTAATTAAGAAGAGACCCGTTTGGTCAACTTAAAAGATTGCCCGGCCGGGTAAAGTGTTGGACCATCACGATTCAATGAAAATGCCGCCAGGTTTGCTCAAAGGTTTAGATCGGATGTGAGTAGTTAAAAGGTGGCAGAGGACAGAGGGCTTGTGTTGAGAAACTTCTGTACGGGTAAGCTCCAATTCTGAAAATGCATCACAGATTTTCTGCGCTCTGAACGTGAAACCCAATAGAGACATCAGCGAGTTGAGAAAACCTTTAAATGCTATTGAGAGATTATTTGGAGAGAAGGATTGGCTTATTGCTCTTTCCCTCTCAACACAAGGAGTATCTCTGTAGGATTATTCAGTTGCATGCCTTGAAATTGTGGGACGTTAGAAACACCACAACTAGCCGAACACATAGTCTCCTTATCAAACCCTTACGAACGGTATTCAGGCCGAATTCTCGAATCGACTGGTTTGAAAGATGGCTTGATGCCTCCACCACGCGATGGCGTCTCTTGCTTCCTCTGCCAGGCTTCTGTAGCTAGGTCCCGCACATCTTGCACGAGCCCAGTAGGGTGTTCGAGAGCAGCAAAGTGGCCGGCATCATCGCGTTCTTTCAAAATATTAGTAAGCTGGCATTGCGATATAGTAGAAGGGTGATTGAGGGAGCGTACCGCGGTAAAAAACAAGATTGCCGGTTCTCTCCACACCCCGCTTCGACGCTGGCTCGGTGTCCCAAAGGAAGGAGGTGTAACCAAACGGGACCTTGATATGATGTTCTTCCATCGCGGCGAGTTCGGGAAACATGTCATGGGTCGGGCCCTCGTAGTATGGTAGCATTGATGGTAGGATGCAGCCAGTAAAGTAGTAAAGTGAAGCCGTCGTAAGAATCGCCTTTGTCCAAAAGGGCTTGGACTGGTTCTCGGGATTGGCTGCCTCGTTGAATTTCTCACCAACCCACATCAAGATACCCATGGGGTTGTCGTGCAGTGCGATTCCAATGGTATGTGGCTGCTCTTGAGTTAGCGACCAGGAAAAGTTACTGGGAAACTTGAAGCTATGCATAAGGTAGCCATGCATAAGAGGCACATACGCGGGTTCGCATACACACGGCATAGCCCATGTGATTCTGAAGCCAATCTTGGCTTCTCTCGGCCACCTTCTTCTCACGTTCGGTATACTCGACGCCATCTGGCATGGGGCTCGGGGCAAAGTTGAGATGTACGAGCTTGCAGGAGTCACCGTACTTGGAGCCTAGTTCGCGACCGACAAGTGCGCCCCAGTCGCCACACTGAACCATATATTCATGGTATCCCAGCTTTTTCATCAGCTTATCAAAAATCCGTGCGTTATTCTGAAGCTTCCATCCGGCACGGGGCGGCCACGACGACCAGCAGAACCCAGGCAAGCTGGGAGTCACAACATGAAATGCCGGATCGCTTGCGTTGCTGGGGCGCGTGAGGGGTTCCCATACCTGGCTGAACTCCCAGAACGAGCCAGGCCAGCCATGGATAGTAAGCAGAGGGATTGCATTGGGATTCTCCGATCGAGCATGGACGAAATGAATAGTGAGATCTTTGATGGTGGTCAGATGATGGGGCACTTGGTTCATCTCCTTCTGGACCTCGAACCAGTCGAATGAATCGGTCCAGGTATTGTAAAGATTTTCAGCCCAATCATATTCCGGACCTGGAGAGTGGAATGAGCTATTGGTCGATTCCTTCAACGTCAATGCGCTCACCATAGTTTGCACCAGCATCAGGGACAATAGGGCGGCCGGGCAATCTTGTGTCTTTCAGTTTGCGGTGTAGGCGGTCAACCTCCTCCCGTGGGATATCGACCTTGAAATCTTGAATGTCCGACATGGTTAGCGTACTTGAGTATGCTCATATATGTTGATGAAGACTACTTTTCCCCGTTTGTCAACCAACAGAGGTGGATTTATATCCTAAACAGTGCTCTGTCAGAGACATTGGATGAACACATGTCTCAATGATGATGATGTAACCATAACCGAGGCATCACTCTCATAATGACATATTGCACGCTTCGACTTGTCAACGAGAAGAAGCAGTGGTAATCACTTCTTGTACATGATTACTAACCATCCAAACTGTTGAGAGATGTTGAAGTTCGTGATAATACAAGGTGGGAGATATTAAAACACAACAGAATAAAGTTGACAAGGTAAGTTATTATCGATTCGCCGATTCCTCTGTTCCTAAACTCTGTAATGCATCGGGGATCTCCGCGGGCTGTATCCGTACTTCCGTATGACATGACGCTAATTTCTCCATACTTTCCCTTACTACACTACTACGGTAGTTTGTACCGCCGTACCGGGTAGTACTGGTCTCCAGTATGTCTGTGCTTTTAGGCCCGACTGAGTGCTTCACACTGAGCTGAGGATGCCCCGAGTTCCTAGACTAGCGGCGCGTCTGGTGCCCTAATTGGGCAGTAGAAACCATAAGGGTTGTCGGGCGAAATTTCCCTATATGGCCCCTACGAATCCAAATAACAAAGTCCATAAATACATACATACATACCTACGGCTAACGTTGGCCCCCCCAGATTAGTGATCTTGGGTGTGTGTACCGCAAGTCAGGAACCAAACTACTTCCAGCCCAACCTACTAGACGACTAAAGGAGGCATGGCCTCAGATCTATCCGTGCGTTTTTAGTGTCAGGTACTGGCAGGCAGTGTACTTCAGCAATAGCACCTAACATTGGCTGTTCGTTCTCTCAGGGTGGGTAAAATGAAGCAACAAGGGTGGTAGAGGGTTGACATTTTACAAATCACAGTTTTTATACGCGTAGAGCAGCCCGTCTAAATACTAATCGAGGGACTCATTACAGATAAAGTAGCCAAGGTGATTAATTAGCATTGTGCTTTTTTTGGACGTGCGATCAAGTCAGAGCTAGGATCAAGCATATTTTTCCCCCCATAAGCAATGCCGCGTGTCACCCGCAGGGCCTGGCAGTCGGGATTCAGTTCCAGAAAGCGAAACCGAGGTGACAATCTCCGGGGAGTGCCGGGCGGAAGGCTCCATCCATAGCGCGGAAATTGAGATGCAAAGACAGGTGGCCTAACGTATCAGGAGACCCAAAACTGTGCCCAGTAGTTGTCGCAAATGGGGGAGGGCATCGACCGCCTTGAACTTACGAGTCCCTCGGATTTCCTCCGTGGCATATACCGCGCATTCCGCGGCAGGCACGCTGTTAGGAAATGATTGCCAAGAAATGCCAACAATAGCTTAGTATGGAAGAAAGATTTAGCAGCCTTCATCCGCCACGGAAGCGAGTGTGAATCTGAACCTGTCATCCATTTAAGTTGTCAACAGAGTTCCAAAAATTCCATGTCTTCGCCGTCCAAGTCGCCGTCCAAGTCGCCGTCGTCGTTGTACATGTAATCGGCAGAAAAAAAACGGACGCCGATCACTCGCCGACCTCCGACGGAAAGTATTTCTGCGGCGCATACATTGCCCATTTTGGTTACCAGTCTAGAATTTCATTCAGAGGAAGCAGATATACTATTATAACTGCGGGACACCGTAGTTTTGCCAGAATATCTCCCACGCAAGTTTTACTTGTGATACATCTCTGCCCCTCCGTAGCCCTGCGATGCTCGTTCTCATCACAGGTATTACCGGCAGCTTAGGCCGTCGCCTGGCTGCCGTCGCCATAGAACGCGGTCTTTCAGTACGGGGTTTAGGGCGCGACCCCGCGAAGCTTGATGCCGGATTACTCAACAGTTTGGAATCCTTCATCACAACGCAAAATTACTACGACATAGCCGCTTTAGACCAGGCCGTCACCGGAGTTGACGCAGTTATTTGTGCTTATACCCCGGCGCCGCTGCTCGACCTGGATGCGCAGCTTTTGCTCTTACGCGCCGCCGAGCGCGCTAGTGTCAAAACTTTTATTGCCTCCTCCTGGAACAACGACTGGACAAACATCAACTTTGGCGAGTATGAGCATTATGACGCACACATCGCTTTCGAGCGACAGGCTGCCATTACAAGTCCTATAAGGCCGGTATACATCTTTACGGGCTATTTCGCCGATATACTTTTCACCCCCTACGGGCCTGGTGGCTTCGACACCACAGGGGAAACGCCCACCATGTGCTACTGGGGTAATGGTAACAAGCAGTTGCACTCCTGGACAACGCAGGATGACGCAGCGGTGTGGACTATCGAAATACTTATCAACGGAAAAGGGGTGCGAGAGGGTAAAGGGGGCTTCTTCAGAATGCGCTCAGGAGAGCATACAATCGAGGAATTGGCCGTGGTATACGAGGAAACCACCGGGACATACGTCGATGTCAGGCGCCAAGGTAGCCTGATAGATCTCGCAGATGAAGTGGCCAGTTTACGAAGGGGAAAGGGGAGGGCGAGGTACTTTGAGTATTTACCTCAGACGTCTGCGTTAATAGCAGACTGGGGTCGTTGGCAAATGAATGACGTTCTTGATTTCGACCATGTCCGTAAATCTACCTCTTTAGAACAGCACCTCAAGGAAAGACTAGGTTTACCGTAGTTCCTGCTTGACTGTGTACTTTTACTTCTGGGCATACTGTATTAAAAGTATTTAAGGAGGAAGAGGTCATTTGACTTTTTAACGAGGATATCCATTCACATGCTGTACATAGGGCTATAGAGACGACGTATGAAACTATTTTTTGTATCAATTTCGCTATAGCTGAGCGGGATACTATGTTTTTACTGTTTGAGAGCGTTTAGCTGCTTAGACTTGCGCGCCATCAAATTCTCTCCACAAGCATAGAAACCCGTTCAATGCTTGGTCAAGAATTTAACGGTTACTATTACAAACTTGACAGGCGAAGGTTGAACCAGGATAAGGATCCTGCTCGTATACGCTAGGGTTCAGCCGACATTAGCGACTTGGGCTTGTAAGGTATGTTGCTGTACGGTACCTCAGATTTGCCTTGAACCGGTAGGCTTGGAGCTCAAGTATCTGCATACCTGAATCCACTAGGTTGCTAGGGTTGAACCTTATAGTAACTCCCCAAGTATTTTAAGCAGGAATAATTTGTCGATGTACTTGGACTAGGAAAGTGTTAACACATCAACAATCAAGGTCAACATAGCTCGGGTCCGAGAAATTACACATTTTTTCTTTATGAATTTTGCCATTTTCGCTATTGGCACCACCTTTCAAAATACAACCCCATATAAACAGAGCTTTTAGTAAACTAAGTAAGTACACCTCTACAAACTATGAATGGATATGACAACGGGAATGAATCGGTTTTTTAGCGGGAGTACTGAGGCCATGGCGAGATTCTGGCTCTCTCGCAGCATTAATACTACTATTTCTGATAGATTTGGTCTCCATAATCTCACCGTTGCTCTTGTATGCTACCTGGCCCCCTACGATAGTAGGTCACTATCAATTACTAGTATATGCGACCTCCTAAAGGCTGAGCCTCCTTAGTGGGTCTACACCGGTACGGTAACTACAAGCCTTCCTATGTTATAGCTATCCCGGGACGGTTCTTCATTAAGTTTAGCTGGGCATAAGTACGGCGGGGCAAGATATTAGGCAAGTCTTCTGTGACAATGTGGCATTGATAAGCGTAAGCCTCATGGTTAGAAGTCAAAGATAGAACAATTAGCAAAAGCAATAGTAGTATCGCTGTAAGTCTTGACACCCTAAATGCAAAGACCCGTCCTCTCAGACTCTTCCTACGTCAGGCCGCGCAAAGAAACGATGCACTTTGAACGATCGGTAGCTATATTCTTAGGCGCCCGCCCTTGTAGTCATGATACGGATAACACGCCCTGATACACAACCGATGAACATAGCTGAGCCTTTTGTAGCTAATGCTACTGGTCTGTACTCAATGGGGAGCCAGACAATCTTCTCCTTGCCTTCCATGATCCAAGTGTGGTCAGGGCTAAGGCCAAGTCCACAGGTGGTGGGAGACAATCTCCACACTCCAGAGGAACACGGTTCGCCTACCCGAGAACTTGCGACTAGGTCTACCGACCCGAAATCAGTGAAAAGTCGCGTGTTGGAACACGGGTCGAAAATGAGATTCTCAGTGAAACACCTGTCAAGCGTGTGCCGGTGGGCGCCCGTGGCCGCGTCCCAGAGCCGTACCGTCCCGTCGTCCGACGCCGACACTACTAGCTGGTCGTCAGGGGAGAAGGCTATGGCATTAACCCGGCCCTTGTGGCCCTTAAGCGTCTGCTGATGTGCTCCAGTAGCTACATCCCATAGCCGTACTGTAAAGTCTAATGATGCTGATGCTACTATCTTGCTATTTAGCGAGAAGACTACAGTGATGACTGTCTCTTCATGGCCCTCGAGCGTCTGCAGATGTTTACCTGTAGCTACATCCCAGAGCCGCACTGTCCGGTCACTTGATGCTGACGCTACTACCTGGCCGTCCGGTGAGAAGCCTACCGCTTCAACACACTGCTTGTGGCCCTCAAAGGTCTCCTGATGTGCGCCTGTGGCTACGTCCCAGAACTGTACCGTCCCGTCGAAAAATGCTGCCGCTAATATCTGGCTGTCTGGCGAGAAGACTATAGCAGTAACCAGGCACTCATGGCCCTCGTGGCCTTCAAGTGTCTGTTGCTGTACCCCTGTAGCTACGTCCCAAAGCTGTATTATGCTATTACTCAAAGTTGCTGCAATTACCTGGCTATCCGGCGAGAAGGCTACTAAATTTATCAAGCCACTGTGACTTTCAAGCGTCTGCTGGTGTGCGCCTGTGGCTGTGTGGAAAAGCCTTAGCGTCCCGTCGTTTGATGCTGACGCTACTGTCTGGTTGTCTGGTGAGCAGACTACTGAGCAAATGTCGTCCTTGTAGCCCTTGAATTCCTGCTGGCGTGCGCCTGAGGCCACGTTCCAGAGCCAGACCGTCCCGTCGTCTGACGCTGACGCTACTGTCTGGCTGTCCGGAGAGAAGGCTATTGCACGGATCAGGCCCTTGTGGCCCTCAAGGGGCTGATAGCGCGTGCCTGTAGCCACGTCCCAGAGCTGTATTCTTCCATTGCCTGACGCTAACGACAGTACCTGACCGTCTGGGGAGAAGGCTACTGCGTAGTCTGAACCCTCATAGCCCTCGAATTTCTGCTGTTGCACGCCCGTAGCAACATCCCAGAGCCATACCGTCGCATTACTTAAAGCCGCTGCTACTACCTGGTTATCTGGTGAGAAGGCGATTGCATGGATTAGGCTCTCTTCGCCCTTAAGGGTCTGATAGTGCTTGCCGGTAGCTACATCCCAAAGCTGTATAGTCCCGTTACTTAACGCTGCCGCTACTACCTGGCTGTCTGGTGAGAAGGCTATTGCATAGATTAGGCCCTCATGGGCATAAATGGTCCGATAGTGTGTGCCTGTAGCTACATCCCAGAGCTCTATCCAAACGTATAATACCAATGCTACTACATGGCTATCTGGCGAGAAGGTTCTTGCAGAGACTCGGCTCTTGTGGTCACCAAGGGTCTGTTTGTGTGTGCCTGTGGCTATATCCCAGAGCTGTACTTTCCCGTACTTCGACCCTGACGCCACTACCTGGCCATCTGGTAAGAAGACTACTGAGTTAACTACGTCCTCGTGTCCCTCGAATGTCTGCTGGTGCGCGCCCGTAGCTGCGTCCCAGAGGCGCACTGTCTTGTCAGACGACGCCGACGCGACCAACTGGCCGTCTGAAGAGAATGCCACCGCGTTGACCGCGCCTTCATGGCCCTCAAGTGTCAGCCGGTGCGCATCCCAATTAGGTTTCACGTCGTAAACACGAGGAAGACCAGGTAGACATTGTTCGGAGAACCTATTCCGCACTCTGCTTTCAAGCGGAGAGAACAACATCAACGCTTGATAGATCTGGAGAGGCGCCTGTTCAATAATAGATCCAAAACTTGCCACAATCTTGCTGGCATCTTTGATGAAATCAATCAATTCTGCATGTGCATCAGAACCCTAGTATCAAGGTAAGCTTAAGTATGCCACGAGAACACGTTCAACTTACCTGACACAAATTGAGAAGCTGCCGAAGCGCGCCGGCTCCATCCGAGACCTTACCCAGAAGCGCCAAAACTTCTAACCAATGAAGAAAGTGCGTGTAGAGGAACTCACACATTTCATCTCCCAGATGCTGTCCACTATTTTGCAAATGATAGACCCAGTAGAGGCATGCATACCGGAGATCAGCGGGAATACAAAGGTCTAGTACTTGCTTGTCAATCCTATCTTTGAGCGCGTCCGGCTTTTGGATGTTGCAGATATCCCGTCTGAGTCCTGTTTCCATGCGCTGAATGCACTGCGCCGCTAGCAAATTGTGTGTTTCTGTAGCATCAATACGATACTTGTTCTTTCCTGCATCCTCCAGACTAAGGATAAAGTCGCTGAACGACTTATGAAGCAGTCGTACAGGTTGATGAGGTTCAGGAGGGATGTCCAGCACTGCATGCAACTCTGGAAGCCACCAATTCACGTCGTCTATATCGATACCAAGGAGATTAGCGAGACAGGTGGCGGGCAGTGGCGTGGCAAGAAGAACAAGGGCCGCCAGGAACTGTAGTTGCTGGCCGGATTCTGCTTCCTCATTACCAAGTAGTACCTGACTGAGAATAGGATCGTAAATTTGACATAGCTGAGATCTGCCTAAGTTGCACTGCTTAAGCCATAGCTTTAGCTGACTCTTGGGGTTTCGTGGGCGCTTCTCATCATAGACGAACCGACAAAGAGTTGCAGCATAAATAAACAGGGGTTCGGGGGTTGTGGCTAATTGAACCACGCGATCCAGATCTTCAAAGGTAGGCCACGGGTCTTGCTGCACGCCGCGCTTTGCTTTGATCTCCGCAAACCGGATCTTTAAAAAAGTCTGGATGTCAGACATGCTATCTTCAAAAAACACGCGGTGAAGCTGCAGTTTGCAAGCAGTCTTTTGTGTAACAAAGGACTCAAGCGCCTTGCTAACTTTGGGGGTGGGCCTGCTCGTGAATAGAACACGGAAGCGTATTGTGTCCACATGCCGGAGCCTGCCTAGCAATGTAATGACCAATGGAAGATGCTCAGGACGCTCACATTCATCCAACGCATCAATGATGATCACCCACGGCTCTTGGCTCGTATTGGTAGAAGCCAGTTCTACCAGAGGACTCAAAATAAGTTTGTCAAACTGCACGCCGAGACCCTTTTTTTCGATCGCGTCCCTGTCAAGGCCGTCAAGACAGCTCCGAAGATGGCCTTTGAAGTAGGGAACCGTATCAGCCAGCTGGATGGCGAGGGTGGGAATCAATCGACTAGTGTCATTTCGGCCCTTTTCTCCTCTCTTGAAAAAGTACCCAGCAGCAAGTCGTTTCTTCTTGGCCAAGGAGTCTGCAATGGTACGCGCAATGGTAGATTTACCAGTTCCTGCTGGGCCTACGAGCCAGAAGAAGGGTTCGCCAGAATCATCATCTGCCCAGCGGTAAATCGTTTCTTGGAAGCGGATCCGGGTTCCACCCGCACATTTCGGGCTGTCTTGGACGTCGAGACTGTCGTAACGCGCTTCGTAGACGATGGGAAGGTCTAGACAGCGACTTTCGAGTATTTCGCTACATGCTCTTAGTATGCCTAGGTCTATGAGAGAGGATCGAGACATACTTTGTGCGCTTGTGTTCAGAGAGCTGCCGAGACGAAATATTGTAGTGATCGGTGGAGACTTGTAGATGTTCTTGTGTAACTAAAAGAAGGCCAAGCATTAGCCCTTTTTTCTTCTTCTAGTTAATTATATTTTTGTCAAGATAAGTGATGAAAGAAACTTACGAGAGACTAGTTGTTGAATAGGCTTCTCCTCTAGAACCTTCTCTGGCCGTATGATTGATAAAAGCTCCTTCGCAAATGCTGCTGCCGTTGCAGCTGCGTATTCTTGCCAAACTTTGTTCTTGTGAGAGTCTGAATAGTCACAGATGCCACGAATAACGAGACAAGGAAAGTCCTGCAGCCCTGCAGCCTCCATCTCAAAGCAGAGCGCCCCGAGTCCTCTGGCTAAGCGATCGCGCGTCTCTCCGTGCTTAATGACCTGGTTGCCTGATGCAATAGTTCCGTAATGAATAAATGGCTCTGTGTCGTCTCTAGCATCCCGTTGAATTGTGTGTGCAGGGTCGCACTGGTCGCAAGAAGAGTCCTGGCTAACATGGTTATACTTTGCTTGGAAAAGATGATCATTCAAGGAGCCTTGATAGCTAAACCTTCGTTTAACTCTCTCTGGACTTTTCTGCACAAGCTCAGACAAGTATTGGGGTATTTTGCTGCCGTTGGTCATATGCTCGGTTTGTAAGCGGGCCAAGGCTGTTAGTAAAACCTGGGGTGGACTATTAAGGGACCCTGTGCGTTGGAACTCCCCATGCTGTACTGTCTTTCCCCGATCATACTGGATAACGCCACCACTGGTTCCAGTAGGCTGGCTTACCACGACGTCGCCTAGCCGTATGTCGTTTGTTCGTGAAGGCGCACCACCTCCAATGCCGACGAGCAGACCGAATCGAATAGACTTGAAGGTCCGTAACAGGTCCTTAGCAACGGTGGCTGCTGTTGTCGTTCCATAAATGCCTGCAGGCAGACAGGCTATAACGATATTGTGGCCCTGGATTTGGCCTAGGATATAGTTGTTATGGTCGGCCTGGTCTTGGGGTATATCCGGGTGAATCTGGTCGAGCATCCCCTTCGCAGCGGCCATCTCAAGCGGGAGGGCGCACACCCAGCCCACTGTGTATTCGCCCGAGTTTATGACAGGTCCTTGCTCAGACGTATCGATTGTGCGGGCTTGCTTGGGTGGTCGAACCGGATCATCGACACCTATCAGTTCACTTAACTTAATATGCGGTCTTATTCTTGCAGCGCGAAGGTATGTAGTCTTACGAAGGTTCGTGCTGCGATTGCGCTTGAGCCCATCTCCCATGCTGACCCCCCGGCTCGCTCTGGTGTCATCGTTGGGTTTGGCGTTGCTACTCATATCGGCCATACTGTTGAAGCATAAATGCACCGTGTAGTATCTTGTTGGGATGGAGTTGACATTCTCAGCCGCAGATATTGCACGTGATATCAGCATTTCAAGTAGGTAAGGCAACGAGGCGGCCTTCGCGCCGAGTAGCCTGCTGTGCCACAGTGATCACTGTTATTACTGGATGATTGCAGCCCATGCTGCAGCCAATCCGAGATCTATGAGAGCGTATGAAGTGCTTTAAACTAGCTGCAAGTAGTCCCCATCGTTGAAAATTAAAACGTTGATGCCAAACAACATCTAGACATGTATTAAAGGCTTCGTCGAAATCTCAATGACAGCAGGGTTTATTTAGGTGGCCATTGAAAGGGAATAGACATTGCAAATGAACCTAGCGTTCTGTAAGGAGGGCACTGCAGAGCAAGAAACGGACACATCCTTTGCGGCTTCCGCGTGATAGCAATGCATTCTATTCAAATTCTCTGAATTCGTTTCCTAAAAGAACCCCTTGAATCTGTTTTCCATCCAAAATATTCCTAGTAAGCCGCCAAAAGAGTGCTAGCCCACCCTCCCTCCAAATTCTGTACGCAGAAAACATACAGACTCCAAGAAGCGCTTTGATCCGGGCGCAAAATCTTTGTGCCCGGCCGGACTTGACGAGGCCAAGTATCGTCCAAGCCTCGGACTGAAGTTCGGACAACGCTAGATGGACGTGCGGCATTTAGACAAGCCAACCCACGCCAGATTTGACAGTGACAGCTCCCTGCGTCAGCATAAAGTAAATGTCAATCTTTATTACCTGAATAGGATGTCGGTTTCCATCAACAGATCAATCATGGTCCAAGAGCTATGTTTGTCAAGTTGCAGGCTCCATGGATTCAACGAACGTCCATAATTGGACTTTGAATCCATATGCACGTTTATCCTTATCCCTTTCATGAGCTGCAGTTGTGAAACAATGCTCACAACTGTGTAGGTGCGAGCAACTGACAACATCAGATGATGATGGCATATATATCCGGAGGTCTCTTGGGGGAATATCATAGCAACTGCATCGAGCCAAATCACTCATAAAAGCATTCAATAACTGCTAGCTTGTGCTGAAGCTTCCCGAAATGATCCAATTTTTGGTGTTATGCGCCGTTTGGGTAGGGCTTTCCCATCAGACGCCGATGTTAGTGAGCCGGCAAAATGACAAAGCATCTGGTCCACTCCATTTGAACGGAAATGGGGAGTTTAAGATTGCCATTTTTGAAGACCTCCATTTTGGTGAAGGTGAGTTGAAGCAATGCATCGTCATTTCCACAAGACTCGGCTAGACGATGGAGTCCGCTAATGACGAATTGCCAGATGCGTGGTCTTTTGGCCCAGGCCAAGACAAAAAGACTGTAAAGGTCATCAGCGACATTCTGGACGGGGCCAAACCGGACCTTGTGGTTCTGAATGGCGACCTTATTACCGGTGAAAACGCCTTCTTGGAGAACGCTTCGTTCGTTCTCGATCAGCTTGTCCGTCCAATGGTCGACCGCAACCTCCCCTGGGCCAGTACGTACGGTAACCACGACTACCAATTCAACCTGACCGGCAGCGATATTCTTGCGCGTGAAAAGCAGTGGCCAAACGCTCGCACTCAGAAAATGGTTGGTGGTGATGTCGGAATCACCAATTACTACCTACCCGTCTATCCGTCCGATTGTACGAACGACAGCTGTGCTCCGGAACTATTGCTCTGGTTCTTCGACAGCAGAGGCGGCATGAGATACCTGACAAAAGACTCTGCAGGCAATCAAGCTGGTCAGCCGAACTGGGTAGACGAGAGCGTCGTCTCATGGTTCAAGTCGACAAACTCTGGCTTGGTCGATAAGCATAAGAAGAACATACCATCCCTCGCCTTCGTTCATATCCCTCCAGACGCCTCACGCGCCGTGCAAGCGAAGGGAATCGACCCATCAAAGGAGCCCGGAATCAACCATGACTCTCCCCTGTCGCGTCAGGCGGAGGGATGGTGCTCTGATGGAAGCCAAAAGAGCACCTGTACCTATGGCGGCCAAGACAAAGCCTTCATGGAGGCGATTTCGGGGACCTCAGGCATGATTGCAGTCTTCAGCGGGCACGATCATGGAAACAGCTGGTGTTACAAGTGGAAAGGCGCCGTCGACGGACTTAGCGTGGAGGGGACCGGTGTCAATCTGTGCTTTGGTCAACGCTCGGGCTATGGAGGGTACGGGAATTGGATCCGCGGCTCCAGGCAGTTGTCCATCACGCGTGATAAGTTGGCCAGAGGCGAAATCGACACGTCGATTCGTCTGGAATCTGGTAATGTGATCGGATCTGTGGTGTTGAACTCCACTTATGGCGAGGATCGGTACCCAGTTAGCCCGGACGACAGAACTTGACATTGACAAGACGCAAAGTTCTCCAGGTGGTGCATCGGAGCAGTAATAAGTAATGAACTCTGATAATGACTAATAAGCATACTGTCTTCATGGCATTCATGCATTCGGTAATCGCGGCATGGTTCAACGTTGTGTGTTCTGTCACCAAGCGCAAGTGAGGAGAATCTCAAACGTTAAGTAATCCTGCTAGTGGTTCCTTGTTTGCTTGTGATGCGTTGCTAGCCGCCTTTGAATATGATATTCTCATAGAGTAAATCTTCTCCAAAAGTATTCTGCTGTCACAAGAGTGGTATCTAAACATAAGCATTGGTCACTGAAACGTTGTATAGTCGAGGACGAAACGAGTGTGTCGTAAACTAGACTTAGTGAACGTATAGGGAATCGCAGCAAGCAACAACGCGCTAGAAACAGTTTTAAATATCCAAAGTCATGGCCTGAGACAGAAGCCAGCTAGATCTCATTGTCTCCAGCAGATGTTATGCGCATGCGTTTGGTTCATCCACGCAACTGAGAGCCTGTTCACGCATTTGTACTCGACGATTCTTGTCAGCATCTTTGCTTCTTTCCAGCATGCCTGCCATATTGAAGCAGAACTTGACTCATCCACGTCTTCTAATATCACCAAGCGGCTTTCTTTTTTTTCTTTTCCCTTTTTATTTAATCTCCTTTCAATATCGTCTTTGATGAACTTGCTGAATGCTGAAGGCACCTAGACTTTATAATGTCCCCGAGCGGCCTCAGTGTTGAATCATTTCGGCGGACCGTGGGGATCGCCCTTGGACGGTGGGGCAGGCCCGTTGGGACGCTTCACAAGTCCAAGATCCCGCTTAGGCGGACCACGAGGATCGCCTGTGGACGGTGGAGCAGGTCCATTCGGACGCTTCACGAGGCCGAGGTTCCGCTTATAGGGAGTATTCTCAATCGACCGGGCATCTACAGGTAGACCTGCTCCGGAGGCGTCGAAACCGCGAGCTTCGGCTACGGCAGCTTCATTCACAGACCTTTCTCAGGGGTTAGTCAAAGAATTTAGGGAGACTTTCCCTTCTTGAACTCACCGCGCTTGAGGAACGCCATAAGCGCTGCTGGCTGATACCAGGAGAACTATAACAGAAGAGAGAAACTTCATATTTGAATTGTTGAGTTTTGATTTGAGCTGTTTGATATATCTTTCAAGTCAATGATCCGTGTATACTAGAGTCTTTATATACGTTGGCAGTGCGCATCAGTCGTTGCCCCGACTTGCACGGCAGTCAATCCATAAACCTGCCGGCCAAACTGCCTAACTCCATATATTAAAGTTACATTCACTGGTTACAGCTGATTCATGTGTCACAAGGTACTTGGAATACGCCATGCCAACTGAACGAATGTGACTCTGATCGCCCATTGCCATGACTTGAACAATAGGCCGTTGGAATTGTAGTCGCAGGACTGCAAGTTTGATTGCCTATGCATTACTTCAACAATTGTAGAAAGAATCATTAGCTCAAGCAAATCATTCAACTCCACGTTTATCAGACAACATTATAAGGTCAGCCTAAGCAGTTTTTACACTCAAAAAACGAACAAACGCATTGCATTTAGGACAAATAAACTTTGAACTTTGAAAAAGAAGAAAAACACCGGAAAGACAAAATACCCTCCTTGAGATGTAACCTATCTTCAGGGGTACTACTAAACACAAGTGAAGTTTGTTTTATCTCTTCCTCAATTAAGGAATATACTCTATTTTGTTTGGTGCTAAATCTGTGTTTCTTTACTGCTTAAAAAATCAAAATTTTACCTAGTTAATTTTCAGGCTCTCACTTAGGACAACCATCATATAAGCATTCAACTATTGAAGAACAAATCTTTGGCCTTGAGGTTCTTTGGCGATTCTCTGACCACCTCTACGCCGACGCGAGCCCCCTAGCAGCTTGTATTCAAGTTGAACGAGTCATACCAGACGTGCCGTCAGTCCTTTTGACAGGGTTGTCAGACGGAGACTAATTGCATAAACCGTGTCACGGGCTACAATAAGAAGCCGAACAAGACCGGCAGGCGACAACGACGGATGAGAGCGAGGGCCGACCGCTGACTGAGCCTCCGCCGAGGTCCTTCTCGCCGTGCTCCAGCAGGGCTTTGGCTAGGAGAACGGGGTCCCTGACGTGCCGAACGCCCGCCACGCCGACGCCCCGCTTCTTGAAGCCCCGCAAGACCATCACCGACGCCTCCAGCTCGTTGATCCCGTCGCGCGTGAACACCGCACCGTGGCCGCTATTGAACAGGAGCTTGTTCTCCAGCAGCGTCTCTGCGTGCGTTGCCGTTTCCAGCGCGGTGGGGATAGGGAAGTACTTATTTTTTATCACGTGGGTAATGCATTCCCAGAATGAGGCGGTGAGTTGCTTTTGGGTGGAGAGCATCATGTGTGTTCCGGGTCTCAAGCGAAAACACCCCCCAAGAAAAAACTGTTTGTCACGCGGGTCTAATGGATAAAAACGGTTCCACCTGTGCTGGTTCGTGGTGAGCACATTGCTCCATCTTTTCTTTCTCCCCCAACCCCCTTCCATGCAACCATGAAATCCATCACTAGCGCCAACATAATGTTGTATTCTAATCTGCAAAATGTAAAGCCAAGGATTTAAGCTTCTTTAACTCGTATCCTACCCCATCTGTTAAAGAGGGGTCAAAGCCACCAAAGCTACCAGTGCTGCCACCATTATTCCCACAACCGAAACAGGGCTATTTGTTGTCGTGGCTGCCGATACGTGGACGAGAAGACCTCTCGACACCGTCAGGTTGCGTCCGCTAGCTTGCAGACAGTTTTCAAAAGTTGCCGAAATAGCTGAATGTGAAGATCCGTTTGTCATTGCTGTAGGAATCTCACACCACTCCCAGCAGCCATTTACAAGCTGAACTGGATTGGGTTGGCAGCAGTTAACCATCCATGAGTCAGATGTGTTTTGCCCTGGTATGACAGCATAAGTAATGCCCTTAGGTATCGATAAGTTTTCAGGCACACTCGACGTCGGACAGCTTGAGTTGAAGGAAGCTGACATGATAAGGATGATAATGTAAAAGAATTCGGTGGTTTTATCGTGACGGAGCGTGTTTCTTCAGGAAGCTCTCAATAATGCTCCTGACAACAGGATTGCGAGAAACGAAGTAGAGGATGTCCGGAGTCGAGATATTCCAGTCCAAGCTTCTGGGGGTAATTCGATCACATCTACCCATAGCTCAATACTTATGGACGGTGCACCTACATACTGAATAAGTGGATACAATACGCATTGAGCGAGGTAAAATCAGTGTTTACTCCGTACCCTTGTTCCAACAGCGACGCAATGAGCTTTGATATGAATTGTGACCTCTTTTAATAGGATGAGCTATCAAGCCTAACTCAACAAGGAATGGGTTTAAATAAATAATACCCACTCAATAGAGCCTAGCCCCCCATACCATAACTTGTTTCGGGACCGCGACCCCCGAGCCCCAAATTCCTCTCAATGAAGAAAACGACACAGTCCTTATGCAACGGAAACATTCCGCTTTGAACACGAAGACTTGTAGACTTTGTTTTAACATCTTACTGTTCTAGGATAGTCTACGCCTATAATCTGCTCCATGTTACGACCTTAATGGTACGCCTTTGCCTTACTTAGAACCACCAGCCTCTTCTATATTTATTGGTTGTCTTGTTTGTGAGGATCATTCGAGATGCCCTAGTCCATTGCTTGCAGACTAACCCCAATTCCGCCAAGGAATGGCTAGCGCCAATTAGTATTCCTGTTCTAATGAGCTTATCCAATCATCTACTAAAATTCATAGGACCTCTATTCTCTCTAGAGTTCACGCATGCTAAATACACCAACGAACGCTCTCGGTGTGTAATGGTTCGGACCCCTGTGGGGCAAATATGACAGCAGACATAAATGACCATTGAGCCAAACGGCCCACCTATGCTATTTCGCAAAAGGTACGTAACAACAAGCTGCGTGCTTGTGGTTCTTCTGTACTTAAGTACGGTGATATCAATGCTTGGGCAAAGCTCATGCCGCATAACCGGGCATAGCCCGTAACACGGTGCGTAGAATTACTCTGACGACTAAGGTCTATCGGATCGACTGCGAGTTGGCTACAGGTACATTATGAGCCACAAATCGGTCTCTACTTCTCTAAACTCTGTGGCAAATCGATATGGGATTGGAAGGAAGTTTACACTGTCTGTCCCTGAATGGCTACAGCCCCACGGGCTATGTATTTGTAGCCAACTCGCAGTCAGCGGGATAGGACTTAGACCTTAGAAGAGAGACCTAATATTATCACCTAACTCTATTACTTAATAAATATAAACTAATGGTTAGCATTATATACGTTGTAAGATAAACTACTTAGTTAAGCAATAAGAAAAGTAACTGATACTGTCACAGTTCCATGAGACAGTCACCGAGGCACGTGATATCTCACGTGATAGTTGGACCCGTATAAGAGACACCCGTGATAACTTCACAATTAGGATCATCAATCAAGAAGAGACCCAATTGCCTTACACCTACGCTTATTCACCTATCTTTTATTGCCTTGTGTACGTTTGTACTGTATTTGTTTACATATCTGTTCTCATCACGGTTCCGACCTCTACCTGTTGTAGCTTTGTGCTTGCAGGAAGAACAGTGACCAATAAGTACTAAGGCTGCACAGGGAGACACCACGTAGTAATCTTGAAGATATGGGAAGATTTGCGCTGTAGTGCAAACTAAACTTGCCAAACCCTGCTTCAGTATTAAGTTCCTTGGCCCGAGCCCTTCCAGCACTCTTTTACTAGTCAGGTCCTTAGGAGACTCTCCACTATTTCTCCCAACAGTTTCTTTCGCTGTTTCATCCATCTCCATCGGGAATGGAGATATCGTTTGTCAAATGATGTCATTCGGTCCACACATCTACACATATAAAAAAAACTCAGGTTTGTATATCTGCCATCCATAACCTCTTCTCTCTTTTATTTTTATCTTCCCACTCCAACAGGAGGGTAGGTACGAGGTGTCGGCTACATTTGATGCTGGTTTTACGCAGATATCTAAGCACGTTGACTGTCGCCATGGCTCTCAACCCCACGAACGTCAAGATTTGAGAGTACCTTGCACAAACACAAGGGGAAACACTAATAGGCCAGGTCAAGATTGATGGCACAAACGGAGTTTGTAAGTACAAGATCTTATTTCTTTTCGCATCGTATTTCAATCTTGCCTTCATGATGTCTACTTAAAACTGTTTTGCCAACTATGAGGCGGCCTACATCCGTCCACTGAGTAGGACTACTTCCTAAGTTTCTGATTCTGAGCATCTTTTACACCGTTCTTGGACCTGGGATCAGACTTAAATACTAATACCCACCTCAGCAGGACATCGTCATCACCCTCCTACTCAATCGCATCTCGTTGAAATAGTCTATTTCTATAGTAATAAAATGGTGCTCTCCTACAAGCCTTACATAATGTGACACTATACCACTAAGTCTTGTCACCTGAAGTGGCTATCGCGTAGAGTAATCAAGTGAGAAGGAAGGGTAAATACATTATCTAAGTGCGGTGCCCGCGTGGCAGCGGAGATTATTGGTATGTGAAAAACGAAAGGTATTAATTTAGTGGCTACTCAGTTTTCATATGCTTATGGGCAATGTTGATGCGATCGGAATCCCAGGCTGAAGTAGTTGTGGGGCCGCTAATTTGCTGGTGGACGGCCCGAGTAGTGGTTGCTCTCCATTATTCCGAATGTATTGTAAATTGTCCGAAGTCAATGGAGTGAAACATCTGCAGAATTCCCACGGGATGATTGGTACGATATAACCAGTTAGGGTATTGGCCGGCGTAGCGATATACTGCAGAGCAGGGTGTAATGCTTAAGGGATTGTCGTTACTAAATCTCTTGCTCTGTATCAAATTTGAGTGCCCTGGCCTGCGCGTGACACCTTGTTAGTTAAGTATGACAGGTCTGAATACTGACTTACTTGTTGATCAACCCCCAAGTATCTATTGGCGTTTGCATCCCGAGAGGGCAGGAATAGCCTCAGGGCCCGACCCAAATGCCACAGTTTTGCCGGCGCAGTGTGCTGACTGGGCAAGGCCGACCTCCTTATTATCAAAGTCGAAGCTGGCGTAAGCTGCCTGCAAAAAGGGTTCTAATTGACCTGTCAGTTGTGTGTCCGCCGACCACCGTGGACAACCACGTCTATGTGTAATTACTTACGCCCAAGAACCAGCTGCCCCTTCCATGTAGTCAAGACGCCGACGAAACATGTCTTACCATCGTCGTCACTAAGCTCGGTAATGAAGTGTTTATACGGCACCTTGATGGTGACGTTGCCAAACTCAAAGTCCCAGGTTCCCGGCATATCACGCTTACTACAGTTCACAAAATACGCGTCATTACCGTCATTAACGGCACCCAGGTCTCGGAAGAGAGGGTCAGCAAAGGAATGACGGAAACGGAAGTACTGATTGCCGGTGTCGAGGAGGAAAACAGAGTCTCCCTCAGGGACGTCGTATTCATATTTCGTCCCATTGGGGGCGACTTGGCTGTAGTGCGAGAGAACGATAGAGGGACTAGAGCTTCATGGTTAAACGTATGACCTGTACTATCGAATGGACAAATGCTTACCCAAATGTGCCGAGCTCGTCCTTAACCAACGGTCTCTTGACAAGCTCGCCTTCAAATCGGCCTGTATCAGCGCCACCAAAAATCAGGGCGCCTTGTGTTTTAGTCAGTATCAATGCCTCTCCTGCTTCGCCTCGGGAGTTTCCGTACCTTTGTGAGAGTCGTAGCTACGCAAGTCAAGGCTGTAGGTGCGGCTGGCAATAGAGCCTTGTGCGGCAAGGCTGTCTAGAACCGTGTTGTATGGCTTGCTTGCCTCATATCCAAGCTCAAGGTCGGGTCCGATACCGAGGAGTCCGGCACCATTATAAGTTCCGTTGGGACGCGGCGTCATAACGCCAAAGGTCTGCTTAGGGATAGTAACACCAGCAATGTCAAATCTGTCTGTGTACATGTCCAGTTCAAAGGTTGCATTGCTTGGGGGTATAGTGGTTGGGTCTCCATATCCAACAGATTCGTGTCCCTGGAGAGGCGATATTGTAACAGATTTGTTAATTGTAAAGAATCCATTATCACAGCTGTCACAGAGTGCATAGACTCCGTCAGATATAAGCCCTGTCTAATTTAGCAAAAGCTCCGATAATGTCCTGCGGGTTGTTCCTACAAGTTTTCGAATTAAAAGATTCCAAACCCAGGTTCATTTTCTGGGGTGGGTTGCCAGCCGAGATCGCGACGGCGTAAGACTGATACTGAATATCACTCTGATCGTGTCGAAGAGATTGAGACTTGACGCCTGCAACAGATCGCTTCATTGCCTTGGGGTCATGCACTGCTTCAACTGGCAGATGAACGACACCAGGAACTGCTTGGGCGGCTTGAACGAGAGGCATTAGGGCGAAAGCCCAGCATAGTCGAGACATGTTTAGAATGAGAAGACTAAGCGAAACAGGTAGATGCTGTGCTAAAGTAAGACAAACGTGTAGGCTGCTCAGCTCTAGCAAATTTAAGACATTATGAGGGCGTCCTTCTGAGTCTTATCATGACAACACAGCCTTTAACGGAGATTCTACTTCCGTTTTTGCCTCTTAGTCAATCATACTCTGAGATTTGTGTCGCGCATTCGCCTAGATAGCAACTATGCAGATCCCTGGTATACGAGTTAAGTGGGTAAAGCTTCATTTCGTACAGGAGCTTAGCACCTAGGCTTGCTAGGCTTCGGGCGATCTAGATTGCGAAGGAATTATAAAGACTACCGCTAAGTAATGTCAAATTACAATCCTGGAGGCAATATCTTACCTAGTGTATTAGAGTGGAGTAATAACCTATTGCGGAAGCTATAGCCTTAATTAAGCCTACTCCGGTAACCACAAGGTTATCCTAGGCCAGGGTTAATCAATTAAGGTTTTTGCTGCTTCGTTAACTGATGGAAAGCTTGAGATTTAACTTTGCTTGGTTCCGTACAGCCGGATGTTATACGAAAAACCTCAATGAGCAAGGTAGCTATTCGGCAATTTTTACCCGTGTGTAATTTCCGAGAAAAGCAAATGCAATCTTCCGAGAACTCAGTTAAGTAGGGCATAGAAGTCGTAATAGAGAGACGAGTTTTTAAGAAACACCTGACTTACGAAATGTACTACACAATCAAAAAGAGACTGATTTCGTAACCCCTGTGTAGAAAGTCTACGTAGGCTGACCCTTCTCTAACCACCCTTAGCTTAGGTGATTCAGGTATTCATAGTAGAAAGGCTACTTTCTTGCTAGAGCTAGTCCGTAGCCTAAGTATGCTTTTGTTTATTAGTCCTTTCTGTACTCATCGTCGGAAATGAATCCTCCTAATTTGCTTTCCCCTGGTAGCTATCGAACGTTTATTGCAATTTCCAGGGAGCGCCTTTTGGATTCTAGTCTTTATCCCTAAACTTGCAGCCTATCCCGTGTTATGAATGCTAGTCATTACCAGCCTTGACCACTGGACACTACCCAGGTGTATTTCTGGGCTATTAGTCAGACCTAATCCTTGTTGAGCTTGACACATCGTTTTAGTAACTGATCCTTATGGCTACAAAGCGTCGATGTTCGCTTGGAAAGATTCAGAAGTCAGTAACGAGATAATTAAGTGCAACGGACACGACTTTAAGACGACCTCGAACATATTCATAACCCTAACCAGACTACGGGCGACATGTTAGGAAAATTCAACTATGGATCTACACAATGTGCATCGATTAAACATGGATGCAGGAGCGAATCTAGTAAGTCATGCTGATTTTCGAAAATCATAAGAAAAGTCAAACAGATCCAAATGTGTGTGGGTGATGCTACTCTATATGCCGACATTGAAACATTTTTCAGGGCGGCTAACAACAGCAGAAGGTGGACTGTTTTCTGAAACCTTCGGTCGCGGAGTCGAATGGCCGTGGTGCTGGATTAACGATAGTTAGTGTAGACTTTAAAGCTTTGGATGTTATCCGAATGGTGCAAAACGTATTGGTGACAAAGGCATCCTTACTTGCATGAACTACACTTCTGGATCCTAGGGAACCCCAAGAATGAAGACCCTAGCACTGCGGTAAAAGCAGGTGTCAGATGTCAGACTCTGAGTGGAAGGATATTCAGACGAGTATAACCTCATTGCTAAAGCGAGCTTCAGACCCCGATTGAGGGGCATTGAGGCGCGTACAAAGCCATGGAAACACCGCTTCCTAGGTCCTTAAAAGCACTGCGTTTGCCTCTTCCTTCTCAGAGGAACGACAAGGGACGGTGTAATATTCCTTATCCGTACATCTAAATTATAGCTTTGACGTAGCCTAATTACTATTTGCCTAGTTTGTTACACCTATTGTGGGTGTGGAGATAATGTACATCTATAAAACCTCGGGAGCAACGTGCTGCCCGATTCGCCGTCTTCGGTTGACTTCATATTCCGCAACCCGATCATAATACATGACATGGCTCTTTTTGTCCTTTGTTTTTTTGCTAAGGTAGTCTCTGCTGCAATTAGCTGCAAACATAACTAACTTAAATGGAAGCCAAAATGCCTTGAACAACAAAAGCAGAACAACGTTGGCAGCTTTACTAACTCTGAAAAGATGATGCTATACAGCTGGCCTGTCACAGATAATCATATATGCAAATTGCTAAGACAATGAAAAATACTGCAATTGACTTCATTCAAGGAGGCTGGTAACCTACTCATGTCATATTCTGTGGGCTACTACCTTCCGCAGCATGCATTCCTCCCCTCAACCAGCCGAAGCGCTCTCCAACCATTATCGTGACTAGCCAATAAGCAGAATTTGAATGTTCGTCTTTCGTTGCTTGCTCTCAATTTCAGCTCCTCAATTGATTGGGAAATTTTACGCTGACCGCATGGCGAGAGAAGCAAATAAGTCCCGTGGTTTATGCCTTGGGGGCTCCCATTTATTGACCGCTATGCGTTCCAAGTTGCTGCTATTCGCACAGTGAGAGCTCATGTCTTAGGGAATCAAAGTTACAGTTCACCGTTCTAGCTAGCTAGCCTTGCTATATCTGGTTAAGTACTTAGGCCATCACCTTAAATCGCTGGGCAAAAATTTACCAAACCAAAACCTTCAAGACCACTGCACACCAACAAGAGCGCTTAAGACCTTGTTTTCAACCCGCAGTGCCCACCTCGGGTACGCGGACCGCAAAAAGTGGCCCCTGTTTGTGCCCTAGTTTTGAAGGAGGAAAAAGCAAAAGATTTTGACCAGCATGGGGGTCGAACCCACAATCTCCTGATTCCACGGTGTATCGTAGTCAGACGCCTTGCCATTGGGCCAACCGGCCAGACAATTCAGAACACCTTAGGTGCCCGTCTGTGAGAAAATGACTAGGCATTGCCACCTATAATGGCGAGGACCAACTTGTCTCGATTTTTTGGATCCTTTGTCTCCCCTGCTCTTCTCCAACACCCACCAACAGAACACTCAAACCCCAGTAAGCGCTGCAGTGGGAGGAAAATTCCACTCTTTTGTTCCTGTTCATGCAAGAAGTGGCATTTTCGTCATCGTCAGTAGCCAGCCGATGTGACCAACAGAGTGGCCAAACTTTAGCCGGAGCGCTGGTTGGTTGAAGGCAACGCTGCAACCGCCAGCAGGCTATTTCCAACCAACAACAAAACAAAAAACCCTTGTAAATGCAGGACTGCGGCGCGCGCTAGGACGGCCCCTCCTTCAAATGTACCGCCTACCCGTGTCCCTGCCTACACCGTAATCTTCTACCGATTTCCTCTCCCCCCCCGCACCGATTGAACGGATTACCCTCCCCGACAAGTATAGCAGGAAACGCAACAGTGTGGGAACGGCCACTCTATGGGTAGCGCACGCGAGTCGCTGTCGTCAGAGTCTTGATGGACGAGATGGCTGTTGAGCGGAGGACATCGGTATGTTCACTGACTGGATCCGTCCCGCCTAGCTGGGGCATCAGCTTGCGAATAGCATCATGACTTCGTACACAGAATCCAGACTATGACGAGTCCATGTCTGATGCGGACTCCGCATTTGGAGAGGTAATGTTTGGTCAATACCCATAATTGATCACAAGCACTCATTTCGAACAATTAGCCGCAACCTTCGTTGATCTCTTTGAGGTCCAGCATATTCAATTACCAATTCGAAAATGGTCGCAGGTACCATTCAATGAGTGAAGGCAGTGAGTATCTTCCTTTCACTTACCTTCAATCGTGTGTTCGTGTAGTTGACGACGACCAGAATACGCATACCCAAACGATGATGTATGCTTCTATCTCAAAAGTCCCTTTTTTTCTGCTAGCTGTACCCGGTCTAACAAGCATATTCTTGCAGCTAGAGATTCGACGTTTAGGTGCGTATCATCATCTAAGCCCAATCACTGGTTCTAATGCTTACAAATTACAGAACTTCAACATCACATATGGCTGATTACATTAGATGGGGAGTTGGCGTGCAATCCAGCCAAACATCTGGCAAAAAGGGTTTTGGACATGGGAACTGGGACTGGAGTCTGGGCTATTGACTTTGGTAAGTCATCTGCGAGAACAACCTAATAAACTGCGGTTTACAAGCTTGGCAAAACTAACACAACTCACTAGCTGATGCATACCCTGGTTCTGAGGTAAGCATGCACGTCAGTCCGGGGGATTCACACTAATCTAATGCATATCCAGGTTATCGGGGTGGACTTGAGCGCAATTCAACCGCAATAGTGAGTTTGGTGCAGGAACGGAAGATGCCAAAACTAACCTCCTTTGATCAGCTTACCATCAAACTGCAGCTTCGAGATCGATGACCTTGAGAAAGACTGGCGTTGGAGCCATCCTTTTGATTTCATATTTTGCCGGGCCATGGCAGGCAGCTGGTCTGATTTCCCGTCCATTATCCAGGCAGTTTACGAGTACGAAACCCTACACCCTCTTTCTGTTGAGCTATGGCTACTAAAACAGGATATAGCAATCTTAATCCGGGAGGTTACTTCGAAATCCAAGACCTCGAACTGCCAATGTGCTGTCCCGACGGAACCATTTCAGCAGACTCCGCCATCTGGCGGTGGCACAGAGTCGTCGTTGAAGCCGCTGCGGAAATGGGTCGACCCCTCGATTACGTGCCAAAAAGCATCCCGCACTTGGAACGGGCAGGCTTTACAGAGATAACCCATCGTGTTTTCAAGTGGCCGTTCAACAGCTGGCCACGACACCCGAAACTGCAGGAGATCGGTCGGTGGCACTGCCACAACCTCGAAATGGGCCTCGAGGCTCTTTCCATGGCTCTGTTGACAAGGGTTAAGGGCTGGGATCCGGCCGATGTTACGGCACTTTGTGAGGAGGTGAAGAAGGAAGTCAGGGATACAAATATGCACGGGTATTGGAACATGTGAGTCCCCTCCTTCCATTACACTGATGAATATATCCAGTTGAGAGATCCGTCGTACTCACACCCGTATTAGTCATGTAATCTACGCGAAAAAGCCATGACGGAGCTTTCAGAGGGCAAACAGGACAGTGTAAGAAAGGGCTAATAGAGCAGCTGCTGTACCACAAACCGCAACCATATGGACTCGAGGAACGCATCAAGAAGACTTTTCTTAATGATGAGATGACAGTTACTTGTTTATGCTAGCAATCATTCATGCATCATTTAGCGGGCTCAAGAAATAGACACCAGCAGTGTTTCAAATCTCACATGACAGTTGTTACTTTGGGGTTCTGATTTCTATACTTCCTCTTGTCCAAGTTGAAATAGAGATAGGTGTTCGGTGTAAGCATTGACTGCTTGCAAATAGCCCCGTTCGGGAGGCTCATTCAGGTGACATTAAATCCGAACCTTGAGCCAGTAGGGCGTGAATTGAAGGCCGTAAATCCGTAATCGTTACGAATGAACTACTGTAGCCTAAGTAGCTAAGTTCAGAACTATGTAATAAGGTACCAAGAGATAACACGGCCCGAGATAGTCACATAAAATTTTGCGTATCTTGATTAGTTGAGCGCCAGTCATGATCAGTCAGGTAGTCCGCAATATGTACTATATTTGATAATTTAAATAGCAAACAAATTCTTAGTATGTCCAAGTAAAGTGAAGATGCCATCATCGGCTGGTTAGGCATCCGGCGATATACAAACAGAAACCCATCACCCATAGTATTGTACACATTAATCCAGGCACCCAATCATTGCGTAGCAGCTATGGCCACTAATTACTGCTCGGGCCCGTCGATGGCGGGCTGCTCCTCTCTCTTGACGCGCCTCATCTTGACGCCGCCACGAGCCGCCCAGTACTGGTCAAGTCTTCTCAGGACCTCTTCCTCGTTGTTGTAAGGCTGCAGCGAGGCCATGAACTGGATCTTTCGGACGATGGCGTCGCGAGTGAAGTCGGCCGCGTTAACGGGGACAGCCCTCCATCTGCGCTCCATTGGGTCCGCGAACGAGACCTCGGGGTATCCGAGATCCTTGAGGGCGGTGACGTTGAAAGCTGCCATCATCTCGTGATCCTCGTGGATGAGATTGTGGCAATGGAACATGTAGACGCCGTCCCAAGGAGCGTAATGGGCCTCCACGCGGACGGTCTCGCCGGCATCGAGCCATACAACATCCTTCAAGCCAGCCGCCTCGTAGTTCAGCACCCTACGGTCCTTACCAGTACGGCTGATGATGCGGAAGTCGACCAGGTGGACGTGGATAGGATGAGTCCAGCCGCCGCCGCCGTTCTCGAACTCCCAGACCTCGACGGTGCCGCGGGGAACGTTGGCGAGAATGCGGTTTTGGACGTCGCTGAAGCCAACACCGTTGATCTTCCAGAGACCGTTCTTGCGGTGGAACTCGAATTTGCGGTCAACGCCGTTTTGGCGAGGTGGGAAGGGAACGTCACGGAGCTTGGCAGGCACAACAGTGGTATCAACTACAGCCCGGTTGCCGACCACGAATCGCATGACCTGGTTGGTGAAGCCGAAGTCCTTGTCCTTGCCAACATCTTCCTGGTTTCTCAGGGTGATGTTTTGGCCAGCAAACTTGGAAAAGTCAAAGACAATTTCCCAGCGCTCAGCCATGGAAGTAGTGAGGGTAGTCGAAGTCTGGGGGTTCGTGAGCAGACCGGCATCCGAGGCGATCACCTGGAAGGGGATGTTGGCGCCACCGTTCTGACGCTGGAAGTAGAGGATGAAGGATCGGGAGACGGCAGCGTTGAGGAAACGAAGGCGGTATTTGCGGGGTTCGACCTTGAAGAAGGGCCACGGCTGGCCGTTGACGTGGATGACGTCTCCGTACAAGCTGTCTGTTTCTCCCGCAGGAGAAAAGAGGCTGCCGTCCTTCTTATACTGCTTAGAGGCGAGCACAAGCGGGATGTCATCGACGCCGTAGGTCGAAGGGAGGTTGAGAGCATTCTCGGCAGGGTCTTGGACGATGTATGCACCGGCCTGGCCAAAGTAGGCGTTCACAGCAGTCTGCGTCACAGTCAGCAAGAGATCCTCGTCACCGGTTGGTGAGAGATCGTGAAGCTTACAATATCGACCGCGTGGTCGTGGTACCACAACATACGGGCGCTCGCGCTATTGGGGTAGTAGTAGTCCTTGTACTGTCCAGGCTGGATCAGATCTTCAGCCCAACCATCCCAAGGTGCTCGCTGTAGGTGAGTTAGCACTCGGTTTAAACTGAAGGAGTTTGTTAAAACTCACCGAGGGAGAACCGTGAAGGTGGATGGCACTGGGGTTCACGGCCTTGTTGACGAATCTGACGACAGTCTGACGCCCTCTGGGCACCAGAAAGGTAGGTCCAGGGGAGATACCGTCGTAGCCAACCAACGTAGCAGGCCCCAAGTTGGGGTAGACCTGCTGCTTGAAGGACTTGATCTCGACCTCGTAGTAATCGATTGGTTTGTTAGTGACTGGGTTAGTCACTTGGCTGGTCTATTGTCAGTTCTGTTTCCGATATCATGGCAAACTTGTTGCTTACAATTTGGGCTGCTTGACCGGCGGGATTGGCAGAGGGAATTGGTAAAAGAACCTGTACTCGGGGCTGAGCCAATCCTTAGCCATTGACCCCTCGAAGAGGGCCATTATGGCCAGGGCATGTGAAGTTTTGAAGAACATCTTGAATACTCCGGAATATTTGACACGAGGGAAGCAGGGTGCCGTTGACAGAGAGATGCTTGCCTGGTGATCCAAACTAGAATTATGGGAGTGGAATCAAACTTATATATCTTGATATTAGCCAAAAATGCTATGGACGAACGTTTCGGATTTCAGAACAGTTGAGATCTCCCGAGTGGCGTCGCGAGGCCGTCTAGATCATCGTCGCCATGGTGTGCTTGGCCGAGCCAGTCCGAACATACATATGTACGATAGTCTAAATATGTTCACTAGCGCGATCAGACACCGCAACTCGGCAGATACAGCAGAATTTTGAACAACCAAAGATCGGTCCAGACTTTGCAAGAGCCGGCAATTGATCGCGTGGGCTGATAAGCGCTGTGCGCAGTACGGGCACAGGATGCCAAGTTCAGCCGTGCCTGAGTCTGACAGGACTCCGGCCGCGCACACCCTGAAATGCTTGATATCAGTAAGCATTGCCAAGTCGGCGTTGACGCAAACCAACCCCAGAGTGTCGAGCAACCCGAGAACATGGTTCAGCTGCCAATACGGCGGACATCTTGGTAGAGCTACAGCTTTTTTGGCCTGTGGGATTAGCGTCTTTGAGCGTTTCCAAGAAAAAGCGCAAGGTGAGGCGTCCGTTGGTCTTGGCATCTGAAGTCTGAACGGGAGATCGCCCAAACAATAGTAGTATTAAGCTGTACCCCGGCACGCGGAGATGCAAACATCCCCGAACAGAGAAGCCCCAGATCCTCATTTGGAGCCTTATTCGATCCTTGGTCCCCGATTTGCGGCCAGAGCACATGGGCTGCTGCAGCAACGTGGACTGAGGAAGAGCGGCTGAGGGATTGCATGTCACCCACAGACCAGATCATCACAAATAGATGTTAGCTTTATAAAGAGCTAGTATATCAATTCCATAGGTTTGTTGTAACACGTGTATGGCGTGGTCGATTCAGCCACTGTTTATGTTCTGATTGAGTTTCTCGTATCACCTAGATCACATCATTGCTTCTGAGATATTCTAGGTGGATCATTTATCACCACCGGCAGGCAACTAATCTTATCTCGAGCCCCTGACAATTGGCATGGTTTAGGGCACTTGTGGCGTTATTTGGTATAGCTGCTTCTAGCAGATGAGCCTTGGACCATTAGAAGGCTCGGACGTCTCCCTGAAACTGGGGGAAGATCGCGCGCGCGTGGCTACTAGGTTTGGCGGATGGACTCTGGGCTGGAATAATATCCGAAGAAGCGCATGGCTACTTACGAGATTGTTGACTTTGTTTTTTGTATGACAGGGGAGTACTCCTGGCAGGTTTCAGGAAGAGACTTGTTTAGAAGGATGAAAGCCTGCTGAGCTTCGGACAGAATCATGACCTTAAAAACAGAGGCAGACGCTAACCAAACCTTAAAACCTGGGACATTGCCGATTACCTAAACAATAGCGCTTCTATACACTTAATCTCGGGTTCTTCTTCAGCCAGTCAAGTTGCGAGCCTTCACAAACTACATGGCACAGTACGGATACATGGGCCCATATCCAAAGAGCGTGGATGGCCCCCTGATAAAATAGACAAAAGCTCAGACCCCACACCTCTAGGGCCGGAAATCAATCCGAACCGCCTACCGCTCCCGGTCCGATGTCCAGAGGGCGCATGCTATGCCGTGTCTTTGCCGTTCTTTTCTAATTCGATCCCAGGGGACAACGATACTAAGAAATAGCAAAAAGAGGGGCTCGACCGGGGATCGAACCCGGGACCTCTCGCACCCAAAGCGAGAATCATACCTCTAGACCATCGAGCCGATGCGCTTTTCCTTATTACATAAGAGCGGATGTGAGAGTCGACGCTCCATTTGCGTTATATAAGCCGTTACAGTAATGACGAGGTAGAATTAGCCGCCTAGTCTCATATCACCACGCATGCTTCAGTGAAAACGAGCCGCATCTTCCATCGCCGCGTTATGGCCTCTCAATCTTATTATTTTCCCTAAATCCTAATTTTCGCTACCGAATTAACCGTTATCCCTAATACCTGTGCATACCCTAATTAGCTTTTCTGGGCACACCACATATCTACATGTGTAGACTGGTAATGCTTGCTTAAATTAAGAAAGTCTAGCCAGCTAGGGGCCCCTTCTCAATCGCATGCAAAGACTGAGTCACTTATCGAAACTCGGGCAACTGCAAATTAGGGCCCATTCACAGGCTCTGTTATGTAACTTGTTATTCCCGTCAAGTTCGAGTGCATCATTCGGGGCTAGACATTTCATAGTGGCCTGATGATCGAGTCTACTTAGAGAGGCAAGCCAGCCGTTGGCGTGTACTGACGTGTTCGACAAGAACTTGACTAAAACGAAGCCACCCTTCGTCGAATGGAGGGGGTTGTGACGGCTCTAGACTGATCGACTGACGTTGACGAAAACCAGCCGCCACCGAGAATTACTCCAGCTGCCGCTACAAGTCGCATGTGCCGTCGTTCAAGCCGGCCGATTGCCGGGAGAAGATATGAAACATCTTGTCTATGGTAGCTAGCTGCTGCTCGGGGACTTCTCTTAATGCGGGTCATGTTTATTCAATCAATGACACGATCGTCAAGGTATTTCCCAATAAATGACGAGCCTAATGAGTCGCATCGTCGCAACTGTGCAAAGTTTTTGCAGTAAAAGCCAATCCCCGAAGAAGAGGAGCCTGATCCCCATTAATCGCCAACAGTCGGGGCCGAGGCCGTCCTCCGCGTGGATCTCTCACCGATACCCGCCCGGGACGGCTGTCGGCCGGCCGGAGAAGAACACCCGCCACCATCAACCAATTTTCCTATCAACTACACCACCGACGCAGGCCAAGTTCCCCATCCGCAGCTCCATCATCGTGATCCACTCTTAGGGCCCCTGGAGCAGTTTTTTTCTTGTCCCAGATGAACTAGCTTGTGCCGGCATCATGGGGACATCTAGCGTGCCCCATTCCCCGCGAAATCTGTTCGCTGCCGCCGAGAGGCCTTCGATCCCAGGTTGCCGGTATGGCGTTGAGCTGTCTACAAACTCTGGGTTTTTTCAAGCATGGAGGGACCTAGGATTGCGATGGCCGATAGTTAGGAGTAAATCTTGATCCATCCTGTCAAAGGAAGATGAATCGCCGGTCTAGATCGCCGTGCCGCCCTAGAAACGTAACTATTACCCTCCCCGGCATGCTGCCAAGTTAGCGTACCCTTGTCCTCCCGATAACACGGGTGCCAAGGCGGCTGGCGGTGCGGCTTCTAGAGTGGTCGGCTTTGTGAGTGGTATGTCCTCGAAACAGCCGCTGCCCCATCTTATAACCTGCCCTTATCGCTTTCAGATCATACATGAACACCATTCTACTCGGCCGCTCATCTGAAAACAGCTCCAGAACAGACTCGTTCCTGTGGCCGTTTTATGTGCTCAGTGACATCTTTCAATGACTTCACATCCGATCTTTCGGACCCAACTGTCAGCATAAAAAATATCAGAACTTTTAAGATTTAAAAAGACTATGGCGCCCAACAAAGCCTGGGCGGTGGTGGCCAAGGTACTTGGTATTGACCTTGAAGCCAGCACTCGGCATCAAACAAAGGAACTTCATGAACACGTTGCGAAGAATATCTCGCCATACGAACCGTACTACGAAGAAGACCCAACCGTAAAAGAATGGCTGCTCGAACACGTACCGACAAAAGACGGGTCGATCCGTTATGCCAAGAGCCTATTTCCCTTCACCAAATGGATTCTGAGGTACAACACTCGCTGGCTTATGTCTGATGCCATTGCAGGTAATACCAACTTCAGCATTTCCGTGGTATCAACTAAACAATCACCAGGTGTAACTCTCGGGCTTGTGGTCATTCCCCAAGCCATGGCATATGCTCTGCTTGCACGCCTGAATCCCGAATATGGACTATATACCTCGTTTACCGGTGCTGCTCTCTACTGGCTATTTGGAACATCCAAAGACATTGCAATAGGCGTAAGTCCATCTATCAGTCCTGATCTATCCATTTCTAACCGACGCCCAGGCAACAGCAGTAGTCTCTCTCCTCGTCGGCAAGGTCAGTGCGAAAGTCCTCGAAGAACACCCCGGCGAATTCGCACCTGAAGAAATCTCCAAAACACTCGCTTTCCTTGCCGGTGCAGTCCTACTCGTCTTCGGCCTTCTCCGATTAGACTGGATTATCGAGTTTATTCCTCACGTTGCCATATCTGCTTTCGTCACTGGTGCCGCCATCACAATCACCCTCAGCCAAGTTCCTTCACTTCTCGGCATCGACGGTGTCAACTCCAAGGCTGCGGCATACCGTGTGTTCATTGATACTGCTCAGAGTCTACCTCGGATCAAACTGGATGCCGCTATTGGGCTAACGGCTCTGGTTTTGCTGGCACTCATCAAGTGGTACTGCGAGCGCATGGCCAGAACACAACCAAAGCGACGACGTATGTGGGAAACGCTCTGCTCTCTGCGCATGACGTTTACGATTCTGCTATATACGCTCGTCAGCTTCTTGGTGAACAGAGGACTGGGTGCCGGGGAGCACAAATTTCGCATCACGGGAACATTGCCAAAGGGTTTCACCCACGCTGGCCCACCGACGCTGAGCCCAAAGTTAATCTCGGCGCTTCTCCCAGACCTCCCTGCCACGGTGATCATTCTTGTGATTGAACACATTGCTATCGGTAAATCATTCGGCCGCATCAACAACTACACCGTCCAGCCTTCTCAAGAGCTCATCTCTATCGGCTGCACAAATCTCTTTGGTCCTTTCCTCGGTGCCTACTCCTCGACAGGATCCTTCGGCGGCACCGCCATTCTTTCCAAGGCCGGGGTAAAGACACCTCTTGCGGGCATCTTTAACGGAATGATTCTTGTCCTTGCCCTTTATGCTCTCACTTCTGTGCTCTACTACATACCCATGGCAAGTCTAGCGGCGCTCATCATTCACGCCGTGATCAATCTGATTACCTCCCCAGACCACATCTTCAAATCATGGCTCATGTCACCGCCTGACGTATTCATCTACTTCGTCGGCGTTTTCGTTTCAATCTTCACCAGTCTAGAAAATGGCATTTACGTCACCGTCGCCATGTCAGCAGCCCTGCTTCTCCTCCGTCTTGCTCGGGCGAGGGGCCGCTTTCTAGGTCGCGTGCGTACTCACCGCCATCCCGATCGAGGCTCTCCTGAGCAGATCGAATCGGATCGCCACTCCGTCAGCAGCTCTGAGACCCTTCCTCACACTCAACCCCTTGCCTCTCACCACTCTGCCGGACGAGACGTCTTCTTGCCTCTCGATCGTAAGGACGGCACCAATCCCGCCGTCCAAGTAGGAGAACTTTATCCCGGCGTGTTTATCTATCGCTTCACCGAGGGCTTCAACTACCTCAATCAAGCACAATACGTCGACTCCCTCATTCAGCACGTCACCCATTCGACACGTCGGACTACGACCCCTCACTATGATCACCCAGGCGACAGACCTTGGAACGAGATTGTGCCTCTGCCATCCTCCGGAACCGACTCAGAATCACAAGCCTTACCCAAGCCACTCCTCCGAGCCATTATTCTTGACTGTTCTGCAGTCAATAATATGGATTCTGGTGCTGTCGAAGGGCTCATTGATCTCCGCAACCAGCTCGATCGCTGGGCGGAACCCGAGCCAGTTGAATGGCACTTTGTCGGCCTTCAAAACAGATGGACTCGAAGGGCCCTGTCTGCCTCTGGCTTTGGGTGTCCTACTACAGGGAGGCTGGACACTTGGGAGCCTGTATTTACTCTTGCCGAGCTGGCGGGTCGACCTCACTTACTCGATGAAGGGGCTTCGACCGCCAAGGGGTTGCACACCAAACATGATGCAAAGAAGTCCTTGTCTTCTGCTCTGGAAGATGGTGTCTTGACTTCCGCAGAAGCTGGTGCGCGCAATCTTGGCGCCGTGCTTGGAATAAACCGCCCGTTTTTCCATCTCGACTTGACTTCTGCCGTTGAGAATGCGGTGAAGAATGCGGCAAGCAAAGAACATTGTCTTGAGGGATTACCTCATTAGTTTCTTTTGTAGTGATTAAGGAGTATGGAGTGAGAATACCCAAGGGCTTGATTCGGGCGTTATAGGACAAGATTGAGAAAGATTGATGACCCAGGACATGAACGCTTACATTTATAATTTTATCGAAGGACTTTATCATAGGTATAGACAGAAAACAATTCAACTAGAATCTAATTTAATAGTGTATACTCTTCATATTGGTATCATTCCATGTGTTGTAAATTGATCATACGAATCACTTCTTTTCCCACTCATTCTTAGGATCGAGTCTCAAGTCAAGGAGTAGCGGACCATAGCCGTCTTATCAGGTCATCATCTCATTAGGTCATACTTCTACAGATGTTGTACATTGAACCTTTTTAAACCACGGTTGTAAAGATCTGCATCAGACCCTTACTCTCCCACTTCGCTTCAATGCCAGGGGCAATGTAGAAAATGTGGCCCTCCTTGACATCGAACTTCTTTCCGTCTGCCTCCAAAGTACCCTCACCACCAGTGACGATGGCAACAGCGGGGCCGTCGCCCGCCTTGATGACCTCGCTGGTGTTCTTCTCATCGAGCTCCGTCCGCAACATGTCAAATTCGCTCAGCGGCGGGCGGTACACCACCGTACGTCCCTGAGCGCTCCTGGAGCTCGTCTCCGCAGGCAGCAGAACGTCATCCTTGCTGTGAGCCTTGAAGGTCAACGTCTTGCTGAACAGGTCGATGTTGTTCCGATCACCGGGTGGGCAAAAGCCGGTGTTGAGCACGTTGTTCGACCTCGCCATACACTCGACAATGTCTCCAGACAAGTACGCGTGAATCCCGTCGGCGGGGATGTACAGCGCCTGGCCCGCCTCCAACACCAAGAAGTTCATACACAGCAGTGCGACTAGCGTGCCAGGGTCTCCCTTTCCGTACTGCTCCTGCAATCTCGGCAGCAGCTGCAACACGTAGGCGTTACCGCCAAGTTCTTCTCGAGGAGTGTCGCCAAGGGCCTTGGCGGCCTTTTCGACGGTCTCTTCGTCAGCCAAGAGAAGCCGACGAGTGACCTCGCGCAGCGTCTCGTCGTTCCAGGTTTTCGTGCCGTCCGGGATGAAGTCTCTCAGAGCGGGGATATTGAAGATGGGTGAAATGCTGTCCAGAGGCTTGAAACCGGCGAAGACCTCGAACTTGCCCAGCGCGACGGCGATTTCGGGCTTGTGGTTCGGGTCAGTAAAGTTGTCTGGGTCCTGCTCATGAAGCTTGCTGGCAAGGGACTTGTTGGGGTGGATTTGCAAAGGGAGAGCCTTGGCGATGGAGAGAATCTGGTTTCGTGTCAGAAAGTTATCGCGTCGCGGTATTTGAGGGCCGATTAACTCACCTTCGGCAGATACGGGAGCTGAGCGTCAAGCTTCTCAATCACCTTCTTTCCCAACAACTTCTCCTTGTTCTTCTGCAAGACATCGCGCAGCGGCTCGCCTGTCTCAAGAACCCGCGCGGGGAAATCCGGGTAGTCACCAAACCACATCTCAGAGTAGGCCTCATCGTCCTTGATTTTGAAGCCGGTGGGAGTGTTTTCGCACAATCGCCCCGCAAGGGACTCGCGACCTTTCTTCCCCCAGTCGTAGTTGTTGCATGTTCCAGAGAGCTGGAAGACGGTACTTGGTGAACTCATGATGGTAGCTTTGGTTTCTTTTATGAATTAATCCTAGTGTTGGCGATCAATGAATTAAGTCTATGGAGGACAACAATAAAAGATCAAAGTGAAAGATACCAGTCAGCTGGTTTTAATCGTGTCTGGCATCTCCCATCGCATGATACGGCGCTTGGATTTCACAAATGTGACGGCCTGTGACGTCGGGGGATTGACGCAAGAGGCTCGTCATAGAGAAGGCCCGGCGCGATCCCCGGCCCCACTACGCTGGAGCTCGGTGGGCCGTGGCGAACTAAAAGCCGGGCTTCACGTACTAGACTCCCGCTGCTCCGGATTCTCTGGTATTCCATAGGCTTTGTGGGTGTATCGGACTTTGAAGATTTACCATATGCTGACAATTGTAAAATAAATTACAAACTTAGCTTCAAATGTACATCGAGGAGGTAGGCGATCATCCTGCAGTCACTTAGTGCCACAAATATACGGGACGACTTGTTACCAACCATCGAGTGCGATAAATAGCGCGAATATTTAACCGGACATGGACGTAAAACTGTTTCAATCAGATTGAATTTAGGAATCGACAAGTCCTATCTATTAAGAAGACTATCCTTCAACTCCCCATCGCATAAGAGTAAGTTGTCTTGTGTGATGGCGATGTATTACAACTAGGAATCTAATACGTGACAACCCTCAGACCAAACGGATCCTTGTATCCCTAGCATCCCGAAACCCATCCCAGACATCATGACCAAACAGCCTTCCTGTACCTACTCTCTCATAAATATCGTCACCGCTAACCGCAGCACCTGCCACTACATTTGTTTTCCGAAGATATACGACGTTGTAAACATCATGCCATGGCAGTAAATTACCAACTACGTTGCCGCCATCAACACCCCGAAGGGTCGATAGAAGCAACGCAAAGACCTCGACAGAATTGTCGCTCTTCGATCCATCAACCTGGAGTTCTGGATGTTCCACCGATGCATAGCCGACGATATTTTCAGGGTATGAACGAAGACTAACGGTGCGCCATTCAAGCCCCTCATAAGTCGACTCATCCGGCGCAGGCCTATGGATAATCTTTTCCATGGCTCGTACGTCTTCTTTTGAATCGAAATAACTATGAATGGTAACAGGTTGGAGAGGCGCTTCAAGATAGAGTATCACGAAGGCGCAATCAGGACTATACTGATCAGCTGGTTGAAAATCCCAAGTCGTCTGGCGTAGTACAGAAACCGGATTGTCCTTTGGACGAACAATCCTGGCCTCTATAAGTCGGCATTGGTCTTCAACTTGAATCTGGGTGCCAATACCAGGGACAAGGCGCCAAATCTTGCCACGTTGAGGAACTTGAGGCCAATCGATCTTTGTGCTGATCGATGCCCATGACCATGTTGGGAATTGGTCGTTCCTATCATGCGGAGGCCATCCGATTCTAACCTGTTCCCATAAGAGAGCACGACAGAGACCAGAAAGCCACAACCCACAGCCATATTTATCAACAGAGACTTCCGTACTGCCAAAGTCATGCAAGCTTTGGTTGGCGAAGAGGGCATCTCCGAATTCTTTAGCAATACCCGCCAAAGCCACCATTCTGTCCGAGTCCTTTGTGAGATTTGTCGCAGTGTATGTCTTGACTATCGTCTCCCAGCACGACAGCGTGCTCTCAACCGTTGAGAAATTGTACCTCATTGACATCTTGACCGCAAAGGTGTTGTTCATCAAGTTTTCCTGTCGCTCGTGCGAAGAGAGCTCCGTGAGCCAGTCATCAGGTGTTTTCCCCGCACCTGCAACGGTAATTCCATCAGCGGTTCTAGGGGCCATGGTCTGACACTGTAAGATCGGCCCTGTGTGCGTGAAGCACAAGATACGTCGACTTAAGGACCATTCTTGATAGACCCATCCGCGGGAGAGCAAAGCCCCAAACGCGACTTGTTTATAGTAGCTCTTTCCACGCTTGTCTATTTCTGTTGGCTGCAATAATATTTGTCCGCTTTGAATACCGTACCTATCGTAGTATGGCAGACGTAGTATTGGGGGGGCATCTGCCGTGTTTCGACGTTGGAAGTACCCCTTCTTTGCACTATGTGCGGTAGCGGCGATCGTCAAAGTTGCATTCTGGTAGTATGCGGCCATTTTTACTGCCTCCCGCTTCCAGTCACCGTCTAGGTCATCTTGGACGATGCATATAGAGTCTATCCAGATATATGGAATGCCAAGTATATGGCAGACTCGAATCGATTCCCGGAAAAGACGTGAGAGCCCTTCTATGCCATTCTGAATTCCTCCACCACTGTGAAGGTTGGACTGAAGCGTCCGATGTTTTTCTGTCCGTCTTGTCCATCGATGACTCAGTGTAGCATATGACCCCCGTTGCCCTGGTGCTGTTATTTCGAGACGAGCATCCACAGATCCATCTTCTCTCTCGAAGATTCTGACCAAGCGTGTCGGTAGAGGTGCGTCTCGAGGGTCAAGACTGCGACAGCCGGAAAGGGTTGCGGCGCATTTTTTATGCCCTTCCTTGTCCTCGATACACTCGTTGAGTTGCCTCTTGATAGACTGCATATACTCATCGTTCATCATGTTTGTATAATCCATGATGCTGCCGGCAATGTCTCCGTTGGTGTGAGGGGGTGTTCCTTGTCGAATTCGAATCAGTTGTGAACCTCAAATAAGGCTTACAGCACGCTAAATATTCACCTATATCCGCCGCAACGTTGAAGTCGATTACGCTGGACGCGGCCTCCATCGAGTCGCTACCTATCACGACAGAAAGACGCTGGACCCCCAATGCACGAGGGTAATCGTTAGATTCCTGGCAGTGAAGTTTCATGTGAACCCAAAGTGGCGAAAATACGCGCTCCCATCCTTCTAGACTCAGCAGATGGCTGAATCCTCGACCCTTTCGCAATATCTCAACCTCTTCTGCGATATTGACGCCAACATGCTTGTATGCTTGGGTTGAAAAAGATTCCATCAGGAAGCCACAGAACGGGCAGCCCCCTTTGGCGTTCCTGATCAAGGTTTTCAATGGGTATCCTCTCCATGCGCTCGGCTCCCGTGTCCATGCCTGCACGTCGAATCGCTGGCACATCCAGCATAGTTGCATTTTGTGTTATTCGCAGGACCCAAATAACACCATCTGCCATCATCTTGTCCAGAGAATTCCAGTGTTGTGTGCTCCCCTAATCTCTCGAGGTCAAAGACGCGTTTAAGGCGCAACCAAAATCAGGCTGTAGACGTTCATGTCTGTCAGCTTCCGGTATCGAAAACAAGCGCCGCGCCACTTTGTTGCAGGGTTGTGCTATTCTTGGTAGGCTGAGCCTCGATACACTATTGGCCCGTCACAAATCATGCAACCACAGCTGCAGGCTGAAGTGTACAAATTCACAACACAAGGCTTGTATTGCGGGTGATATTTCTTACATTCTGGTCCTCGTTATTCCTGCCCAAATTGCTCTGTCTGCGCATCACATGATTCACTTTCATTTCTGAGGATTCTCCCATTTCCGCCACGACGTTTCGCCCCATCCATGGCCCAACGTCCGACTAAACATGCAGACCGAAACCGCCGCCATTGGAAATTCTGCATGGAGTCCGATTGAGAGAAGGAGAGCCCACATCCTTCGGGAGCTGAGAGGGATTCAAGTTCTCTATGTTGGCATGGGGAATCTTTTCCTACTCATCATCTTCACCGCGACCATGTCTGGATACATGACCAGGCCCATTGCGCCAGAAGACTGGACTCCCGTCACACGTCTCACGGTCGATGAGTGGAATGCCGACATTAGACATTCGATATTGCGACTTCCCATATCGTGGATTATTCCGATTTTCACAAATCTTTATCATTTCTATTTTTCTTTTCGCACCAGTCATCGATACAGTAGGACGTTAGCTGCCTTCATCGCAATAGCTGTGGATGTTTTGGCATGTCTCGCTCGTTTTCCGATATGGGGGCCTAGGGCGGCGGCCAACATTGAGGGTACTAAGAAGAATGACCTTTTACTGTACATTCTCTTCATCACGACCATCGTTTTTGTCATTGTAGACGTTCTCTGGAAGTTAGGCCTAATTGCGGTGCTGAGAATGCTACCCACTTCTTGGAGAATTCCAAGCCGATATGAGCCGACGACGCTCGATCGCTCCTTGAAATTTCCAGACATATCATACGAGCTCGCCCGGCTGAGTTCTTTGTCTCAATCGAAAAATCCTGCCAAGAAAGCATCGGGATTTCAGAAAGGACGGGTATGTCAAAGCACCCCAAACGGCGTGCCGGCTTCATGGCCCTTGAATCTGCACTCCTTTTGTTCCAGCTCGCTAAGAATTGTAGGTAAAACAGACAGAGAGAGTTAGAAGGAGGAGAAGGCAACTTCCTGTCCTTGAGGTAAGTCATCTTCCATCGCATATTTCCGGGTACAAACAATTCGACTTTTACTGACTAGTATGCTGTTGCCTTGGATTAGATCACACAAGAAGGACCGCAGCTTCACCCACGGATTCGTCATTGGTATCATGCCCCTGATTCCTACGATACCTTCACGATAGCATACACTGCGTTTGCAGTACTTGTGATTGTTTGTGAGATAGTTTTCCGAGTCTGCTATCCTTGCAGCCAGCCCAGGTACAGGTAAGCTTTCCAACAGCACGCATGTAGGTCATGATCATCGGATGGTGCCAAGCTGACATATAAGCTTTTCGTTCTTAGCTGTGCGCTGATGTTCTTTAATCCATTGCCGCTCATCAGCTGGGTTGTGGTTATGATCCTACTGGTTAAGCGCCGGGTCCATATACATGGTAGGCTGCTGGGTCCAATTACAAGTGCAGACCTGCTGTTTACCAGTTGGGTTTCAAGTATGGCACTTCTTATGCATGGTGGCTTTGGGAGCTTTGTATCTGGTTATACGAGAGACAAGTCTTTCCCAGCGTTAGCGAGAGAGTTTAGTGTGTATCTAAGCTTCTTTTGCGGGTTGGCCTTTGGCCCCTTTATCGTTTTCAGGCGTCGGTCCCAGAAGTTACTCGAGGTTTTGGAGAAATATCTAGACTAAACATACAGTATAAATGGTTCAGTCAGAAAATGTTTAGTTAAGAGAGAAGACTAGACTGAGAATAGGCTTATTCCTATTCACTGACCCTCGAGTCTCAAATACCGACATGAATAAAGGGCGCCCATTTCAAGACGTTCGCCTGTTCCCCACAAGCAAGTCTGTACTCGCTGACAGCCTCATGGAGCGGTTTTGCAACGTTGACCTGACGGCCATTTGCAACAGACCCCTCAAAGATGCCAAGCTTTGTGTAGAACCTTCTCGCAACTTCCCCAGCTGCAGCATCGTCGGCTCCCCACATAGTTCCGATGACATGCTGAAAGCCAAGTGCCTGGAAGGAGTTGGCCAGGTGGATAGCTTCGCCCGCAAGCTTACCGTCTGTCTGCTCGGCTGTTGAGCAGGCTGAAAGGTAGGCAACAAACCCCTCTTTGAGATCAACCTCTCCAAGATCGGCTATCGTCAGATCAGCGGGCTTGCCATCCTTTACAAGAAGAAGCCCGCTTTTGTTGGGGTCTCTATCGATTGATGCGCCATGGCACGCGAAATGCGCAAAAGAAAACCGGGGTATTTCTTCGAGAACAGTTTGCGGGTCGGGGTGAGCCAGGTGAAGCATCTTGCTTTTGCCAAAAACTGCATGAATGGCCTCTTCCTCATATCTGGTGTTGAGATGGCGATGGGGAGCCGGATTAGTAGACATGGTGACTAGAAGCATACTTTGCTCAGTGGAAGACATAGGCGGCCTTTCTCGGCCATACTTCAGAGCCTTGAGTGATGAAATGTAAGAAGACGTGGTTCGACTTGTCACGTTTTCGTTTGCATCACTGCCGTAATTGCCTGCTGCATGAAAAGGCGCTTTTCCTGCCAAACCACTCGTAATCCACCACAAACGACCTGACTGAGTGAGTTCTGTGACGTCTAAAATCGGACGCACTGCAATATCCCAGAGCCAACGGAGGCCGCTTGTAGGTGTAGTATCCGTTTCTGTCGGGCCTAGGGGTATCGAAACCGCATTTCTTCGAGATATGTTCCCCATTCTGTCAAACACAGCAATGTGTTTTTGAAGAGACTCATGCGTCATACTCTGCAGATGCAGAGATTGGATGCCATTCCTCGTTATAATTATGGCGTCGCTGCGGATTTTCGACACATTTATGATTACAATCGGTCCATCGCTTGCAAGCTGAAGTATCTGGTCGGCGTTCAGCGGTAGTTGGAACTGCTCGAATCCTTTTAACTGCCTGATCGTTTCTTCCAGTTGGGCCATTTCTTCAAGAAGAGACTGTTGAAGAGTCCTGGCTCTTTGAAAATTGCCAGCTACTTTGAGCTGACGCGTCGCTTGGGAAACTCGAACCTTGATATCGTGATACATACTTGCGAGCTCTGGATGCTGCCTCTCCAGTTCAGAAATATCAATCCTTGAACTCATCGTGAGCCCCGATACAACGCAGTTTGCAGACTCCAGAGACTGGACCGCCTCCCAAAGAGGACGGCCAAGAGCTAAAGAAACAGATGCAGCGAGACTCCCAAGGCCGGGGACCTCGCGCAAAGTTTGCTGCAGATCTTCTGCTGACGCCGCTTGCAGTCTGCTGGGAGTCAAAAGCCCAATGGCGTTTTGCAACACCTCATTGGCCTGTTCCATATGTCCGTCTTCCCAGTGCAGAAAACCCGCTTGAAGGGCTGACATGATTCGAATCAACAGTGGTGCAGTCTCTGTTTCTGCCGCCTTGGTGAACATGTCGACGATTTGTGGGAGCATTTTCGGGTCCTCGACAATATTGTACCTGGTTAGAAGCATTGAAGCAATATTTTTGCGTCGCTCCCCAAGGTACCAACTGCTGTTCTCAGTGTCTGATAAGGCCTTCTCCCCCAACTCAATAGCCGTGTCGAGAACATGAAGATGATCCTGATCTGCTCCTCCGCCGCGAAGAAGGTTGTGCTTGATCTCCCACAAATGTGAGAGATTCGCAAGCAGGTTCGAATCGCTAATCACGAAGCCGGTGTTTGACTCGAGGGCACGTTTCAATAGATCAATACCGTCATCTGCCCATTTGGAGTTCTGCGACATCTTGGCCATTGACGCCATCCAAGAAGAGACTTGGCTGAGGATTAGAGCTCCGTTTTCTGCTTGGGGAGGAAGGATATCAAGTGCTCGTCGACCGGCGTCTAACGCCTCTTCGAGAGCCTCCATGGCCAGGCGCGGATTCGTTTCGCGGTACCTTTGGCTCTTTAACTCGAGGATGGAGCCATGAGTTGACAAACAGTAGGCCTGTGTCACTTTGTTGTATCGTTCATCGCCCAACTCGGTCAGGAGAAGCCTCGAGATCCTCAACGCTTCGTCTAGGCTGTTTACATGCCCGGTCACCTGGAAGTGCGATCTCAAAGCCGTTAAAATGCTATCATACTCTCGGTCCAGTCTGGAGTCTTCGTCGAGTTTCGCAATTGATTCGTATCCCATGGATATGGCTTGCTCAAGATGTTCAAGGGAACCCGTGGCCTCAAATCGAAGGATCATCAGATACGCCAAGTTCGCAAGCCTGGTAGTTTCATAAGATGCCGCAATGACGCCAGGCTCACCCGCCTTCTTTATAAAATCGATTGCACAATCGATGCTTTGCGCAGTCCGGTCGTAGTTCCCTCTCGCATACATTATCTCACAGAGATTGTGGTTCGCTATTCGCCAATAAGGGCTTTCGCGTTCGAAGCATGCCAATACGCGCTCTCCAAAACTCATCGCAGCGTCAAGGTCTTCGACTTTATTTGTATGCCGGAAATTCCCTAGAAGTGCGAGAGAAAGATTGTTGAAGACAACCCCTCTCCTCGTATCGTTCGGCGATAGCGCTTCCGCAGCGTCCCGACCGGCTCTTACGGCCTCAGCCACGTCATTCGGGTCTCCAGACATTCTCCATTTCGCATAGTACGCCTTGCATTGCTCATCAAGTTGGGCTGCCCAATCTGGATGGTCCGGCCCGATGGTTTCCAAGTTGGCCTGCATTTGGTTGATGACATTTTGCACTCTTTCAATGTAAGGGTTGTCGGTGGCTGGGGAATGATTCTGAGGCGACAATGAGTTTGACATGATGGCCTTGCAAGAAGTTGATCGGGACCAAGTTAGATGGTGGAAAGACAGGCATAGTCAATGTAATAGGCAAAGCACCCTTTGGGTCTTCGATGAACAAATATGCGGGATTCAGACCAACAGCGGTTCGCCACTGGGTTGCCTGTCTTCTATTCGTTAGATGGTTAACAGGCCCCCTGTAGTTGCCTCGTGGTGACAAGACAAGTCAATTGGACGTGAGATATCTTCTGCATGCGCCTCCTTCGTCATGTCGTTATCCAGCCTGTCACGAGCCACGATTTCAGCGCATTGCTGCCCACGTGCAAGATGTCTCTGTTGCCTGAAGAGTCCTCACAAATGGGAAATGGGCAATGTAGCTCTTGGGCATTAAGGCGCTCTTCGCCTCGGTTGATTTAGCAATATTCATCTCGGTGTTAACCCTTTTATGTTTCAAGTCATCCTAACTGGTTCCAAAATGCCATTGTCCATATACAAGGTCAAGATGCCATCAGACTCGATCACCAGATGGGCTATATTGATTGGTATAAACCGCTACCATGCAGGGAGCTCCAGTATAAACTTGGAGGGATGCATTACAGACGTCCAAGAAACCAAGTTATTTCTTCAATCTAGTCTTCAGATTCCCGCCCAAAACATCGATGTTCTAACGGCTTGTGTCGACGGAGAAGACGATACTCAGCTCCAGCCCACCAGGAAAAATGTCATTGAAGCAATCCAAAATCTTCCCAAAAAGGCAAAACCGGGCGACTTTGTCTATATACATTACTCAGGCCACGGCGACCGGCTTAAGACAATATACACCGACCGCAAAAGAGAAGGCACATCATATGATGAAGTCCTCTGTACACTAGAGGAGGACATCAGAGATGTGGAGTTCGGGGACCTCCTGGAATCGTTGGGAGAACAAGGCCTCTTCGTCTGCGTGGTTCTGGATTCATGTTTTTCAGGCAGCGCAACACGCTATCGCACAGATTCAGGTAAAGTTCGCTGCAGAAGTGTTGCAGTTTCTGCAATTTCCGCAGAGATTCCAAAAGACGAGTTGTGGGAGCCTTCCGGAACTCGCGGTGGCCAGCGCAATATGACTGCCCTGCCGTCCTGGTTTGACCAACCCAAGAGCTACAACCTCATCGCGGCATGTCAGCCAGACGAATTAGCCAAGGAAATCCCTCGCCACTCTAAGAAATATGGGGCACTGACTTACTATTTGATTCAACTCTTCCGATCGTTCCAATCCTCAAAGACGCCGGTTACCTACGATAGGTTGCTGCAGATTCTAGAGCCAAAAATCCGGTCAAAGGGCTTGAAACAGCGCCCGATGCACCTGGGGAATAAGAACCTTGCCATTTTTGGAACATCAGAAACGACCCAGGCTTTTCCCCATGGTATCGTGACCAGCGTGTCATCGATAACTTTAAAGATGAAGACAGTCAGGTTCACGTGCGGCAGCGCTTCTCAAGTCGGTCTCGGAGATCTTTTCAGGATTTACAGTCCGACTCAAGTATACATGGGTCTCGTTCTGCCTAGTCCGATTCTTGCTCCAGAAGTTGTCATCAAGTCGGTCGGGCCACTTGAGTCAGAAGCGATTCTGCATAAAGGAAGTCTCGACAATGTCAAAGTAGGCTGGCCTGCCCAAATGTACCGTCGGGCGAAACGCTCCGTTGTCGATATCAAGACAGCTGGAGATAAAGTCCCCAGACAAATTATGGCATCTTTGAAGCAAAGCTGGAAGGAGCTCGTCGATCCTTTTTCGCCGATAAGTCTCAGATTCGGCAAGGCGTCTTCCGCACGAGAACTGGATTTCACTGTCCATGTCTGGGACGATTTGAGTCTTCAGGTTTTCGACAAGAGAGGCCAAAAGATTCCCCATCTTCCTTCGGTAAAAATAAGTGATCAAGTTGGGGTGAAGAAGTTGATGTACTTGCTCCGGCATTTGTCATCGTACCGAATGGTGGAAGAGATGACTGGTAGCAACCAAAGAAACCCACCAGGCTTCAAGTTTGATGTTCAACAGATTGAGCAACTGCCTCATGTTTCTGATCCCGAAAACTACCTCTCTTTTTGGAAATGGAGGTTCAAAAACAAAGGATCGCGAGTCCTTTTCATTACCATCTTTAACCTCAGCTCAGGTTATGGGATCCATCAGCTACATCCTAGTCAAAATGGTAAGTCGGAACCAGTGGAGCCCGGAGTGGAGGTTTTGGGTGGAATTGGCATCACAATTCCTTCCCTCCTCCAAAACGTTTCTTCCAGGTCAGGCTTCCAAATGAAAGATAAGATCAAGGTCTTCGTTACTACAGAGGGAAGTGACTTCAGCCATTTTGAAATGGAGGACCTGACAAGCGATGTGTTGACCGGCGGAGGAAGAACAGCAAAATCGTTGGCTCTGGAAATTACTTCGTGGCACGTTGATGAGAAAGAGATCATATCAACCATATGAGCGGCCGAGCTTTGTTTGTATTTGCTTTGTTGGTCAAGGAGTCTCTGGGAGACCAATCACCTGTTATTTTGGTTCTGGATTGTACACATAGGTACATCATTATGGAGAGATATCTTGATCGAACACATAGCATGAGCGATTAAGTCATAAATTGTTTAGCAAAGAGGGAGTGCTAAACTAGAAGCGAGTACATCGTCCATGTTAATCTGACTAAACGCCCTGAGCGGCTGTCAGAGGATATTATGGCACAGAGTGAAGAGGTTAGAAAGTAGGGGTTGTGATGGTAACTGCATTCATCTCTGGCCTCTCAATCTATTGGAATAGCCGGAACTCCGGGTTGAAGTGGCTCCGTCGCCGGCAGTCCTGCCGGCACCCGGGCTGCCCACGTGACGGGCAGACCGGCTAACGGCTATAAGACTAACAGCTACTTCCCCCAGCACTTCTGCTAGAACTTCTTCCAGATAGACATACAGACAGAATATAGACCAGTTCCCCCATCAGTTATCCTACTTCACGGGTATCCTGTGATACCAACACAATCCCCTTATGGGATCGAAAGCCCCTTCTTATAGCTCCCATTGGCCCCAGGTTGGGCACTAGTCTCTCCGGCATTATACCGCCCGTGTTCCCTCATCCATCGTATCACCTTCTGACCACCGACCTCCGATCCCGACCCCCGAACACCGATTTCCCCGATTCCGCGCGTGACAAGAACGCAGCCTAGGCCAAGTGGTGAAACTACATGTTGATGGCTTTATCCCCAGACTTGTTGGAGCTTTACTGCATATAATTATAGTCATCCGGTTTCCAAATACCATTTCAGTAGGCTAAACTTCAAACAGCTGTAAGTACCGGCCGTCCAAGTCAAAAGCCCCATTCAACTCTACGGCGACCACAAACCCGTTGTACACGCGCTAACAAGAACAAAGTGATATTTAGATTTAATCATCGCTACTAATCTAATGTCCCTTCCTCTTTTCCATTTTCACTTAAGAAAGGCTCGCGAGGAAACGTATCGGGTTCTCCTGACACTCAATCGTTGGCATGAACTCCAACAACAGCATCCTAGACACTAACTGGCAACCTTACAATGAGGTGGTGTCCGTACTATTGTACGTTACACTCAGGACTTATGAACGATACCTTGAATAAATTTAATCTCATTGTGACCATTCATCAATACTGGTACTACTTGGCAATAGCTACAGTAGAGATGTGTCCTACCATCCAGCTTCTCCCGCGATGGCGTGCCATTTGACACCAACACAGGCCAGCGCAGTAAATCTTCCAAGATTACAACAGCTCAAAAAAGACAACCCAATGTTCTCTTGTTTATACAGATCCATTTTCGCAACCTTTCTCGCCCCAAGATCACCCCAGAGCTATCGGGTATGTCGCCACACCCGTTAAGCCAAGACCACCGCCCTTTATCAAAGACAAGCTGGGATAACCATGGAGTATTTTCCTACCTCTCCTTTTTCGGTTCTTGTCGGCGTAGTTTGAACTATCCAGCTCAAAAATGGGTCTGGTAGAGCTGCTGTAGCCGTTTTGGGACTTAAGCCCGACGGAAGACGTAACGGCTGGTGCGGACTCTCAGCTTGCGAGCTTGGGCATCGGCGTTGTCGCCGTTCTGCTTGTTCGCCTTGTTTGCCTTGTTCTTCTTTCCTCCGTTGCCATTGCCATTGCCATTGTCATTGGCGTTGTCAGCGTTGCCAGCGTTGTCAGCGTTATCAGCGTTGCCAGCGTTGTCAGCGTTGTCGGCGTTGTCGGCATTATCAGCGTTGTCAGCGTTGTCGGCATTATCGGCGTTGTCGGCATTGTTGGCTTTATCAGCATTGCCGGCATTGCCAGCGTTACCAGCGTTACCAGCGTTGTCGGCGTTATCAGCATTGTCGGCATTGTCCTCGTTGGCGTTGTCGTTGTTTCCGTTTCCAGCGTTGCCGTTGGCATTGCCTCCAGCATTGGCCGTGCCGTTGTTAGCAGCAGCGCCTCCGTTGTTGTTGTTGTTGTTGTTGTTGTTTCCGCCGCCATTGGCGTTGTTTGCATTATCAGCGTTATCAGCGTTGTCCGCGTTGTCCGCGTTGTCCGCGTTGTCCGCATTGTCGGCGTTGCCGCCGTTGGCAGCATCCTCTTCATCGGCTGCATTGTTGTTGTTGTTGTTGTTGTTCTTGTTACCCTTGGCCTGGGCACCGTTGCCACCACGCTTGCGCCTGGTCGACTGGATCACGTTGACCGCGCCATGGCTGTTCAAGTCTCGGCGACCTCCGGCGGCAGCGGGAACGCCGTTGAGGTTGCTCCTGGCAAAAGTACTCTGCACGTGGGAGGCGAGCTCACTACCAGCAGCACCACGACGCTGTCGGTACTGTTGACGGAGGCTTTGAGAGGTAGAGGGCACCGCGGCGGCGACACCAGCAAGGAAGGCGACTGCGTAAGTGAACTTCATCTTGACCTGAGTAGAGGGATAGTAAAGATAGGCAACGTAAGAGAAGAAAGAATGAGTAACTAGATAACAGAACTGACTACTGCCGGAGTAGTGGTAAAGAATGAGACTAGCTCAAGAGAATGAAAAAAAAAAAAAGATGAAAGTGGTGGTGGTTGGTGAGCTGTGATTGAGATGAGGATGAGATGAAGCAAAAGTCCAATTCCAACAGAGCCAAGAACTGACCTTTATACCCAGATTCATCTGCTGATAACCCGCCGTCTGTCGTCTGAACGCCCGTTCAAGCCATCATCTGTTGTCTTGCTGATCTGATCATCCCCCATGGCATAACAGTAGCTCTATAGTGGAGTTTGCTCAGCTCAATGCAACCCGCGATATGACTGCCGTGAAACGACCTCTCGAATCTAGTTCAACAATCTCTGACAGGTCTCAACCTCTTGGCAGAGCACGTCAAAGGACTCTCGAGTAACGTCCATTTACCGCTCTACAACTCCTTCATCCAGAGTATAACGCGCGTTTTGCTGATCAGCATAGCTCATGTCCCGACACCGAGGATTCGCTCCGCACCCCCACCACGGAGAGGAGCTTTGCGAGCAACGATCCAAAACGTCAAATCGACCCCATAAAAGTTTCGCCGAGTTGCATCAGTCTCAGAAGCACCATCGTATCAACCGATTCTTGGCTGCGTCGCCACATTTTCACATTCGTCAATCACTTCTTGGCTTGATTTTTTGTGGCGACGATTGACGGGGTTTCATCACGTCTAGATGCTCTACAAAAGGTCGTTGGCGATTCATTTTTTCGTCCGTTCTTCTGCCATCCGATGGCAAAGATAACGTCAGCTGCCATCCGTAACCGGGACCCAATGATCTGAAACCCGGACAGACGTGATGAACACCTCAGCCGACTGGGAAACCGGTCTACTACTACAATAACAACAACACCGCAGGGGCTAAAGCTCCAACAAGCTTGATCACCATAACAAAGCTGGCAAGCCATGGCTCTGGGACCTGGGGAAGGGATGTGGGGGGTTTCGAGTTGTGTCTATTAACAACAACACAAGCTGGGGCTTCGCCTCTCCAATTCTCGGTGTATGCGGGCGGTAGATATGCCGCCCGCGTTTCCGCCCGAGCTAATATTGGAAGCATGCTTTTTTTTTGCTCGCGTATGAAGATCGCGATCGTCGTCCGCAAACCCTGTGGGTCTTGTTTTGGCATGGTGGTATTCCGTTGTTGTGCCATCACAGCTATGGTTTACCCTTTGGAGACGTGGCCCAGGAAGCTTAAAGACATGCATATGAATGAGAGGCGCGCAGGGAACCTTTGTGGCACAACAGTTTTACGGGACATATTGCCAAAGAGAAACGATTCATAAAGTGTTGATGTATTAATGTACGTAGTATTTTACGGTGGACTACGGTAACCCCTGAGACTGGGTCTCTACTTAAAAGCTGTAGCACAGATCCCAGAGAGGCACGCGCGTGTTGTACAGATCGGCATTCCACCACTTTGTCGCGAATGCATTCAGGTTGAAGTAAAAGTCTGTAGCGAACTCGACGCCGTTCTTCTCGGCACACACGAGACCGTCCTTGGGGACCTCGACGATCACGTCAGAGGGCTTGCTGGTGAAGTTACCGCCGATGCCGAGGTTCTGCTCGCCACGAAGCTTGAATCGATTGTCGAAGCCAGGGGTGGCAGTCAGACCGGAGCTGAGGTCGACGAGACCACCGAGCAACTTGATGGCCAACTGGACCGTGAGGTCGGCCGACGCGTCGACACGCACATCGGCGGCCTGGGTGATGTTGGCGTAGCTGCTGTACTTGGGCTCCCAGCCCGTGGCCGACGACTTGCTGCTGTCGAGGAGATCGAGGTGCACGTTACCGGCAGGAAGAGCCACGCTCAGACCTGCGGTGACGCCTACGGCGGCGGAGACGTCGACGTCCAGACCAACGGCGAAGGCGACACCCGGACCGAGCTGTACGAGGCCGGGGACCGACACGAGAGAGTAGGACAGCTCGTCGGGGGCGTACTTGAGCTCGTGGCTGAAGGCGGCGGCGACATCGACAGAGATGCCAACAGCGGAGTCGAAGGTGGTGTCGAGGTCAAAGTACAGAGCCTGCAGCTTGAAGCCCCAGAAGTTGTACTTGAGGTAGCCGGAGAAGGTGATGGTGGAGGAGAACCAGGCTTCATCGGCGGTCACGTTGATGTACTGGCCGTCGCTGTAGATGACGGTGTTGTTGGCGAGACCCTCGGCAAAGCTCAGCGAGACGCTAGGGTCGAGAGTGAGACGCTTCGAGAGAGTGGCGGCGGGGAGGGAGGAGAAGGACATTTCGCATTCGCCAGCGATATTGGCCAACTCCTCCTTGGAAGCAGCAACGGTGATGGAGAGCTCATCCTTGTTGGACTTGAGACCAGTCGCAAGGAAGAAACCACGCTCGAACTCGGCGTCGCAGTTGCCCAAGTGGTTGGTGATGAGGATGAAGCCCTCCTCAGACTCGGACCAGTCCTTGACGGCCTCGTCGAAGGACTCGGCGTCAGAGAAGGAAACGGTGAGCTCATCGTCATCGCAGACGACGGTCTTGATGGCGTCGACTTGCTCAAGAATCACAGCAGGGTTGTTAAGGGCAAGGGTCATGTTGATGGAACCCTGGTCATTGGTCTCGGTGGCCGAGTAGTAGAGGGAGATGTTCTTCGCGGGGACAATGTTGATAGGATCCTTGGTGTCGATGTTGGGAGGGACAGAGGGACCAAAGGTATGCGTGGTGTTCTCAGCCGGGCGGAGGGTTTCGGGCTTCACGCCAACGGGCTCAAAGGCCGGAATGTCTTCAACGACATGGGCGACTTGAGCATTGAAGTCGGCGGTGGCTGCAGGCTTAGTGACGGTCTGCAGCGTTGACGTAGGGGTGATGGTCGAGTATGACGGGAAGTTTTCTGGCTCCTGTTCTGGCATCTCGACGACGATGTACGTGACGCGCTTGACGCCATCGGCGGAACAACCACATCCCTCGGCGTGAGCGGCGGCGCCGGTAGCGAAGAGCAGAGCGGCCAGGAGGCGGCCGGCGAGAGTTGAACGAACCATTGTAAGTATTAACACGGGGTATCGAATTAAAGAAATTAGAAAAGAACAGTATCGTGATAGTAGCTAACGAGGGTATCAAGGAATGAGAGGACGCTCAGAAACTGAGCAAGCTTGGCAGGGGGGTTCAGAGAACGACTGGACGAGCGCGAGATCACCAACAAACAGGTGCTGCTACGGCTTCAACATCAAGGGGACCTCGGACGGGAGAGGTGGCCGCTAGACCTTATATGAGCCTTCTCAGGCTGTGTATCCTCGTCTCTTCCACCCACCTCCCGTCCTGCCTTGTCCTTTCGCCCAAACCATACCCCTTTCGATAATGAACCGTTCAAGGGGGGTTGGATGAGGTTGGACTGCCGGTAATGGCGTATGTGCCGAAGAGGAGCCGCGTACGCTCCTTCAGACGGACCAAGGGCATGTGGTCTCATGGGTCACATCGCTGGATGAGGAGATAGCGCACTGCAGGAGATGGCGTGGTGGCTCTTTAGACCATGAGTTTATCTGACATCCCTCTCTTGAGCCGGGGTCTCTAAGGGCAGACATTGTCCAGGGCCCGATAGCTGATGCAACGTCGCTGCATTGGCATCTTTCAGTTCTGCTCTCTGCAAATGTCCATGTCGATGAGGACAAGAACGGAGAATGGCCGTGGGCGGGACTTGGATGCCGCCTGGGCAAGGGACATCGGGCATGTTCCTTGAAGCGCATACACGTTCCTCATCTGGATCGGTATACAAGTGGTACCAAACAGTCCATTTCGGGTAAAGGAAGAGGAGCCGAATGCCTCTTTTGTGATATGGAGTCAGTCATCCAACGCTGCGCCGTCAGGTAGGAATCAGGTGGGTGAAGTGTGACTTTGGAGATATCCTGCCCAGCTCTGCCCAGGGGGGTCCCCCCCCCCCTCATCCTCCAGAGGCCGTCCGAGTTACATCCAGATGTTAGTATCCGTACAAAGTCCCATACTGGCCAATAAGGGCTCATAGTAGATGCTAAGACGGCGAATGCCGTTCTTCTGGGCATCTTAGAGGGAGTTGTTCACCCATCGAACGGATGCCACTTTGGACCAATTAGGGCACCCAAGTCCGCGTCAGCGTCCCAATTGGCCCTATATACCCTGTCCGAGTCTGCTCGGAATGCAGCCATGTGCCTCCAATGGCAGCCCCATGCTGGCTGTTCCTTACAGGAGATGCCCCTGAAAGCGGCATCTCGTGCAGGGGATAAGCCACGAGTTGGACCCGCCGGCTGTCCATTCAGGGTGTTTAGGCCGCCTCTTATTTCTCAGGAAAAACAGCTCGGCCGGTGCTTGAGAGCCGAGTTTTGCTATGAAATGTCTAGGCAATCGGCCTGCCATGAATCATGATTGGCCTCTCTTGGACAGCAAGCGGGTTTATTGGCTGCCGAATGCGGCGATTAACATCGGTGATAAAGCCCGCAATCATTCGCTGCTCATTTCCCGTCCTCCCTTATGAGTAGAGCGCGGTTTGCGGTTTTGCAGTTTTCGTCGCTTCTCATGAGTGTTCACGACTCAGTAACCATGTCAAATCACAAGGGAGTCCTCGACGATGCTGCCGGCTACCGAACCAAATGTCGGCCTCATTGTGGTCGCAAGAAACAAATTTACCATAACTCAATAAATCTCACGGCTTCTCCCGAATAGACCCAATGGCCCGCAAATTAAAGTCAGGGGATCGTCGATATTTCAATATCACTCCTTCTCACATTGTTACATTCAGGCTACTCACGTGGATCTCACTCATATCACTAAAGAAGACCTGCCGGATTAAACGATTTCTCAGACTCAAGTGCCAAATGATGAACTTGACAAGGTTCAATTGCTCAAAAAATCGGCCACTGGCCTTGGCTCACTCTTCCCTTTCTCTCACCATTCAGAATGGGTGGTTTGAGAGAGGCAAGAGGCGCGATATGGGAAAATTGTGTACAAGTTGTACATAATATGTACAAGAATTTCATTCCAGGCCCAATCCTTTCACACCTTTTTGTGAAAGTCTTGCTTTTGACGGCCATTTTTTTTGTTTTCTCTCATCTACATCCTTCATCTTGAAAGGTCATTACGCCAAGTGGCGTAATGACCTCGGCATACCTCTAGTCCATTCTCCTCATGACTCTTCGGCCATGTCGCTTACTTGCGGGAAGCAGTGACATAGATGGTGGTGATGGTCGTGCGAGGGGGCTTGCAGACCTTGTCAGTGGGCTTGGGACCGCTGCCACCGCGGGTCTTGGTGCGAGTCTTGGTGCGGTGCTTGCGGGTCTTGGAGGGGCGACCGGAGGGAGCCTGGGTGGCGCCAGGGAGCTGGTCGGAGGCGGTGGTGGCAGCAGGCTGGGTGGCGACAGGGTCGGCGGAGATGGTCGAGAAGATGGGCTCAGGGGCACCAGCCGGGACAGAGGGAACGGAGGACTCGGAAGGCTCGGCGGCAGGAGCGGAGGGCTCGGCAGAGGGCTCGGCAGCGGGAGCAGAAGGCTCAGCAGCCGGAGCGGAGGGCTCAACGGCAGGGGCAGAGGCAGCGGGGGCGCTGGCGCTGGGGGTCACGGGGCCGGAGATGGTCGAGAAGATGGGCTCGGGAGCAGTACCGGCGGGGAAAGTGGGGTCGACGGCAGCTCCGGAAGAAGCAACGGCGTCAACGGCCTCGGTGGTGGTAGGGGCAGCAGAGGCAGCGGGGGCGGCAGAAGAAGCAGGGGCAGAAGAGCTGCCGCCAGAGCCGCTGCCACCGGGGTTCATGCAGGCGAAGGAGATCTTGGAAACGGGGGATCCACGCTGGGGACCGTCGAGCTTCCAGTCCATGGCGACGTAAGGCCAGCAGACGCGGCCGTCGGACATGGTCACCATGTCACCGGCAACGTAGGTGTCGTCAGAAGAGACAACATCACCAACCTTCTTACCAGTGCTGTCAACCATCTGGAACTTGGTACCGGCGAAAGCACCGCGGCAGCCCATGGCGTCGAAGTCGCAGATGGGGTTGGAGATCTCCTCCCAGGTGACGAGAGCCTTGGAGCTGTCGAAAGCGGCGGCGTGGGCGTTGGAGCAGTCGTTGGAGCCGGTGGTGACCCAGTTGATCTGCTTGTCACCGTCAGCAGCACCAACCTCGGAGGTGGCCTGTTCGCCGACGAGGGTGTTCTTGTCGGAGAAGAGGGCGATGGCGACGTTGCGGTTGTTGGTGCGGTTGACGGACTTGGTGTAGCCCTGGCCCATCCAGTCGTTGAGGGTGAGGTCCTTGGCACCACGGGAGACCCAGGAGAAGATGTACGAGTCGGCGCCGATGAAGCGCGCCAGCACGCTGTAGGAGCCGGACATACCACCCATGGCCTCGTTGGCGCCACCGTTGATGACGTGCTCGTTGGAGACCTTGACGCCTCTGTTGTCCATGCCCTGGGTCTTGGTGTTGAGCCAGATGGCACCCTGGTCCTCAGCGCAAAGGGAAGCGAAGGGGGCCTCGTCGGCGGCCTCGAAGGCGATACCGGTGTTGTGGGAGCAGCCCCAGGAGGAAGAGGCACCGGGGATGTTGGTGAGCTTTCCGGTGGTGTCGACATAGCGGATGGCGTCGCCAAAGTGGCCCTTGGCGCTACCCTCGTAGGCGGTGACGACAATGTAAGCAGCGTAGTAACCGGCCTTCTCGGAGAAGACGAGGTCACCGTTGATATCGGGAGAGGCCATGGCCTGGCCCTGGTCGACGTTGGGGCCACCGAGGTAAGTCTTGAAGGTCTGCTTGCCGTCGGTGTAGCGGTAGAGAACGGCAACGGGGTCGGTGACGCCGGAGATGGCCTCGTTGGTCATGACGGCGAAACCATCGTTGTGGGCAACGAGACCGGCAGCCTCCTTACCGCCGGAGACGGTGACTACATCACCGGCAGCGGCGAAGGTGGTCGGGTTGATGGGCTGGACGTGGACGCCCGTGCCGGAGGAGTCGAGGTAAGCGAGGTAGGCCGACTTTCCATCGGGGGAGACGGCGAAGGGGGTACGGCGATGGTGGGGGTAGCCGGTCCAGTAAGCCTCCATGATGGGGTTGAAGGACTTGCTGAGCGTGACGGAGTCAACGTGCTTCTCGAGGGACGAGGAAGTGAGCTGGCCGACGGCCACGGCCGCGAGGCCGAGTAGAGAGAGAAAATGCATGATAGCTGGCTGGTTCAAATGCAGGAACTTTCAAAGTCACCCTAGAAAAAAAAAAGAATGAAATCCGGTTGGATTGGTCGGCGGTGCGGTTGGACAGATAGCGACTGTCGTCGGTAGTGTTTCGTTTGGTTGATGGTAAAATAGGACTAAGCCTACTTTTGCAAAGAGTGAATGAACGAATGCGAAGGAGAAAAGAGTGTCGGTGGGCAAGGAGATGGTCAACAATCCCTTGAGGCGAAGAAAGAGAGGTTAGAAACTACACCGAGAGAGAGGAACCGGTGGTATTTACATGAGTTCAAGGAAGCCAATGCACGAAATGGAACCCATCAACACATCCCCATAAGGGGGTGGAGGGGTGGTGCGGACCGCCATGTCGGACGGCACCAACGACAGCGGCAACGTCAAGGCCATGGGTAATGGCGGGCCAGGGTCCACGTTGTTATCCCAGGCGAGATGTTCCCTCTGGAAAATGTGTGTGAGTGTGTATGTGTGTGTAAGTCGATAGCACGATCCTGGGCTGGTCAAATCTCCCTGACCGTTTCACCACAGCTAACGCGGCGGAGGGCGCAATTTCGTCTCTCTCCACCACTAGTCCAGGGTGGCTCTGGCTTTTGGGGCTTTTAGCTGGGGCTTCTCAGCCAGGAAAATACGCCAACCGAGAATAGTTCAGCATGGGACAGCCGGGGGCGGTCAGGTCATTGTCAGAACGTCAGGTGGCGATGGTTGATGTGTTTCTTGGTAAATCCTCCGATAACCTCAATGCAAGGGCTTTAATCTATACTTTGTGTTAAACTCCCGCTGTTTCTTTGCTGTTGACGGCTGTCTTGTTTCCCCATCTGCCAGGTCTTGGCCTGTGGAATAAGGTAAAAAAGTATAACTTCATTTCGTGGAGTTGCATTATGAATTGCGGCATTGAATGTCGCCCGCGCCATCCCAAGGTCTTAACACCCGATCATAAGGCCTCAACTTCAGACGATGGGTAGAACATGGGAGGGACAAGGTGTCGGGAGACGCGGCGACCTTGACCAGGCTCTCTTCTCCCTTACTCCGTAGTCTCCGCCGTAGCGCCCTCTCGTTCCTCTTCTACTCAAAAGCTTCAGAGGAAAAAAAAAAGACCAGCAGAAAAAACACAGCGTCTTTCCCGTCCCTCCTTAATTCACGTCAAACAGGTGGGGATGACATCTCCCCTGTTCCCACCAATGGGTCACCCTAGCAGTCGGGTCTCGTTTCAAGCCCTGGTCCGACAATGGCTGTCTGTTGAACTCTTTGGTGGCGTAAAGGTTAGGCCAAGTGAGGCTTGGGAAGATTTCTGAAAATCCGGGGAACAAGACACTGGAGGCCAGCTTACAGGATAATGATGCGTCAGGTCATTTTCCCAGTTATTCTTTCTCGAACCTACAAGCCTAGTGCCTTTTACACGACGTCTGTTCTCGCTTGCATTTTGTGCTGGGACATCCTTGTCACCTTGTCAGCTCTCCCCTGGGGGGCGCCTTGATGGCTGACTTTACCGAGTCACAGCTTGATTGGTGTTCGTTATTGTGCTATGCGACTTGGGATGATGATTGATTAATTCATCTTCATTTTCGTTTTCTTCTCCTCTCCTTTACTCATGAGGCGTATACGAGTATTCGGTGTCATGGTCAGCGTGAACTGGCATGGCATTCTCACGGATGTCACGGATATTACTCATTAAGGTAGCTAGCGGTTTTGAGAATCAAAGTCCGTCGTGTTCGTGGTTGCGACATCGTAGCAAACATCATTTATTCCTTTCGTCTGTTTCGAAGTTGCTAAGCGCCCTTTGCCATTCTTTTCTCGTCACCCCCTCATATATCGTCAACACACCTCTGACGTGACCAAGATTCCTGACATCACATCCTCCTGCAGATAGCCGCTCCCGTACTGAGTCTAATCAACCCTAGACTAAGCAACAGTCGCTTTGCAACCCATCCCAATCATATCCGTAGATCCATCTGCCCAGGTTCATGGTATTGAGTTGGCCGCCATCATCGTACGGGCTCCCAACAGACGAAAATCCCCGAAAATCTAGACCTTCACCTAGCCCAGTGACCACTTTCTAGGGTAATGATCGTCTCCTGCTCTTTTTTCGACCGCTCCTAAACAAGGTCCCTGCGCATAGGAATTGCAGGGAGGAATGTTCCGCCCCTGACGCTAATCCCGAATCAATTAAAAGAATCCCCCGCCAAGCGGCTCCAGTCTCTCCACCATCAACAAAATCGTAACGTCTCCATGGCGCTCATACGGCTCCTTTCCCGACGGTTGGGCTTGGCGGGACAAAAAAGAAGCACGAGGGGTCGCCGTGGGTTCTATGGGACGTCATGCCTCGTTATGTCGCATTTTCCCGGTCGATCTATCGCTTTCGTCTACAGCGTCGGTATATTTTGGCCTGGTATATGATCGCCAGCCTGGGGAAAGCTAATTCTTTGCAAGCAGCATCCTTCAGACTACCATGGTGGACAGTCGGAATTCGCGTCTGGTGCGCTGATTCCTCAAGGCAAATCGGCTCCGTGATGCCGTATAGCGGAGTAGCGCGTACGCGAGCGGGCATAACAATCGCTCTCTTGCATGGTAATCTCACCACAGCTCCTGTCATCCTGACCGCGCAATCTTAGGAAACATATTAAAGTTTCCCCCCCACGGCCATTTAACTGACAGCCCAGCCAGAGTGCTGAGATTCCTACGAAAAAGCATGAATTGCCTCCAAGTACTAGATAAGGAAACTAGTCCCGGGCCCTTGCGTGGGTATGCCCGCCCTCCTTTTCGTGTTTGCTGTCTCTCTAACCGAGGCGGGCCAGGACTGCCAGGAGGAGACTACACCAATCAAACCGCTCATCACTTCCCATCTGAATGAGCAACTTTTTGACAGTCTTGACTGCAGGAAGCCGAATCTGTTTGACGAGTTCCCACCAATCATCAAGATTTTGTTGATCGCGGAAGCCGGTAACTGGGGCGCTTGATATGGTGACTCAGTGTCAGAGAATGCTGAATTATATTCCACAATATCATGTTGATTGGTAATGTGTCTCAACACTTACGACTCTACTAAGCGATCTTGCGAGTTGGGGCACTCGCTTTCGCATTTCCAAGTGGTATAGTAAATTAATCTATGAACCGGAGCGGAAACCTCCCGGTTCCCGCATTTGACAGCTTGTCAATCTCGGAGGCATTGTCAACCTGGGTTGTTAGTCGCTCGAGAAGTTCGTCTTAGTATGCCCCTGATACCCTTTGTGTTATTACCATTTCTTGGGAAAGAACGATAATCCTAGCGTGAAGTTTCAACAAGATGACTTCAGTCTATGCCGCCAAAAGATACATGTACTCGTCTTTGCATTGTAACTCTCATCCCTTCGGTTAACTTTGGTTTTCCCTAGTTTCGATTCAGCCGTTCACCCTGTAAAAGCATCCCGCTGACCACCTCCTTCTTGGGGTCTCGCCTAGCCACCCGGTAGTGACAAACTCATCAAAACTTTCAACCTCTCACACTTGGGGCATCCATGCATCTGTCAATGTACGGGGCGCGACCCCAGCCTTTACTCCGTCTTCATGATAGCCCTAAGGAGTTCGCGTGAGCTCGAGTCAGCATGAACGGTGGGTTATAGTAAGATCGCAATCTGAGTGTGGGCCTCGGAAATATGTCACCCTAGCCTTGCAGTTACGTGCAAGTCAGTTCAGAGGGGTGGATGAGCCCGCACCAAGTTACAGCAGCAGCCAAGGAGGAGACGTCTCAATTATCTGACGAGATTCTCTGGAATGGTCTAGAACTCTTCAGCCACACCCTGCTTCATCTATATCCCTCTATCCTTGTTATCACTTACTGGCTGACCGCTGGGTTATTCTCAAATTGTATTTCCTGTATGCAAGCGCAAGGGTTGGATGGAAATGTGGCAAACTCTTCTCTACTCAGACGTGTCATGTCAACGTCCACTGTTGCCTACCTACAGTAGTCGACCTTGATATGGCTGTGGATTAAGACAAGGCAGAGCCCCTTCCATTCATACACAATCTGAAGGAAGGGTGTGCCGAAAAAGTCTTTTAAGTTTCGCCGCTAATTTGACAAATATCTCAGTAAGCCAGATCATAGCAGTTATTCCAGGTATGCTAGATGATTGAGACGCCTGCGAAACAACGTCATTGAGCACGTCTTTTTTACCCTCCATCGAACATTTTGATTCAATCCTTGACCTATGAGTTCCTTCGCCACCTACGGTATTTCTTTTATTTACTCAACCAATGTAGATGTGGAAACGGCATCAGATGACCTTTTGAGCTGGCTTCTTTTCATATTCTACTGCACGATCAGCTGAGCGAAGGCATGTTCATTTCTTAACATTGATCTCACATTAGAAGAACTGGTTCATGTGGTTCAAAGCTTAACAGATCATCTAACAATGCTTTCGTCATGCCCTACTTGCAACAGCGATGGTTTCCCCTGGGATAGTGTTGGGGTGATGGGATACTTGACCGTTTCGATGGTGCAAATTTCAACCCTTGAGAATTCAAAACCTAGCCATACACTGCTCCAGAAGAGTCCTCCACCTGTCTTTGCTTGGAATGGGGAGGACTGCCCCTGATAGGCGGTAACAATTAACAGATATTGTCATCGACCTGCAGGCCTCCATTTCAATTAGTTAAATGTGTGGCTAATAAAATATACGTAATGATTGTACACGATAATGGCTACATGAATGACCTTGATATAAGAGCGGTGGGTTCTTGGGTATTATCAGATTCATACTTAAGTTGAGGGAGCCCCATCTGGGTCACTCTGAACTCATGACGTCGACTATATATTTGAGCTAGCGGGGCAAGTGACGACGATGCTCATTTCTTATCAACTTTGCCAATTTTTTTTTTACCGTATTTCCCTATCTAAGTCGGTTTAGATTCAAAAACATGCTTACTCATTAAATAACTTAATAGTATCATTCAAATGTTTCGTAGAAGACAGAACCTCGTAGTTCGTCTAGCATCTGCCGCCGTTGCATGTTAATTCCCTGTCTAGCCTTCGCCATAGAACCATTTATATCACATGAGTTGAACTCCGAAGTATGCACATTAGCTTAGCAACTGTTTCCACGATTATGTTCAACATTTCATGGTAGGGATCGTACTAGTTTGTTCGATGCAACTCTGACAAACAAATTCATCATGTCAAAAAGCTTCAGATATTCAACTGTGACAACCGCCAACTAGACAATTATATCCAAAACCAGCAGAAACTTTGGAGCTAATAACGCATCAGATACGTGAAAACGGTTCCAGAGGCTACTACATCCCAACATTCGGTTTGTACACGGCAATAAACAGCCCATTGTCTTTGATGGTGTGAGGACACTTCAAAAAGTTACTGGCTTTTTGGTCCTGATGTATCTGTCGACCAACAGAGTCTTGAATTCACATTGCTTGTAGCGTTGGTAAGGGGATTTAGCAACGTGCTAGTAGTAAGTCTGACTTTCGGTAGCAGGTCGCTGGTTTGAAAGGAAAATGCCTTTTGTTGGGGGTGGTCGTTGCCTAAGAGGTTTCTCCATCGCTACACAAAGTTATAATGCTGATAAATAATTCAAGGATAACCAACACCTTTGGCGCGTCATCGAGACTGCGATGTTGAGTAATACACAAATTTCGGTATTTGAGGCCAATGACCTGTGTTCAGCGGTGTACCTATTCGTAACCACCTCAGCCTATGGGCTACAACACGGTCTCTGACGGGCTTATATCTGCTTAGACACTACAACAAGAGCATAAAAATTCAATCAACCAGATTTTTTAAACAACAGCGTCTGGGACGGATGCAAATTGGGGGCAGTGAAGGAGTAGGCGCTCGGCTGTCACAGTACTTTACAGTCCGTACGAATCCACGCACACATCTACGAAAGAGGTTTGGCATATGTAGCGCCAGAATTCTGTTTCTGAAGATGTCTAATAAATCCTGGTCAGGTTTCGATGTCCTGGCTAGTGTAAGGAGACGGCGATGAGAGGTGCGATGCTACTGTGGTATCGCCTCAAAGCGCCATTGGTCTTCTTAGATGCCATGGAAGATGAAGATAGCCAGCAACAGAGAAATTAAACTAGAAAGCTCTCTTTGGGCTGGAGTACTTGTTGAATGGCCCCATCGCATGGCTTTCATTGGTTTCCCTCCGTCGTCACTTACTGTTTACATTGTAAGCACAACTTACAGCCATCAGCTCAAGTTCTCTACTTTTTGAAAGACAAACATGCGCACAATGTTTCTCCTTTTCCGCACCTTCGCTACTGCTCTTGCAAAACCACCTCTCCACCGCTCAGTGGATAAAGGTGGCCGATACGATGGCCTCATGTAGAGCAAAAGCAGCGCTGACTGCAAGAAGGCAGGTGTTGGCAAGCATGCTGCATGTTCATGACCCAAACCCGGAGGGCAAACCAAGTTCCTAATCAGGAATTGGGCTTTATCAACGAGATTACTGCTACAATGCGGACGCAGTTGCCAAAGAATGACCGGTCAAAATTAACAACGGTCAACAAATGGGTGTGCGACTTCGCGATATTCACCAGCGCCATCGACAACTGAGGCTTGACTCCTATCTAGGGAGGCAACATCCGTCGCCTCGTCGATAAGTTCCTCAACAATGCTATTCTCATGACGTCGTTTATATTGCCTTTTTTTCTTCCATTATAGTAGGGGCTATATATGGAAGATTCATTTATCCGCCAAAGTACCTAAAAGCCAGGCAGCAACCGGTAGAATTAAACATTCATGCTTAGGTCACCTGCTCTATACTCCGTGTAATGGGAAAAAAACCACCCTTGAAGCTCTAGGATGGTTCGGACAGTTCCTAATCGGGTTAGGCTACACGGGGAGAGTCCCTCGAATAGGAAGGTCTTGGCAGAAGGATTCCGTGTTAAAGTGCCAATTTGCCCAGAAGTAGCAGTATTCACCACTTATCTTCACTACACTACACCACTATCGCAACAGTAGGTGCTGCAGGGGGTAGAATTTGTCTACGGCGCAGCAACAAAAAAATCATACATAGTATGTCGCCGCGCACGCCCCTTTAGTTTTTCCGTTGCGTAGTCATTCGCGTGATCCTCTCTCGTCTCAAAATCGGGCAAGATACGATTAGCTGTGGGCTCGCTGGTACAGCAATTTGGTGGCAGGATCGTTTGCTTTTGTTGAATAAGGCGAAGATGTTTGGCTCAAGGTTTCTGCTCTTCGGAGCGCTGTTGGGAGCAATCGGTGCTGAAGCTGGTAGGTTACTCACATGAGTCACAACTCATCTCAATGATACAGCATGAGAGCTGACTGAACGATTCTCACATCAGCTCTAGATGATCGGAGCTGTGATCAGACGAGGACACAAATTGTGAATCAGACAGACATCGACTTTTACAGCAATTGTTCAACCATTAGCGGCTTTCAATTTTTCATCAGCCACGAATTCAAGGGTCCCTTCGAGTTGCCCAATGTCAAGTCCGTGCCGGCAGTAAGCTCTGGATATTTCGGACCCAAGCTCACAGGCTCTACTCGAGTGGATGATGGTGTTACCAGTGTCTCCATGCCAGATCTTGAGCGAATAACACAAGGAGGACTGACCGGCGGAATGCTGTTCGGCTATGTGAAAAACCTGACAAGCATCTCGTTTCCGTAAGTTCAGAAAACCGCCCTTAGCGGCATAGCCTTAAACTCTCTTCAAGCTATCCGGGCTGTTGTGCCATCATTTCAGACTGTCAGAGTGCTAATTGTCAATGTCAATAGGAAACTGGAAACTATTACTGGAGATCTTGTTATAATCGGTAGTAGTGAAATCAGCAACGTAACATTCCCAGCCTTAGCCACGGTTAACGGAGGCGTGCTTCTTGACGGCTGGTTTGACGAGTACGTATTGTCCCCTGGGGCACGGCTGCTGTCCTCTCCTTGTGCATCGAGAGTTCTGCTCACACCTCACAGAATCAGCCTACCGTCACTGAAAAGCGTTTCCTTCATCAGAGTGCTCGCCTCCAGAAATGTGAGCTGTCCGGCTCTGGGAGCAGCTTTCGCTTCCATCACATTCGCCCCTAAATCGACCGACATCTACAAGGGGTTCACTTGCTGGACTCCTGATGAAAGCAACAGATGGAATTCGTCGGACCCTCAGCATAATCCCACCTCGACTGGTTCAGAGCCAGGTTCAACGGCGAATCCAAGCTCCACGGCAAACCCAAGTTCCACGACAACGCCAAAGTATGTCTATTAGCTCCCTAAAGCCCCCTTGCCTTTTCGCTAACAATAAAATTTAAAAACAGTGTCGCAAGTGCCCCGCGTATTGGTTATGCTGCAGTGTTGGTCATCGTTACATGGGTACTTTGTTTGTAATACATAATGTAATCTGTAATGAGCAAGGCATCACTGCCTGTTTCATGCTCGATCTGTATCTATATCAATGGATTTGTACACAGAAGGGCGAGGAAAGGGAGACAGGCCGTATGATATGTAGTTCAGAGAGTATGTGACCCTGAATCTACTAAGTAATGCCTGCCAACTTTGGGTGGTTTACAACAGATTCCCCATTTGTTAAACTATTGTCCATGTGAGACGCATCGGAGCAGATTGATTTGCTGTCGGGGAACATTTCATACCGTCATAAACGGTAGTCATCATAATGGTTGTCAACAAGTTATGGGCTATCAAATAACAAGGGCGTGGCTTCCAGGAGCAGAAAACATCATATCATATCATAGGGTGCGTAGGGGGAGTTGGTCATGTTGGGCAATCAGGAAGTAAATCCGAGTGGGCTCGTACTTTTCCTAACGCTGCCCAAATTAACATAATGCCGTGAGCAAAAGACGCCCCGCCATATTCAAGTAATACGAGCTGTACGAGACCATTTCAAGGGGACTGTCCAGTGCGGACCTCGTCGAATCGATTCAAGTTGGATCAGAGAACGCTTCGTCGATTTGACGGCGTGATTCATTTGTAGGCTGCGTGAACTGGCTCGTAGCGGACGATGTACTCGCATCGTAGCTGATACCGACATGTTGTTTCTTCCATCATATCGTCATTGTTATTCTGTTTCCTCCCATTGTGTCCTTTTCCTTTCCTTTATTCAACAAAAGTGGCTGTTTACCACTTGGCATCCTTGCTGGCAAGGAAGCCCTTGAGGATGCCGACAATCTTCTCGAGAGCAGCAAGGTAGACGCGGAGCTCGGCGGCGACCTTGTCCTTGTCATCACCAAGCTTGGCGTAGAAGTCCTTGCGGTAGGGGCAGGCGCTCATGGCAGCGCTGAAGATGGGCTTCACGATGAAGCTGTGGTGGGGCTTGAGGGTGGTAGCGTAGGCGTTGCGGAAAGAGTCAGCGAGCTCCTCGGACTCCTTGGCGACGTTCTGGCTCAGGGCGATGCAGGTGAACTCAAGACCACTGGAAGCGAACCGAGTTAGTGCTCTGTGTGTTGTTGTCTGATGCTGGGTGTGATTGTGCTTACCGAGTCAACCAGAGGAGACCCTCAGTGGCGACGTGCTTCTTGGTGGCCAGCTCGTTCTTGACGAGATCCTGGAGAGTGGCGGACTCGGCGGGGGCAGCCAGCTGACGGTCACGGATTTTCTGCAGGAAGGAGTGGGTTAGTCAATTGTCCATTGAGCAAGATGTCGACTTCATTGCAGAGCCCTGGGGCAAGGGAGGACGAAGACGAAGAGGTTCCGAGCGTAGAAGAGTCGTACCTTGATGTTACCACCCATGTCGCTCTTGACGGGGCCGAAAGCAACACCACCGAGGACATCTGTGAAGAAAGCACGGGTTAGAGAGAAGTTCCATCGAATGTAATAGCCAGACCTTTGCTGGCATCGAATCTGAGCATACCGAAGATGGTGGTCAGAGACTCAGCAGCCTCAAGGAACTCGGAGGTGCCGATGGCATTCTCCTTCTCGGCATCGACGGGGACGTCGACGAAGGACTTCTTGAAGGTGTCGAGGTAGGTGCCTCCGGGGGGGATCTGAGCGGCCATTGTGTCTGAATTTGGGTATATTCTGTAGAACTGAGGAAAAAGAAAGAATGAAAGATGGGGAGAGCGAGAGGTTGTTTGAGAACAAATGGGAAAATGGGAGAGTTCAAGCTGTCCAGTCTGGCCAGGGATGGGATTCGAGGGGCGGTCAAGCAACTGAAGCCACGCACTCCATAGCTCAATTAATGGCGGGGACCTCACCTCAGACAGGCATGCCGCACCGCCTTCACACTAAAGACTCCACTAGAGCAATGCCGTAATGCCACTGGACTGGACCACTGAGAGGGGCACCTTGGAGAATGATGCGCTAACCTCAGCTGTCGAGGTGGGGGCGGAGGGTCCAATAGTGGGAGACAGCTATTCCTGATACGCAGTACAGTGCCAGCTAGATTACCCCTCATTCCTGCTCATTCATTTCCACAGAGTTGGGGGAGGTCCCGCCACTACGCCATACGGTGCATTGATATGACACGCACGGTAAAGCCGCAGCACGGAAAAAGGAGACTGCGGAGCTCCGGCCAGTCGGGCGCCTTCCCTCTGCCGTGCCGGCGGCTAAGATCAGGGTCTGCCCCTCCTGTGCCTTTAGTTGTTCTGTGTACACGTTTTCCTGGAAGAACACCATCGTTTCGGTTCCTGAACTATTTTACGTGGCTTCGTCTGATCTTACTACTCGTGTCTTTTCTTGTCAGGAAACCAGTTCGTGGCCCGTTGATAGAGAACGATTTAGCTCTACACGCTCTGCGGGACGAACCGCTCTTACTTCGGTACCACGTCAGATCGTGAACGAGACATCTTGAGCTTAAACCTCAAGAAAGACAGTCACCATGGCTGTGGGGGCTGCAACAAATGACCAAGCGCTGCCAACAACGGTACAAACAAAGTCCACAGAAAATGGCGGACGGGGACGGCGAAACATTGTCACCAGCATCAACTATTATGACGATCCCGGTGACGGCTCCCCTCCGACCCCAGTCATTGTTGGGGGGTAAGACGCTTTTCAGTCGTCTTCTCTAAATGGCCTCATGCCACTTTACGCATACATATGTTCGAATGCTCATGTCTTCACTGCACCAGCCAAAAAGTCACAAATGAGAGGAAAATGACACCTCGCACCATGACTGTGACCGATGTCACCGGCGACGAGGACAAGTTCACCCTCGACACCCACGGCTTCCAGTACCTCCGCCATGCCAGTGTCGAAACGGAATTCACAGACGAGGCGCATATCAAAGCCCACTACTACCCTGAGGTGGAACGGCTCTACAAAGAAATGTGAGTCCAGATTTACTTTTCCAATCTGCCAGTCCGAGTGGACTATGCGGAGGGAGCGGTGTAAGGGGTCTCGACGAACGCCAGTGGGCCGCAATCAAGAACCCATGCTCACCAGGGTCTTGGTCCGAACCAGCACCGGGGCCAGCAGAGTCGTTATATTCAATCATCAAATTCGTCGTGGGCCGGCCAATTGGCATAGCCTGGGCGAGCGCAACACGGAGCACCGCGGACCGCTGCACAAAGCGCACGTCGATCAGTCTTACGACGGCGCTATCATGATGGCGAGGCATCACCTCGGCGCCGAGGCCGACGAGTTGCTGGATGGAAGGCGCTTCCAGATCATCAACCTCTGGCGGCCAATCAAGACGGTCCAGAAAGACCCCCTGGCCGTCGCCGACGGGAACACGGTGGCCGAGGCGGACCTCGTCGCGGGGGCCATCATCTACCCGAGGCACCGGGCTGAGACGTGGACCATAAAGCCGAACCCGGGGCACCGGTGGTACTACAAGAACCAGCAGCGGCCGGATGAGCCCCTTCTCATCAAGTGCTTCGACTCGGACACGTCGGTGGTCAGGAGGGCGGCGCATTGTGCTTTTCGGGACCCGGAGATGGATGACATGGAGTGTAGGCAGAGCATCGACATCCGGGCCTTAGTGTTCCACTGATGTCCGCCCATAGGGACCCGTATCTTGTGTGACAATGAACAAACATTGAACTACGTCGAAATAGCCATCTCGCCTTGACCTACGTGTTCACTGCAGGATGAAATGGCGTTGCTTTGTCCAACATAATTTTCGCCTTCAGCCGGAAAATGAATACTAGACTACGTGCGCGCAGAGGCGAAAAAAAAAAAAAAACCTTTGATCGCCGCACGTGGAGTTTCTACAGATCTGCTCGACATGATGCCAAGACGGAGCCTTTTTTGTTTCGACTAAGAGGTTTCTGATGATCGATTCCAACTGGGTAACGTCCAATAGCTAGACTAGGTTTCAGATCCTGGCCCCTTTCTGGCGTTGAATCCAGATTCACCTGGTTTAGACGTGCATTGGAAGGTCAAACACACCGGTGGCGTTTGGCAGGAGACTTGGAAAACAACGTTTGGAACGGCGAGACTTTGTCGAGGCAGGGGGATTTCTCCCTGTCGCATAGCTGTAGATGATGCCCGAGGGCTCAGAGACACCTGGGACGAATACTGCGAGGAAGAGTGTCATGTGGTTTATTTCATCTCGTCACCATTCGGAATCGTCACATCACCGAAATGGCCTTTTCACGTATGTTTGCCAAGTTCACGGTCAATACCATCTGAGCGTCGACATGGATATGGTCGTTCGGCTTCTGGAAAGCAGGCCAAGACCTTCGATGGCTCGGGGGCGCAAAAGGCCCCTAGGATAAGCTTCGCATTGCGGCAGAAGTGAACTGTTAGCGGTCTTGCCATGGACCAAGCACATCATCCGCAAGGATGGAGGGAGATGCGAAACCTGTGGCCGATGCCAGCCGCCTCGGGGACGTGACGTCACAGAACAATGACATCGACTGTCTGCGATTCGGGGAGGATTGCACAAACCGAGGTGGTTTTAAAAGCAGTCAGTAATGGCGCCATAACAGGCGATACGATTCTATGACAGTGACAAGTCGGGAAACCGGCACGGGAGCCATGGCTTTTCTCTGGGCTGCCGTCGTAGAGTTCTTGGGAGGGCTTGGAAGAGAGAATGATAGCTAGTATGCTAATGTAGAAGCTGGGTGCAAGTTCCGGTTTGCAACAGTCAATTTTAGTGTACCAACCACCAACCAACCGCTCCTAATGGTGGCACCACCCGCTGGCGGAGGGGCAGTCGTACCTGCAAGCTTCCTTATCGATACGCCGACCAAACCCCACCCTGTTCTTATCGACCTATCAACAAGGCCTGTCATCCCAAATGACGTCAAGACAAAAGTAGAGTAGCAGCCCACCTGTTTTCCAACTTTGCACCAGTGAGGGGCACAGCTTGTGCTGTTTTGACCAATTCCAATTTCAACCTTCCCTGCTGGGCGTATTCAGCGCGGGGCTCTGTTTACGTTATTTCTTTGCTTCTGTACAACGGAGTACCTAACAAATAGCCTATCTGGTTTTTTTTCTTTTTGTCTAACCCCGCCTCTAGCTGGCTCTTGAGCCAGTTGTCCATTGAGCACGCGACGGAAGACCTTGTTGGGCTGAGAATTGCCCCTGTTGCTCCCCCCCTCCTTCAGCTGTACGAATCTGTACTATCATGCCGTGGCCGCCAATGGCCCAGCCACCAATTAGCCGTCCCAATGGCCTGGGGAGGCGCAAGACGCGCGGCTTCGCATACTACGAGGCTCCGTAACACCAGCCGGGATCCTCCATTCCCTTCCTAGGCCGATGGATGGTGAGTCTCCAAGTTGCGTCCAAGGTTTGGGGGCGTTCCTGAAGGCAAGCGTGGGACAAGAGGGCCAAGAACTTCAAATCTTGCATGCGGATCATCATCACGATCCTCCTTCTCGCAGCATATAGTTACACTGAAAGCATTCATTGACAGCCCAATGCTGGCCAGACCCTAAGAGACCCAACGACAAGAAGTAGAAAGGAAAAGAAAAAAAAAAAAAAGGAAAAAATCAAAAAAGCGACGAAAACCCCAAGGTCCATGACCCGAGTCGTTCGACGCCGAGGATCGTCAGATGCCCCGCCTTTAACTTCTCGGATGGTACTCTGACCTGGTTGCCCTGTCTCACCAACCAAAACGTTTCGGTCCCAGCGCCGCCCACCCTTTTTTTTCTTTCTTGTCCTTCTTGCCAATCCTGCTTAGCTCTGTTTCCGGCCGAGTGCCTTGCCTTAACCTCCCTCTGCTACCCTGTCTTCTTTTCCTTCCGGTCCCTTTCGTATGACATAGCCTGGGTTTCAAGCTTTCCCTTAAGCTTTGGGCTCGCGCCGTTCTCCATTCTCTCTTCCGCTCTCCCGTCTTGTCTACTCTTCTTCCACTCTACTTCTCCCTCAAAAGCTCTACTCAAGCTTCAAGCTCAAGCTCAAGCTGCCGTTGCTCCCGTGTTGGCTTGAAAGCCACGGCTTGTCCTCTCCACCCTCCCTCGTTCTACCCCGCGAACCACTCTGATTGATACCCCTCCATACCCACCACGATTACATGACCTAGATGCCGTTCGAAGCTTATTGATACCCCTTCTGCGCCGTCCTACCCGTCGCCAAGATGTTTACTACCGACCATCAAGAAGATGGCGAAAGCGGTGGCTTCTTCCACAAGCTTAAGAAGCCGTTCCGCGAGCTCGAGGAGAAGCTTGAAGGAACTCACCTCCATGATGCCAAGGTTCACCTTGTCCACAAGAAGCACCAGATTGGAAAGTTTGCCAACCTCGTAAGTTCCAAGTTTCTCAAGGGCGTTCTACAGAAGACGCCAGTCCGAATGCGACACGTAATGTAACATCTGCGCTCCCAGTTTAACGCGAATCACCGCCACGACGAAGAGCACGAGAAAGCCACCGACGAAAAGCGAGCCAAGATCGCCGAACAGCACCGTTTCAACTCCTATTTCCCAGTGCATGAGGGAAACCAGATTAAATGGTATGTTGATGGCCGTGATTACTTCTGGGCCGTCTCCGAAGCTCTCGAGAAGGCCCAGGAGACCATCTACATTGCCGACTGGTGGCTGTCCCCCGAGCTGTTCTTGCGCCGCCCACCCCATTTCAACCAGCAATGGAGACTAGACCAAGTCTTGAAGCGCCGTGCCGAGGCTGGTGTCAAGATCTATGTTCAAGTCTACCGTGAAGTCGAAGCCGCCCTGACCTGCAACTCTGAGCACACCAAGCACGCCTTGCAGGCGCTCTGCCCCGAGGGCTCACCAGGATACGGTAACATCAAGATCATGCGCCACCCTGACCACAACGTTTTTGAAAATGCTGCCGATATGACCTTTTACTGGGCCCACCACGAAAAGTACATTGTGATTGACTACGCTCTGGCTTTCATCGGAGGTCTTGATCTCTGCTTCGGCCGCTGGGACAGCCACACTCATCCCCTCGCCGATGCTCACCCCGAAGGCGTCCAAAACGAGGTCTGGCCGGGCCAAGATTTCAACAACAATCGAATCATGGACTTTAAGAACGTCCAGGACTGGAAGCAGAACGAACTAAGCAAGGCTCAGTACGGCCGCATGCCCTGGCACGATGTTGCCATGGGTGTCATCGGACCTTGCGTCTACGATATCGCCGAGCACTTCGTCTTGCGTTGGAACTTTGTAAAGCGTGACAAGTACAAGCGTGATGAGCGATTCGACTGGATCCAGCTGCAAGGTCGACTGGGTGACGACGAGGATCTTGTGGGAGTTCAGAGGCCTAAGCATCCTGTGGGAGACTACATCACTCATCCTCTCAGTGACCTGAGCACGAAGAACCTGGACAACCGTGGAACGGTTCGCGCCCAGATTGTGCGATCAAGTGCCGACTGGTCCAGTGGTATCTTGACCGACCACTCCATTCAGAACGCCTATTCCGAAATCATCAGCAAGGCCGAACACTTTGTATACATTGAGAACCAGTTCTTTATCACCGCCACCGGTGACCAGCAGTCTCCAATCCACAACACCATCGGACGCGCCATTGTTGACGCCGTCGTCAGGGCTGGCAAGGAGGGCCGCAAGTTCAGAGTAATCATCCTCATTCCCGCGATTCCCGGTTTTGCCGGTGACCTCCGTGACGATGCCGCTACTGGAACTCGAGCCATCATGGACTACCAATTCAAGTCAATTTGCCGTGGAGAGCACTCCATCTTCGAACAGGTCAAGGCGCAAGGTATTGACCCTAGGAACCACATCTTCTTCTTCAATCTTCGTTCGTACGACCGCCTCAACAGGACCTCGGCTGTGGAGAAGAGGGAGAAGGACACAGGCGTCAAGTACGCAGATGTCCAGCGCGCTCAAGCCGAGGAGGTGATGGGTGCTGGTATTCACGGCACTAACGACCCGGGACATCACGAACGTGACGCGCACATGGGTACCGTGGCGGATCAGGCCGGTAGAGGCAAGCCGCAGGAAGCAATCAACGCCATCGAAGCAAAGCAGAAATTCGAAGCAAGCTTGGGCGACGGCGAACACAAGACTCAGTGGTCTGTTGCCCACCATGCCATGGCCAACTCGGGCTCCATCGAAGATGAGGTTTGGGAGGACGAAGATCCCGAAACCGAGATCCGCAACTGGATTCAGGAAGAGCTCTATATCCACTCCAAGCTTCTGATTGTCGACGACCGCATCGTCGTGTGCGGCTCCAGCAACCTGAACGATCGCAGCCAGGTCGGCCACCACGATAGTGAGTTGAGTATCGTCATGGAGGACACGAAGCTAGTTCCCAGCACGATGAATGGCCAGCCGTACGAGGCAGGGTGGCACGCGACGAGCCTGCGACGCTATCTCTGGCGTGAACATCTCGGTCTTTTACCCGCCCAGGACCTTGACGGCACAAACGACCCCAACGCACAGCCGCCTGGAGATGACTCGCCGAACGATGCGTGGGACCGCGATGAGAGCTGGAAGTTTGTAGAGGATCCGCTCAACGATGAGATGTGGAGCATGTGGACGCAAAACGCAACCAAGAACACGGAGCTGTACAGACATCTCTTCCACGCCGACCCAGATGACCATAGTAAGTGCACATGTGAGAGGGAGATTACTCTTCAACCGCTAACTGAGAATCAGTCAAAACATTCGAGGATTACGACAGATATCTACCTCCCAAGGGACTCAAGTCTGGCCACATCTTTGACCAGTTTATGCCTGCCAAGGACGCACGGAAGAAGATTGACCAGATCAAGGGTCACCTCGTGTGGTTCCCGCTCGACTTCCTGCGAGACGCCGAGATGGCTGAGAAGGGGTTGCAAGTCAACCAGTTCACAGAGAGTGTTTACACCTAATTTTCGCAAATTTTGTTACGCATGGATTTGGATGATGGACCTCGGAGCAACCCTTATGAATCATGGATTAATGTATAAGCAGGGCAAGCATCCCCTCGATGCTTTGCCCAAATCAAACAGAATAACAACAACAATTAAAAAAAAGTTCCAACCAAACACCTGCTCATTCCTCAAAGTAAAGCTGTTTCCCCTCGACTTGCACTGCCTTTCTAACCCCCTCAAGCCCCTCAACCACCCTCATCAGCCGTCCATAACTGGGATAGTGGCGTTCCATGTCAACATCGATCAACCTGCCCCAGCGCCAAAACACATAGAGATTGAAATCGACCACGGTCAAACCCTCACCAACAGCAAACTCCCTCCCGTTCAGCGCGGCCTCGATCCGCGCATAACACTTGTCAATCACCTCCCTGCCCCTGACACTAACCTCCTTCTTCGCCTCCTCGCCCACGACAAACCGTTCAGGCCTCCAGAACGCCGCGAATCCTAAACTGTGCAGCGTGCCCGACAGCCAGCACAGCCATTCATATGCCTTGGCCCGCTGGGCGTCGGTCCTGCCTAGGAGGTTCTTCTCCGGGAGCAGGGAGGCGATGTAAGTGAGCACCGCAGGCATCTCGCCGATTGCCGTCCCCGAGGCCCCGTCGTCGCCGTCGTTGTGATCGGGTTGGACAACGATGCATGGGACGTAGCCTGTCGGATTGATCCGTAGGTATTCCTCGTGGGAAAGGGACCCGTCTGTTGCTCTGTATCGGCTGCCGAAGGATGAATCCGGCGTGGGCTCCATGGGGACGCCGTGGAATGGGATGGCGTACTGCGTTAGGATGCAGTGCGGGACCAGGGCGCAGGACCCGTTGACGCGGTAGAGAGTTAGGGACGGAGACATTTTCGGGTATAATGGGTTTGGAAGGTAGGTTTTTCTGCAGAGTGGTGATTTCGTTTTTGGTTCTCATGGCAGTTTCCCGCGGGTTCTATATACTTTTGGTGATGGCGCCATTGCCTGAGGCACTGGTGATGCGCCGAAGGATTGTCCAAGGATTTATAATCTGCGGTCGTCGGGATTCATCTGTGCTTTTTTGGGATGAGGTTGTGGAAGGGCCGGTGTATGTCCCGGTGTTTGTGCCATCGTCCGAGACACCAGCGATGCGCTAGTTCTGTCTAAAGGTATTGTGTGTGCTTATAAGGATTCATCTGTGGTCTTTAGAATGAGGCGTTTGTACGCCCTTTGAAGTACAGGTATTTGAAATGGGCGGGTGTAATATGCATCCGAGCCGGATGGCACTAATACTAGTGAGATTTGAGCTGTTGAAACTACTTAGATTGTTTAAAGGCCGGATGCTAGAGGGGATGTAGATTCTTGGACATCTTAGTAGTTTCCATTTAATTTGGCGTCTTTTTCGTAATTCGAACTCTCACGATGCAGACTGATGAACAAGACATGACGATGGTTCACCCGGTAGAGGTTGGTTGACGTTTCATTTTGACATTGAGGGCAGCAAGTCTATTCTATGAGAAACTGAGATGTATTTTAAACTGAGTGATGAGAAAAAATAGACATGATGCCGTGTTTCTTGTTTCTATCGTGGTTGAATTAGTCCACGACCCTGGAAAAACAGGTATAATAAGCTGAATCGTTGTAGTTCGATATTGGCCCTGATCTGGTTCAGCTTATCGAAATCACCGGGATCCAATTGAAGAATACCTACACATATACATATATTATACACTTATATCTCTTTACTCATCCGTTTATACAGATCTGGTTCTGGGATTGTGGGGTCTCACCGAGCTCTAACTCGGTGAAGCGCCGGTGACTGCGGGGTAGCGGGGCACCGACCTTTAGCCGCCATCCCACTTTGGTGGCAGCGTGAGTGACTCGACCCCTCCATTGACTCACCTTTTTCGGGAAATTTGGCCATAAGAGCTCCAACACCCTCCCGTCCTCTCCACCCAAACCACAACGCCACGCGAGCGAGACTCAAACTCCATCTCGCCATCTCCGTGCCCCTCCTCCGCCCCCTGAAGCGATTGACCACCTGAATCTCGACAATGGCCTCCGCACCCGAAGCCCCGACCGCCGCGGTCCCCGCCGAAGCCGTCAGCCAGGCGCCCGCCGCTTCTACTGGCGGCCAGAAAGTCGATCCCTGGAACGTGTCCGGCGAGGTGGGCTCTCTTACCCCGGTTTTCGACTACAAGACACAACAAGAACATGGGCTGACGAGAAGACTGGGGAATAGGTTGGCGCAGATGGCAAGGTCAAGGCCATTGACTACAAGGTTCGTCCGCGATCCGCGATTCTTCTCACCCGTAGGCGAGGTGAAGTTGGTTCGCTGACGAGACACGCGACAGAAAATCGTGGAGGAGTTCGGCACCAAGTTGATCGACGATGCGCTTCTCGAGCGCTTCGAGCGCGTCACCGGACACAAGCCGCATCACTTCCTGCGCCGCCAGATTGTCTTTTCCCACCGTGACCTCGATCACATCCTTGACCTCTATGAGAAGAAGGAGCCTTTCTTTATCTACACTGGTGCGTTGGCGAACTTGGGGGAGGGGACCAGTATGTCGCTGACGAGAGCCTCATAGGACGTGGACCCAGTTCCGACAGCATGCATATCGGACACGTTATCCCCTTCCAGCTGACGAAGTGGTTGTCGGATGTCCTTGATGCGCCCCTGGTGGTATGTTGTCTTGTTTCTTAAAAAGATTCATGTAATGAATGCTGACTTGGGTCATAGATCATGATGACTGATGGTGAGAAGCTCATTGTCTGACGCAGAACTAGTTCTAACTGGGTTCGCAGACGAAAAGTTTCTCTTCTCCGAGAAGAGGACGGTCGAGGAGGTTATGCACTACACGAGAGAGAACGCCAAGGACATGTGAGTTGGGAACGCAACTTTGCCGAGCGAAACTGACCGCCGTAGCATCGCCATTGGCTTCAATCCCGAGCGCACCTTTATTTTCTCCGACTACGACTACATGGGCGGCGCATTCTACAAGTTAGTCACCCAACACATTATCCAAAGTTGTAGCTGACAGTCCCGTAGGAACATCACCCGTGTGTCTAAGAGAATCACAGTCAACACTGCCAAGGCCGTGTTCGGCTTCGACGACAGCTCCAACATTGGAAAGGTCCACTTCGCCAGTATCCAGGCATCTGCGGCCTTTGCCAACTCCTTCCCTCACATCTTTGGCGACGACGAGGCACGCACCACTCAAATCCCCTGCCTCATCCCCTGCGCCATCGACCAGGACCCTTACTTCCGCGTCACCAGAGACTGCGCCGCCGGCTTGCGGTACGCCAAGCCCTCGCTGCTGCACTCGCGTTTCTTGGACGCCCTGCAGGGCCCCGGTTCCAAGATGTCGGCCTCGATCGAGAGCAGTGCTATCTTCATGAAGGACACTCCCAAGCAGATCCAGACCAAGATGAGCAAGTACGCGTTTAGCGGTGGTAAGGTCACGGCGGAGGAGCAGCGCGCTGAGGGTGCCGACCCCGATGGTAAGTTCTTGTTGCTCTGGTAAACGCATGCAGGAGATGCTAACCCGAGTATAGTCGACGTCAGCTACCAGTACCTCCGCTTCTTCCTCGAGGACGACGCCGAGCTCGAGCAGATTCGCGAGGACTACCGCACCGGCAAGATGCTTACCGGCGAGATCAAGAAGCGCTGCGCCGAGGAGCTGGCCAAGTACTGCACGGGCTTCCAGGAGCGCAGAGCAAAGGTCAACGACGAGACGGTCGACATGTTCTTCTCGCGCCGGCCGCTCGTCTGGGCCGGTTCCGAGAACCTCAAGTCCATTCCCATCCGCGACAAGGCTGCCGAGGGTGCTGCTGCGGAGGGTGGCGACGGCAAGCTGACCAAGAACCAGCTCAAGAAGATTGAGAAGCAGAAGCAGATTGAGGAGAAGAAGGCCGCCAAGTTGAGGGAGAAGGAGGCCAAGGCCGCTGCTGGTGGTGAGGCTGCTTAGACGATAAAAAGAATATACCCATGTACAGGTTTCGATACGGATCTTTACAGTCTGATTCATGAGTGACATTGTTTTTCCAAGTGTGGAAATGCGAATGGCAGAATTGAAGAGCTCACATATTCGTCAATAGGAGAGTCATCTTTGACACTTAAAATCCAGGCGTAACATACATTCCAGTCTCATCTCCCCTCTCGCGGGAAATATTATCTCAAATGATTATACAAATTCAAAATCCCATCTTCCGTTTCTCGAGTTCTCCGCTCAACAACCATCAGTACATCGCCCACCCACCGCTCGCGCTGATAACCTGCCCGCTGACCCACGAAGCCTCGGGGCCAGCAAGCCACGTCACGATCCTCGCGACCTCCTCCGTCGTACCGAGCCTGTTCTGCACCGGCGTCTGCGCCTTCTGCATCGCCACGAGCTCCGCGGGGATGTTATCCAGCATGTCGCTCTGCACGGGGCCGGGAGCGACGCAGTTCACCGTCGTCCCGTTCCCGCCCAGCTCCCGCGCCCAACACCTCGTCAGGCCCTCCAGCGCCGCCTTGGAAGAGCAGTAGAGGCCCATGCCGGGGAACCCGAAGCGGCCGCCGACGGAGGAGATGTTGATGATCCTCGCGGCGGCGCCGCCGGCCGTCGATAGCCGCGGGAGGAGGGCCTGCGTGAGGAGCAGCGGGGCGCGGACGTTCACGTCGTAGACTTTTGCAAAGGACTCGGGCGTGATGGCGCCGAGGGGCGCGTTGATCTCCGTGCCGGCGTTGTTGATCAGGATGTCGATCTTGCCTTCTGCGCCGAGCCACGTGTCTAGGGCGGAGAGCACGGCGTCGGGCGCCGAGAGCGAGGAGAGGTCTGCCTTGCAGCTTGCTGCGCGTGGGGAGTGCGGGAGGGAGGTGATTTTTGTCACGAGGGCGTCGACTTTGCTTGCGCTTGAGTCGGATGTGTATAGTAGCATTACCTGCGTTCGTGTTAGTGTTGTGGTGGGAGGTGGACGGTGGGTTGTTTATAGGGTGGAGCTTACGGAGGCGCCTTGCTGAGCTAGGTCGAGGGCCATTCCGGCGCCGAGGCCGCGCGAGGCTCCTGATACTACTGCGATCTTGCCTTGTAGGGACATTGTGTGAGTGTGTTGTAGGTGTTGTAGGTGTTGTAGGTGTTGTAGGTGTTGTAGGTGTTGTAGGTGGTGATGGTGTTGGTGGTGGTTTTTTGGTGTTTTGGTAGCGTTCTGTTTTCGGTAGTCAATTGATGTGATGGAATACTGTAGAGACTGTATCAACATGTCAGATATTCACTGAAAGTCTCACTCTCTTATACCTCTCACGTAGTATGCGGTTACATGCCTGCCTGCTGCTGGTCTTACACCGCCGCCGCCGCATGCTGTCGGCGATCGGTGAGAGGCGGTGCCAATGTCGCCTAAACGCCGACGTGCGGGGGTAACTCCAGCGCCCTGAATTATCGGCGATATTTGCGTACCGGACAATAGGGCGCCGTCACCGTATTATTGGCCATTTCTAACGGAGGAGGTTGATCCTTTGAGGCTTTTCGTATTGCAGCTACGTCAACTGGCATTCTGGTGACGCCCTTGTGTTGGACGAGTCAGGGTGGACAGTTGACTGGAGTTGAGCTTGCATGCTGTGATAGATACATCAGCACAGGTGCTATGTGCATGCATTTGGCTGGTATGGATGCCTTTGATAGACCTCATCTCGAGCTTCTACATTTGGCGTAGAACCGGACGGTGGTTGGCGAACCTGGGCCTGGAACATGTCACTGCTAGACTGTAAGATCTGGGAGTGGTGGTCCAGGTCGGCGATTTAGGTCTGGATATCGATAAGAACAGGAAGGGATGAGCAAACAGCACCTGAAGTATTCAAAGATTATATGACGAGATGATGGATATGGTTTAGTCAGGCTCTATTTGTGGAAGTTAGTCTCCTTCATTTCACATCTCCCTATGCGATTCAATCACCATGACAACCTGAGACGAAAAGCATTCATTAGAAGAAGAAACCAAGGCTTCATAATCCTACACAAGGCGAGAGTTGAGCTCTTCAATAAGAATTATGCAGCAAGTCGAGCGACATCTAACCTGCAAAGCGGAGACCTGTGAATGGAAGTTGGAAGTCCTGAACTGAATGTGTTGTATGCATTGTAAATTATTAGTCTATGAAGATCAGTTCAGTTTGACAACCACCTTTATCCCTACTCCCCCAGCCTCATACTGTCAAGGGAAAAAGCAGGCTCGAGGGTACGTTTGCTGCGATGCCTTATTTACCCTGGCCCTGAGTGAAATTCATGCTGTAGCCGCCGGTAGCCTCGTCTTTGACCATCTGAAAGTTGTCGGTACTGAGACCGAACGGCTTCAAGATACCGTTACCCAACTGCCGCTCGTTAGTTGTGTCGCATGCCACAGTTGATACTAAGAAAAACGTACATCTTTGAGCTTCCCCCACATCTCGGCCGTCTCCTTCTCCTGCGCAGCCTTAGTCCGTGGTGGCAGCAGGCGCAACTGCGTCTGCACGATCTTGCGGTCCGTGGGCGAAAGGTTCGTCATTTGCGAAAGCGTCTTGTAATCCTCCTCGGCGCCAGCTAAGTTCTGCCATCCTCCCTCTTCACTGCGCGCCCTCGCCCTGCGCATCAGAGCTTTGGCCCGAATTCTCAAAATGTCTTCAAGGCGCTTCTTCCGGGCAATCTCCTCCGGGTCTTCCTCAGGTTCCAACGGCGCGGGAGCAGCTTTGCTCGCGCCGGGACTGATAATCTCCTCCTCAATCTCCTCTTCCTCAGCTGCCTTCTCCTTCTCGCGGCGCTCCTTCTCTAGAGCGATCTCCTTTTCAAGCCTGTCAAGGCCTTCAAGGGCGGCGGTAGCACTGGAGATGGCTTCTTTCCATTGCTCGAGCTTCAGATGGCAGGCGGAAATGTTGGAGCGCAGGACGGCCAGCTCGTAGTCGAGGTAGTTGGGGCATGCGGCGACGGCCTCGTCATACTTGGTGATGGCATCGTCATATTTCGATGAGGCGAAGAGTGCGTTGGCCTCGGTTTTCCTGGCGTTAGACTCGGCCAAAAGAGACTGCAGTTACAGGGTTAGATGAATTGTTCTGCTGTTTGCCTTTATCTCAACCAAGCTTCATTTGGAGAGGTGAGACTCGGTGAGACTCAGTGAGAGAGCAAAGAGCCGAAATATTTTGCCCGCTCCTACGCCTGTTTGGTTCCCTCTTTTCAAACATGTATGGACTTGCGACAGCTCATATCGTTCATGTGCAACCACAAATGGGCAAAAAGATTCAGCTTACCGCCTCTTCTTCAGGTGAGAATTTCTCAACCTGCTCCTGTTCCTCCTCTTTCTCTACCGACTTGCCCTTGTCGCGAGCCTCAGCTTCGGCCTCCTTGGACGCCATCTCGAATCTGTTGAGCGTTTGGGACGTCGCCGGGTTTGAATTGAAGGGGCAGGGATAGTTATAGGGCGGAGTCGCGATAAAGACAGAAGCTGATGGAAATGTCGTCACTGTCTCGCGTACCCCACGTGGGCCGTTGGACTCAGTGGGACGTTGAGGCTGTTCACATGTTTCGGGGGATAGAAGCCACTGGGCGCCTTGTCTCTAGCCAGCGATTAGTCTGGAACCTCAGCGGGCTTTCCGGTGCTTGTACCCGCTGTATGTCGTGGGGGCTTTGGTCTTTGTTGCTTCTGAAGAACGGCGCTGGGTCTTGGGGGTTTGCTACGAATCATACGATAATTGCATATGTCTTTTCAGTATCTCAAACGTCTAACGGTATGCATTACTTGACAGGACAGAAATGCATCTATACAATCAATTGAATCTGGAAGGGTCTACCTGCCTCTGGAGATGGAGGGGTAGATCCTAGAAGGTGCGCTGGAGCAGGTTAAGGAAGGAATGCACATAATTAGTATACGTACCTGTGGTCTTCCTCTGTTACTGCCCCACCTTCCCGTCCTGAACCAATTTTTTTTTTTCGGGCAAGCGCTGAACCGACCCCTCCATCGGTGCCTTCCGCCTCCGATTTCACCCCGCTGTTCCTGCCGCGGTTTCTTGGCCCATTGTTCTTTCCTCAATTCACCGTTGGACCCTTTGAGGAAACCAAGACCCTTTCCTTTTTCACCTTTTGCTGAATTTTTCTCCAGCTTTAGTTTCCTCCTCCTCCTATTTTACTCCACCTCTTTCTCTACAATCCCCACCGAGGCAACTTCTTCCTTACAATCTCAACCAGGAACAAGTCCCTCCTCCAAATCTACCCCTCCATCAATTGTTCCCTTTTCCCACTCCCACTACAAACACCACCATATCACCTGCCCTTAACCCAGCACCATACGAACCTTAACCGTCACAATGGCGCCTCGCACCGAGTAAGTTTCTGCCTTCCCTGAGAATTCGTGATCTCTCAACAGGAACTGACTTCGGCGCCTTCAGCTTCCCTCCCGTCCGGGCCTGTCTCTTCGACATGGACGGCCTCCTTCTCGACACCGAAGACCTCTACACGGCCTGCATCAACACTATCCTCGAGCAGCAGGGCCGCCCCCTTCTCCCCTGGTCCATCAAGGCCAAGCTCCAGGGCCGTCCTGGCCCCGATGCCACCCGCCTCTTCCACGAGTGGGCCCAGCTTTCCCTCTCTCACGAGGAGTACCAGAAGCAGCTCTCCGCCCTCCAGCGCCAGATCTTCCCCACCACTCAGCCCCTCCCCGGTGTTCCTGAACTCCTTGCCAACCTCGGCCGCACCCGCTATTGGGACCTCAAGCCTGCCGCTGCCGACGCCGCCGACAAGCAGAACCCCCACCGCGTCCACATCGCCCTGGCCACCTCCTCCCACGAGGCCAACTTCAAGCTCAAGTCCGACCATCTGACTGAGCTCTTCTCCGTCTTCCCCACCCAGCGCCGCGTCCTCGGAGACGACAAGCGCATTGCCCCCGGCCGTGGCAAGCCCAACCCGGACATCTTCCTCCTGGCCCTCAAGACCATCAACGACTCCCTCCCCGCCGGCGAGAAGCCCATCACCCCCGAGGAGTGCCTTGTCTTTGAGGACTCTGTCCCCGGCGTTGAGGCCGGTCGCCGCGCCGGCATGCGCGTCATCTGGTCCCCCCACAAGATGCTTCTCAACGAGTACAAGGGCCGCGAGAAGGAAGTCCTCGCCGGTCGCACTGGCGAGGCTGGCCAGGTCGACATGCACCAGGTCGGCGAGATCGACGACGGCTGGGCTGAGTACCTTCCCAACCTGGTCAACTTCCCCTACGAGAAGTTCGGCATGACGATCCCTCCCGTCGAGGTCGACAACGAGCCCTTCATGAAGGAGAACGTCGGCGATGTCGTCGTTGGCAAGACCAATGGCACCGCCTAGATTCCGAGACTCTTCTAGGAGAACGTGAAGTTCGACTTGGCATACATGTGTTATGACGAGCTTGGATTTTTTTTCGTTAAAAATCTCCTTTGGTCGACTTTTCTTTTTTCCCCCTTTTTTGAGCAAGCTCTTTTCTTTTTTTTACGAGAAAAACGGCGATAGACGGAACATGGATCACGATGTTAATAGGCGAAACGAGACAGAGACAGAACAGAACGTGGGAGGGGGGATGGGGGGTCATGCATGGTTCATAGAACGCAGATTATTTTTCTCGGATGAGGGTTTGCATAGTTTGGTCAGTCATGGGGGAGTGCGCTTAGATGCAACCCCCCCGATCAGACCTTTTATTGCCTTTTTTTTTGACCATGGAAAGACGAAAAGAAAGCAGCATTGGCATTGCGATAGATTCCCCGGATTAGAGAAAGCAGGCAGAAACCACCACCCCCTACCCAAATGATACCAAGATATGCATACAAAAAAAGGACCAGTTCCCCTGTGCAAGTGCCTGAATTTGTCATGACAACTAGAACTACCAAAGGATGATGAAGAATAAAAATAAGCACAATGAACCTTATTGAACCGCCCAAGTAGACACACACGCACGTACGAACACGCACAAGTAAATAAACCTCATGGTATCGATGCTCTTTAAACAGAGCCAAGTTTGTTCCCCCCCTCCTTTCACTTCCATCACATCGCAACCTATGTCTGCCCCAGAGACAGCGGTCATCATTGTCCCCCCTCCCCCCCCTCTTATTCGGTTTGCCGGAACGCCGGATGCCAAAAGTATGTTTTTCTTTCTCTTCCCCCTAGGTCTACTGGCTTTGGACCTGTAAGAATAAACGAGGACAAGCAACCATTCTGCTGCCCACCCTGCTAATTCTTCTTCTTCTTTTTTCTTCTTGACGCGATGCTTTACCGGCCGTCCTGTAAAGCCGTGTACCGTCTTTGTCGAAAAACAAACCAAAAAAGGAAAAGATAAAAAAAAAAAAGGCCTGTATGAATGAAGATGATGATTGTCAAAGAGAAAGGTAAAGCAGTGCAAGAAAAGAAGAAAACCAAAGGTTGGTCGTAATCATAAGCCCTGGCAACCAGTGCCGTTGTCGTCCACAGGAGGGAGATATGCCTCGCAAAGGAGATTATATAAAAAGAGCCTTCCGTTCATGAATAGAAAGTAGCCGTATGAGAAGATTTGGCCGAAGAGGACCAGACTAAAAAATATGGGATACTGAAATGAAGTGGCGGAGAAGAATTAAAGAAAGCTCTGAGAGCTATACGAGTTTGACCGGTTTGGCGGCTCGTACCAGTTCTGGTAGGGGTGATTCGGCAGCGAAAAGTCGGCATACGCGAGAGGGTTGACGAGGGCTTTCATCGGGGCCGAAGAGACGCTGCTCGTACCCGCAGGTTGCGACATCGCCGTCGCCGTCGCCATCGCAGGTGGGTTGCCCGGTGGCCCTGATGCAGGAAAGAACTTGCTCGATCCCCTAGCATCTCCGACAGGGACGACGGAAGCAGGGCCAGCCGCGGGCCAGCCCCATGTCCTCTTGAGCTCACTATGAATCTTTCCGAGCCTCCAGCCGCTCTCGGCATGAATCTTATCGAGGATCTCGAGGACCTCTTCCTGCTCGCGCGGGTCGGTGAGCACAGCTGAGGCAATGGCGAGGGAGCGGATGGCGACTGAGGCAACGCCGCGGTCCTTTGTATGCGCGACAATGCCGCAGACCTGGTGAGCGTGGTGAAGCTGCAGCGCACGCATCTCCTCTGACGCCTTGCCCGGCTCCATTGGGTTTGTCTGCGCGAGGAGGCACTGGGCTGTGTGGTAGAAGAGGCGACCAATAATGGCGGCGCGCTTGATGAGCCTGGGGGTAAAGTCAGTAAAACACGTTCCGATACTAGTTTTTTTAATGGAAAAGAGGTGGGAAACTAACCAAACATTAGGGAAGGCCGACTTGGAGTTGGTCTGCGACGGGTAGAGGTAGCCGAACGGATGCATTGTCCGCGGGCACGCGTTGTTCCACTTGTCGCAGAGTCTCTTCAGTTCCTGCCACTGTGCAAGGCGGTTACCAAGACGGATCTGCTCGTCGTGAGGGCTCGGTTCCTGAAATCTCGGGATGGTGGCGCGGAAGTTGGCGATCTTGGCTACGATGTACAGGATGCGGTGAACCCACAGCTCCTCCGACCCAAACCCATCTGAGGACGCGGACGAGCAGCCGTCGGCCGTGAGATCCATATCCAGCCCCCACTGATCCGGGTCCCAAGATGTCTGCCAATTGAAGGCGAGGCAGGAGAGCACCTCCATGCCGATGTTGAGCCAGAAGCACGCGGCGCCGATACCGGACGACTTGGCGTTCCATTTGCACTCACGGATAAGGGCGCGCGCGCCGGCGATGTGGTTCATGCGTTGCGCGGGCTTCTCCGACATGATTTCGTACACGTTGAGAACGACGGCTGTTGTCGCGCACTCGCCTGTGTTGCGGTCCGGGTTCTGCAGGCTGCGGAGGAGTTGTGTTGTAGCTGTGTCGTAGTAAAAGAGCGCTTTGTCGTCTTGGTACGCCGGGTTAACGAGCGTCAGGTGCTTGACACCGCAGGCGAGGAACGCGTTGAGGAGCATGGGCGACTTCAGAGAGTGATAGGGAATGAGCCGGGAAAAGTGTTTCTCCTTGTCGAGAGAGTCCATCCAAACGCCGACCTCCTCCACGAAGACCTGCATGTACAAGATCTCCTCGGGCGAATTGAGATACTCCCGCTCGCCGGCTGTGGCCTTCTCGCTGGGCGGAGGCGTCATCATACCGTCAGGTGCCAAGGGGTTGGCCGCGGTGCTGCCACGGTAACTGGGAGGAGGGCCCGTCGGTTGCGGGACGATGGACGCAGCGCTCGAGGCGTCGCTGTCGCGGTGACCGTGGCTGCGGTTGGGACCATCGCGGAAGGAGAAGTGCTCGTGTAGGCCGTAGGGGTGAGGGTGAGCGGAGTTCTGAGGCGTGAGGTAAGCTGTCTCGCTTTCGCGCCGTGGAGGGTACTCGACACCTCGGTGTTCAGGCCGGCTGTGTTGCGGGTAGGCGTAGGACGGAGGCGGCGGAGGGTGGTGCTGGAGGTGAGTCCGGGGTGAGATGGAGGCGTCTGCGCCGCTCGCAGCTCGGGCATGAGGCAGCAGGTGGCCCTGGTGCCGGAGTGTCGGCTCCAGATGGCTGGTCTCGTGCCGAGGGCGGGCGACGGCTTGCTTGTCAAGATGAGCATAGCGACCTAATCCTCCAACGTACTCTGATGCGATCTGTCTAGATTCATCTTGAAATTGTACTATACACAGGGCACTCAAAGTCAGCGTTTCGGTTTCTCTCAAGAGGGGTGACAGCATCAGAGAGGGTGTGTGCGTGATGCAGCTTTGCTCCGAACTTACCCGACCACTCAACCGTAGGAGGCATATACGGCGGCTGCTTGACTTGCACGTCTATAAAATTTAGCCGTACGCCGCGTTTGCATTCTCGATTGCTTTTTCGACAATTTAGACAATCTGGTAAGCCTTCGTCACATTTTAAATGTCGTTCTCTACACGTTAGACACCCCGTTCTCACTCGTTTTGATTTTGTGGCTGTTGCAGCCGCGGCTGCGGCGGATTTTCCCGGGGACTTGGCGGCGACGATGAGGTCCCGCGAGGGGGTGAGTGAGTGAATGCTCGCACTGCGGCGGGGCGGGATGTGGGAGCTGGGCAAATTCATGTTGCTGTCGTAGGGGCGCTGCAGAGGGTGCTGCTGAGAGTGATGCTTAAAATAAGACGAGTCTGATGGCTGCTCAAGGGCTGGTTCGTCCTCGAGAGTGAGATTGGTGGTGAAGTCGGGGGAAAACCCGAAAGAGAGAGAGGAGACCTGGTCGTTGTTGTCGTCGACGTCGAGATAGGAACCGTTGACGAAGTCGAGTGGCGGTTGCTCGTAGGGGTGCAGCACCGCCGGACCAAGGCCAAAGCCTGGCACGAAGACGCCTGCAGAGGCGTCGTATGCCTCCAGGGCTACCGAAAGGCCGTCTCTGGTGAGTAGAGACGGTGATTCAATAAGGGCTGGAGACACCCGAGTTGGGCGATTAGGGCAGTCTGGCAAGCGTCGTCGTGGGCATCAACTGAGGTGAGGAACGATAAATTGGCGTGCAGCGAGCTGTCGTATGTCTCTCAAAGTGAGAGTGAGAGAGATGCGGAGAGGCGGCGCGAGGGTGACTGGAGTAAGCGGCTATATCTTGGCTCAAGAGTACAGGACCACAGATCCCGTGATTTGAAAGCTGGTTGAAATGTTGTTGAAATCGAAGTGTGCGATGAGCTTCGGAACGACGCGACCGGACACGGGAGACGACGCGGATGTTGGTTGGTGAAATGGTCGGTGAGAAGCGAAGTAGCGGTTTGTGAGTGAAAAGTCGAGATGTGAAAAGTCACAAGCGTCGCCCGTGGGTAGGGAAACAGAAGGCAGATTGACTTGACTAGCGCAAGATAGCGAAGTGTGAAGAGTGGTCCTAGTGTGTGTCCCTCTTTCAGGTCTTGGCCGTTGGGTTAGTTGGTAGCCGTGGTAGTGGGTGAGACTTGGTCCGTTCTCGTGCCGCTAAGGTTGTCTACACATGCAGGAATCCCGGACGAAGGTGTGGCCGTCTGGGGCGCGTGGGTGGGCGCAACAGAGTTCTCGTTTCCCTTTCGGGGGTTGTTGGTGTGTGCGTGCGTTGGTGACCTGCTACAAGCGTACTGCTGGACAGAGAGGCAGTGTCTCCAGTCGTCGGCGGGTCTTTCAACTGATGGAGTTTGCTTATAATTAGGCGAGGAACGGGGGGAACGCGAGCCGGGAGAGGAAGAGATAGCGAGAGAGGAGGAAAAGAGCTGAAGAAGATGGTGTCGTAGGCGGGTGTATTATTATGGAGCAAGGCACAAAAGGGTATCCCTCGGCGGCGCGGAAACTCCTCCCCAAGTCAGGATTGGGTCGGGTTCAGGGGTTGTCTCCAGGCTGTGGATGCGGACTGTTCCTCTATGTGTGAGAAGAGTGTCGAGCCAAGACAAGTCTTGAATAACGCGCTTTGTATGAGAAATAGTGACACGGGTGCAGAGCGCAACTGAGATTTCTGGGTAAAGCCTAGGATCAGTGGCTTAGTCGGTTCTTGGCCGAAAGTAGACTGCAGTATATGTTGATCGCCGTGAGTCGAGGACGGGTAGCTATATTTTGGTAAGTCGTTGCAGACAAGTGATGATGAGCCGGTGATATTTGCTCAGAATAGCAGAAACAAGAAAAAAAAAAAATAGGGCGTGAATTCGGACCGGCTAGCAATGCCGGCTGTCGGGCAAGTGGGCAAGGACCAAAAAAAAGGAGTCGATCAATGGCTGGCCGATGGACGTCGTCAGAATTGAGTGAGTCTAGAACTTTTCACTGGCACGCAAAAGAATAGAACAGACAAGCCGGGTCGAGCTTGGGGTCCTTTCGGAGACTGGGGCGTGAACATGGGCGTGGGTGTCCCTTCCTTTCAGTTTCCTCTTGATCCGATGTCTATGTTCTAGGTACCATTCCCTCAGTACTTTGTAGGCGTAAGGGATGCAGTGAGCGGATAGGACATGTGGGGAGGCTGAGAATTGCGAGGGGAACGAGGCGCTGCAGGGTAAACGGAGGGGGGGATCAGTTACGAAGGAGACAGTGGGAAAGACAATGAGGAGAGATTCGTCAAGTCGAGGCGATGAGCGAGGGAATGGGGGGGTGTCGAGGAGTGTGTACGTAGTATGTGTGTGAGGTGAGCATGCTTGTGCGCCTGTGTAGCCGCGATAGTGATGGAAAAAAGGGGGAGAGATACCTGAAAATAACTGAAAAAAAGTGAGAGAGGAGAACCTTGAGAGAGACACTCAGCGCAAGACGTGTGTGATGAAAACACGCAGGGGTGTGAATCCAGTCTGGCATCGACAAGGTGTCTCACTTGATTTGGCAAGTTTTGGTGGGATCTTCTAAAACCGGAGCGGTCCCCTTGGATCCACTTTTTAAGATGGGAGAAGCGTTTGCCGATGGTGTCAATGTTGTCTGTGGCTGAATGTTGCAGGTGTCTAGTATGTTGACAGAGAGTGGATGAGAGTTGCTTTGCTAGACTTGTTGCCTGTAATCGGGACTATATTCAGACCTGGTTACTAGGAGAGAAACTGCCACTGCAGCAAAATATTTCGAGTTGCCTAGCGGCCATGGATGGCATGGTTCGATGCGCTCCATAGTATGGCCAGAGCCTTGGAAAAGCCGTCATCGGAGCCGTTACCCGACGGCGAGCCATCAGTCGACAAGCAACTCGACATATCGGAATGTCTCATTGGCAAGATAATGGTAAGATGTTCCCGTTCGAGATAACTGGCTCGCTCCCCAGGCCACACAGGAACTCGATTCCTGCCACAGTTGCACACACTCGAGCGGTAGCTAGCAGCTGAATGCCATTGACCTGAAGAATTGTGAGAAACAGATCACCCTGCGATCCATGTCCGAAAGTGTGCGACCCCCAGCGAGTATCTCGGACCACACACCACACCATACCACAGCCACTTGATTCACCAATCAATCACTGCCCTCCTCATGCAGCCCGCTCACACATGCCCGTACCTTGCGCGGGACGTGTTGCAGATCCGCCTTTCCGGGGTTCCAGGTGCCGCTAGAAATGCCAAAGAACCAGTGCCACACCAAAAACATCTCCCCTGCCTCTTGTTGACTTTTTTGCCCATTAAGAAGAGAGCAGAGGGAAGGGCGACTTGGAAGGTTGACATCACTTGGAGCCTCTTTTTGCGTCACAGCTTTCGCCGAGGTATGTTTTGGCATCTTAAATTGACCTGTTGGGCCTCTTCCAAGCTGGTATTGAAAATAATTCGGCTGTGCACGGCCGCCCGAGGCAGGTCAGAAAATCTCACTTCTTCGATTCAGCCCAGGGATGGTCCTGAACGCGCCCCAGTCCGTGTCTCTTGGTCGCTTGTCTCTTGTCAGAGACTTGCTTCGGCTTCTTTTGTCCCCCAGAGTGCCGAGCCATATACGGCCCAGAATATGGCGTAACGATATCATCAGTGCGTTTTGTGGTGTGTTCGTATCAATGTCTGCTGGACCAGCTACACTAGACTGGCACCAATGAAGGAGTATCGAAGGGCTATTACGGTCACAAATACAGAGGGGGCAGCCCTTGGCTTTCTTGCGTGTCGCTCAGCGCCTGCGCATCCGTTGTGGATTTCTTTTGGTAATTGGACCATCAAGCGGTCTGGCACCTGTTACCGGCCCTCGTCTTTTTGCTTTTTCTTCTCCACAGATATTTCTGCCCATTGACTATGCATCGCGGGCGATAACGCAATAATATGCATCAGCTCCGTTACGGTATACTTTACAGTTGCAATCGGCTGATGATGACTCGGGCTATTTTCACCATCGGCTTCTGTGGCGTAGTCAGTTTCCATGTGGATTTTGTATTCACAAGCTGATAACTTCTTCGCTGTGGTTGTATTCTTGTTCGCTGATGGACACCCACAATACGGAGGAAAAGGGCTCCACCATCGTGCCAGATTCCCCATTAACCTATATTCCTGGGGCTGCGAAACGTTTTGCTCCAGGTCACTCGGGACGGTTTGATCGCCTTGCCCCGGTCTGCTGTTTTTCTCATCGGCAACGTCGATCCTCCTAGACGTGCTACTGGCCAGCCAGTGGAGTTCGCCTCACAGCCACTCCAGAGTCAGCTTCTCTGGTACTATAGGGTATTTGCGTCATCAAGGCTGGGTTGTTGACATATTTAGAAAGCCTGATCGGAAGTGGAAGTCGAGAATATGGCCAGTTAGGTGCAACACCTCGGAGGGTGAGTTGAGCCGAGGAGACGTCTCAGCTCAATCAGATATACATATTACGGTGGTATCCGAGAGCCTTGAAAGCATTAATCCTCTCGCTCGCTATCCCATCGACATCGGTTACCGTGCTGCAATATCGGTCTCAGCTTTATCAGCTTTCGTGGGTATAGCTCGGCGTGACAAGGTTAGCTCCTTGGGAAACTTTTGCCCATGTTTCGTTTGATTTGGCTGGTCCACCATTCACTGCCCTTTTATCGGCTCCATTCATAGAACAAACAGAGAGCTGTCTTCACTAAGTGACCGCTGCTCTTACTAATGACGAATCCGGGGGTGGTTGACGCTGCCTTGAGGCGATGTCCATCTCTTCTTCTTCCTCAGAAGTGATCTGGTCGTGTGCACGGCCCCCCCGTTGCTAGATATTTTCGGCATTGGTAACAGTAGCTATTGTCCCTGAAAGAGCTATGAGCCCCTTCATCCGCCCGGCTGTCCTGTCTGCCGAGAGGGCATTAACCTCCGAAAGGCAGTTTGTTTTTTTTGGGCTGCCAAGATGATGATGTTAGTAGAAGGCCAAGGGCCGCCCAAGAGTGCGAAACCCGCACCAGACGAACCGGAATGAAACGGATCAAGCAGCGGCTGTGTCCAGTGTATCTAGCTGTAGTACTTGCATGTTGAACATAGTTTCTCCAACCAAAGTCGTGGGTGATTCAGAGTTTGACAGGTAGAAACAGCTGCACAGTTTAGCTTTTGCCTCGAGAGTAGGTAGCACGGTCTGTAGTGTAAAATGTTCAAAAGCGAACATCATCCGATCATAGCCGGCGTCGAAGCCAGCCTAGAAGTGAGTACGTGCGGCCAATGAAGACAGGACTTTGCTGCAACAAACCCTTACTCAAACACATCGTAAGCACATAACTTTGCGTGGCTTCAGCAGACCGAGAAGGCCAGAGAGTAATCAACAGCAACAGACAGCGGCAACGACATTAGCTTTGTCTCACTATCGCCGTACAGCGTGGCAACAGCGGCCAGAACAGGGCTTGGATGCGATACACCAATGTCGTAATGCCTTGTTCCACGTTCCCCCACAACGCAAGGGTCTTACGCACATGGGTGAAGCTGGCATTTCTAAGCGGGAAAGGACAAGCTTCTCGGGAAGTTTTTGCCCTGTCCATGGATAGCATTCTGGAAGGCCCGACGTCGGGATGAGCCAGGAAGTGACAACTCGAGGCGTTGCAGACTGGTCGGCTCCTGACTTCGCCTTGCAAGATGCGACTCGTCTTGCCTGTTAGGCGTCAGAACCGCAGCCACGGCCTCCTTGGATCTTCAGATGCTCGGGGCCAAGCTGCTGTCAAATGGCGGCATCAGTCATCTGGAACCGATGCCCAGGGTGATCGGGCAGCTTGGCGGTTAAGCGTGCTGCATCGGCTTGCCTGTTGTGGCACAAAGTCTTGCGCAACCAATGACTTGGCAGTCCCTTTTGACGCCCGTGGAAACTGATGTGCGTTGGCCTCGGGCGACGTACGGCACGTACGGTTATGTGCCTACCCTCGAGTATTTTGGGTTGGTGGTACAAGTATCGGCCGGGGGGGGTGGGGGGGGGGGGGGGGGGGGGGGGGGGGGGGGAGAGGATTGGTTGTCCTCCGCCGATGCAACCACCAGCAGAGAGCCGGGGCATCGATCTCCTGCATCCTTCGTCTGAAGTACCGAGCCACCTTCATTCCAGGCATTGCGGGTGGAGGAGGGCTCGGAAAGAGGAGGAGAGGCAATGACCTGAATTCCTGCTACATCTCAACCTGACCGCCAAGAAAGTGTCTCCAGGCGTGAAACGCGAGATTTACAAATTGAATCCCAGATGAGAAAGAAAAGGGCCGAGGTGGTATTGTTTGAATTTGAGAAACCAGTTTAGCCCGTGATGGACGGACTGACGGGACGAGCCAAGTCGGTTCGAATTCCAAAGACAAGAAAATTCATCGGACAAGAGATCAGGGCCCCGGCGAGATCGTGGGAGAGGACGGCAATCTCGCATATTTCTTGTGGCACGGGTATTCTCTGGTGTCGTTCGTAGTACTGGAATGGATGTTTTGGTGTAGCGCGAATAGTTGAATGCATGCCATATGCAAGACAAATAAATCTTACAAAGTAAACGCAGAGTGGCTTTCGGCATGCATGGGAGCCTGGAGAGGAGGGTAGTGACAGCGGGAAGTTTGGAGAGGTTATTCAGTGGATATCGCACTGAAATGCCCCGGGTCTCGTCTCGTCTTTACCGACTCACCTTGTGGGAGTGTCAGGTGAACTTCGGTGAGCCGGTACGGAACTACTGGTACTCCGGTAATACTTACATAATCGCCTGACCCACACAAGCTTCAACTCACCGAGCTCTCACCGATATCACCGAGGACCCTCATCCCCACTAACCTCCCTTCTGTCCCCAAAAATCCGCCGCAGAAACCATCACAGCAGCGCAGACTCTATAAGCCATTGCGCCTCCACAATGGCCATTATCCCCTTCTTTCCTCCGTAAAATCTATCAAAAACAGTTGGCAATCCAATCCCAAAAACAACCCCCAAAAATGCTCGCCCGCACCCTCCGCGCCGCGGGCACAAGCCCAACCCGCTCGAGCTCCCTCCACAATCAGCTCCGAACAGCATGTTCCTCCTCCTCGTCGGCCGCCGAAACCGTTCCCGCGAGCCCCATCCGCGTCTTCCGTGACGTCTCCGCTCTCCGAAACTGGCGCCGCCCGCACCAGGTGAACTACCGCTCCGTCGGTCTCGTCCCGACCATGGGCGCCCTGCACGAGGGCCACCTATCACTAATCCGCGCCGCCGCGCGCGAGAACCACCACGTCGTCGTCTCGATATACGTCAACCCGGCGCAGTTCGGCGTGTCGGAAGACCTGGCGTCGTACCCCGTAACCTGGGCCCGCGACACCGAGATCCTGCGCAACCTCGACCGCGAGCTGGCCGACGACGGCGGCAACCTGGGCCGCGTCAGCGCGGTCTTCGCGCCGACGACCCCCGAGATGTACCCCTCCGGATTCCCCGGTCAGGAGCCGGGCAGCAAGGGCAGCTTCGTGACGATAACGCCCGTCGGCGAGGTGCTGGAGGGCGCGAGCAGGCCGACCTTCTTCCGCGGCGTCGCGACGGTGTGCATGAAGCTGTTCAACATTGTGCAGCCGGAGCGCGTGTACTTTGGGCAGAAGGACGTCCAGCAGACCGTCGTCATCAGGCGCATGGTGGAGGACTTCATGCTCCCCACCGAGGTGGTTATCGGCGAGACGATGCGCGAGGCAGACGGGCTCGCGCTGAGCTCGCGGAACGTGTACCTCGGCGAGCGGAGGCGCAAGGTCGCGACGGTGCTGAACCGCGCGCTGAGAGCGGCGGAGGACAAGTACAAGCAGGGCGCGCTGGATAGGGAGGCGATCCTCGGCGCGGCGAACCAGGTCGCTGCGGATGTGCTGTCGGAGCAGTCCAAGCTTGCGCCCAGGGAGAGGGTCATGTTCGAAGTGGACTACATCTCGCTCGCGGACCCGGACTCGATGCAGGAGATCAACACGGTCGTGCCGATCAAGGGCGGAATCCTCAGCGGCGCGGTCAAGATGCTCCCCGTAGAGGAGCCGCAGCCGGGCGAGGATCTCGGGCATAGTGGCGGCCCGTCGGTGCGACTTATTGACAACATTATTCTTAAGCCCAATACCCAGTAAAATACGTTACGCTAAAAGGAAAGCTGGATGTTTTTTTTCCGACAGGATGTCATTGACATTGGGAGGTGTGGTGGTTTATGCAAAAGAAGAAAAGGGGGAAGAAAACAAAAAGTCCTAGGACATAGATACCAGTATTTGGACTTAAGATAACTACGTTATAATCATATCATACCCGCTCTACACGTTTACAGTAACACAACATTTACAAATGCGCGCGGTTCTCCAGTGACCTGCGCCTCCTCTGCTCCTTGATGCTCTTCTTGAGCTGTCTCGCGTCCTCGGCACTCAGAGTCGGCGAGGCACCCTTTTTGTCCGTATTCTTAGCATCCTCGAACAGTTTACGGCCGAGGAGATCCGTGAGACGCAGCACGCGGGTGCTGACCGTCGCGCCATCGCGACGATTCTTGCCTTCGCGGCGACTCGACGCAATCTTCTCTGTAAAATCCCAGAGCCGGCCGGACGCGTTGAGGACGCCCGTCTCCGGATCGCGGGAAGGACACCACTCGGGATCGAGGCGCAGGCGGGGCGGGACCTTGGGATCCTTCGACTTGACGACCTGGACGATGCCCTCTTCTTCGAATCGTTGAAAGGCATTCTTCAGCGTCTCTTTGTTTACGGCTTCGAAGTAGCTGAGATCGCCCTGGTGATAGAGCGTCTTGCCGAGCTGGGACATGTCAGTTCATATTCGAAGCCATGATATATCATCTCCAAACTTACCACCTGCGCACTGCTTTGGGCTTTGGCAACCTCAATCCAAATATCATCCTTCTGACCTAGAGGCGGCGCCAAGCCCATCAGAGAAACCGCCGCGAGCCAACTAGCCTCGATAAAGGGCCAGATGAGGAAGCAGTAAAAGTCGTAATTCTCACGTCCAACCGTTCTCTCGTGGTCCGACAACCCTACTACGGTAACCTTACCCTCCTCGTCTCTGTGGAGCTTGAGCACCTTGTCAGCTTCGAGGTCGCGCAGCGTCTTTTCCAAGTTCGCCGCCAAACCCTCGCTAGGGAAAATGAACTCGCCACGGAACAGTGAGGAAAGGAACTGAATTTGGTCTTGCAACTCCTGGAACGAGATGTCTTGCATGGTAGGGCCGCCTCCCTGCTTGACCTTCATGTACATGGCAGCGCTCACAATGGCTTCCGAGATGAACAGGTGGATGGTCATGTTGCGGTAGAAGGACAGCTGGAACCGGTCGACGGCATAGTAGGTAGGCTCCGGCAAGTCTGTCACGACACCAACCAGATCCTTACCCAGAACCTCAAGACCACGCTCAATGATATCGGAAAGGGGTGCGTTGCCAAAGTGGGCGACACGACCACCTTTCGCTCGAACACGGTCAGTGAGCCACATGACACGACGCTCAAGCTCGGTCTTGCCAACGCCTCTTCCTCTCAGAGTGAGCAGAACTGTTCCGATAAGGGCAGTGGGCATGACGACTGAAACATCATTGATATCCGACAAGACCTTGTAACCCAACGTACGCAGAAGCTTCTGTCGGATAGCAGTATTTTCGGGGTTTTTAGTGTCGAGGTTGAGGCCTGTCGGCAACCTGGCCAGTCTCACAAGTTGCTCGTTAATAAAACCACGCAAGCTCCAGGGCTCGTGGAAGCGGACGTCTACTCTGCCTAATCTGAGGGATAAAACTGACGAGCCGCCGGAAACAAAGTCTGCCAGGTTTTCCTTCTTCTTTGGTACACCAAGCAACTCGGTTACGTAACCCTCGGTCTCGATGACCTTGTCGTACTGTGTGCTTACAGGGCAGATGACGGCGTCCTCTACTCGGCCGGAGAGAATACTATCGAGGACAAAGTTGAGAATTCCGAATTTTGGCGGCAACAGCTTGCCAGTCCGCGACCGGCCACCTTCGATAAAGCACTCAAAGTTATAGCCTCCCTGCAGAAGGGTGTCGATATATGTTTGCACAAGGGTCGTATATAAGATATCATCGCCGAAAGATCTCCGAATCCACATAGCTCCGGCGTGTTGCAAAAAGCTCCCGACCAGAGGGAAGTTGAGATTGTCACCGGCGACGACAACAGGCAGTCCAAGTCCCAGGCGGTAGCAGATGAGTTGTAGGGAGACGTAGTCGACATGAGATCTGTGACAGGGCAAAAATATGATGCTCTGCTTCTTCTTGGCAGCCTCCTCGGCAACTTTCCTCAACCTCAGAACTTCTTCACTCGATACATGGATGCCTTGGTGATATGCCCGCAGCGTCAATTGCGTAACAAGGTAGTATGCGCTCCGGATGAACGTCTTGCTCTCAAACTTGCAAATCATGTCATCAGTCATCTTCTCGGCCACCTCCTGGATTCCAGACTCGATGGCGGCTCGTCTGCGCGCGCGCTTCAGGTGGAAGTCCTTGTCCTCCTTGTTCAATAAGCCTTCCTTTTCTTCCACGGCGATGCGCTTCTCGGCAAGGTCGGTGATGCGCGACTGCAGCAGGGGCGCCGATAGCACTGCATCTTTGATCTTGTCGCTGAAACCGGAGTAGAAGATGGGTTGGCCGATGGCATTATCATAAGCGCGCCAGCCGGTGCCGGAGACGTAGAGGGAGACTTCTCGAAGAAATCTGGCGGCACGAGCTAGTCAGTCCCCGTTCCTGGATCCAACAAAAAAAAAAAAAGGAGGCGTTAAGGGTCACACTTACTGTAGGGGTTCGGAGCGGAAGCGTGCCATGTGCTTCATGAGGGCCTCTTCCTTCTCGTCATCGCGTGGTTGGGACGGCTTGATATAGCCACTGGGTTGCAGTGTGATTTGGTCGCCGAGGATCTTCAGATCCGGTGCGGAGTCGTCGTTTTTAGCCATTGTGGCGGCAGGTTTAGGTGTATTGGTCGTCGGTGGTGTCTCGGTCGTCAATCAAGGAGAGGGGAATCCGAATTTGGAGGCTACTAGATGGTCCGAAGCAGGCCGTTCAAGATCCTTGCCATTGCCGAGTGTAATCGAAGAAGACGGCGGAAAAAGGGGGAGTCTTCTGCAAAACAAAACCGCAAATGACGTTGGAGATTGACGGTCTGCCGGCGGTGGTGTGTGGAAGACGAGGATGTACCGGACTAATTTGTTTATGTCTGTAGTAGTAGTGGTGGTGGTGTCGGTGCTTGTTCTCGTGGCTCAACACCGAGTCCAAGACCAAGGGTCGCAGCGTCATTGCCGCGGCACATGTGTTACGCCCCGAATCTGTTGGTTAACAAACGGAGCCAGGAAGCTAGCCCCACACGGTACAGTGGGATAACCGCTTAGTTAAGTACCAAGAGGAGTAACCAATGGTGGGGGAACAGGGCGGAAGAACTATATACCGGACGAACTTTCTGGGGCTCTTAGCTTTGGTATAGGTCTACTACTCTCTTTAACACTATCTTACTCTTATATGTATTTCTCTTACTCCTATTTTCCCTATAGATATATTTATTCCATTTTCTTTTTTCATATAAAAGTATAATATACTTAGTTCAAACCTACCGTCTCAACATATAATAACCCGGGTGGCCTAATTATTTTGTTATTATTATGTAAAAAATCTTATATTTATTTTAAAGACGCTTGCTTCATATTGATTCTCATGAAGACGGCTTAGGCTGGCTGAGAATAACATCAATGACCTTGTGGTCGTTGTAAGTAGCAACGGTGCGCTCACACAAGGCAGCAACGCGCTCCTTGCTCTGCAGGCCGTCAGGGCAGATGAGCCAGATGACGTTGGTCATGAAGGACCGCCGGTACTCAATCATGACCTCCGGGTCGTTATGACGGTCAAACTTGGGTCCGCCAAGCCGGTGAAGCGTCTCAAGATAGTAGTCAAGAATCTCCATCTCGTGGGCGCGGCGATCCTCGACACTCAACATGGCCGTCATGTGGTAGACAATATCGTGGAAGCAGGACCCGAAGTGAAAGGCAGACCAGTCCAGGAACCCGATGCCGCCGGCAGGTGTAAAGTAGATGTTGCCAATATGGGTATCGCCGTGTAGGAGAGTGCGGAATCTAGGATTGCGCTCGGCGTAGTAGCGGTCCAGAGCCTCGTTGCACCGCTTACCGTCCATCAGGTATTCGGGCAGCTGGGGTCGCCCGGGGGTCCGTACCACCTCATCCCACGGCGTGCACATGAACTTCATGGCAGGGTCGTAGTTATTCCAGATCCCTGAAGCCGGGTTAGTGCAGAACAAAAAAGAAAAGAAAAGACAAGAAAACGTGCTGGCGGGGATCTTACAAGGATGATCCTCTTGGCTCTGGCCCCAATATTTTGCATGCAGACCCGCCAACTGCTCGACGCCGTTCATGACCTTCTCAGCAGGGTAGGAGGCGACCTCGGCGGGAAAGGTACAGCCCTCGCTATCGAGGTCGGTCATGATGGCAATGCCCTGCGTCTCGCTCGTGCCGCTCCACCAGCCCTTGGGGAAGACCATATGGTCCACGGTGGGTGCAATCTTTGTGAAGAACATGGCCTCGCGCTGTGCCAGGCTCACAGTCCAAGGCTGTGCCTCTATCATCTTGGGGTCAAAGACGCCCTTAACGCAGACATGCGTAGGTCTCTCGTCGCTGCTCTCATCTTCGTACGTGATGGTATAGAACAGCTTACTCGCTGTGCCCCATATGTTTCGCGTATTCTCAGCCGATTTGACCTTATGGCCAAGTTTGGCTCCGAACCACTCGGGCGTCAGATCGGAGGGAAGGGCTGGAAGCTCTTCACTTGCTGATCCGGACATTATTGCTTTCTTTTGACTGTGAGATTTTTTGATAATTTTTCTATTGTTTTCGTCTGCAGTGTCGATGCAGTAAAGATCGTGGCTCGGTAACGACTGGGGATATTTAAAGAGCGGCTCTCTAATCAGTTTCCTACTTGTCTGCGCTTCTCGTTTATTGGATTACCTAGATCCGCTCTGAACACGACGTAAGCTTACAACCCTACACACCATCTTTGCTGCACAGCTTTCCCACTTGGCACTCAAGCCAATCTAAATAAGGCAAATAGTAGTTGAGTAACCCTCGGGAGATCTACCTAATATTGATCGCTTAGAACAATGTTCGACACTTACGGTAACGTTTCATACAGGAGGCCTTGGCTGTAGAATATATACTGCAAAGGGCCTAGCCTGAGTCATAAAGGTCGTTTTTAATACAACGGAAGGGAAGATCGCAACGGAACACTCTTATCACGGCCTCAAAGAATATCGGCGCCGACGACGCCGGCTGATAATAGGACTACGGGTCCTGTACAGCTAAATCGGCTTAGCACTCTCGGAAAGCATGCCCCGCGCAATGTAGACGAATAGTTATGTCTAGAACGGCCGAGGAATTCAAGAGAAAGGTAATAAGAATACCTACCTAAGTATACCCAGCTGTGAACTTACCACTTTGTAATTATTGTCCGCCTATATTAGATCTCTAAGTTGTAGTCTACTACCTATTACTAGGTGTTCTTAAAGTAGCTCAAGGAGTTTAAAGCAAGGTAGAAAATTAAGCTCGCTACTTGAAAATTAAAAATGAATTCGTGCTTGCTCCCATGGCCCAACACCGAGTCCAAGGATCGCAGCGTTATTTTGCCGCGGGACATTTTAGGTGGACCGTTTTGAGGTCAAGTACCATCCACGCCACTAATGCGGAACCGCGCCCGCCTCTGGCTTGAAACGAGCTCGACGGTCATTTTGGTGCCTGTAGCGTTTTCGGCATGTGAAGGCCATGAATACTGCCGCTGCAGATTCCGCTGGGCAGACATGGAGAATTGGCCAGTGAGTGGATGGGGTGGGTGGTAACCAATTTACGGGTATTACAACAGTGTGAGCAGTAACCTTACAGCGGGTACAGTGGCTGGCAGGTAGGAAAAAGGAACATACCTACTACGTAGTACAGTAAGGTAACTGGATACCCTGTTATCCGTGTCCAACGCCCAGCCGGACATCTCATCCTGGCTCACTCTACCCCACTAATAGCCACCCGCCCCAGAACCTGGAGGCACTAACATTTAATTTTCCTTCTGCGGGAAACTGGATGCGCTTTTCTTTTCTGCAGACTCAGTCGTCGTCATTTCCAATCATACCTCGCCGACGACCACTTCTTGCGCCACAACACCAAATCCTCGTGGCCCTTTCGAGGTATCAAGACATCATGGCGCCCTCAAATCAACCGATGACTCAGGCTCTCCTTGCCAGAGCGCATTCCCCCGATACCGTCAACCGCATTTTCACAGACAAGATCCAGTATCGACCTCTCTACCTCCGACCGAGCTCCCCTCCTCCATCGAATGCGCGCACTTCCCGTCGCAAAGCCCGCGAAGACGCCAAGAAGAAGCAAAAACTCAAGCCGAAGCCCCTCTCCGCCCGTGAGCGACGTCGACGCGGCCTGTACGAGGTGCCCCGCGAAGGCCAGAAATACGCAATCTTTGAACCTCTCCGCCGCCTCTGGCTCGGCTACATTGAGGAAATCCTAGGCTCAGAGCTGTACGGAGGAGGAACCGGCGCAGCGGCGAAATTGACTGCGGCAGAATTCCACGGGGCTGAGGTCGAAGTCTCTCGCAGCTCCTGCCCAAGCCGCGTCGGGATCAAAGGCATCGTTATCAAGGATTCCAGATTCGCCTTTGAGGTCATTACGCCCAAGAACGAAGTAAAAATCGTGCCAAAAGAGGGAACATGGTTCAAGGTCGAGATACCGGTCAAGGAGCCGGGCGCCGATGCTGCTTCTGAAGAAACGTCGCGAAGATTTGTCTTTGAGGTCCTCGGTGACCAATTCCTCATGCGCGGCGCGGATCGGGCCAACAAGAAGTTCAAGAACCACTACTTGAAGAATATTTGAGTTTCAAAGCTGTCAAGGATGTTAAAACACACACACACACACACACACACACACACACACACACACACACACACACACACACACACACACACAGAGGCGCGCCAATGGTTGAAGTGTCGGGCACGGGATTTGTCTGCGGCTAGAAAGCCGAACAGACGTCCTCGCCGCCGCTTTTGAAAACGAGCGGGACAGCTAAGTGGCCACGGCTACAACCCTGAAGCTAGCTTGACATAAATGTCTCTTCCTACCAAGCTGCCAACAAAAGGTCACGCGCAGCTCTTGCCAATGGCGACAGGGAAAGGCATAGATCTCCCGAACCATGTGTGAAATACACACCGGGCAAACCAGTACTAGACCTGTTCAGTCAAATTGGAGGTGAGGGGCAGTAAAGTATGTTGGTGAAGATGATCCCTTCAGGACGTGGATATCCCCTCTCTTCAAAACGGATGCCTGCCTCACGTATCATGTCAGGCACGACTGTGGAATAATTACTTTAGACGCCTCACCGGCGATATCGAAGGTTAAACTCAAGAAAATATAGCACATACCCCAGCGAGACGTACAGTACCAGCAAACTTCCTCCCGCCTTTCTAATTTGCCTTCAATTTTTTTTTCTTTCTTTTTTTACATATTGGTCTTAATGCTGTTATTGTAAGCCACATCATTGGTCCATGATGTAAGATTGAATGAACCTTCTCGCTATATTTACAGTACTATATGTTTTGACTAATTCTGCGTAAGCCCTTGAAGGGGAGCGATCGACTATAAGTAGGCATAATATTTAGAAGCCCATAAGTGGAAAACTATAGAGTGCACTACAGATTGCCTCATCAAAGCATCCATCAACACAGATAGAAGGAAAGTTACGTCACGTAGGAGGAACAAAAGTGTCAAGTTAAAGAAAAAAAGAACTCAAAAAATTCAGAAGCATGCTTGGGGCGGAATTTAACCGCTGTAACTCCCCGAGGTGTGCTCGAACCACCAACCTCCAGATTAACAGTCTGACGCGCTAGCCAATTGTGCCATCGGGGATATGCTTGTTGATGGAAATCTCAGCGAAATCAACGCCTATGTTGCGAGAGGGGTCTGCAGCTCCTCCAGTCGCACGGCCCCTGCTCTTTCCCAGCTCCTAAGACGAACGAACCGAATCATTGAAGCTCCAAATGAGTTTGAGATGTTCCTTGACCAACTGTTCTTTGCCCAACCTACACCGTCGATGTGTTCTGCAAGAACCTTCGAAGCAAAAGGTTAATTGAGCCAAGCTCCAATAACTTGCCTAAACACCAAGATTGTGAGGCAATAGACTCAGCACACGTTAATCGACACCCCGGTGATATAACAGATTGATTGTGCTGGTGCTAGATTCGGCTACGATGATGAATCGCCGATACAGAAGAGACAACGGCATTTTCCTCGAGACAGGCCGTGCCACTTCACGGAATAGGATGGTCAGTTACCTAATTGTGGCTACCTGAATCCAAGAAAAGCAACGCGACGCGTGCGGTCACCGCCTATGACATCAGAGATTCATCAGACTTCAGCTCCTCTACGCGCTATTCTCCCTACTAAACAAACCTTCCTCATTACAGCTTCTTCTCTTTGGAAATTTCTCCTGGAACATTAAGTCAACCAATTGACCTCTATCGGCCTCAATTGATATAGAACAAGGGCTTTTCACCTCATAGACCTTCATCATCACCATGGTTACCACTCGAGCGGGAGACCACGCCGACGGCGCTGCCGATACGAACGGCAAAACGGATGCTCCTTCTGCCGCAGAGAAGCATACCATCGACCAAGATGCTGCCAATGCATCTCCAAATGCTAAACGTGCAAAAAAGTCGGACGACAACACTCGTCAGACTACCTTGGAAGAGAGCCTGGAGAAGAACGATGACAGAGATTTGAAGAAGACTGAGACGCAAGAAGGGGAACCAGGCGCCAATGATACTGAGATGAAGGACAGCGAAGAGAAAGGTGCTAAGGAAGAGTCTGTTGAAGATTCAAAAACCGAGACGGAGAAAAAGAGTAATGGGAATACCGCCGAAATCCCTCACGAGGACAAAAAGGTCCCATCCAACATCCTTGAGAAAGGCATCATCTATTTCTTCTTCCGCGCACGCGTCAATACCGATCAGCCTGAGGAAGTCGACGACATTGCTCGCAGCTACATCATGCTCCGCCCCATCGGCGTCGACTCCAAGCTCGGTGACGGTCCAATTGGCGATGCTGGCAACACTCGGTTGCTGGCCCTTCCCAAGAAGGTTCTCCCAGAAAGCGGCAGAGATCGCTTCATGGTTTTCGTTGAGAAGTCTGGTGCTTCATTTACCGAGCTCAAGGAACAGTTCCTCTCCGGCACCGAGAACGAGACCAAGAGCGGTACCTCGCACGTCCCTGCTGCTACTCCGGCAGGCGAAGGCGTTTATGTCATTACGACCACCGGTAGAGAGACACACCTGGCGTATATGCTTACACTTCCCTCTACCCTCGGCGAGGTCCAGGAGGATTTGGGTCTCAAAGAGCAGGGTAGCTTCATTCTGAGCACCAAAAACCCCAAATTCCCCGGCCCTGCGAATGCTAGATTGCCAGAGGGCCCCGAGTTCTCCGAAAAGTAGGCCTTATTCCGGGAAACATCATGAGGGAATTACTAACAATAATCTTAGAATCCAAGAGGAATTTCGCGACCTCCGCTGGATGCCATCTAAACCGGAACACCTCGACTTTCCCAACGCTCAGATCCTCTTGATTGGGGAGTCTTCAGGGCTCAAGAAGGCCACGGAGCCTCGAAAGAAGGATATCAAGGAGGGCAACGAAGAGCCAAAGGATGTTCTCGAGGAGATTGAGGATGAGGACACCCAGAGAATGCAAAATCTTGCTGACGACGACTCAAGCGCCATTTTTGCCGACTTGCAGGCCCGAGCCAAGGACTACCCCAAGCTGCAGACAACTTTTTAGTCACTCTATTGACTGTACCATGTAGCTTTCCAATAATTCTCCAAAAGTCTCTTCCGTCAGGTTTCAGGCGTCAACCTAGGATTGTTTGGCAGGGACTGCTTCCGGGAAAGTGTAAGGAGTACTGCCGCTTCGTGGCGAGGAAGTGTTTACGGTGCTACCTGTTAGTAACTAGCTCAAGAGCTCATTTTCGTCAAAAATAGCGACTGGTGCGCTTGTTGTGTTGGAATAGCATAAGTTAACGCAGGTTTACTTCAGGTGATGGCGATTTACACGCCCGAGATCATCCACGATGGCAATGGTGGATGTCTTACTACCTCCGCATTGCCATCGAGTTCAGAAAAGACGTCAGTCGCCCTGGATTGTCAATCGTACCGTGTTCCACTTCGCCTTTCGGTCAGTATTTAGCATAACAGATTGGCTCATCATGCTTGCCGCTCAAGTGAGATGTCTCATAGCAGATCGTCGACCTGCAGATTAGCTGTCTCGCCCCCGCAGCTGAGCAGTCTTCCCATCCACTGGTTGATGTAGTGGAAGGTGATTTGATCTGTACCACACCGGAAGGGGCCAGATTTTGTGAAAACGCAACCTTTTTCATATTTTGACTCTGCAGCGATCCGAACCGGGATACCCGTTAGTTCGAAGACCGAAGCGAACCGGCATTCTGACCAATCTGTTATGTGGACAACATGACGTTTTAGTACGAAGCGGCAGCATGCCTGCAGCGGCTTAGACGCTTGTCTACAGTTGTTGACGAATGGGGCTTCCCGCCATCTTAAACTTACATCAACAACTGAGACTTGCAGCCGAACTTCAGTCTTACCTCCCTTTCAGAAAACCGATGTGTGTCTCGGCGTAACAAATTATCAGCAAAGCCTTTTCCCTCAGCAAAGTATCGCGATGAGGTGAAATACGAAAATGAGAAAAAGCAATGATCAGTTCACGTCATGCACCTGCCCATAGAAGCGCCTCGGGAGGCGATGCTGCTGCTACGTAGCAGTTGTTACTTTCGTACCCGCAAATGATGCAGACTAATCCCTACAGCATGAGCTGAATACCTTGGTTTCTCGATGGACATATAAGACCGATTTGAGGCTTCTTTTTTTTTTTTTCTTTATGGTTAGCCTCTCCGAATCACAGAATCTGGCCTCAGTTTTTAACCATTTTCAAACTTGTCTTGATCGATCTACCCACAGCCGCATTTCTTCACATTTAAGAACCTCCAACATGACCGGGCCAACTACCAAACAAGCCTTTCAGAGCCAATCCATCGGCCACTGGCTCCCCAAAGACCGCAAAATGATCTCTCAATGGGTCTCTCAGAAAGCCAGACAAGCCCTCCAGTCCCCGGGCAAGGGTCTAGGGAAGCTCCCTTCGCTTGGCCCAGGCCTTCCATCCGCCGGTTCGGGCATCCCATACCTTGACTCAAGCCTCACAGAATTCGCAGAGCTCGTCATCAACAGCCCACACCTCTTCATGCTGGGGAACAACATGTTCACCGAGGCCTCCAACCACTACCCCAAGGACCCAGCGGGAAACTGCGCCATAAAGTCTTTCAACGAATTCATCTCCGTCTTGAGCTTAGTGGTGCAGTCGGGCCCGGAGTTCGTTGACAAGACGGACCCGCCCACAGCCATGGGTCTCATCGGGTTTCCCATCAACGCGATCCTCGATTGGCCCATGGGCACCGAATCAGGATACCAATTCTTCCGAAACCCCGAGGTCAATCTCGCCTTGGGCAAAGTACTCAGCACCTGGGGCGAGTTCCTGGGCTCCCTAGCCTCGCAGGCGTGTCTTGATGGTTGGCTATCCAGCGACGCCTTGGAGATGATCGCAGCCAAGGGGAACAACGGCAAGACAGACTACACTTTCCAGGAGCTGTTTAAGTGCAGCCCCTCGGAAAAGCACTTCGGCTTCAAATCATGGGATGAGTTTTTCGTCAGGCAGTTCCGCGACGGCGTCCGTCCCGTCGAGGCCCCGGACAACGGCGTCCCAGACCTGAAGTTCCCCGACCCGACCCTCGTCATCACGAACGCGTGTGAGTCGGCGCCGCTCAAGATTCAGACCGACGTGAAGGAATCAGATAAGTTCTGGCTCAAGGAGCAACCGTACTCCCTCGAAAACATGCTCAACTACGACCCGCTGGTGCCGCAGTTCGCCGGCGGGACCGTCTACCAAGCTTTCCTGAGCGCGCTGAGCTACCACCGCTGGCACTCCCCCGTCAGCGGCAAGATTGAAAGGATCGAGCATGTGCCCGGGACGTACTACAGCGAGAACTGGTACGAGGGCGTCGCCGGCGCGGAGAACCCGGACCAGGCGGATCCCGCGGCGCCCAACTACTCGCAGCCGTACATCAGCTCCGTGGCCACGCGCATGATCATGTTCATCCAGGCCGATAACCCCAAGATCGGGCTGATGTCGATCGTCTTCATTGGTATGGCGGAGGTGTCGAGCTGCGAGGCCGTGGTCAAGCCGGGCGACAAGGTTGAAAAGGGGCAGGAGCTGGGTATGTTCCATTTCGGCGGGAGTTCGCATTGTTTGGTGTTCCGTCCAGAGGTCAATATCAAGATGGTGAACCCGGGGCCGTGGGATATGGACCATGAGACGAACTTTCCGGTGAACAGCGCGCTGGCTGTAGTTGTTTGACCTGTTGCCGGCTATGGTGAATAATGGTATCATGGAAGGGGAGTGGCGGTTTTTTTTTTTTGGTTGAATATAGCGATTGTAGGGATTCTGCCATGTTGACGCCGTCTTTACCGAAATGTTTGGTGTTTAATTCTTACGTGATCTTTCGTTATTTGTTTTGCAGCTTCCGCCAACTTACGGATTCTAGCCTCGACTGCTTCTCGCAGCTGTTTCTCCATATATGTTGATATCTATTATTGCCGTTATGCTTACTGACCGCCGCGTTTCCTTTGCTGCTGTTTGATTTGGCCTTGGAAGTGTGCTCAGCAAGTCACTCTGATGCTTTTAGCAGCACAGAGTTTATTCACGCTGAAATTAAGGATGGAAGTGAATACACCGTGAATTGCGAGCTGCATGCTGGTCTGCGTTCAGTTTCCTCCGGGGGCTTTGTGGCCAGAAAAAAAAAAAACTCGAGTTGCATCAACTCAAACTTTAGTCTGTTATACTAAGGTACCCAACAATGCAACATAGTTTGTATAGTCTTATGATAGCCATCTCGAGTAGAAATTCGCCGCCTTTCAACGTGATTTGGGGGTACAGAAAGCGGTTTTCTGTGGAAATTTGTACATCCGATACTTCAGTTGGGGATGGCTATGCATTGTATGCTGACATGTACAATCCTTACGTAGAGATTCTATACGGTAATGGCCCCGTATTATACGTTATAGGGATGTCGCATTTAGTTGATACAGGATGTGGGATCGCTGCTGGATACAAGGCGAACCGGACACGCTAGCTTTACTATTGACACAATACACCTATGTTTTGCATGCAAAGAGTTTAGGTATGATCAAATGAGTTTTAACTTCGCCGGGCCACCTGATGTAAGCATACAGCTTTTGTGGTTTATTCTCTGCTACACTACATCCCACGACGTAGTACTCTATCCCCTCTCTCGCCCCCTCTATGCACATACAACAGGCCCCAGTAACACCGACTTCTAGTCAAGCGAGTCCATGCTTAGGCCTCAACTGGTAGGAAAGAAGGATTCCAGTTGAACGGACACTTGGCCAAGGTGCACACGCAGCCCGCATCCTTGGCGACAGGCTTGCATATGACTGCTTGTTCGGACAAATCGCAGCAGCAACACTGCACCTGAGTCGCGGGGTCCGCATTAAAGGGGCACCCGATTGGCAGGGTGAAACAGCCGCCCGGTTCGGGGACTCTACAGACGTAGCCTTCGTGTGCAAGGCTGCAGCCGCAGCAATCCGCGTTGGGAAGGGGGTCCTGGCGTTCCGCGAGAGGTGAGGCCTCAATGCTGGCCGTGACGGTGAAGACGGCGAGTGCTATGTTAAGGAATTGCATTATGTGTAGAGCGTTTTAGTGGAAGATGAAGTAAATCAGATAACTTGTGTGTTGACGTTCCTGTATAATTGATGATGATTATAATCTTAATGTTTCCTTGAAGCCCCTGCGGCTTATATAGTTGGACTTCTATATTGATTGAACATCTGTTTACAGTGAGTATATACCTATTAGTGACACAGCCCAGCTTTTCATCCTTTTTACCCCATTAGGTGGAATCTCGGGCGCTGGTATGTTGTACATTGCCCGCCAAGTAATAGACTATGACGGAAGAATGATCAGGTGTAAGTCATACGAAGGCCCGCTAACAGGTTCTCCGCACACTAATTGCTTAGTAGGAGCTGGATGATAGGCTCTTAATCTTTATTCTCTGTTACTGCCGTTCATCAGCACGGTATCTGGGGAAAGATTGCACGGATGGCACGAGAACTTTTACCAGAGGAGGAGGTGGTGGGAAGGTGATCTTACACAGTTATTCCGCAGCCTGTAAAGCTCAGATTTATACGAGAAGGGCCGATCAAATGGGCTGCTTACATGTCTTGGTTTTTTCGGTTTGAATATTCACCGGGTTTGGGATCGAGAGACCTCAATGCGGCTAAACTATGATGTATAAAAGGCTTAATTCGGATAAACCGGCAACGGAATTTGGGCGAATCCCCCGCAGGACGTACTGGGGCTTCCTATAATACTCCGATCTCGTACATACTCTTGACTCTTGAACAGGACTTAACTTTGGTTCATTCGTGTCACGGATCATCAGTAAGCGGGCGGCTTGGCTGATGAATAGAAGGCTTTTGTGACGTTTTCGACACTTATTGAGAGAGCCTGCGCCAAGCGGGTAGCAAGTCAGTCGATACCCACACCTCAAAAGACTCACAAGGTCTTTGACACTGAAGCACTGTTTCTGTGAAGAATTTCAGCAAAATTACCGGACGTTGTAATTTCCAAGTCCCGATAACCACACCAGCGCTACGGCAGATATCAGGTTTAACCTTTACCACAGCGGTAGAAGACACCATGCCTGATACTTGTTATTTGTAGGTCATAGAGGGCTTTGCGCTGTGTATATGACAGTAGAAGTCGGCATCAGTAACCCACACAAGCCATTTTGTCAGCGAAGACCTCGTTGACCCTGAGTGGCTTCGCATCTCATGAACACCTGGCAGAGCGTCTGTTGCTAAAAATACTTTGGAGATTGTAGATCCATGCATTGGCTTAATAATAAGGTTGCCAGAAATGTCTGTGCTCCCTTAATTCTCATGACAGGTAAGTTTGGCGAAAAGAAAGAAACCGTTCGTCAAGATCGTGATTACGTACTTGCGACTTACTCTGACAGCCAGAACCAACCGAGACATGTATTGGGGCTGTGTACCTTACTCTGTCTCAAACCTTTCATAGTTCTATATCGATCATTGCTGTTATTGAAGACCCCACGATGTACGGCCATGCATATTTCCAGTAGCTTGAGCTTCAGTGTGCCTTGCAGATCTTTTCCCTGAACCGTAGGTAAAAAGATACATCGAGGCGTTTCATGTCCTTGTCAATACCTCATCGTTCTACACAGCGATTATCCTTTCAAAGATACCCAAAGTGACAAACCACATCGCCCAGACAAACTTCTGTTATATTAATGAGGAAAGTCACCGTGAAAATCACTTTCAGTTTCCACCGCCAGTGTTATAAAGCATGGACCAGCCGGTCAGAGTATAATATCATCCCCTTCATCTATTTCGCACGAGCAGGCTTGTGACAAGAGTGATCGACAGCCCTTAATCATTAGGCAAAGTATAATAGACAGTCGACCAAAAAAGTATGACAGGTTTTCTGGCCGATAACAGCGACAAGTGATATCACCTCATCTTTCTGTTAATGTCACTGCCATATGTCTAGATATCCTTACTGTTATTTTCTTAATCCCAGTTGATTGATGCAAAGCATAAGCTGAAGATACCAATCATATTAGTCTGGCTCTCGGCACCGGGCGACGCGATGGTCAAGAAAATGGAGCTCTTTTACCTGACTCGGCCACACACTATATAGAATCTGTGTAAGTCTTCAAGTTCGGAATACCAAGCCTATCTGATGCCCCTTACCCAAGTCTTTCTTTTCGTCTTTCGTTAATTGAATATGACACACATTCGTTTTTTCAGTTGGTTTCTAACAGCATGCAGTGCCCAGCAGCCCAAAGACCATGATGACTTACCTCTCATCAAGGCTAGAGCAATTTCGACACAATCTTCCTTCAAGTATCATAATACTACCGCTGTGTCTGCACAGTCCACCTCCCTGCCTTTGCCCACTTTAACGCCCACGGCTACCTCATCCGCCCCAGCTCCAACTGTTACTGTAAAGAATGGTGATTCAGTCGATGTCCCCATCGGGGCCGTAGTTATTGGGGGTGTTGGAGGAGGTTGGTTCGTCGTCGGCGGTGTGAAACAACCGATTGCAGCTGGCGCAACCACCATCGCCGGGTCTCTGCCGAGCAATGATACCCCCGAGGACCCCGATCCTGAAAAAGAGAACCCATCAGCCGGTCCAAGTCAGCCCACAACACCAGGAGCAACGGTAACAGCCACAACAACTACTAGTACTGCGCCGCCGGCGACCTCGAGCAATCCAGGTACCACTGCTTACATCATTTATCCTAAAGACGCATCTCCTAAAGAAGACCGAGACGGTTTCTACTACACTCTTGCAAAGTTAGTGGGAGAGGCGAACATCGACTCGGTATTAGATGAAAATGATGTGCCGATCGCCTGGCTCGCACCTTTAACGGCACAGCAGCTCACCCAAGTGGATGCGGATCGCGTTGTTGCCGCTACTCAGCCCAACGCCGGGTCTTACTCAGACGTCGATTCCGACCCGGATAATGTCCCTGATTCGACCTCCGAGTCATCTGCGACCGTATCCCAACAAAAGAGGGCTCTGGCCTCAGTGGCACCGACAGAACAGAATAATATCCTAGACCTTCGTATGCTCGCAACACCGCCAGGGGAGACAACCTTGCCAAACTACATCTACGACGACGCCGCCGGAGAGGGTATAACTATTTATGTTATCGACGTCGGCCCTGTCATCACTCATCAGGAGTTGATTCCACCGGAGCCCCATATCACGCGGCGAGAAATCGACAAGACGTGGAATGTGAGGCGGCTATCTGTTAAAGATGTTCAACACGGCACCTGTGCAGTTTCAAAAACGGTGGGGAGGACGACTGGCTCGGCGAAGCGTGCCAACCTCGTTGTGGTGCGCGTGAGCTTAGACCCGTTTAGCATGTCCAAGGGTTGGCAGGCCGTACGTGACGACATCAAGGCGAAGGGACTGCAAGGGAAAGCTGTTCTCAGCACCTCGACTGGAGGCTGGCTTGCAGAATCCGCGGATGAAAATGATAAGGAGGGTATGTATAGCATGTACCGCACATTGATAAGAGGCATCACCCGGTTAGACGTGCCTATCGTCTGCGCTGCGGGTAACGACGCAAAGAAGGGAATCATGGAGCCACATTCAATGCCAGCCCTCCTATCTCGCGAGATGCCCATAATCGTGGTGGGATCTACTGACCGAGAAGGCAAGCCAACTACTTTCAGCCAGCGAGGAGACTTGGTGACCACCTGGGCGCTCGGCTTGGACGTCAATTGCCCGGACACCAGGAACCTCAAAGACCTTACTAAACTAAGGCCTATGAACGGGACATCCTTTTCTGCCCCATTGGTGGCCGGTGTTGTTGCTGTTTGGATGTCACAGAAGAACGTGGTTTTCCGCAAGGGAAAGGTGGCTCAAGACGCCCGCGACCGGGTTGTAGAATATTCGTATAAGCGAGGCGACAGTCCTGAACATATGGCCATGGTCTGGAACGGATGGAATGCTTGTCCATCCGAGCCGCAAGGACAAGGAAATCGAAGAAGAAAGCGTCAGGATGGTAAAGCCTGCTCATATGTCCAGTCGGCGACAGGATCAGCGCAGCCCACGGCGACTTCATCGGGGAGTCTCAACCGCAACCCAACAACTACTACGGCAGCTCCAGCGAAGACAACGGCTGCCGATCCCAAATGCGGAATTTGTGGAACTCAGAATGGGAACGTATACGGAGGACGAGTTGGTTGCGAAAGTGCTGACTGGGCGCGTCAATCTTGTGAATCTGACCCCGGCTGCGCATGTAAGTACCTCAAAAATCCTTTGCGTGAACATATCCAGGTTAGTACTATCGCTAACTGACGAATAGCCTGGGCCTTTGGTACGGAGGATAGATCGACGTACCAAATCGCATGGTGCGGGTTTTATGATACTCCCGCAGAGCAAGTGGCTTCGGCAGCACCAGACTCGGATGGCAAGTGTGCTTTCAAGTACTCAGACAAGGGTTGCAAGCCTTGACCGATACCGTAAACACAAGTGCTGTATCACTTTATCTACCTGCTTGATATTTGAAGATGACAACTATCAACTCATTATTGTCGTACAAAACTCATCTTGGCGTTCTTTGCATCTGTTACCGGCTTCTGAATCAGTTTTCTTACCCATTGTCTCTTAAAACACAGACCCGATGAAGCTTTTGTTCGAGAATTCAGCATGATGTCTAATACTCCCTATATCCAAGTTGGCAAGGCGCACAGAATGCAAGGACTGTAATGTCAAAGCCAAAACTGAAAGGGGTTTGCTTGAACCTCGGAACAGTTCATGTAGTTGCTTTCGTTGCGTCAATGACCGCAGACAAAACCAAATAACTACTTGAGTTTACTTGTGAATCCAGCTTTTGTCTTTTAGAGTGTGACTAAGTTCCCTCAATGAATACATCTTGGCTATATCCGAAAGAGATTAAAATATCCCAACTCCACATCTTGCGTCACCATGGCCCTCATGTCCTGGAATCTTCTCCAATCAAAATTGCATCTACCAGCCAAAATTTGTTGTTAGCTTTGAGGAGTAGTCGCTTGAGAGTGGTACCACCAGTTGTAAGCAAATAGAAAACCAGGTTTCATTAAGGTGAAAGATAGTAGAAATGGATAAATCATTAACCAACAGTCCGTGTATGATATATAAATACACAATTTGGACAGCTTTTGCGGGGTTTGCGTGCTTATCCTCTACTACAGGTTCCCACCAGCTACCATACTGCTAGTATCCAAGCAACTACCTTCAAGATGCGAACTAGCTGTCTCTCAATTCTTGCTTTGGCTTCTCTGGTACAACTGGTGAGCATAACTTTCCTCCGGCTCCAACATTCCATCTTCAAGTAACCTAACTAGATAATTAGACTTTTGCCTTGGGGGCACCAATCCCTGGATACAGCGTCTTCACTCCCGAGTGGGAAGTCAAGGCTAGCCCCGACAGCGACGCTTTACTTGTCAACGGCACCATTGAGGAGGTCGTTCGTCACCTCAAAAAGGCAAAACCCTCTTATAGAGTACCCTCCCATCCCGGCGATTCCGCGGCGTTGGCAAGAGACCTTGAGAAGTTGCAGAAGCGCCAAGAAATGATCCCCTTTCCGCCTGACGGTGTCATTTGCGACAATTTCCCAAAAGTCGATACGATGCGAGTAATGGAAGCTATGCGACATCTTATTCACGTATCAGGAAGACCCCGTAACGGTGGCGGCCCAGGTAATTGCGGCCGTGTTAGCTGTGGATACAAGGTTGCCGTTTGGTGGTGCAATGATGTTAGTTTTCTCTTCCTTTGGTGTCAAGCTTATCCTGGATAGAAATTTGTGATTGTGAGACCTCTAACACCCACTAAACCTGTGTACTAGAATCCAACACCAAAGGAGCTGATGTCTTTCAAAAACATTGGTGCTGGCGTTTATGCTATTCTTCAAGGATGCCATAAGTCTCGTTTGCACTTCTCGGGCCAAGCGTTCCACCCGGAGAAATGGAATGTTATTCTCCGTAAAGAAAACTGTTGATATTTCCATATTTGATTAATCTCAGCGAGTAGTCAGGAAAAAGAACTTGAAAGCAGCGATTTGAGGTCGAGATACTATTTCTCATACTGGACCACACAGAAATTTTGACATTAGCTTTGGAGCAGCTGGAGGAATCTTGCGCTCCGACGCTGAATTGGTACTGAGCATATACGCTTTTGTGTTCTTTTCTTTGATGAAGTTAATATGGATTCAACAGGTTTGGACGTCCATTTTCATAAGTTGGAGGTATCGGGTACAATGTTACTATTACCATATTGCTACTTTTTAGGCATTCACCAAATATTCGATTATGTCGCATTAAAAGAAGTTTGAAAGAGGCCTCTGGAATCCAATCGAGAGGAAACAGCCATTTTGACATGTTTTCCGGGGCGATAAGGATGTAGATATCTGATTAACAACCCACATTTCCTGACACAGCGGAAGACGTACTTCCACTTCCCAGGTAGTAATCACTCATCTCGCGGGGTCGTCAACCCCGCAATAGAGCATACGGAGTATCGGGGTCCAAATTTATGACCGATGATTTAAAAGCTCAGGTCATCCATCCATAACTCATGAGATAAATCACGAACTGGTTTTACTCGAACGGAAATAACTATCAACAACACTGGGCATTCCAAAAGTCGCCATTTCTCAAGATGGGCAACAATATTTCATATCAGCAGGCGCCCGTGGAACTGAGCTTAGGCGACAAAGGAACAATCCGTGGCCTCCAGTTCGATGATAAGTCCCGTCGATATACTGGTGTTCCCTATGCATTGCCACCAACAGGCGCCTTCAAATGGAAAAAAAGCTCGTCCCCTCCCAGCATCATATTCGTATACTGACGGCAGTGGAGGGGCATATGATGCGACCACGTTCAAAGCGGTGTGTCCTCAACGGTCTTTCGCTGTGTTAAAGCCTGATGGTGGAGGCGCCGCGCAAAGTGAAGACTGTCTGTATGTCAACATATGGACTCCTGTACAGAAAGAGGGCGAGGAGAAAAGGAAATGGCCAGTGAAGTTGTGGATTCATGGCGGATGGTTTCAACTGGGAAATCCCTCACAGGAGCCCGGCATGGACGCGACCGAGCTGATTTCCACGGGAGGCCTAAACTCCATTGTTGTGGCTATTGGATACCGATTAAATGTATTTGGTTTCCTTGCCGGTAAGGATCTCCTAGAAGAAAGCGGCGGCGAAGCTAGCGGAAATTTCGGGTTATGGGATCAACGCGTTGCTGCAGAGTGGGTGCGGGACAACATCACTTACTTCGGGGGTGATCCGGACAACATTACCTTGGCGGGCCGTAGCGCCGGCGCATACAGCGCCGAAGCTCAAATGTTGTATGATTTCCGCAAGGATGGCGATGATTCTTCGCTTTATCGACGCATCTTCATGGATTCAAACGCGATTCCTGCTCAACCCAAGTCTTTGGTAGACGTTCAGGGCCAGTTTGACGAGCTTTGCGAATACTTTGGAATCGACCTAGAGCTAGCCGGCACAGAGAAACTTGCGGTGCTGCGACAGAAAAGCTCGAAAGAACTCTTGCAGGCGCTCCCTCAGATGAAGAACCACACTTTCCGACCAGTCACGGATGATGTGTTTGTTCACTCTGGAATGATTGAGTACCTCCAAAGCAAAGAGTTTGCAGATGAGTTCAAAAGAAGAGGGTACCGAATCTTGATTGGCGAGGTACGGAACGAAGAAACATTATATTCGTCATACAATCCTCCTACCGAACCAACACTGAATGCCCTGCGGCTTCAAATCTCAAACTACTACGCCCCGGATGTCACCGATCGAGCCATTCAGCAGTACAAGCTGCTTCATTCGGATCAATTAGAAGATTGGCAGAAAATGTTTGGTAAGAGTGCAAAAAGACCACGGCATATTTGGGCGGCGCTTCGTGCTAATCATACTACGCTGTACAGGCTTCATCGTAGCTGACGGTCAGGTCCGCGCACCTTCAAGAGCCTTAGCCAAGGCGCTAGTGGACAATGGCGTTGAGCTTCGAGATGTATGGCGGTATCATATCGCATATCGGATGTCCTTCATCAATGAAAACGTGGCGCCAGCATCCTTTGGCGTGGCTCATGCTATGGACCAGCCCATTTGGAAGTACGTGGTTTCGTCCTTGCATTCACTGTCGGAAGCATTCCATCGTTCCTCTTGCTAATCTTAAGTCGGTAGTTTCGCAATATGCCATGAACCAACTCCGGCTGAAAGGCAGCTAATGGAAGACTGGATCCAGATACTGGTTGCATTTGTAAATGGGGATGACATGTACAGCTTCGGAACCACTTCAGTTGAGCAAATGAAGGTCATGACACCTGATGGGAAAATTCAGATTCAGCCAGATGAGCGGTGGGATGAGCTTGTAAAACTTGGGCAGATCTTCGCTGGGAACCAGTCTCACTAATTTTGGCGCATTTCAAGCGAAAACGACGAGTCTAGCTCCTGAGGGACAGACTTCTTGGAGACTCCAACGTGACATCGCTCATTAATAAGAAAATAGTCTGACGAATCTTTTGAGACGGAAAATATCGATAATAGTGCTGATCCAAAAGCGTGACATCAGGTGTCCTACTCTTCCAAGTAAGCGCTTAGAACTCGGACTGAGAGCTCGACATGAAGGAATCGGAATCAGGGAAGAAAAGACAGGGTTTAAATCCTTCAGAGCTCGTTGGTGTAACGCTACGACAGGTCGAAAAAAGCAATCCGCCAGATAAGCCCCCTTTGTCTCATCTAGCTGCTGACTTCGCCACAATTCGTTAACTTCTGCCTAAGCTGGACTTGATGATGAATAAAACCTTGGCTTGCAAGACCAAAATTTGAAGTTCTCTCCCATCGCTTGCGATTTCTTGTATTGCGCGTCAAAATGCTCAGTTCATTGCGATGGTCAGCATGGGGCCCGGAGTACGCCGTGGTGGTAGGCGCAACGGTCTCGTTCATCGCGATGGTGATACTACTCGCTCACTTTGATGGAGAAAGCGTATTTGTTTGGGAAGGGGTGACGCTTAACGCTATTGTGTCGATTCTCTCCGTCATTATAAAGGCGGCTGTGGCATTTGCGATCGCTGAGTGCATGGCTCAGTGGAAATGGATATTGTTCGCGCGAGAGGAACGCCCGCTGATCGATTTTGATCGGATTGATGCGGCAACCCGCGGTCCACTGGGAAGCTTGAGAATTCTACTCAAGACTAAAGGAGGGTAAGAGCTTTTGATCATAATTGTTTCGCAGAGGTTTGAAACTTATCAAGTTCAACAGATGGATTGTACAACTCGGCGCCATACTTACATTGCTTGCGGTTGGCCTCGACCCTCTCGCTCAGCAACTTATTCAGTTCGAGGAGACTGTCGTCTTCACACGTGGCAGCTTAAGCAACAGTAACGATATGCTTCCAGCGTTGAACTCTCGAGCTCCATATTACTCGATGGGCAGAACGATGGTGACTGAACGACAAAATACCAACTCTACAAGTTCAAACTACGATGTGGCAACCGACATACCGCTTTCTATGCAGGGTGCAATTCTGAACGGGCTCTCCAGGCCGGTATGGGAGTCGGAGCAGGATGCCCTGGTTCAGTGTCCAACGAGCAACTGTACTTTTGACCAGTTCAGTACACTCGGCATCTGTCATCGATGTAGCGACATCAGCTCACAACTCAAACGTGTTGAAGATTTTGGAGACGTGTTTCTTGCAATTCCAGGAACTGGGTATGGCGGCAAAGGGGTGCAGAGCACTGCATTTGCACTCCCCAACGGCCACTTCATTGCCAACATTGATGGCTGCCCTCCTTACAACGGCAACTTTGCGTCGCAGGCATATTGCAAGGGTAATGAGTCTGTGTCAGTCTATAGCGATAAAAAATACGCCATCACGTCATTCGGAACCGGAAATCCGAACAGAACAGTTACTATGAAAGACATAAACACCCTGCTGTGGTCCATGAGCCTCATCTACCCCGATGTAGAGACTTTGAACAAGTCGACATCTTTCACGCCGGGGGACAGCGATGGAAAGAACGGATTAAAGCTGTGGCCTGACTTTCCCATGAAAGCCACGGAATGCTCCCTATACTATTGCGTTAAGCACGTTAACTCTGCTGTGGAGGGGAACAAGTTGAAAGAGAACGTCACGCAAGCTCCTGGCTTTAGGCGTGACCCTGATTCCTGGAAGCGACTCGACGAAAAAGAGAATGGCCAGCCGGAGAACCTTTTACCTGTTGAAGAGGCTGGAACTCTCGAGTTTAACAAGTACTGGTCAGTGGTAGGCTATACCAGTTTGGTCCTCGAATCCCCCAACAACAGCACGGAAGACAGATATCGCATAGCTCCGGACTCCGTCAAGTCACTAAGCGCTCATTTTCAGAGCATGTTCCGTGGCAATTGGAACAACGGCACTGAGATTCACGAAGAGCTTGACAAAAAGTTAGGCAAGGGCGCTGTAGGGTTCAACGGCGCCTCCTTCGGTCCCTACTTGCATCTGCAGGGGGGAATGGAGGCCGACCCCCCGGCGCTGAACGGCCTTTGGACCTGGTCGCGAAACGACATCACCAGCATCTTTTCCTCGCTAGCCACGAGTATGACAAATGAGATGCGCAGGAACTTTGACCCGCAATTCGAACAACAGACGGGACAAGACGATCGTTTCCGAGACGGAACTCTAAGCTACCAGGGAAATGTCGGCAGACTTACCACGCTTTACCGAATCAAATGGCCATGGATCACGCTGCACGGAATCATGATACTGTCAGCGGCTTTGTTTCTGTTTTTGACGCTCATAAGTTCTAATCGTGAAGGCGATGTGGCGCTGTGGAAGAGTAGTTCACTGGCTACAATACGACATGGCCGTGATGTGGGCGACGTGCTTAACCCAGCGAGCTCGACTAGGGATATGGAGGCAACGGCAAGGAAAGCATTTGTAACGGTACGCCGAGGTGATGGGGAGGAAGCCAAGTCATGTATAGATCGATCACCAAGCTTGACGCCAGCAGAGTCGTAGGAGAGTTTTGAGATTCGGGAATTTGATGACTGATGAGAATTGAAAGCAATGAAAGAAGCTGAATACTATTAATACCAAGATTTCTTGAAAGGCTGGCGATTAAAATAATCTGTGGAAGGTAATGCCTACATCTAAATCGTAGGCTCAATGTTGAAAAGTGAATGGCTCTAACCTCCTAAAGTAATCAATGAAGACACAAGAGCAAACGTTAGTTCTTTGAACAGCACCTAGGGCTAGTGCTGTCTTCTTTTGATGTTCAGAAATGGCAGTAATAGACAGCATTGTTGCAGGTTTTTAAAGGTTATCACTATCACATAAAAATGGTTAAGTGTATCAGGCATAATATTGTGACAAACTTGCCAAGCAAAGCTGGCAGGGTATTATTTGACTAATTACTACTCGTTACGATTTTGGTATCTTTCTCTCCAAGCGACAATTACATATTCAACATTTGACATAGACTAAACGCCATCTAGCATGAGTCCATAGGGCAGGCAAGGCCCTTGGTTCCGTATCTGTCTCCAGAGACGTTACCGAGCTGGAGAGCAGCGCCGATGACACCACCCATACCCTCGCCGGCAATCATACCGGCGGCAATGGCATAACCGTAGACATCGAAGCTCTCGGGCTTGTAGCGGCGCCAGATGAAGGCAATGATGGCACCCAAGAAGGCGGCGTTGACGAAGACGGGACCAGGAATAACGAACGACAGAGCGATGGCTCCCCAGTTCGGCAACCACTCCTGGTACTTCTCGCGGGGGCCGACGAGGTAGTAGTGACGGAAGATGACCTGGAGGATGGAGACAACGCCCAAAACGATGGCGAAGATTCCGGAGGAGAGAGGGATGGAGACGTTGGGCTCCGTGACCACACGGGCAACAGCTGCCCAAGCACTGACGGATGGCACCAGGAAGGGGCAGTGGTCAATCTCGGCATCCAGGATACACGGGTAGGCGGTTGTGAAGAGAACAAACAGGCCAGGGGCAAGCCAGACACTGCAGAATGTGCCGATAGCCTGCGCGATGAACTGCTTGTTGGGCGGGGTACCCAGGAGGAAACCAGTGCGGAAATCGGCCGTCAGAGCGGTAGCAACATCGGCGGCTCCGGCAGCAAGACCGGCAGTGATGAGGTTGATACGCTGCGCGTGCTTAACGCTGTATCCGGCACCAGTAGTCGCACCACCGATGACGAGCTGAGCGGCCTTTGCGGCGGCGGTAAGAGGTGTTTGATCGGTGACGGCACCGATCTGAATGGCGAGGAAGGAGAACAAGAAAGAGAGAACCAGGGCGAGGATTGTGACGCCGACGTTCACCTCCCATTGCAAAGCCATGACAATAATGGCCAAGATGATGGACGCGAACAGGCCAACAACCCAGATCCAGGTAGCGACCTGCTGGTCGGGTGTAGCGGGATCTTGGACGGTGTTTTCGTCAATCTTCTCCTCTGCCTCAGCACGCTTTGCGAAGTATTCGATGCGCTTGCCACGCTTCATGGCGAGGGTGTGGAGGGAGATACAGATCGACTTCCATCCAGCGCCAAAGCCGAGGTAGATGATTTTCCAGTGAACGATGAGCTCAGCCATGGAGGAGCACACCATGATCATGACACCTGGCCAAAGCAACCTTTATCGACGAGTTAGTTCTCATGCGGGGAAAGGAGGAGGAGTAGGTGGTTAGGATGAGTTAGGGTCAGAAACTTACCAATATCTGGGTGAGGGGTTTCGGGGGTTGGACAAGGATGTGAAAGAATAGGTTCCTTTCCACTCGGGCATATCGTCGCTCACGTCGATACCGACGCACTCTCCATAATGTACGAGTACGGGGCCGATCAGACCCCAAGCCAAGATAGCACCACCCATCATCGAACAGGCTGAGTTCATACCGATGAGCATACCTGAGCCGATGAAGGCGGTCGTCCACTCAAAGTACCAACCCCACGACTCAATGTTCATGGCCCACGACGTGTGGCCGCTCCAGATGTGGATCCAGGTAAAGACGTGCCAGTCGTACAGAATGCCAATGGCGTAATACGAAGCCACACGGTGGACAATGCAGGCACCGAATGCAGCACCCAGAGCCTTGAGCTTGCTGACGGCCTCACGCGCACCGGCGACACCGGCATGCATCGAGCGGATGGTCAGAGCCGTGGCGGTGTTGGTGGGGAACATGAGCTTGAGCTCCTTGGCGGTCCGGATGATGAAGAACTTGCGGAGAGGCGTGACGAAGAACAGACCGAAGAAGGAACAGCAGATGGTCAGAGTGAAGATCTTGCCAATGTCGCCAGATGGAGTGCTGTCCATGACTCCCAGACGGTACATGGCAGGAATACCGGCGACGAAGATACCGGCAATACCACCTGCACCCGTGGCAGCAGCCTGAACGATACTGTTCTCCTGAGGACCGAAGGCTTTGCCGATGATAGGAAGGCCGGACTGCGAGAGGAGCTTGAGGATACCGTAACCGAAAATGGCACCGAACATGGAGGCCACAAAGGTGAAACCAGTCTTTAGACCTGCATTGGGCTGTTAGAGAAGTGACAAGGTGGAAAACGCGACACTGGTAAAACATACCAAGGTACAAGTTGGAGGCGTTGACGAGGGAGCCGAGAATACAGCCAACGACAATGGCACGAACGGTCAAGATGTGCTCCTCATGGGGAATGTTAGGGTCCATCAGAAGCGGACGGTACAGATCCTCCTCCTTAGTTTCCTCATCGGTCTCAGGGACCTTGGTGTCGACGGTAGGCTCAGTCCATTCGCCACCCATGGCGCCCTTCTCATCTGGGTGAACCCTGGCGCTGCCGGTATGTGACGGACGCGGTTCGGCGCTGGCGACCCGGGCCACAGGCACCGGGGTAGTCTTTTCTTCAGCCATGACTGCTTCTTGTTGCAGACGTTGCCCTGTGTGGGATGACGCGAAAAAAGAAGTTCCCTGCGCGAGGCAGTGAGTGTGGAACGGCAGAAGGCGGGGTGAGGGAACAGCGAGACGAGAGAAATCGAGTCAAATGTGAGGTAGGACGGGATAGATGATATTTATCTCTCGGCCATGGTACCGTCGTACTCTCTGCCGCGTCTTTTTCTTTTTGCTTATTCCGAGCCAGGCCCCTGCTAGACCACACATGCACCATGTCGGGCCCCCCTGTTCTCCTAACACACACGATCCAGAGATATGGGAATGTCAACCTACTGGTACTATGCAAGGCAACGAGAGTTGCCTTCCAGCAATCAACACGGGCTTAGCATCTACGAGAGGCACCGACGTGGAACCCCTGCTCCGAGGTGTTGGTAGCCCACCTAATAAGTTGTGCAGGGGTCCAGAGCAGATAAGGATGTATAGTGCGGAGAACATGGGGGGGCAAGCTATCCCACATGCAACAATTGGGGCAAACGCTGTTAAGCTATGACAGATGGATACGGGCTGTAGTGTTGCTTACTTTGGCATAGTCGGCAGAGAGGAGGGTGTCGTTCGTCTCGCCTCCGTGTCCATCTTCACTAACCCTGACCTATCCACCGCCCCTAACCCTTGAGGCATCATCTGAAAGGACATTTGATGTTTCTGTAAGCCTCAGCTGTCCGACAATTCTAGAATAGGCAGGTCCTTAATGTCACATGGAGTGTCCGCGTTCCAGAGCCACCCTTTGACCATGGGATGTACGTACAACCTTTCCTGCAGGCCAACGCGATGAGCGCGATCCGTCAACTTTTCTTCCTGTGAGTGGTCGACCTGTTTCTGGTGGCGTTCTAGAAGGTAATCCTGTCATGGCAATCTTGGACAGCCACAAACTCGACGGGGCAAATCATGGAGTCGTTTACCGAGGCACGAGAGATGTCGTGTGTACAGAGTATTAAGCTTCCTTGGAAACAGCCACCCAAGACCGCCAAAAAGCCAGCCAAGAGAGATCGGACAGCGTGTGTGAGTACTAAGAGTGGTGGACGTCAGCCACTAAACGGCACGAAGCAGTAATCTGTACGCTACTAACGGTCGCCAGAGACAGGAGGCGGCGGCACAGAAACACGAACAAGGGTGGGATAGCCAAGAAAGCCAGCCTCGATCAAGAGGTGTTCGCCGTTACGGCGGCGGAGCCTAGCGAAAGAACCCCATCAAATTTGACGCGGAGTTCCTCCAAAGTACATTGATCGCCGAGCCGGTATCCTTCGGTTGTGGCCAGCATGCTGGGGTTGTCGGATGCTTCCAAGACTCAGCTATACCAGATTGGTGCCTTTTTACGGTACTAAAAAAATTATCTTTTTTTAATTTTATGTTTAAACTTGGGCGCCAGAGTCAGAGAAAGCACAAGAAGGGACTACCAGTTCGTTATTCATGACCTGGTACTCCGTACTGCTGGCTGTTCTGTGATAACGATGCTCCAGATGACTCGCCGATGCTTTTGATTTGACGGAGCATCTTTTGTTACTTTTCAAGTTGTCTTGGCGGGATGATAGACCTGATCGTCATACCATTTGTCGTGAGAGTCGAGACGCGCTACAAAAGGTCCCCGATATTGGGCCACAGGGGTCTCTATTGGAGCAGACCTTCTGCCCTTGAATCACGGATCCCGAGGGGGCGCATCGTGCGGTAGGTGCTTTCAGCTGGCTGCAGAAGCTTTGTATGTGATTGGGGTAAATGCGGGTGCCTTTTCAACCCCCTACATCCTCAATTCAGACCTTGATGTCGCCCCAGCTGGGTGTGTGTGTGTGTGTCTGTTGTTGCTGATGGATGCATAAGTACTCCGTACAACCTTGTTATTACCGTATTATTCTTAAGTTATGCAACAGAGAATGCACAAATACTCTACAACCGAGATCACTGTCTCAAAAACAGGCAATTCATGTCGTTTGCGAAGTACAGCGCCTCCCGTCACCCAGCGAGGGGCCTCATACGCTGCTGAGCACCCTCGTGACCTTTCAAGATGTTTCTGTGTGTCAACAAAAGTAAGTATACTGGCTGACTGGCAGTGGCTTGCTTGGATTGTTCTTGGTAGCCTCTCCAAAAGTGCCCCCTTGGAAGTCTTTCTAACCAGAATTAGTCTGGCTTCGCCAGGAAATTAGGCGTTTTTTGGCTACCGCTTCTAATGTTTAAGCATGTCGACTAGACAAGACCCGGAGCCGCCAACAATTCTAACGATGTATGAATGGAGGAACGGACCATAGTATCTCTCCGTATCAGCTTTTTTTTCTCATCTGTTACACCTCATATTACGTGAATTCTGTCAGTCATTTTCATTTCATTATCAATACACCCTTGATAAGTCCGATAGCGCATCACTGTGAATTGTATCGCAATGTTTTTGATTCTCTCTCGAGAGGGAACATCTTCATTCAGTGTCGCTAGTCCTGGACGCTTTTGAATTTTACAAATCGGCGTGGCAAACAAGTCTTACCATCCTGAAATGGAGTTGATCGAATCCTTCTGCTCAACCCAAGCTCTCGGGTAGAGGCCTGCCTGACTTCTTTTCTACATCCCCTAGCTGCATTAGGCTATAATTGAGCAATCACCAACACTACCTTCATTCTATCTCCAAGCCTTCTCCAATCATCGCCTTACCTCTAGCATCGAAGCACTATCAGCACTTTTGCAGTTTTGACCCTCCAGGAGCCTCTGCATCGGGTAACCCCCCGCGCGTCCCGTCCTACCCACCACCTCCAAGCCCGCCAATGTTTGCCCATGTGGTGTGTGGGGAGTTTGCCTTCTGAGTGCGCCAATAATAGGGGGGGTGTCGCCCCGTAGCATGTAGCGGAAACGGTGGCCACCGGTGCAGTATATGCAGGCTCCCGCCGCAGTCCGGGGTTTGTTGGTATTCTGGAGTCAAAGAGAGGGAACCCTTTACCGGCATGTTGGGCTCGTCCCCATCAGCCAAGCTCATCACGTCTTCGTCGCCAATTTTTAAAGATGGGCCAAGAGCTGTCGCAAAGCTTGACTGTTCTCTACTCCAGTTTCTCCACAGCCTTAGTGACAATTCTTTTGTGGATTATCCCAAGTACGCCTTTCAGTTAAAACATCATCGACCATCCTGACATGTTTGCTCGCCAAGCGACGTGAAGAACTTCTATTTCTAGACCATCACGAAATAAGAAGTTACAATTCACTAATCTGATATAGCACCTCTCCAATAGAAACACCCTTACGCCCTGTGGCCGCTGTCGTAGGATCCGCAATCTGACACTAAATGGGAATGTCATTCCAGAACCAAAATGGTCGGCGAGGTACACACTGTTACACCCGACAACAATCGGGATCAGGGGGGGAGGTGGTGCTCCCCAAATGACCCGATGCGGTATTATTACGGTGTATGACCACGAGATATTGCATACAGCCACGCAGCCTGACCTCCCCGTATCTTAGGTTCTGACCACAAGCAGGATGTTCCCGCAACGGGCAGTCCTCATAGGAGGGGGTACATCAAGTTCCAGCCCCGGACATTGCACCGAAAGCGGTTTGGCGCGCCCTGACACGCCGGGCTCTGGACCCAGCTTCGTCAAGCGCCTGGAACCTTTGAAGCGCTCAAGGGATCTTTGCAGCGCGCCAAGGCCTACCTGAGAGTGAGGAGGCAGATAGATGGGTAAGCATCCTGAGCAGCTTTGTAAAGTGGATGGCGGTTGGCTTCTTCACGTCGGATCTCGGCTCGTTATTGACCGGTTAGCTTTGTTGTCGTATACTGCCTACGTAAGGAACAATTCATTTGTCACTTGTGAGTAAAAAGGTAGCCTGCCTTATTGCAAGTCAACAGTGCTGTACTTCGTGTCGATATGCCCTTCCACTTGAACATTGTGCGACTCTTATCAGTTGCTTTATCAGCGCCTCTGCGATAGTCTCTCTACGTCTACTCATGGAACTAGGCGCTGTCTAGACTTATTTTTGCTTGGTTTTTCTGATCTGTTGTCAATTATGCATAATTACGTTAACCAGATCATACAGCTTGCCTTCGTCGCCCGTTTTCACTTCTCAGTGGCACAGAGTCCGTGATGCTTAGATGGCGCATTGAATCCTCTACCATACCAACAGCACGGTGAACCCCTCTCGGATGTCTCCCTTTGAGCGCTTTAGACAGGAGAGCAGAAGCGCCTTCATCATTTTCCTTACTACCGGATCTGTTCGCGCGAAGTCTGTGTCGGGAATCATGTTTACAGCCACCCTTATGCCTGTATTTTGACGCATCACCTTCGCCTTCAGCATCATTTGAATTGGTTTGGACCATTTCTTCCGATGTTTGTTTCATCGCTTCAGTGCCACATTCCAATTGCGATGCTGCGTGTCGTGAAGTGAAATCCGCGAAGGGCTTTGGCAAAGGTGGTTTTCCATGGATTCGTCTCCTGTGAGGCTTTTCTGTACTTTCTCCTGACTGAAGCCGGTTTCTTGATTTATGCTTATGCGGCCTCTTTCGATACGGGTGTTTCGAGTCTCTTTCACCCTGCGGCTCCTCTTGGAGCACCGATACTGCGACTTTAGACCCTGACTTTGAATCCAGCCTCGCCGGGACATCGATTTGCTCTGTGGATTGCAAACCCTCGTTATACGAGGCTCCCGCAAGTGCCGAGTTTAAAACACCGAGCTCAATTCCTTCAGTTTCAGGCAGCAGTGTTGTCGCACGACTTAACGAAGGTTGGGTCCCGGGTAAGTTGACTGGGCTCGTGGCAATGTCAGAAACCTCTGTTTGGCCAGATTCCGATGATACGGGAGACTTCTCAGCCATAATCTGGGGAAGTGGCTTATCCACGTTGATTGAAGCAGGTTTTGAGATCTTGCTAGCTGTTTGTGCCCTCGCAAGTGCTCGTCTGTAGGTACGCGTGTTAATCAAGTCGAAGTCGAAATCAAACTCCGTCGTACTCAGCACGGATTCGTTATCTGCGTGGAGATCGTTGACAAGTGTCTCTTCTGAAGAGTATCTGGCTTGAAGCTCTGAGGAATGCACAACCTCATCGGTTTTGTCCTGGCTTGCCGCGATTAGCGTCGATTGGTTCTGTAGAAGAAGGTCCTTGATGTCTTGTGTCGATCGGCTGTTAGTGCCGTATTAGTATCTCATAAAAGTCTCAAGTTATCTCCCTTTGAGATAAAACCTACAGGTTGAGTGTTTGCGTAAGCAGCGTCAGTGTAGCCTTCTTCCTGTCAAGTCGATCCAGCAGACGCGTCATCTCGCTGTCCTTCCAGATGACCATGAACTTCGCCTTCCAGTCTTTCCGAGCAAAAAGCTGCTCGTACTCCTTATGGATAGACATCAATATTGCATGGCAACCTTTGACCGCCAAGGCGAAGACATCTTCCAGTGCGAGCCGGTCAATGACGTTGGGGTCTCGGCGTACAACGTCCTCAACTTGAGTGAGAGCATATTTAACGGCGTAAATCTCTTCGGCAATGTCGCAGACATTCTGCGGGGCGTTATCGAGCTCATCAAAGGTGTCCTTGATTTTGAGAGAGGCCGCGAAGACAGCACCCGCCAGGGACGCAGCGGCAGTTATGATACTGATTGGATCCATGGCAGTTAATGTAGAAACGAACACGAGAGCGAAGTCCTCGTCTTTGATGGTTTCTGCGTTGTTTTTGTTTGTTACGAACTGTTCGGGTTGTGCTGCTGAGGACTGTGCGGCGTGTTACCGACGCAGGAGAGTCATGAAACGCAATCTTGTTGTGCCGAGGCTCGGTTGTCGACCAGGCGTGAGTTCCATCGTGCATGCATACAACATACTCCAATTCATGAGCAAAAGATCTATGGAGGCAGGTCCTTCCTTCTGATTTCTATGCGAATAGTGCTGAGCGCGCAACACAAAAATCGGGAAATCGGCCCTTTGTTTTCAAATATCTCCTGGCGAGGCAGTTTTCCTTTCTAGAAGAGTCCGAAGCATGGTTGCCACTTATAGTCAGTGTCCTTAACTCTAGTTCATCAATTGCGTGGCTCTAAAAGTCCTACAAGCGGAGGAGTTTGCAAGTCCCGTGGTCCGATATGTCGCTATCATCTTTAGTGATGCTGCTTTATTTGAAATCGTTTATACTTTGAAAGAACTATAGTAGCCTACAACCTTTGTACTATCTTATGAGCAATCAGGGCCGTGTCTGTGGGTTGTGCAACTCCGAGGAGATGTCGCTACTCCCAACATCAGACTTCCCTTCTCGCTACTTTGTGCTTTCTGATTCGAGTCGGGAAAGCTATAACCGGGCTTTAGCAGAAAATAGAAAAAGCTAACTAGGTATTGGAACTACAGACACGAAGGAAGATTGAAAGGAATGACGTAGAGCACTCGCGGGCTCTCCGCGGCCTTCCGGGGATTCCGTTTGTCTAAAGCTGGAATATTCACATGATTCAAAACAACTCACATAACTCTGATCTCTCAGTTGAACGCTTTGACACTGGTATTGACGACTGTTTGGTCGACTCTTGAACGGTCAACCAGAATCTACCCTACACTTGCCAGTTATGGCCAAGGCGAGACAGAAGCAAAGTCCAACTTCAGCCCACAGCTCCTCCAATGTTCGAAAGCTGCGACGAAGTAGAGACCACGATCATTCTTGGCCATTGGCCGATCCAGAGCTAGTCATTTAAAGCTTATTTCACCACTGTCGAAAGTCATTCATGAAAGGATATCCTTGTCATCAAGCATTGTATGTTTCCGCGGGATACTTCCTAAACACTCATATCACGTGTTGGCAACATGGTAAAGGTAGCACCAAGAGATATTTCTATCCATGGATTAACCGAGCGTCAAGCAGCCGCTTTGGCCCACAGCTTCGTTTGGTCCTCCAACTAGACTTGGTGTTCGATGTTCAAAGCGTATGGGTATGCAGTTCGCGATGTTGATCTAAAATGATCAATTGCGCCAACGTTGAAAGCGACAAAGATAAATGAGCTTTAAAGTATCTCGGAAAAATTATTTCTCTTCATGATTTCTTCTTACGTTTGTTGCCAGCCCCGATGCGTTGGCCTGGGCATGCGAAGTGACGAACTACATACCCCAAGACGGAATGCCACGCTACTTAAACTTCGCAGCGAAGCAACTTACGTTAGAGTTTTGCTGCCCATGCCCATGCTTATTGGCGCACGATCAACAGAGTTTCTGGCTCCCTACAACCGCTCAAAAGTAGTTAATCCTGGGGTAGAAGACAGTCCCTGCGGGCATCGAACCGCCTTTGCAAAACATGGTCAGGGGTTCAATCAAACTTCAACAAGAAAATTGAAGAGTCTGATAAAGAGTGCCCGAAGACGAGCATTTGTCTTTTATATTATCTTTTTGTGCCTACCGTCTGCCCGAAATGGCTTTGGGTGATCCAATGGTAGTTCAATCATGTCAACCGCTGCGCAACTGCGTGGAACACTGGCACCACTACCAGATAACCACCGCAGTGGGCTAATTGTTTTGACTGCATTCTCGTTCCTGTCTTTTTTGTCAACAGCTCTGCTGTGGCTTTTCATCACGTACAAGCTGCTGAAGGAGCACTTGGCAAATAGGAAGTCAAAAAAACCTCAACCTCAAACTGCAGTCACATCCGGCGACGCCCCGGACTTGTCTCTCGGGCTAGATGCACCATGTTCTGGCAGCACGGGGTTTGCACGTCTCCAAGAACTCGATAGACTCGCCGAGGAGCAACGGATTGCGGAGGCAAATGCACAAAATCAACAACAACAACAACAACAACAACAACAACGCAACGACGATGAACCCGAGATTCGAAATCCCTTTCCGATACTCGTTTACAACCTCCTCCTGGCAGACATGATGGAAGCTCTTGCTTATGGACTAAGTTTCTATTGGGTATATGCCGACGGCATTTTCGCACCGTCCCCAGTCTGCTGGGCTCAAGGGTGGCTAGGGTCAACGAGCAACCTGGCCGCTAGCCTGTTCCTGTCGGTTATCGCTGTCAATACATTCTTAACTGTAGGCTTGGGCTACAAGGTGCCGCCGTGGACAGTGTACACTTGCATTGCCCTTCTCTGGGCGTTTGACTTTGGGGTGAATGGTGCGGGAGTTGGATTTAACGACCACGGTAGAGGCCCTGGGGAGTCCTTCTTCATGAGGGCTAACGTTTGGTATGCTGTCTCCTGTGTTCTGTTTGTTCAAAACTGACCAGCGCCGTGTCCTCAACCTCGTAGGTGTTGGATTTCAACAGCATACGACCCTTGGCGTCTGTGGGCTCACTATTTCTGGGTCATAATCTCCATCGTCCTGACCTTCAGTCTCTACACTTTTGTATTTTTCATTTTATGGCGTCAAAAGCGAAGTTGTCGTTACTTACCCGAAAACCGAAGGAATTCGCCATCAGGAGATCGACGACCATTGTCTGGATACCACCCGGCCTTTCTAATCTACCCCTTCGTATATATTGGATGCAGTACCCCCCTTATCATCGGCCGTATCACATCTCTACTGGGAATCGACCTCGGTATCCCTTATTTTGCGTTTGCAGGGTGTATCTTGGCTGCAAATGGCCTCTTCAACTCGATATTATGGACGTCCACGATTTTATTTAGCGCGCCACAGGATGTACATGACACGGGACTGGATAGGTTCGCCTTCATGAGAACCCCAATAAGAGAATATGGGCACACAGTGTTTATCAGCGGGCCGGCTAGCAGGAGGGTACCGTTGTCGGAGCTTCAGCCAGACTCAACTAGAAATCATAAAGGATGGTGGTGGTGGAGGCATGGAGGTCAAAGGCCCTGGGGAAGGTCTTACGTGAGCACGCATGATATGCCTGTTGTGCATTCCAGAGAAACGACTTCTCATGCGTACGTGTTACCAACAATTGTGGAAGGTCCATATATACAGATGGACGTCGTGACAGCGGTCAGAATTGAGCCAGCTGATCCTACAGACAGTCAGAAATAGAGGCCCGGAACAGCGGCAGAAGGAGACATACGGAAACAGACCATAATATCGTCAAAAGCAAAATATTTTCATCGTTTTACTGTGCTCTGCCTAAACACAAATTTTAACTAAAATCGTGATCTCCCATTTTAGCGACCTAATGAGACGTAGTAACTAAAATATGCGGTATGTTTATGGGCAAAAGGCAAACCGAGGGGAGGATTTCCGAAATAGCTGATGAGCGCAGCATTCTTCAATCAACAACATTTTCAGTTCTGGTAACGGAATATGTCGTCATTTGATTCAACTTGTCTGAGTTGTATGATTGCCAGATAACGAAGACAATAAAAAAGAAAGTGACGGGCCGGGTTAAAGAACTCGACAACTAGTTGAATGAATGGCAGGAAAAGCGAAGATTGCCTTTGGTAATAATATTATGAGATAATCAAAAAAGAGATTTTGTCAAGTTGAAACCCTCATCACAAGGCCGATTGGAGCTTGTTTGTCTGCTGATTATTGATCAGAAGTTTAATGCTGGTTTAGCATTTGTAGTATCTGCGAGGGCAAACCAAGGTGGATGCATCATGTCGATATTCAGCGTCGGCGTAGGGATAGTATAGTATGTACCTAGGAGCACTGGAGGACATGCATCACGAACACAGCAGGAAGACCACCGGGTAAGTCTGTGTAGTTACGATTCTCAATCTTTTAGAGACAAGCAGCAGCGATTTGCCGGTTTCAATCATCCGTATCTGTACACCTGTCTCGCTCTTCTTCACCCTTGCATTGCTTACTCCGCTTCCGTCGCTCTGACGTCCGTCCTCCTTAATTCGAATGAAATGTTAGGATCAGAGACACATGAGATACGAGCTAGTCTGGAAATTGAGACGATGCAAGTTGCTTGGCTGTATGCATATATTTTATACCACAAGCGGCATGTGATGTCAACCATCTGTGAAGAACCGGGCAGAGGCGGTGTTTTCAAGTCCGGTTTTATTATCTTCAAGTCAGCCGATAATAAAAAAATAAAAATATAAAATAGAAAAGGGCCGTTTTGGAGGCTGCTGTGGTCCATATGGGACGCACGCGATGGCAGCGCCATGCGGCTAATTGTAGTGGATTCATTTCTACTGCAACAGGGGGCTTTGCGAAAGAGGCTTCTTGGCATCACTGAGTAAGCACCCCCCCCCCGTTGGAATCAGGTTGATAATCATCTGGAAGTCATCAAAGCTGTGATGACTTTTGACTACCAAGATGTCCGTCCCTACACGCATAAACAGAGATGGGGGCGAGGGAGCTTTGTGCATCCCTGACATTCATAAGCACCGGCGTCAACGCACGGGACGAAGATACAAAGTCAATCTTCCGCAAGGTTCCGGTATCCCAAGGGACCGACTTCTTGGTGGCTGCTGGACTTCAACAATGCAAAATGCGCTGGCCCAGCTCTCTCGGCAGGAATCCCGACCATCAAATTTGATTGGATAAGTCCCAATTTCAGTGACCTGAAAGAATTACGAGGCACCGGCCCATGTTATGCTCAGCGCTTTGGGGAATGAAGTTTAATGAGGAGCATCAGGGGCACGGCACGCACCACATTCCTTCACTACGACTGCTGGTGGCTTATCCATCACTGCATCAGATTGTCTCTGTTTGTGCCCTCAAGGTGCCATGGCGCTCAGCCTCGATTCAGCAAGGGGGGGAATCTGACCAAGCCCTTGGAAATGGATCTAAGAACGGCCCGGGGACGGATACACGCTCTCGACTCTCCCTCCATGGGTCAGTCGGTCACCTGAAGGGTTGGCCAGTGCCATGAACCCCCCTTTCTATCCACCACAAACCTCCCCCCGTAACTGACTGAAGCGAGTGACCCGCAAGCGCCATCTGGTGTTATATGTTAAGCTTAATATCAACTTCAGTGTTCGTCTAGGCTGAAGCAAATCCCACTATTGTCGACGGGGGTGGGTTTTAGGCCAAAGGGCCAAACCACCTAAGAAATTCGGTGCGTCAAGACTGCGTAAAACGTGCGTGGGCTGACGGAAGCCGGGAAGGCTGGAAACGATGGGAAAAGAGTTCAAGACCCCTAAGACCAGTGGTCCGGCGGATGATCTCACAAATACGGTTGCGCCCAGGCTCGCCAAATCCAATAGATGTGCTTGCCCAGACTGACCATCCCTGAGGGTGTGGTATTCTCTTCACGTTCTTTTTTCGTATATTACTCTTGGCGAACCTGCGCGCTAATACCGTCTCGACATGGGATACGATGGGGCTTTGGGCCTGAGAGATGCGAGATTGGATGGCAGCCCTTGCACCGCCCCAATGCCCAGCCCAGCGGTGCACTCCTGGTGTGTTTTTCTTCAAGTCGTTTTCAATCTTGACCATCCGTACCGCGTCATCATCCTTCTTGGAACATATCCACCCCTCTGTTGGGACATGAGTCTTGGGGCCTCTCCAATTTTCCTTACCAGAGAGCTCCAGGTGCCCAATTCTCTCTAACTCTCCCCATGTCCCGCTACCCCTAAGATTCAGGTGGCTAGGTCCCCATTCCTTGCAAGCCATGTATGGTCATCGTGCCAACAGCCTGGCCGCCAAGTGCCGCCAAGGTGATGTACGAGGAGACAAAAATGTCATCGATGCCACCGGTTCTTCCGCCATGTTTTCCCCAGATTTCTATCCCCGGAAACCTGCTTCTGGCTTTTGTTGCATGCTCTGGTCGTCCCTGAAAGCTGGCTGTCTTCCTCTTCTCCCTAGACACCGAGACTAACCTCTCTCTCCCTTGACTTTTTCGAGCGGTACATTGTATTCGTTGTGTTTGTTTGGTTTTTCTTCCAACTTCCCTCTAGAAGCCCCGGACACCGCTTCTCGCCTATAGAAGTCCATTACGATCCTACTTGTCAGCTCGGATAGTCAACAAGCAAAGTCGGGCGGCAAAAGTCATAAGACCTTGAGAGATCCCAGTCATTTGGACCTGCAGGTGCACCCATTCAGATTCCAGGTGTAGAACGGTTTTCCGACCCCCCCGTTCCCCTCAATCACACATAAGCAGCTGCACCCCAGTCAGTCTAGAACGCCTACGATCGACCGACCTAGTTGTCATCACCAGCCTTACCGTCAGCTGTCAGAAGGGCCGTTTTTCTTCTTCTCGATATGTGCTGATCGTGCATTGTCTTCTCAACCAACAAGTCTCGTCGCTCGTTTTCTTCTGTGGGATCCGAGCCTGGTAGAAAGGCTTGTGCCCGCAAGTTTACACTCACTCAAAATGCTGTCATCGATGATTTCGAGCTTTGCGCCGGCAGCTCTGCTGCTCTTTGGGGCTGCCGATGCGGCGTACTCTATAGAGACAAGAGGTATGAGCTTTAAGTGACTTTGGAGATTCTCAATCCCATGCTGCCGTTCGTCGCAAAATATCTAACCCGGTTTCCAACAAACAGAAGACATCTTGACCTCTGCCAGCACTCTCGCATATGATCTCATGAAGTTTTATAAAGGAAATCAGACCGGCGAAATCCCCGGAATCTTACCAGGACCACCAGACGATGGCAAAGGCGATTACTACTGGTGGCAGGGAGGAGCAATGATGGGAACGTACATCGATTATTGGTATTACACAGGCGACGAGAGTTACAACCACGTAGTGACGGAGGGAATGCTGCACCAAGTCGGACCTGGCCGCGATTATATGCCTCCCAACCACACTGCCTCGCTCGGCAACGACGACCAAGGATTCTGGGGCATGTCAGCCATGCTGGCAGCCGAGAACAAATTCCCCGATCCTCCCCCAGACCAGCCTCAGTGGCTCGCCCTGGCCCAGGCCGTATGGACGACACAGGCCAGCCCAGACCGTCACGACGAGACTTGCGGCGGTGGCTTGCGCTGGCAGGTTCCACCGACGAACACGGGCTACGATTATAAGAACACGATCTCCAACGGTATTTTCTTCAACATGGGTGCTCGTCTGGCGCGGTACACAAACAATGCCACATACGCCCGCTTCGCGGAGGAAACCTGGGACTGGCTGTGGGCTGTGAACTTCATCGACAATGAGAATTACAGGGTGTATGATGGTGGCCACGTCCCCAAGAACTGCACCAACGTCTTTAAGGCTACCTTTTCGTACAACATCGCTGTTGTCATGCAGGGCTGTGCATTCATGGCCAACCACGTGAGTTTTTCCCCCCATGGCTGCCCACTGACTTTTTGTGTCTTGAGAAGGGGTTGAGTGAGGAATTTGAGCTGACCTGTTGGGTAGACTGGAGAGCAAAAATGGTTCGACCGCACCGAGAAACTAGTTCAAGTTGCCATCGAGGACTTCTTCGCCGACGGTGCCGCATACGAAATCGCCTGCGAAGTCGACCACGGACGCTGCTCGCAAGATATGTTGAGCTTCAAGGGTTACCTCCACCGATGGATGGCTGTTGTTGCTCAACTTGTACCTTCGACTCGAGAGCTCATCCGGCCCGTCCTTCTCAACTCGACACAGTCTGCCATTAAACAGTGCACAGGAGGCGCATCAGGACGGGTCTGTGGCTTCTACTGGACAAGCGGCCAATTTGTTGATCCAGCAGTCGATAAGACCAGTGGCGCTGGTGAGGCGATGAACGTGCTCGGCGCTGTGCTGAGTATCATGGAACCCAAGCCGCCGGTTACGAACACGACGGGTGGTACATCTCAGGGAGACCCGAACGCTGGCATGAACTCTCACCCGTATCGGGAATTCGCGCCGATTACCACCGGCGACAAGGCTGGGGCTAGTATTCTCACTATCGTAGTCCTCCTGAGCGCTATCGGCATCTGGGGCTGGATGAGCGTGGGTGTTTCGGAGTGGAACGAGACCAAGGGCAAGGGTCCGTCGAAGCCAGAGGTTGCGGAGGTGACGACGTCGAAGGAGAGCGTGTCCCCCGCTACGTATAAATAGGGTTGACAAAGTGTTTTATTTACTTGTCACGGATTATCTAGGTGCGGTTTATTGCGTTCCTTAAACAGGAACTTTCTGAGGTTTTTATGAAAGAAATTTATAGGCAGCCTTACCGAAAGGGTTGACCATGACTATATAGGAGAAGAACTCCTTCGGGGCATATGGGCGGCGTTATCTGGACACGCGGCGGTAGTTTACAAGAGACTTATGTCGCACAATCAAAACTCTTAGTTATTACATTTATGACGAAACTCGTTTCAGTGAAGTGCCAATCATGATGACCACTGAAGGTTACTTTTCTCCTATGTCGAGAAGTAGTTGGCAGGATGCGGTAAATCTTCAAGTTCACAATGGGATGCCTGCTGCGTAGCATCTCTTCGCCAAGCCTTGGTACTTGAGAAATGTAATTACTAGGCAGTAAATTAACGAAATGATTGTCTTGTCATGGCGTGAATCCTATCTCGCCCGAACGTTTTATCTACATCTGAGTCTTGGCTCCAAGTCTTTCACTGCCACAACCCGCCTATCTCGCTTGTATCCCACCTACAGGTAAGGCACATTTCTGTTTCCATTTAATCATTTCAATATTTGCCCCTGAAGATTACCTTATACGTGACGGAATTCAATATTCTTCGTTCGCCTGAATTTCATTGGCAACGCTTTCGAAAGCCGTTTGTGAAAACTTTCAGATGTTTATAGGTCTGTCACAAATGTAATGGTCACGATAAGAGTGCTGACAGAACCTGGTTCAAGGAAACACCAAGGAGCAGTGTTCAGTTAACTGCGGGATGAAAATTCCGTCATGTTTCATCATCATTTACAGTAATATTAGGGGTAATAATATTGCAAATCACACTTTGGAGTACTTTGACTAGGCAAGCCATTCGGCCTTTGTTCTTTTGACAAAATCTCATATCGTACATCTACCTAGAGGGTATCGAAGCGTGTAATAGTGTACAGCGTAATCATACATATTGTATCTCAATATCATCATCTTAAATGATAACCATGTAATATCCCATCATTTCATAATTTTCTGTAAAGATATCTGATTTTTTATTTCGTGGTAACGTGATCCGCAGTATGAGCAGGAGCGACACCGGATACACCACCGTTGTCCCGCGGGGCATAGCCGTATTGTCCTGGCGCAGCAGTGTGTGCGTATCCGTAGCCCTGGCCGTAGTTGTAGCCACCATTATTGGTGGTCGTGGTATTGTTGTAGTCGCCGCCGTAGTTGGTGGAACCGATGCTGGACCGGTTATCTCCGTAGTACTTCTGCATCTCCTTGTTTCTAGCTTGGCTCTGTCTCTTGTGACGGCGGAAGAGAAGAATAGCAAGGATAATCAATGCCAGGCCAACCAAGGAGCCGATGACTATGGCGGCGATTATGCCGCCGCTGAGGACTCGCATACCGGTTCGGGCGGGTCTACCGACGCGACTGCTCCCTCTGCTTCCTGAAGCTCGGGTGATGAGCGTCAGTGCAATATCCCGAGCTGACTGGGAGGCTTCGATGGGCAAGGAAGGCATAATGATGGAGACTGGCGGTTGATGTTTCGATTGTATTGTAGGTATATCTCCCCTAAGAGATATAGTATAGAGATTGTGGACGAGTTGTCTTATTCAACAAGATATGTAATGGTTGCTGCAAATAGAACGAATGTTTTCCACCTTCGCCGTGGGCACTTTCCAACCCTTTATCCTCCCTGAGGAGACAATTCTCTTTGGCCTATATGAACGTCATACTTATCACGTCAAGCCACTTTAGCAGAAGATGATCGCGACAATGCTATCACCGCCTCAATGCTACCCGACAATCAGCGCGCAAAATGACATCGTCTGTGGCATAGCAGGGAACGGATTAACCCTTTTCGATCGATATTAGTGGCTGAATCGCACCGGTTGGCACTTATGGCACTGCCGTATGCTGTTCACTAAGATGGGTGGGCAGTATGTAGGATCGACCGTTGATGTCATAGGTCTTACTGCCAAGACGAAGTGTTGCGGTCAGCCATGGCTAAGCTAACGGCCAAAAGCAAACCGCCTCTGGTGCATCATGACCACTAAGCATAGGCTGCTCTTTAGAAGCTGGCGAATGGGAGAATGGCCTAAGATACCAAAGGGGACATGGCGGCTCAATGAGCAGAAAAACAGGAAAGCCAGAGGAAATATTACTGCTCAACTACCATCATCGAGGCTGCATCTAAACCTTGTCTGGCGTTCAGTGACTTCACTGGTTAGTGTGATTGGCTACCATTTACTTCCCTTCGCTGGACCCTGAAAATCGGTCCTCTTGGGAATTGTTGTGTGCTGATCTGTGGCGACAGTTTTGCCCGACGGAAGAGGGACGCAGAAACAAGCCATTCTATGCTCTTCAGCCACACAATGTACCGGTGCTGTGGAAACTCTCGGTTGCTTCCAATCAATAGCTGAGGCTAATTGGGGCCTTGGATAACTTGCATTTGAATGCAGTTGTGTGGAGGTAAGTAAGTATTGAACCTGTGAGACACATCTAGAGCCAAAAATGGCTTTCTGTCATCATGCTGTGCAGTACTGTAGGAGGCAATTAACCCGTAATGAGCTCGGTCATCTTCGGCGATAATCTTCGGCCCAGCATATCGAATACTTTGGAGCAAAAACGATGCTGGTCAAATGCTTCTCGTTATGCCTCGGTCCCGGGCAAAAAACAACGCGTCGGCAACGTGGTGCTGCTCCATGACATCGATTCAGTATCCGCACTGAAAGCAGATCCTGTATTCAACTACCGAAATGGATACGTTGTGGACCAGAATCATTGAACAACACAGGAACTAATCCCGGCCGAGTCAGTTTGTGACTCCGATGTGTCGCCGTAAGTGGCTCTCTTCTCCTCGTTAATGTCGGCTGACCCCTGTTCGGTCGCGGGTCGGAAACGATCTGATAAGATAATAAAGCATCCGTTTACTACACAGCATCAGCAGCCCATAGAATTACACCCTTGTCTTGAACCTACCATGGCCCTAAGCCTGAAGTTTGCTGCAGAAAAATATTGCTTCTGTGGGAGGAGAGGGGGAAACGAGTACCGATTTTACCCGCCACAATCAACATCGCAAGCATCCCAACTGGATCCTCCTCCCCTAGGCCAGGCAATCCAAACCCCTCCTCAGGTAATCAAGCTTTCAAACATTTCTTCGTCAATATGCCGCCTTTAATCCCCCCTATGCGACGCTCACGTAACGGTTGCATCGACTGCCGTCGAGCTAAAGTCAAATGCGATGAGATCCGCCCGTCATGCGGTACTTGCGCACGACGGCGCCATGTATGCCAGGGGTACAAACAGCAAACTACCCACTCGCGATCATCAACAGCGGCATTGACTCCAGCGGCGGTTGGTAGTAAAAGCGATAACAAGGCGACTAACGAAGTGCAAACGGTCTCAAGACAAGTGGTGAAACCCCCGGCGAGTGAGTCTTCGGTCAACAAGTTGAGCACCGTAGCGACCACAGGGCCATCTGAAAGCCAGCCTCCAACACATCTCATAGGAAGCCCACGGGTTTTCTCGTTCATTCCGCCGGGCACAGTGCCGCTCGCAGACGAGCCACATATTGAAGTGTATTTCAACAGGCACCCTTTCGAACTGCTAATTGGTCCCGAGTTTGTCAATGAAATGAACGCCAACGTCCTGTTGATGCTGCAGCAAGACCCTGTAACTGTCGCCGATGCCATCTCGGCAGTTGGATATTCGTATCTTGTTGGCGACTCCACAGGTTCGCTGTTGCCAGTGCTCAATCGCAGAGCGAGAATCTTGGCGAATTTGAGAAGCATGAAGCCTTCTAGGTTCTATTTTGAAGAGGCCCTTTTCCTCCTTCTCGGACTTTGCGCAATGGAGGTGAGTTCAGCGTTCCTCGTTGTGGGTCGTTCTCATCTCCCGGCCGTGAGAGTCGGGTGGTAAACATGAATCGCATGCTCACAGGGTCTAGCTCGTTACTCTGGCGCAACCAGGGCACCATGCCACTATACCCACAGTCCTATCAAATGTGGCGTCTCTAATCAGCCACCACATCTCTACTGGAGGAGAGGTTTCTTCTGTAGCAAAGTATTACCTACGAGCGTTGGCGAGGCAAGACCTTGTGGTTTCGCTTGTCCAGCTGCGTCGACCTAGAGTGCCCGCGTATGTTTGGTTGGAAACCGAGAGCCCTAAACCCGACCGGCTGCTTGGGTATACGATTACCATGATGCCCCTCCTGGAGGAGCTCTGCATATTGGCTGAAGAAGTTCGGGACCAAATTCTTCAGCCTGCTTGTAGCAACACACTCATGGACGGGGGTGTGCATGTTGAGGCTGCAGATGACAGTTCGCCATCATCCATCTGCGTTGGTGGCTGGATCAACGATGGTTACTCAGACTTGTCTCTCCGAGCCGAGTCCCTCCGCATACGTCTGGAGTCGTGGCGACCAGTAATATCTGACAATGTCTCCTTCCGCACCTCACGTAAATTCCGCGCGCAAGCTGCATGCTACCGAGCGGGGGCTCTCCTGTATCTGCATAGGCTGTTCCATATCCCGAACTCGTCTGTGGAGACCGATAAAGAGGCCCTGAGCAAGGCGCACGACGTGATGCTTTATACAAGTGGACCACCCGCGGAGACCAAAATGCTGCTCTGGCCTGTCTTCTTAGCGGCTTGCGAGATGTCGGATATCGAAGATAGAGCAGCTGTCCTGGAAGTATTTGGTTCGATGGGCGCACAACGGAAGACCGTGACGGTCGAACGGACGCAGAAGTTTGTCGAGCAGAGAGTGTGGAAAGCCAGAGATGAAGGCCAAGATTGGAACTGGATGACTTTAGCACAAACTTATCCAGAGGAGTGCCTACCAATATAACACCAGAGATAGCACGGAACTTATATTGTTAACGTCCGAGAAGTATGCTGCCAGTTGTGGTCAACCGACGTGATTTTACTCCCGGGAATTCCACAACCATCAGACGTTGAAATAAGGTAGGCTTCTTTTTGTAACGCGTGCTATACATGGATATGCCCCACGGTTCATCCCTCCCGTATCCATTATCTCGGGATTTCTGAGACCATCGAGACACGTTTTTTGCGGCACAAAGCGATGGTTGCTATCTATGCTATCATCAGAAACCCTCCTGTGATAAGAGAGCCCAGACCACTCATGAGAAAGGTTGACCAATGAGATGTCCTGGCAAACCCTTGAGGGGGCACACTCGCTTTTCCGCATATCTTTGTACGGGGGTGTTTGTCGACCCTCCATTTCATCAAAAATCTCACCCGCTAGAGGCGCAAATCATAAGTTTTCCCACAGTTCATCGTCGGTGCCGTTACCTTATCAGGTGAGCCTTTCCACAAATGGGGTGGGTGGTTGGGGGGGTCTAGATGCGGGGTCCAATGCGACCTCGGCGAGCTGTCGGCCTGTTGCCCTTGGCTGGAGTTTGGTCCATTTGATATCCCTGGCACCGACCAAGGATGCATGGATCTGATAAGGTCAAGCGTGCAGATGTCAGTCGCACCACTGAATCTGATAAGCTACTTGGCTTCCTCATCTTTCTCGGAAGGGTGGTCAAGGGTCGAGCCATGGGTCAGGAAATCCCGTGTGGGGGTATGCGCATTTTACTGCCGACATAAAACCACTTCTGCCCTTGTGCAAAGTTTGTTTTGTCCACTTTGTTCTGGCTTATCTCTGGGAAACCTCCGTCTTCGTTTTCAAGCTTGTCAAGCATCATCGTGTTAGGCGCTCCAGGGTCCAGATGAGATTGAGGCCTCACAAGAATCCAGTAAAGATTAACCGCTACTAAGAACCACCCAATAAGCAACATTGAGGCGCCAATTGCTTTTCCTGTGGTACAATGGGAAAGTCTTTCCTCGATAGACTGAGGGTGAGGGATGACACTGAGCATGGCTACGAAACGACGAAGTGGATTAATCCAGATATTGCACCGCTCCCACCCAACAGGAGAACCTGGGGCGTATGGGCTTTCCTAGGTTTTGGATCGATCTCCAAGTATGTATTTCTGACGAGTATGCATATCATTCACGGAGCTAATCATCTGCTTCCAGCTTGTGTATCTCAGCATGGACCGGTGCGGCATCTTTACTATCGTTGGGTCTTACGATCCCACAGACCATTGGTCTGATGATTCTCGCTCGAGTCCTCATTTGCTTGCTTGTCATTGGTAACGGATGGATGGGAGGTGAATGGCACATTGGCTTCACGGTCTCCCAGAGGTAAGAATCCTTGTCTTGATGCCCAAGATCGCGCCAGAGACTCACAATCTGATATAGAATTATTCTTGGTATGAACGGAGCCTACATTGGACAGCTTATCCGAATCATGTTGTCTATTGTTTGGTACGGATCGCAGGCTTGGTTGGGTGGACTTTGCGTCTCAGCTATGCTGAGTAGCTGGAGCTACAAATTTCTCACCATGGAGAACACGCTCCCGGAAAGCGCTCACATGGTCACCCGCGATCTTATCGGATTCGTCATCTTTCATCTGATCTCCATTCCGTTCTTGGTAAGTAGAAAATGCACCATTATGGCTCCGATGATACAACTTCTAACGATATTTGCTGCAGCTCATTCGCGTCGAGAAGGCCAAGGTTCCGGTCATTATTGCCAACTTGATCGTGCTTGTCACCATGATGGGTATCACCATCTGGGCATGCACTACAGGCGGTACTGGCCCTCTCTTTGAGTCCGGTGCAAAGCAACCGTCTACGCTCACCAAGGAATGGGCTTGGGTTTACGGTATCATCGCCTCCGTTGGCAACATTTCAGCCGGTGTGCTCAATCAGAGTGATTTCACACGTTTTGCGCGTCGACAAGGTTGCCAAGTTCCAGGGATCGTCTTTTCCCTTTTCATTCCTGGAATGATCGTCCCAATCTTCGCCATCCTGACCGCTTCGGCCTCGATGGCTATCTGGAAGCTTGAAGAGCCAATGTGGAACCCCTTAACTGTCATCACCCAGTGGATGATGGATGATTACAACGCCAAAACCCGTGCTGGCGCATTTTTCTGCAGCTTGGGCTTTGTGCTGGGCCAGATCGCGGAGAACATCCTCGGCAACGGGTACGCCGCTGGCATGGACCTTGCTGGTCTTCTTCCTACCTGGATCACAATAAAGCGTGGTGCGCTTCTGGCCGCGGCTTTGTCTTGGGCTGTCCAGCCTTGGGAGTTCTACAACACTGCCAGCGTGTTCGTTTCAGTCGCTGCCAGTTTCTCTGTTTTTATGGGTCCCTTGACGGGCATTATGATGACGGATTACTTCGTTATCCGCCGCCAGCGCATCGAGATGAGCCAGTTGTACACAGGATCCAAGGATGGAGCGTACTGGTACACTGGTGGCTTCAACTGGAGAGCTTTCGTAGCTTGGGTGGTCTGCTTCGTTCCGGCCATGCCCGGCATGATTGCAGCTGTCAACCCCAACGTAAAGATCAACGACGGGCTCTACAAATATTACCTTGGAAACTACATCTTTGGATTCCTGGAGGCTGGAGCACTCTATGCGGCTCTTACCTTTGCATTCAAGCCCAACAGAGTTGGCTATCAAGATGAATTTGACGTCTACGGAACATTCGACGACGATGTCGCCATCAAGAAGGGCATGGCGCCTTTCGAGAGACCCAAGCGGGTTGAAGGGCCTCTTGAGGGTATGCCCATAGAAATTGATGGAGGTTCTGCTGCTAAGAAGCCAGCAGAGCCCTGAGGAAGCGGGGTTTGCATTCCGTTTACCATAGCGAAGCTTTAAATCATCTCATTGTCAGGTGCTCTTTGCATGTTGATGAATGCTGTATATCTCTGGAAGAGGTTTGAGATGTCTAAATTTACTTAGTAGCGTACGAAATTGATTATTTCAAAGACGAGATTTCACTGTTGATATGCCATCAGTGGATTCCGCCCAAGCCATTTTTATGATATGCCAGTACTTTTCCGGCCACCGCCGCATGTGCTGCACATGTTCGCTTCCTTCAAACAAGTTACACTCCACATGGTACCCTTTCACTCTTGCATCTGCGGCGTGCTTCTCGACTGCTTCCCAATCGGTGACCAGATCTTCTTTGGAGTACATGTATAATCGCCGAGCCGACTTAGTCGCGAATTCCTCGCTATTGGACGTCGCACTGCTGAGGATCATCGGGTTCTTACGAGACCGCGCTATTTCCACCAGGCGCATTATGAAAAGGACGAGAATGCACATGGCTTTAAGAACCTGAGGCGGTAAGGGTGTTGTCGCTTTCGCATCATTCACCATGGCGTCTGCCAGTTTTCCAATGTTCCTCCCGTCGTCTCCCATCGAACCAGGAGTAGAGTCCATGACCAGGAGGGAATGCGGCATGGCATGACCAAAGGCTTGTTTGTATCCATCAAGGGTGGCGGTGAAATACAAACCGCCCGTATCCGATAAAACATGGACAAGAATGGAGGGTTGTGCTTTGGAAGTACGTTTTGTGAAATCGAAGTCGAATACATCTGTGATGAGCGGTTTCATGCAACGCACACGCTCAACCTGGCTTGAAAACAAGCCCTTAAAGACCTGAGAGAGTATGACGATAATTTTGGCCCGGGGGAACAGGCTGAAGTAGCCGGCGGCATATTTTGCGACGTGGTTAAGCCGACCATCGCCCCAACCGTATATGAGTACTACATCAGGTCCATTCTGGCTTCGTTTCTCAATGACTGGGTCGTCGGTGTTGGCTGTGGGGGCTGCAAATAAGTAGATTTGGTCAGAGAGCGGGGTGAACTCCTCGGTCTTCGCAACTGTTCCGCGAAGTTGTTTGAGGTCGGGCATTTTGTGTTTGGTAGCCAGTACTACCAGTTATTTGGCAACGTACTGATGTCCCGGGGAAGATTGGGTTCTATCCCACGGTGATTGCGAGGTTTGGATGGTAGTGGCAACGAAGCGAAGCCCACCCATCTGGATAAGGTACAGGTAGGTATCGAGTGCATATTCGTTAGCGAGCTGTCAAAAGAGTGCAGGTTTGCTGCAGGTCTTCCCGAGGCTCGAGGCAGTGTTATGGCCCCTGGGAATCAACATGTGAGCGTGTGGCACAGTCAGTGAAGAACGTTGTCGGCTAATTAAAAGAGGTCTGGGTCCACATTGATATTGATTTTGTCCCCTTGCATGCAGGTGGCCTAATGCCTACGTTGGATCAGCAGCGGGGTTATGTGCCTTCTGAAGGCTGTCTGTCCGGACTTCCTGTTAATCCCTCCAATGCCTTTCGAGCATCATAGGGCCATTTAGTGTCGTATTGTGACCTGAGATAGCTTGGTTAGCTAAGTTTTACAGCGTTCTGTCTGCCTATGAACGTTGCGCGTTTGTGCAGTAATCATCATAAGTTTTAGACATCAACGATGAAATTGGCCTCAATTGAGCTCATAGGGAGTAGATGGTTATTCCCCTAAATTCAAGAGAAGTTTCTCGCTTAGCCAACCGTTTGATCAACACGTAAGGAGTGTCTGCACCAAAATTTGTCCTTCAAGTTTTACATATGGCATGATGTCACTAAACATACGCTAGCACACACCCATGAGAATGTTGTGTCTGTGCCTTTTCCTGAGTACTATTAATCTTGCAGGACATAGCCTTCAGTCCCCTCATTTGCCCACTGAAGATTCAGCTTGTCCCACTCGACATCTTCAAGGACGCCAACATTTACTGGCTGGATTTCCAACTGCCTGCGCACAAACTTCTTCTTTTCATCTGGCAACCTGTCGATGATTGCCTGTGGAGGACCATACAGGTTGCTGAAACAGTGAACTCCGCAGGTCTTGCAAAACGGAGAACCGTTAAACCTCCGACCGAACCGATAGTCTTGGGTATTCTCCTTGCCGACGAGCGTTACTTGCGACTGGTGGGGGTATACGCCGATGAATCCGTTCTGACGAGGTTATGGTGTTAGTTCCTTCGAGTTATGGAATGTAGGCAGGATCAACTGGCGTACCCTGACGCAAATGCTACAATTGTCTTCTTTGACTTCGACTTCAGCCAAGGGCTTTATTTTTAATGCAACTTGCACGGCGCCACAGTCGCAGGCTCCTTGATAAAGTCTCAGATGTTCCTCCGTTACCTTGGGCTGCATGCCTCGAAACTCTGGGGTAGGCGACGTGGATGCAGTTGAGGGTTTGATCAAACTAAGATGTTGTTAGTCAGATGGCCAAGCTAACCAGAAGGCGGGGCTCAGAACCTTAGTCGGCCCAAGTATGGTGTAGGATTGCCTTCGGGATCAAGGGATATAACTTCTTTGCCTCTGAGGAAAACTCCTGTCATGTTGGAGATTAGAGGGCGCAAGCTGATACCTCTCTTTCCAGCCTGGACGCCGGACGTGTGGGTACCAAACAGGCCTGTTCCACAATTCGAGCAGAACTAATTATACTGTTTAGTTAATCTGGCGACATATCTTCTAGCCAGGAACAAGGCGTACTCACTTCATGTTGTAACGCATCTGTTCCTGATGACGTGTAGGAAGTGAGAGTCTCAGTGTTGCAACCTTTCGTGATCTTCGTATTGCGCTCAGCGTCGTATATCCATACGTATCCTTTCTTTGTACAAAGCGCACAGTAACAGCTAACAAGATGAAGCTGTTCAGGAAGCTCAACTTCGAAGCGGTTGATGCCGCAGTGGCAATTGCCTTGGTACATCGTTAACGATTCAGCCATCTGAGCGATTTTAGTTAATCAGCAAAGGTTTTGTGTCGGTTGTACAGAAAGTTGTCACAGACAATAGCCTTGCTGATGATAAATGAAGAAGAAAAAAGAGGCATCATTATATTAGGCAACCGTGGACTTTTGTTGGGTTGCTAGGATGATTGTGTATGCAGTATGGCGGTCGGCACCAACGATTAGCCGGCAGGATGATTGACTGGCACTGAGCTTCCCGATTCATCACTCTCCGCACGGGAAATGCACTAATGAGGCACATGGCTTATGGCCAGTGGACCCTTGTAGCTACTGGGAATAATCATAACCATGGAAACTTGTGAAGCAAACGGTATATCCAAATATCGCGATGTTGTAGCTAGTATATCACCCAATGGGCTGTGCCAAGATTCACCAAACAGAGTGCATTTCCTGAGACGTCCAGAGTCCCTCATGTATGCGTCTTTACGAACTGAACGATTATGTAATTCGGAAGTTGTAGCGCTATCTGACTCGGGCCCCGTCGGTCATCCGATCAGTGGATCGTGCGGTGAAACGATAACTAGACACGGTTAACGCGGCACTTCGGATGACTTAATGACCACCTTTGCGAATCTTTCCGTAGCTCGCTGCGTTTTCCTCATTCATCATCATCTAGGCAAGATTTTGGCATCATGAACCGCCCTTCACGAACCGATGAACCTTACGAGGGAGAGGGCTACAATCAAAACCCCAATCCCTTGTCAAATGACTTGACTACAAACGAAGATCTCAATGGTTTGGTTAATTCCAGGCAATTGAAGTCGGATGGTAGTCATGATAAAACCATCTCTGATGATGCCGACATACCTCGCGCTTCTCCGAGCCGAGACAATGACACCGAACCGGGGCCGCTGCCCGCCTCGACCAAGATAACTATTCTTGGTCGACCCTCGGGAGACGGGGCCAGTACGGCCCCTCTCCCTTTCACTCACTCACAGATCCCACCGTCCCCGTGTAGCAGCGTGCATGAGGATAAACCCCAGCCATCGTTTTCTCTGCGTGTCAAGAATGCCATCACGAAGTTCGGATCGTTCATCGGACCCGGGTTTATGATCGCTGTCGCCTATAGTAAGGGAGCGACTTGCACTCTTGTAGGCGTTGTAGCTAACCAGGAATTTGTGCATAGTTGATCCCGGAAATTATGCGACTGACGTTGCGGCTGGCGCAACTTACCGCTTCAGGCTCCTTTTCATCGTCCTCTTGGCAAATCTTTTCGCCATTTTCCTTCAGAGCCTCTGCATCAAGCTCGGTACTGTGACTGGGCTCAACCTGGCTGAAGCCTGTCGGGCATTCTTGCCGCGCTGGGTCAACTATGGCCTCTATGTGTTCGCAGAGATTGCCATCATTGCTACCGATATTGCAGAGGTTTGTCAACCTATTTTGAATTCCTAGCTCATCTTAATCTTTCAGAAATATTCAATTACCTGTAATTGCTGACCATAACCTTAGGTGATTGGCTTCGCAGTAGGGTTGAATCTTCTCATCCCTGCCATACCTTTGGTGGCTGGCTGTGCAATCTCTATCCTGGACGTCATGGTTATTCTCTTCTTCTACCGGCCACATGGGTCTATGAAGGGACTGAGAATGTTCGAGTACTTCATCATCGGTTTAGTATTGGGAGTAGTCGTTTGCTTCTGCATCCAACTATCTCTTATCCAAGAGACATCCGTCGGAGAAGTGTTTGAAGGCTATCTGCCATCCCATGCCGTCATTGAAGCCAAAGGGTAATTTAACAACCATGCCAGTTTGTGCACTGTTCATACTAACCTTTTGAAGACTGTACCAAGCGTGCGGTATTTTAGGTGCGACGGTCATGCCACACAGTCTATACCTGGGATCAGGTATCGTGCAGCCCCGGCTAAAGGAATACGATGCGAAGCACAATCTTCTGCCCCCTGGCGTAGATGATTCCGAATTTTTGGACGGCAACAATGACAAAGGCTACTACGTCCCATCGGCTAGGGCGATTAAACACTCGCTCAAGGTCTCGATCGCCGAGCTAAGCATCTCGTTGTTCACCTTTGCTTTGTTTGTAAACTCGGCCATTCTGATCGTAGCGGGAGTCTCTCTATACAACAACCCAGACGCTCCTGAAGCAGACATCTTCAGCATCCACAAGCTCCTCAACGACTCCATTTCTCCAGCGGCAGGCACTGTCTTCGCCCTCGCATTGCTCCTCTCTGGCATCTCTGCTGGAGTGGTCTGCACCATTGCTGGACAAATGGTGAGTGAGGGGTCCTTGAACTGGAAAATGCGTCCGTGGCTTCGCCGATTGGTGACTCGAGGCATCAGCATCGTCCCGAGTGTCATTATCGCAGGGGCAGTAGGACGGAAGGGAATCAGCCAAGCGCTGGATGCGTCACAGGTCGTCCTCAGTGTCGTTCTGCCATTCGTCACGGCGCCGTTGATTTACTTCACCTGCTGCAACAAGTACATGACTATCCGTGCTGGTGGGGCTCGAATTCGTACCAGCTCTGATGTAGAGGACTCAACCGCGAGAGGCGACTATGTGGTAAAGATGGCTAACTCATGGTATACTGCCGCCTTTGCGATCATCACCTGGCTTATCATGGCGGTGATGAATGTCGCTAACTTGGTGCTGCTCGGAAAGGGCGTGTGAGTGAGAACTACCTCAAAGTAAAAAGGTTCGGTGAGGAACCCTTTTGCAGGAACTGGTGGTTGGGAGGGACGAGGACCTTGCGCCTCAACACTTGGTTTTCCATTCAAACGACCCAAGGTATCATCATGTGTGATACTGATTTTACTTTTTGCTGACGAGATTGACCGTGATCTCGGTTTGCCGCTTTTTACTTGAGATTACATTGCATTCAACAAGCAGGTATGCGCTTTTCAACACGCACCTTGATAGCTTTCTGGGGCTCAACCCCCAAACCTAGGGAAAAATTGAATATATCTGGATTTTGGCTAAACTCCATCTGATCTTTTATAACCAACCGAAATCGGCATTTCTCTACTAATTTCTGAAAACGGGGAAAAGGTGGGTATGCCCTTCATCGACAACAGTAGCTGAGAGGCAAATGGCTAAAGGACTACAAAACTGTGAATAACTTCCTTCATATGGGATTAAACTGGGGACTTAGCAGCTTTGAATTTTGATTGGTGACTTTCACCTTATTAATACTCTTCAGGGATTTGTGAGGATTCTCGGTGTACGTCACGGGATTTGAACGGCGACTGAATCTGATCGATCGATGACGTATTTATTCGCTGGGTATCACAACATCATACAATATCCACCGAGCAATGTTTATAACCATCGGGTCTAAACCTGCTGGTAGTGAATTTAGCTTTGATTATCGATTATTTCATTTTAAACCCAATGTTATCACATAGGGTCATTCGTGGTTTGTCAACTATCACTCGTATTCCTTACAAACAAGTTCACGTACCACTACGCCAGCAGAAGCGCTGCCTCAACGTTACCAAGATGTCCAAGTTCCCCACACCCTCAAGCGACCCTCCCAAGCATGAGATGCAGTACTTCCCTGATATGACTACGGCCCTGCCGTCTCAGTCAGGTGAATTCCGCCGTGTGCTTTGGACTGGACTCTACTCCCAAGTTGTTCTCATGACCGTTCCCGTAGGCGGAGACATCGGCGAAGAAGTAATGTGTTCAGGTAGACTTACCAGATACGACCAGCGAAACTGACCGATTTGATCAGATTCATACTGTTGACCAAATCCTTACCTTCACTTCGGGACAAGGACTCGCTCAAGTGGGTGGAAAGGAACAGGAGGTCAAGGCGGGAGACATGGTCATCGTTCCGGCAGGGACCAAGCACCAATTCTTGAACAAGGGCCCAACTCCCTTGATCTTATACACGGTATACTCGCCAGCCGAACACAAGCAGACTAGTGTTCACAAGACGAAGGAGGAGGGTGACAAGGAAGAGGAGGAAGGCATTGATGAGCCACCGGCATGGAGTCAGCGGAGCAAGGAGCAGAACGAGAAGGAAGGTTGGGTAAAGGGCGAGTAATCTTCTCGTATCTTCACGTTTTCTCTGTACCATGGCTTCTCAGCAAAATCCATCTGCTACAGCAAGAATCATACGAGTCGTTCATCGTATGAAGAACAATGGCTTGGTCATTGGAACAGTGATGCCAGAGTATGATAAAGTGATCGAAAAACCCAAGTCTTGATTATTTATTAGCTGTAGATTAACAGGGCAGATGTGACGTGGAACGCACGGATGAATTTCTCGGCAAAACGGCAACGTCGTGGAAAGGCATTGGACGAAGCGAGATTTGAGACGGCAGTGTCGGCCTGAAAGTAGGAAGAGTCATGCAAAGGTTTCGTCTAATTGAAACGCCTAAATCTCGGTGCCGCGACTCGGAGGTGACATTTTGCGTAGGTTCCTTTCCATCTCAACTTGCGCATCCTGGCTTTGCGAAGCTGAGACAAGCTTTTTTATATTAACAACCTGCATCTAAAGATTCCTACTAACCCTCCTTAGTCTTGATAGGTCGCGGTAACGGCTTTTCTCACGATTTCCATCCAAAGAAATAAGCCGATCATTTAAGATAGTTTCCTATCTAAGCCACAAAAGAGCATTCAGCCCACGGTAACCCGCGATGATCCCTGTGAGGTTCCATCTTCTCAATGTCCGATTTCAGTACGAGAGTAACGTATCGCGAACGGTAATCTACCTCATAAACTTCAGCGCTTGGGGTAGTAATTAAATCTTCCAGGGTCATTTGGGGGGAGCAACTCGCTTCCCTCGGGATCTCTGGAAGCTAATCTAATATAAAGACGTGCCAAGAAATACTCATGCCCCGGATATGAGATCTACGTGTTTGACACCCAAAGTGCATCTTTCTTTGGAATAGCTACCATCATGCAGAGTCTCTTCTTGCAACTTACCCTCCTCGCCTCTTTAGCTTCGGGCTACTGGTTGCCGGAGACTCTGGGCAAAGGCCAGTTCAAGACTTGCGTCGTGCCCAAATCCAAGGGCGACGATTCTCCGACTATCATTTCTACGGTCCAGTCATGCGGCGCCAACTCTCGCATCGTTTTCAGCGCAGGAACCGAATACAGCCTGCTGACGCCTCTAAAATTCTCCCATTTGACCAACGTCGAGTTCTCTATTGAAGGAAACCTCACCCTCTCAGACAATCCCGCAACAGTCTCTGCAGTTGTCCAAAACAGATCTGTCTACCCAGGCCATTGGATCACCGTTTCCAACAGCCAGGGTGTTACATTCACGGCTTCTGGCACCTCTGGTGGAGGATGGATCATTGGCCATGGCGACAAATGGTGGCCATCAGCCACGGACAGTAGCAACAATGGAAGACCGCACTTCTTCTCTTTTGGCGTCACAGGCCTACGTCTCCGGGGCCTCAAGGTCCTCAACCCCGTGGCTTGGGTCTTTTCCATGGGTGGAAACGACGTCTACATGACGGACACTCTGCTAGATGCACGATCCATGAGCGCTTTCCCATTCAACACTGATGGAATCGATGTGAGTGCCTCGAACGTCGTTATCGATGGCTGGAAGAGTTACAATGGCGACGACATCATCAATGTCTCCCCGCCTGCAGTCAACGTCACCATGCGCAACATCGTTGCTTATGGTACCCATGGAATTTCCGTTTCCTGCGCTTCTGGATCCGGTAGCCAATACTTGTTTGAAAATGCCGAGATTCATGACTCTTTGCTGGGAGCCCGATTCAAGGGTTCTGTCGGCACAACCTGCCAGATTTCCGACGTCACCTGGCGTAACATGACCATTACCAACACAGCTTACCCTATCCACTTTATCGAGGACTACGTCGACCAGGAGAAGGGAGCGGCTGGGAAGGATGCCTCTCTTGCGGCGTTCGCGAAAAACTTCAAGTGGGAGAGCATTACTGCGCATACCGGCAAGGATCTCAAGGACGGAAGCTGTGTTTCGAACCCGTGCTGGAGTAAGACACTAGGTGCGTATTCTTTCTACCTCGACCCCTAACCCAAAGTATGGACTTGCTAACATGTGTTTCTGGTCTGAAGGCGAATCAACCAAAAAGGGCATGTACATTATCTGCAAAGACGCAGCTCATTGCCAGGACTTCCACTTTTCGGACATCACCCTTGTGGCAGCAGTGAGTTTACTAATAGTCTTGTGTGATGAAGAGTGTTTGACTGACATGTGTTTCAGGATGGAAGTGCTGGCGAGATGCAATGTGTTGGATTGGAAAACGACAAGGGGCTTGGTATTCCTTGCACGAATGGCACTCTTGCTGCGTCGAAGTAAGAGCGACATACAACATATTATCCGCTTATTATAAACAGAGCGTAAGACGTGTTCGATATATCAGTAGACTTAATAAATGTACTTCGTGGAAGTAATCTAGCCACAGACCGTTTTTCAAGCACATCTATATGTATGATGAAGTATAGGGGATTTCAATATAAGCATCCTCAATTGAGACCTATATACGGCTTGATTATTATTCACAGAGAATTGAAGTTCATTCAGGCGTTTCCAAATGCAGCAATCTCGTCTGCTCATTCAGAAAGCAACCAAGGCAATCTTTGCCGGAAGGCACAAGTAGCGAAACACTTTTCGCGACCAGGAGTTGGGAACAACTTAGCAAGGGCCATCCTTGACACCAGGGCCGCTGTAGTTCTGGCAGGGGGTCTTGGCGTCGGTGCAGACGTTAACAAGAGTCGCTCTGTCGCCGTTCGCTTTGGTGATTCCGGCAACCTCACCGCCCTTACGAGCGGTGACTCCCTCAATGTAGACCTGGCGGGCACATTTCTGGCACTGTTCACAGTTGTCAGTACATCTCATGAGCATTTCCGTTGTTGCACTGGAAAGATGCCAGGTTTCCCTCGCCAGGATTAAATCCGCAGTCGACGTGTAGGAGATATACTCACAGTTCCGCAAGAGCGGTAGACCTTGCCGTAGTCTTCGGCATAGAAGTTGATGATCTTATTTAGAAATTAGCATAAGTTCATCATAGAGCTAACGCAAAGTAAAAGTGAACTCACATTCACGCGTCCACAGCCGTTATGCTGGATGATCTTGTCGGAAGCATGGAAAGCGCCACCACCGACGATCCAAGTCACATCTCCAGCCTTGTCGTCTTTCTAATAGCGAGGTTAGTTTCGGCAAACAGTTTGGAGGTTCGGAATCAGTTACAATAGAGATGGCATCCTCGCAGACATCCTCGAACCAGACAAACTCAATGTTGCAACCGCCGCCCTTGCAGTAAACGCCTTCGCCAGCAGTCTTGCCAATGATGACATTTCGCAGCGTGGCACCCTTCTCAAGAACGAAGGCAGTGTCGGACTCACCTAAGCAAAAACAATGTTAGCATAGAGTAACCACCTCAAATGTGTTGTATTTGCATGAAACAGGCATCAAGTTGTACCTCCTTCTTGCTGTCCTCTGCAGGTAGACGGGTTTCTGTCGTACTTGGCCCAGCCTCCGTCAAATACCTGACCAGACTTGACGTAAATTGGCGCGGAGATTGGCTTGTTAACAGTTGGCTTGGGCAGACCCCCCTCCCATCCCAGGCAGGCAAGAGTGGCGGGCAGAGCGCCAAGAAGGGCGACAGCAAAAGTTCCGGCGTTTCGAAGCATCATGATGGTGGTTGAGGTTTGCTATAGGCTGCTAGTGATCTTTAAAACTCTATATTGCCCTGCCGAAAGTAACATTGACGAGGAATATCTGGTCGATTATATACACAGCAGGATATAGTGTTAACAAGCCAGAATTGCTCTCATTGGAACGCATGGAGTCCTCCAAGCCAAGACTTGGCAGAAGGCGATGGGAAGACAGCTTATTGGTGCAATCCTTTCATATATATCTGTGTTTTTGTCCTAGTCGTGGAAACCCGACATGCCAGTCTTGGTAATGCCCTACAACTTCGGTTTAGGTCCATCTATACCCGGAGAATAGATTCGTTGGCGCAGAATTATTCTCCGAAGCTTACTTCTATAACGTCCGTCTCGGCTGTTGATGGAAGTCCCACCAATAAATTGACATTTATAGGCTGAGCCGTAGGCATAGTATTGCATTGGAGCACAATATTGGCTGACAAAGAATGAGGGATCAATCTAGGCCGGAAAGAGATATCAGTTCGTAATACGAAGGCGAGCTTCTCAAACGGCAATGGGCCTCGTGTCCTGGTCTTGGCAACAACAGTAAGGTGGTGTTGAGTCCTACTCGGCCCATTGGGGCTAGCCTATGCTGGCCTGCCTTTTTCAGTTGATAACTACTGTCATTCAGTCTACTTCTAGGACCGAATACTCTCAAGTGGAACATTCTCTTTCTTCCAGTTTATTGCCACGCAGTATCAAGAGAACGGAGAAAGTAACACTTTGGCCAACGGGAAGGGCAGTTTTTCATCCTAGGTGACATATTACACATATACCTTGAACTTTCTACAGGCTTAGAAAAGTCGGATTAGCTGCACTTTTCAAAAAGGTTAGCTGTGGTGAAGCCGGGGAGCAAAGGGAGCTTCCCCTCACGCACGAGTGTCTCCACAGACTCCGATTGTCTCTGCAAACAACTGAGCTAGAGGCAAGCTTAATTTAAGGATGTTTTTACTAAATTTAAGAGCCTGGTAGAGGAATAGTGCGCAGGCACAGCTTATGCCACATCCACCATGACACAGCCCGTAACAGGTATTTCTAAAGCTAAAGTGTAAGCGTATTCATTATCTAACTTTAATATAGGCAGCTTTATAACTGTTTTTGCTACGAAGTTGGGAAAATTCAGGATCCTGTCCCTCCTACCATAGATGAGCAAAAGGTCGCTGAAGCAGGCTACAGAGTTTGCTTCCGAATGATTACGGTGCTTTAGCCTGTCCACCCCGGTATCATTCCGTTACGATGACTGTTTACACAATTCTAAAAAGTTCCTCAATTACTCCTGTGCGGAGTTAAAGCCAATCAGGAACCGAGAGTGCGACCTTTTTCACAGTCACATCACTGTTTTCCACGAAATTTGGAGACCCTAGGACGCCTTGTGGTTCGCAATGTGCCTGTTGCCCAGTCACAGTCAGTGGGATATGATTTGATAAGAACAGTCAACATTTGAGCTCTGATTGGCTTCAACTCCCTTCCTTGGCCAAAATGGGGTCCAGCAGCAGCCGATGGAATGGGTACGAAGACTTAGGCGTAAGCTTTTGAGGTGGGCCTAGTACCCTATACGAACCAAAAATGTGAGATGCCTGTGCCACCAAAAGTCAGCCTTGTAGCTCAAAATGTGGCTCAATCTCATTGCTGCCTGACATCTGGTTGTCAGACTCATTCATCTACACCTCCTTCATCGCCCAACCGCCAGATAAGCTCATGCACCATCATCTTGGTTAACTATTTCTGTCCAACGACAATAGAGAACGAATGGAGGCACCACTTCTCGAAATGCGTATACCTGGTGGCTCGAGCAGCCAATCTCTCTGTGAAGATTGTAAACAGTTAGAGTTCTCCGCGTTCAAATCTTTGAACGAGACTGATCGCTGGAAAGCATGCTACGGGGATGGCATCTTTGTCTCAACCATCCGTGCGCACAGTCACGACCGCCCCACTGGAGGCTGTAAGTTATGTCAAGTGTTTGCTGTTTCCAAGATCTATGGAGCAAATGGCTCCGAGAGCGATGGTGACGACTCTTATGAACTACGAGCTTTCCATTACCTCCGCTACTCTGGCATGTGTCGTCCTGCCGGCAAAGCTGGCTTAGACACTTTGCGAGAAAGCGTCACTCTAGTCCTAGTTCTAGTGCCAAAGACCTTACAAGGGAGGCAACTGCATGAGGCGCTTGAAAGTCACGTATCAGACAACGCTTGCGCGATCCTTCAGCCTGGATCACCCAACACCTCCATTATGTTCGAGCTTCCTTCGTGCCGGTTTAACCCCCGAGTCGCGCAAGATTGGCTGCAGTTTTGCAAGCTCCATCATGGTCCACTCTGCCACGCCAAGACAGCTCGTGCATCTGGTCTTGATCTCATCGATTGTGAGACAAGACTTATTACAACGCATAGGACAACCGATACTGTTCATTACATAGCACTGAGCTATGTTTGGGGTAGCTCTGACAGCAGTGACCAGGAAACTTTCCGGAATGATGCAGAGCCAAGGCAACTACCACTATCACTCCCCCGAGTTATCTCTGATGCCATCGTTGTCACTCAATCTCTCGGATATCGATATCTTTGGGTAGACAAGTTTTGTATCAGGCAAGATCACCCAGACAAACATAAGCAAATTCAACATATGGATTCTGTTTATGAAAACTCAGACCTCACCATTGTTGCTGCTGCTGGCTCCGACGAGAATTACGGCATTCCGGGAATAAAAGAAACTGAGCGCATCATTCCAAGTTGGATCGAGACGGTGGGTGCAAATATCCTTTGGCCTGTTAAGAATCCTCAACGAATGATACGAGAGTCGAAATGGGGAAGTCGAGCCTGGACCTTCCAGGAGTCGACCCTGAGTCGGCGGCGCCTCCTTTTCCTCGATGATCAGGTCTACTTTGAGTGCAATTCAATGAATTGCACTGAAAGCGTACGAATTCCCCTCGAAACAATGCATGTCAAGAACAAGGGAAACTCGCGAAGTAACCTGCGTGCAGGCATTCTTAGTGCGTACCGAAATAGCCAGTTATTCTTGGACCCAAATAAGACACCGCTTCATATTTCGATGATTCAGTACAAGTCAATGGTGACGCAATACACATCCCGGGAGCTTCGGTATGATTCAGATTCACTGAATGCTTTTGAAGGCATCCTTCGGATGTTCCGCCACAGACACGAGTCTCTATCGAACTTATGGGGTTTGTGCTATCCTCGGTCTGCATCAAACGAAATGGTCAAAAAGCTCTTTACCTCTTCTCTTGCCTGGTATCATATCCGTCCACAAAGAAGAAGACCTGAGTTCCCTTCTTGGGCATGGGCTGGCTGGGCAGGAAAAGTACAATACCCAGAATCATCTATTGAATCTTCGCAAACTTACCTCTCCGCAATTTCTATTGATTTGCACACGGCTTTTGGGGAACAAATGGTTCCCATTCACAGATATCAGAGAAAGGAACAAATCGAAGGGCACAGAGCTCTTCGCATCAAGGGAAGATTTCTCCCTTCAAATTTCTTTACTCACACTTACCAGGAAGGCGGGCAAGCAAAATGGCAGTTTCAGGGGAAGCCAGCACCTGTATTCATGTCTGATTCTCAATACGTTGGGGAAAGTTCCATCACCAAGCTAAAAGACATGCAACAGATAAACTTCGTATTGGCAGGATTGCATAGTGTTTACGGATATTCTGAGGACCATGACGCCACTGCTTTGATTTTGCAGCGAAATTTACAAACAGGTGCCTGGAGACGAGTGGGACTTTGGTTGATTAGTACCAAAGGGTGCCGTAATCCGTTAAATATAGATGATCTCGAACGGAGGGAATATACGATGGAATAACATTGAATACGATGTATTCCAGCCAGGCTAGTATTATTCTCTGGAATGCAGACTTTGACAACCGTCTCGAGGGAATACCAAAGTAATGATACCATACATAGCATGCGAACGGTTGATAATTACCTCGCATTAATCAAGAAGCAGAGTTGTTTATTATTTTGCTATTCTTTCATTTGAATACTTAAAGGTTTTATGATTATAGTTATCAAAGCTATCAAACCTCACTTCAATTCTTCGTTTCAAAAAATAGCAGTATTATAACAGATTTCCAAAACATAAAGACCTCCTTAAGCCCATGTGAGACCACCCTGTCCCCCTGGTCAGTCATTAGGAATAAAAGTAAATCGATTAAAATGTCACCTTTCTAAATTCTTTCCGGTTCTACTGTACACTGTACGTTTCATTGTTATCTCTCACTTGGTCTTTACTAGGAATAGTATGGTGTATGTTACTCTTGGTATTACCTACTAGCTTTCACTTTTATATAGTAATAATTTTAAGTTATATTTTGGTTAATATCACTATAGGAGTAATTAGCCCTTGCTGATAGTTACTAAGAAGCTTATATACTTAAATACTATATACCTAAACATTGTTGCGCCACAGTAAGTATAACACAGACTGTAGGCGTGAATCCTTGAGGTATGACATGTTAGAATCTTGTTGATTATTTCAGAGTCTTCCAGCTACATGATCTGCATACAGACTTGGCAAGAAAGATGCCAGGTTAGTAAACTCGGTCTGGTCATGAATGAAATGCTCATATGCGATGTTTTCTCCGGCCATCCGATGTTTAAAGCCAAGTGCTCCAGCAAGATAATCGATTCCAACTTTCATCCCAAATACCTTGTAATGAATGCCACCACCCAGCCAATAACGACTTCTCAGCTCAAGCCCGTCTTCTGTCTTCCGCCAGAGGTGCAGGAAGTCGCCAATCTTGAGATTCGGCAGCAATCCATCCCGTAGCTCTGCACAAACTGCCGCCTCGTAGCCTGCCGCCTTGAGCTCCTCCCATGGCAAGCCATACTCTGCAGGGTCGACAAAGTGGATATGTACAGTCATCTTGGTCGATCCAATGAACTCGGTTACTCGGTGCGTGGACCCGAGCCATTTTTGCGTATGAGACAAGTCAGTGCGGTGCAGACGGTCGGCGTAAGTCGAGCGCGCGCTCAGGTGGTCATATGGAAACCACAGGGCGTAGCGCTCAGGCTCGACACTATGCCACCAGAACCACCAGCGGATCATGTCTCCTGTTGATCCGGGGAAGCGAGTTCGTGACGTGACGAACCCGGTCCCGTCGGAGAGGGCACGCCAGCCATTTTCGTGAGGGTGGTAGCCCGGCTCCAGCAGACGACGACACTCTGTGATGGGCAAAACGCCCTCTGCGGGCATCTGTTGACAGATGTATTGCGGTATGTCGGCGTAGATGTAAAGTTCCTTGTGACAGTACTTGGCGTAAAGCTTATCCTTCATTCTGTTTTCGTTGTACCGGAAAATCTTTTGTGTGTTGAGCGGGTAGTAGGTGATTGGGACCTTTCCTGGATACCCATCCTTGTCAGGATTCTGCATTTGGGTCGAAACTTGAGTGCTCTCAGCTTGGAGAGCAGGTGCGGGTAGTTGATCTGAGATCGCAGATAGCCGCGAAGCTGTACGTTGGCGTAGTTGATTGGAATCCATAGCTTCGAAGGTGTCAGCCGATGGTAATGAGATCAAGTTAGTAGAAGGTTCGAATAATGAATGCATGCCGTTTTAAGAGTTATTTGAGAGCTTCGGCAGCTCGTGCGGAGATCCCTAGGTTTGACCCCCATCCGATGTCTCACTGACCTCGGCTCACGTGTCGCCTTTGCATACCATTTCATAGTAAACCGCGATTGCCTCTGAAATGCTTCTGCATACGCAGGGGGTACAAGCGCATGGGCTTTTCCTGGTTCAGCGAGTCGGACCCCAGTAAGCGGCATCATCACCCTTCTGAGACACAAAGCTGCCTCCTTTTTAGCCCAATAGGACTTGAGTTTCACAACGACACGTTTGTAGAAGGAAAGTTCGCTTGACTTCAGTTGAGCTTTAGGTTAGGTTATACATCATATATTTCTTCTACGTTTGACGCGGTCAGGGACAGAGTCAATAACATTGCTGTTGACTGTGGTCCATCATGTTTTTCAACGCTTTTTCACCTAATCTAGAAGACCTCTTGGCCCCATGACCTCAATGCGATGCGATGTAAGTTCTCTAATTGCTCGTACTTTGAGTCCCACCACAAACAGTCCGCTGGGAGTTGATGAAGCTCATGTCTCCCTCATGCCGTGTGCCCACGTATCATATGATCAGAGCGAATATTAGTAAGCCCGCTGGTAAAATTACCAGCGTATTTAAGCGGTTTAAGAACGATTTGATAGGATCACTATTGAGAGACGATTGCCTGTACGATCTCACGTTGGGAGCTCAAGCTTACAAAGGTACTAATACAAGCTTGTCAGTGTATAGATCGGTGAGAAAATCTCATCTATTAGGTTTTGATTTTAGCGATCGAAGCCAATAATTGAGTTCTAAAGCACGCGTCTTGCAGGTTCACCTTCAGATTTGAGACGGGACATAGACTTGTGGCAAAATATTGTACGACGCAACCAACCCCACCAGTAAACGGCCAAACGAAGCGAAGATTAGATTCAAATCAGACGTTTATTTTCATAACGCTTATCAAAGAATATACATGCAAACTCATCAACCCGAGCAGTCGACGCCTTTGGTTCTAGCTTCCATGGTCCTGAAAGCCCGACATTTTAACCCGCTCGGTCATGCCCCGTGGTATTTCTTGACACTAATTTATTCATAGCTTAAGAGCAAGCAAATTCGTAGGAGACTCCCTGGCCGCGGAAGGTAGTGCAGGTCGCGTAGTTGTCGCCCTCGACAACGGCCGGAACACAAGTCTGGATGGTCTTGTTGGTGGCCCTGTCCACAACAGCGGTGACAACGGGGCGGGCGTAAAGCGGGACGTTGTCATCCTCGCAAGCCAACTCAAGGTTTCGGTAGGTCTCGCCGGTCTCATCACTAGTGATGTTGAAGGGATTGCGGCAGATGGGCTTGAAGACATAGGTGCTGTATGTTCGGATACCCGTCCATGTTGCGGTGCCCTTGATGGCACCGGAGGTGTCACACACGAGCTCGACGTCTTGGGTCTTGGTCGGAGTAAAGGGAGACCAGGCAACGAATGTGTTTCCGTGAGGGAAGGAGAAATATCCGAGGTTGATGGGAGGATATGAGGTCTCCGTCTCCTGGGCCGAAGCGATCGCCAGGAGAGAAGCGCCGAAAAGGGTAGAGAGCTGCATGTTGATGGTTGATAACAAACAATCAAGTGTGATTAGATGGGAGCCGTTAAGGTCTGAAGACGATGGACAAAAGCGCAGTTTCGTACTCGGTGTGCAGAAATCATGATTATTTAAATACTTGGAAATCTGTGAGCTGACGGTTGCCCTGCAGATCCAAGCCTGAAGAGCCGGGCCTAGCGTGACGTTGAACAGCAAATGGCGGAGGCTTCCCGTGCTCCTTTCCCCCGCCAAGTTGTCAACGACCTAGGCAAAGATCCCTGCTAGGTGCGTACCATCAAGCGATCTTGAGGTGTTCCTGCTACGGGTGGGTTGGTACTGGATTCTGATCCCAGCTTTCTTCTGGTGCTATTCCGAATCTAGTTATTGAATTGCAATCCGGTGAATTCTCGTTTTGGGATTCACCTCTAGTAAAGCCCCTGGTTTACAACACTCTCCCAAGTTTATTTTGTTTATGTTCACAAATATTGAGAAGCAAAGCTTTCACAGGGCATCCAGAGCCCAGCTAGATGCGGCACAGCGCGGTAGCGATATGCTTATGGGGGCTCTAGAACGGTCTGGCCGAATACGAGCAAATGCTACGGGGCTGACTGGCGACAACAGCCCTGTGGAGCATTGGGCAATCCTTCTCGTGTTAGACTGCAGCAACGGGAAAATTGCCTAATGGTAACGCATATACGTTGAGTCTAAGAACCGAGTACGATCGGCTTCAAATAGCCTGACTCTCAAGGAATCATTGTCCAAAGCGTTTAAACTACCCATGCAGTCTAAGTGGCATGTATATTTTCATGCGATGCAACGATCAGACGTTTTCTGCATATGAAGCGTTTACACCGAGCGGTTATTTTCTCCCAAGTATGTGAAAAAGGGCGCCATTTTCTGAGGAGGCGTTTGATTAATGAATGTTTATATCAATGAAGTTAGTTATACAAAAGAATGGCTATAGCCAAGTCGGGACGGAATTTCTCAGGCAATAGGCCATGAGCAGGTTAAGCCGAGTGATGAATCGCCGCTTGTCCCTCTATAACGGGCCAATCAACCATATCGTAAGCTGACGTCAAAGCCCCCCACAGCCGGCAAAACACAACCTTTAACTCTTATGGTGAGTACCAATGTGACTATTTTGTCGTGTTCAGTGGGGTGTATCTCATGGTTGGTAAATATCAACCCAGTCAATAACGCTACTGCTGATGCGGTGCCAGAAGCGATAGAAGGTTGATTTGTGTTGCTGACGAGGGCGAGTGCGAGACATAATTTGCGTGAACGACCTCAGATGACCCGGAACATATTCGACTTGACCCCCCTTTTTAAACCTTCCGCCTTTCCATTCTCATACTCAACACCAGCGGCACCTCCCTCGCCTGACATGCCTTCAAGTTTCAAGCGCAGCTCTTCGTCTAGCTCGGCCATAGACTTGTGCTTCTTGATTGTATGAGACCGTTTGTGATCCTCAGTACCTTGAGCTTGGTTCCGATCAGTTTGTGTAGTGTTTCCGCTTTTCGGTGCCGTTGAGGCGGTAGATATTTGTGCTGAAGCGATCGTGATGGCTGGTGTCCTAGCCGTGATGGGTGGGCGACCGACAAGGCCAAGGTTGTGAGAAGCTTTCGCCAAGAATTGTCTCATTATTTTTTCTCAGTAAATGCGCTGTCTTTTTCTGGCGGTGTAATCATCAAAGTAATCGGATTTGTTCACCTGGGGCGTAGATTGAGGTGGTGGATGTGGCATTCTGGAAAATCTGCTCTGCGGTGAGCTGCGTCACGATTCGTCATAATCTGAAGTGGTCAGTGCTTTCACAGCTCTCAGCCGCGAAAAAGGCCTCTCAAAGGGGGCATCTAATTGGGATGAGACTTGAGTGACGGTGTAGATGAGAATAAAAGCTGAAATGAATGATAAGCATTTGAAATATCTATTCATATGAGAAATCAATCATGAAATTCATTTACATTCATTTTGCATGCGCTTGCAATGCTGATACCGTCTCAGGTGGTCATTGTTTTGTCTCTGAAAATTTAACCACGAGTTACGGATACCCAACTACTAGTTAACGATTATAAACAAAAGGAAGGGCTGGGTTCTGCAGAAGGGTTATACTATTCCTTGACCAACTAGTTGGCTTTGCAACCTGCTAGATCAGTGACGACATTACCTATCCGCTATCTAGACGAATGACGCGAAGACCCAAATAGTGAACTTTTCCGTGCTCCGACTTGGCGCCCAACAGATGAATGTCAGCCCAGATTTAGTTATCAGCAAGAAATTCAGGATGCCACTATGCCCAAACACGCTAAATCAAGTACTGAAAACCCAGCGTCCTCAACTAAAATCCCTAGTTGGCCCACACAACATCCAGAATCTCAGCTTTGTCAAATTCATATACACGGGAATCGGGTACTCGCGGTAATAACTATATATCGCCACGGACAGGGCAATAATGTCGAAAACAGCGGTCTGTTCATTTATGCTCGAATTATGCACCTCCAAGTCCACGGCTTAGGCTTATCCCCGTCTCCACCAGGGCGGATCTCCAGCAAAAATACGATCCGTAATGGGCACTTGAATGCACCGCCCCGGCTGGCACGGGGCGGTATATTCCCATTTGTCAAAGAGCCCCATTTCCTCCGCTGTCAAGACGAGTTAAGTCACGGCTCTAGCATCCTCTAAGATGCCCAATCGAAAGTGAGCCTGTGCGATTTAGTGCCCTCCGTCAGCCCCGGGCCCGTCAGCAAAAGCACATCCTTGGCCAAAAGCACGGAATTTTCCTGGGACAGTGATTGTCTCGCGAACCTCTTACAGTCACTTTTATTCTCAGTGCCCGTTCCAAATGTGAATCGTGGATGTCTTGTTTGAGGACGTAGTCTGGGCCAGGCAAGAGGTCCGGATCAAGTATCACAGTTTCATCAAGAATCAAAACAGGAATGAGCTCATTGTAACGTTTGATCACATTACTTGATGACGGGATATAGGACACAAGTCTATTTGTGAGCAGCGACAGGAGACTGCCCACATACAGTTCGTGGGTGTCCTCATCGTGTCGCCCGAGTCCTCTTCGAATTCTACTGCAGCAACAGAAGACACTGGAAAATACACTCAACCGAGTTCGATTGGTAGACTCGAGGAAGGCAACGTTATTAAGAATTAATCTTACTTATGACTTCAACCCTCTGACGTTTGTAGCGCGGAGAGTGGGTGGTATGCATCTACAGCGGCCTTGACCTGCTCAGACGAGAAATGCATCATCGCTGGGTGTCAATTGAAGAAGTCAACACAGCCTAGTTAATTGCATCCTTTCGGCCCCAAGCATGATCAATGGCTGGTAAAAGAAATGACTTGCAACCAAATACTGAGATGGCTGCACTCAACCGAGTAACACGGAGCATAACCGACGAGGAACGGTATAATAGACTAAGGCAGGAAACATACGAATTTTGCGTCATGTCAGAAGCTTGAATCGCCTCCCAACCAGAGACAACGACCGCGCCCCCCTAAGCCTTCCATTCCTTCCATGGTACCCGTCCCCTGTGGAATAAAGCCCAATAGCGGTGGCAGTGTCACTGTCGCTTACTAACCGGAACGGACCCTATTGAAAAGCAGTGTGGATCGTCCAAATGCGCGCAGATCATGCCCGGTTTAATAGCATGGAACATTGGTGCCTACACCAGTATAAGTAAGAATATCGCCTTACAGGGCGCACTATTCTCCTTGGCTCCAGTGCACATTGGCGCTGGAATAGTGGAATGACCTCAACTTGCAGCACAGCCACCCGTAGCCGCCGGAATTGCTAGGCGGTGAAACAAAATGGTATGCCTAATCCTCATGATAGCGATATAACTGTTTTTATGGTTTTCGACGAGGTGTTTCCCCGGATATATCTTCAGCTCATGCCCTCTCATGGGATGGATGATGTTCGTACATTAGACACCTAATTACCATCCACCAACACAACCTTTGACCATTAAGGGATTGACTTGCTACGTCTCAACAAACACACACACACACACACAAGTTAAACAAACTACATACTGCCTCTCATGTCCTCTATGCTGGATGTCGGCGATGTCAAGCCGCCTACATACGACGATACAGTCAACGAGTCTAGGGTGCAACTCAGCTGCGGAGAAACACCGACACTCTTCCTAGACCGGACAACCATCTTCGCCAACACCGATCCACCTCGTGCGCTGTACGAGCTCAGCAACAATGTCTGCGAGGCAAAATCAATCATTTACGCTTTGCAAAAAGTCGCCTACAGGGTTACTTCCTCGGCCGGTGGCGATAAGATCAGGACAAGGCTCGACCATATTTACGACATTTCGCTCGACCCGCTGACGGGATTTGACATGGCCAAACTCCACGACGTGGTAGTCATAGAGGGGAAAATGAGTTCGAAGAGGACGTACAAGCAAAATCATCTCGTGCCGGGCGTATCTTCGTGGAAGGTAAAGGACCACTTCAAGGCCGGCGAGAGCGCAGTGCAACAGCTCAAGCACGCGAACGAGATTCACTGGAAGAACATGCAGGGCGACATCATTGCCGTCGAGACCGTGGCGAAGCGGGATGAGAAGAAGAACTTGACGGGGTTGCCCCAGCTTGAGATCAAGGTTGCGATGGAGGACAAGGAGATGGATCTTCTCGTGGCCAGTTGGATGGCAAGACTATGGCGACAGTCTGCAAGCGAGACCAAAGAGCCCATGACTTGGTCGGATGGTAAGTTTTCCGTGATTCCCCAAAGTTCTTGAGGACAGTGCGCTGATTATTCGCAGTCAAGCAAATAGGCAAGATTGCGCTCAATAGCAACAGATGGAATCTATGGTAGTCGACTTGGTGCAACCGTTTCTGGGGTTGGCTTAGATGGAGTTGGGCTGTGCTCTGGTATAAGAAAGCTAGAAGCAATGCCTTGGGTTCACGAGAAGAAGAAAAAAGCAGTTAGAAACGCTCTAGATAGATCCCTTTATGTTAGATACCCATACTTTTCTGGTTTCACATATTTTATCGGTTCTACACACTATTTTCAATCCAGTTTCAAAGTTCATAAATTATTAATGGCCGACCTATTACCATGTCAGGCGCTGAAATCGTTGAACTTTTGCCTCCCAGTAATTTAGGCTTTGGCCCAGCCATGGCATTTTTACTTGACATCGGAGAAAATCTCCATGGATTCTTGATCAAGCCGTTCTCTGCTACATGTCTCTTGACAAACATTTACTCAGGGCCTGCAATACAATACTTCCATACTATTTCCAACGTCACTGAAGAAATCATCACTCGAAAATCTGAAACATCCCACGACGTCGAGTACACCAACAAAGCTCTCAATCAAAATAGTACAATGCAGCTCACGGCAACGCTACTCTTCGCTTTCACTGCGGCTCTTGTTTCGGCAGGTGGCCCAAAGCGTCCACCACCCATCGACGTAGGCCTCAGCTGCGTCGCTCAGCAGGGAACCCAACAATTCAACACCTTTACAATCAAAGCCAATGGAATTCCTCAAGTCTCAGAAGCATGTAAAGTCTACGAGAAGAGCTTCTTTAGTTTTATGCCGGATTGTTTAGAACGCGGCGACAGCCGTTGTCTGGAGGTAACACCTGGTCAACTCGAATGGAGTTTTAACATTTCATACTTTTGCAGCGAAAAGTCGGTCCGGTATGCTTGGTCGATGGCTACAGAAGAAAGATACGGCCTCTTGAAATGTCAGAGAATGTAGAGGATTGTGAATCGCGAGTATCCGGGCTTGAATCCGCTCATTCTAGGACACGGATTTTCAGGAACTCACTGTTTTCTGGGACGTTCAAACAACACCTGTTGTTGTTAAAGTATCTCATCAGAGAAATCGGCAGGGGTAGAATTGAATAGACAATTCTCAAATTATTTGACACTAATTCAGTTCCATGTAATAGAATGCGAGTTGGTGATGCTTTCCGTCGCATTGCCTGCGTAGAACATTCACCATAGTGGTTGGAAATGCTTATTCCTACTGCGAAGTTGCATACGTGCATGATGACGTTGAGTGTAGTTATTGACCCTCACGCAGTCTGCCAGGGGTATCAGACTCAGGCCTGTTAAACAACGGCCCGGCTAATCGTCGTATGAATCCGCGATGAGATGCTCTGCATGGCATCTAGAGTTCAGACCAAGAAACCTGACTTCGACGCTTGCCAAGCACGTGGGCTGACGGTGCGGGGCAATGGAACTGGCTTGTCAGTATGTGCTAATCATACGATGATACGTCTGATAACTATTTCCGCAGCGATCCCCGAGAGAGTTCCGGGGCTCGGGACTTTGGACGATGAAAGTAACGCCACAATGGAAGGCAGCATAAGTAGCCCGTTACCATGCGTCCGTTCATCCAACTTCCTATTAACAAACTTAACTTATCACTTCAGCATCGCTAAACATCTTTAACTCGCAAGACTATCCATCAACATGAGAGCTGCAAGATACTACGGAAAAGAGGACATTCGCATCGAGCAAGTGCCTGAACCCCCTTGCGGACCCAACCAGATCAAGGTAAGATCAAGCTTGAGCCACCTATCCCTCGTGCATGAACCACATTGAGTCCCAACCTCAGACCCCGCGCGGGGAAGAACTCATTACTACGTAGTGATAATTTTCTGGAGTTGAACCCAATATTTACCTTTTCTGTTTTTTACCCCAGATTGCTCCAGCATTTGTCGGAATTTGCGGAACTGATCTCCACGAATACCTCGGCGGCCCCAATTTCTGCCCCGCCTCCAGGCACCCTGTGACAGGCGAAACCATCCCCGTCACACTGGGCCATGAGTTCTCCGGTGTCATCAAGGAGATTGGCTCCGAGGTCAAAGCGGAGGGCAACATCAAAATCGGCCAGCCATGTGCAGTGCAGCCGACCGTCTACTGCGGCAAGTGCGCTGCCTGCACGAGTGGCGCCGAAAACGTATGCCATACGGGCGGCTTCATCGGCCTTAGTGGCGGAGGCGGCGGACTGAGCGAGGCGGTGTCGGTACCTGCTGATCAAGTCTTTCCCCTGCCCGACGGCGTGCCCCTCGAGCTGGGCGCCCTGGTGGAGCCGCTTTCTATTTCTTGGCATGCCGTGTCTGCCGTGAATATTACGCCTGATTCCACGGTGCTGATCATGGGCGGAGGACCGATCGGCCTTGCTGCGGTCCTGTGCTTGGTCAGTAAGGGGGTAAAAAAGATTATAGTTGCAGAGATTGCGACTGCTCGTCAACGATTCGCAAAAGAATTCGGCGCAACGGACATTATCAACCCGAAAGAGCAAGATGTTGTGAAGGAGACGTTTGCCATCACGAATGGCGTTGGTGCCGATTACGTATTTGATTGCGCCGGAGTACCTGCTAGGTATGGCTTCTTACACGGATGGTGGGACAACGCTGACAATATGATAGTGTTAAAGCAGCATGCCAATCAGTCAAGACCCGAGGGACTGTGGTCAATGTCGCTATTTGGGAAAAGGAGATTCCGTTTAACCCTAACTGGATCACATGGAAGGAAAGCTCGTACAAGTCCGTGCTAGGCTACCAAAAGGCTGATTATCAGGCTGTGATTGAAAATTTGAGAACTGGTAAGAAGATGTGAGCAGATGCAAAAGTGACGGCTTCGAACTGACAACTTCCATAGGTGCTTTAAGGCCAGCGGCTATGATTACCAGAAAAATCCCACTTGAGGACTTGCTAGAGAAAGGAATAACTGCGCTTATCACAGACAAGGACAACCAGGTCAAGGTTCTGGTTGATCTCAATGCGGCGGCATAGGAAGGGGCTTCTTCGTAACGGCCTGAAAGCAGACCAAGTCTATTCATTTACCAGCATCAATTTTGTAGGAGTTATATATCATTTGTAGTCAAAGGTGTCAATTCGAATGATTTCATGACCGATTTCTTGTAAAGTCTTGGCAGTCTTTCATATCTTGAAGAGCCTTAAATGGAATGGCCTGGGATGTGTCTGTTAGCATATTGCAATGATTAGTGGAAGCTTCAGGGTGTTAGTTCTGTATCTTCTGTTTTATTAAAGAATATATGGGGGAAAAAAATTTCTGTGCTGATAGAAGCTGACATTAACTTTAGTTACTGTCAGATTTACTTGGAGGGGCTGTGAGGATTTGTAGACCTGTCTACACTCCCCAGCCCTAATCTCAAGAAGCTTTTTGACCCTGAGTCTGACCAGCCAAGCTAATCTCTCTAAAGGTGTATAAAGTAAGTGTTACGACCCGACAGTTAACAGACCACTGACGACGACCCCGCAGGGGCTCAGCGGTTATAGGGACGGCCGTCAGCCGTTACGTCGTAACAACCCCCACGGAACGGAAGAACTAGGATACAGGTCACGTGACGATAAGCAGGACCGACGGACGATAAGCGGTCCTGGGACAGGACCGACGGTGCCAAAAAAACATCAACAACAGCGAGAACGAAATTTTTGAAAACAGCATCAAATTGATCAAACCACGCCCGCTCGCGCTCTCAGAGGTCACTTTGGGCATAATGTCATCCTCGGCATTGATTCTGCTCCCAAAGAGCCTGCTCGTGGCCGCGGGCGGGCTCTGACCACGAAAAATTCGAGAGCAAGCCACAAAGTATGACACGTCAATAGACAACACCATCGACACCACCGCGGTTGAGTCACGGGCTATCACGTGAGCACAACGACCAAGCCCAAACAAACATCAACACCACAGCCACCGATAGGTTATGGGTCGCCTATCACCCCCGACAAAGTTTGCAACGTCCCGCGACAACAACGACGACAAGCCCGACAGAACGGTATCACCTCCTGCATAGAGAAAGCACCAGACACCAGGCATGCTACGATCGATGCCACAAAATACTACAGTTTGCAGACAGATTGGTCCCCTGTCGCCCCCTCCGCGAAGAAGGATTGTCGCCCCTTCAACGTATGACAATGTCTGCGGAATCTGTGTACGAGCTCTCATACTTAGTAATCGGACGAATCGAAGCGGTTGGAGCATTGTGTTTTGCGGATTGAGTCCGACTCCAGGCGGTGGATGGAGGTGGTGGTCGAAAGATGGAAACATAGAGCCACATAGGAACCCAGCATGAGGCAACAAAAAGATTTACAGATTCAACTGAGATATAGCACATGCGAGTCTGAGAGGATGCGGACAAGATAAAGAGACGAAGCTGAGGGCTGGGGGGAGACTATAGGTATATAGAACCAGACATAGTGCCTAGCACCAACAGAACCGAAGTAGGAGGACGCGAAAGAAGGATTCTAGAAGGCAACACCAAGCGAGAGAGCAGGCAGGAGGACAACAATCTTCAACAGAGGGCATAAACACACAAGAATAGATAGCATAGTGGGAGCTTGGGGACAGCTGGTCCTGATCCAACAACAGGGCGAAGTGGGGCGTCGCGGTTTATCGTCGATGCTTCGGCTGTCTGCCAAACCCCGCTTTCCGGGCATAGCTGCTAGCATAAGAGCGGCTTCATAACCGTGTAGGAATCAATCAATCAATCAATCAAACCGACGGTGCCAAGGGCGGTCCATGGCGATGGACCGACGTCCTGGGTGTCGGTCCCCCAGGATCAGGAAGTGTTCAGCATGGAACCAGACTTGTATATAGTTGGGACTCGAGTCCTCTCGAGTCCTACCTTTCCTAGTTCTTCAGCAATCAACTTCGTGACTACCCTCACCGGTACTTTCAGCTATCCTAAGTGACGACTACTCTACGACTCTTGTTGAGGCCTTGACTGATCACCAAGACCTTTGAAGATCTACGATCTATTCGACCAGGACCACGGAACGACTGTTACTACTCTCAATCCCTGGCTTACTGTTAACACAAACCCACTGTCAGTTAGCTGGCCGTAACACTTTGATTGCTCCTGTTCAGTAAGTCACCTTTTGAGAACTACTAAACAGTATAGACAAGATGTCTTCTCGCGCTTCTGCCAAATCACCCACTCCAGGATCCTCATCCTCTTCGCGCAACCAGCCTCAGAGCCTCGCGCAGGAGCCCGCCAACACTGAGGACTTCGACATGCCGGACCTCAAGTACGACTCCGATGGAGATAGCTCTTTCACCAAGGAAAGCTACGATAAGCTCCGACGCATAATCCAGAAACAAGAAGCCGAGACAAAAGACATGCAGAAAATCGTCAACGAAAACCGACAAGCAATAGAAAACCTCAACAAGCAACTCCAGCACGCTAGACAGGCCTACAAGAAGCTGGAAGAAGACATCAAGGGGGACGCCAACCTCCGGAAGATCCAGGAACTCCAGGGGGAAATCACCACCCTCCGGGCCGCCGCCAACATCGTCACCACGCCCGTCCACGGAGGACGACAAAAGCTCAAGCTCAGTACGCCTGTCACCTACGACGGAACCCCCGGGACCCTTAAAGGATTCCTGATTCAGGTCAAAAACTACCAGAACTTTCACCACGGAGATTTCACCAACGAGACCGAAAAAGCAGTACACGCAGCTACCTACCTCCGAGGAAAGGCCCTCAAGTGGTTTGAACCAATCCAGGAAGAGTACCTAAAATGCGAGACCCTCGACGAGTGCACTACCGAGACCCGCGACATCTACGCCAATTTTAAAGGATTCGAGGACGCGCTCAGGTCACTCTTCCAAGACCCCGACGAAAAGCGACAAGCCGAACGAGATCTAGCACAACTTAAGCAGACTAAGTCCGCCAAAGACTACTCCGCCAATTTCCGACAACTTAGCGTTTAACTCGACCTTACCGAGGAAACCAAGATCTTCATATTCTATCAAGGACTAAAAGACGAAGTCAAGGACGAGATCATCAAGATTGATCGACCTGACGACTTTCTCCAGTACGCCGAACTCGCCATCAAAATCGACAACCGGCTTTTCGAACGACGAAAGGAAAGAGGCGAAAAACGACAAAACCCTAACTCAGGACGCAAGTACCAGTAGCAGCCTCAGTACTAGTTTAACAACCAGCGAAACGACAATAGACCCCGTAACAACTAGAACAACCCCCGACAAAGTACTGCCTATAGTCACTATAGTAGACTAATAGACCTTAGTACTATATAGAGAAACGATAAAAAGAACGATAGTTGGAAGAAAGATAGACAGTGCTATAACTGCTAGAAGATTAGATACCTAGCATACGAATGCAGGTTACCTAAGAAGGAACGCTTCCAACCGGTACTAGAGAAACGACAAGCGAGTATCGCTACGAAGACGATCCCTCATGAACAACTTAACTAGACTACTTGCTTCGATGACAACTGCTATATCCACTCTAGCAGTAAGGAATACGCAGGATGGTACCCCTAGAAACCTCAAGAACGATCTGGTTACGACACTACCAACGCACCTAAACGGACCCTCGCTGTGGGATATAGAAGCAACAGCAAAATCGAGCGCAAGACAATCGAATAGCTTGACAGTATAAACGATAACGAGGAATTAGAACAAGACAATCAGCGAAGGCTGAACCTCCTCTACGCAGGACGACAAGCCAACCTGTAGCGGATTCAACAGGACTTACAAAACCCTATGTAGCAACGACAACTCGGTGCGCTAGACGCACACATCGAACGACGACAACATGCACAAGGAGATCCCGCACGGATCCGCCAGATCAACCAAGAACTAGAAGAACAGGTCGAATCAGAAACGACCAAGAACACCCCCAACGACTCGGAAACACCTCGCGATGTTGCCCGCCAACATGCCTAACTGGAAGTCGCCTTTGAAGTCGCTTCAGTCAACGACACCAGCTCTGGAGAGGACTCTGACGAAGAAATACAGTGGTATTACTGCTACCAAGACCAGTGCCGAGTCTACTATATCAAGAAAGACGAAGCATGGAAGAAACAGCAAGAAAACGACGAACAAGGAACGGACGAGCAGTTAAAAAACTAGACTTGCCTACCGAAGACAAGGGATAACGACAGGCAGCCTAGACAAGGTCCCTATGTAGCGCAACGACGCCCACGACACAACGACACGAGCATGTACAAGTCCAAATACAGCTCAACGGAAGAACAGCTACCGCCATGATCGACAGCGGAGCCCAAGGAAACTTCATATCACCAAGAACGGTGAATGAAAGAAAGATAACCTAGAAAAGAAAAGCAGCCGAAGACTGCTACGAACTCAGCACCGTTGAAGGAGAACAAGTCTAGTACGGCGGAGGACGCATTGTTATGGAGACAGCGCAACTCCCAATGCAGATCCATGGCCAGAATGAGCGACTCAACTTCGATATTACGGAGATAGGAGACAAGTACGATGTCATCCTTGGAAGACCATGGTTATACGACAGTAACCCACGGATAGATTGGAGAACAGGCCAACTCCATTGGGACCAGGATTCAGTTACTGAGAAGCAACTACGGAACGGTGCCTTAAACGAACCTCTCAAGACTCCTGAAGCGAAGAGATTTCTAGCATACCTACGGATCAAGGATGCAAACGCCAGGACGTTATCAGCAACAGACATCGGCAAGGAAGACCGACTTCTGTCTATCCCAGAAGAATACCGGCAATACCAGAAGCTATTCGCCGAAGAACTCGAGACCGGACTCCCGGAACACAGCAACTACGACCACGAGATACCCCTTAAGGAAGGGAAGGAGCCAAAGCTAGAAGCAATCTACGGACTCAACCAGAAAGAAATGGAAGCACTCGACGCTTACCTCAAAGAAAATCTACAGAAGGGATACATCAGACCCTCTACATCACCAGCGGGATACCCAATCCTGTTCGTACTAAAAAAGAACGGCAAACTACGACTCTGCGTCGACTACCGGAAACTCAACGACATTACGATCAAGAACTGCTACCTACTACCGCTCATCTCCGAACTACGAGACCTGTTGCACGGAGCACAGTGGTTTACAGCACTCGACCTAAAAGGAGCCTATAACCTGATCCGGATGAAATCAGGTGAAGAATGGAAGACAGCGTTTCGAACACGCCGAGGACATTACGAGTACCTTGTGATGCCCTTCGGACTCACCAACGCACCCGCGACATTCCAGACGATGATCAACCACGTCTTACGAGAATTTCTAGATGTGTTCGTCGTAGTTTACCTCGACGACATCCTAATCTTCTCCAAGACTCTGGAAGACCACAAAAAACACGTACACCAAGTACTGCGGAAACTGCAAGACGCTAAACTCCTAGTAGAACCCGAGAAGAGCAAGTTTCACGCCAAAGAAGTCGAATTCCTAGGTTTTACGATAGCCCTAGGAATCCTCAAAATGTCTAAAGACAAAATCGTAGCAGTACGAGACTAGCCTATACTACAGAACGTTAAGGACGTACAATCCTTTATTAGATATGTAAACTACTACCGACGGTTCCTAGAAGGGTACTTAGACAAAAACGACCCTCTCACGAGACTCTCGAAGAAAGATGTTCCCTGGCAATGGGAAGAAAAACAAGAACAAGCCTTTAACGAGATCAAACAACAAGTCACATCGGAACCAATACTTGTTATACCAAACCCCGAGAAACCATTCGAAGTCGAGACCGACTCCTCAGACTACGCTATAGGAGGACAACTAGGCTAACGAGACGACGAAGGACGACTACACCCTTACGCCTTCTTCTCACACAAGTTACACGGCCCAGAACTCAACTACCAGATACACGACAA